TTATATTAATAATATAATTAAACCTTTAAACTATTTACTTAAAAAGGGTATATTATTTAAAATAGGTAAAAAATAATAAAGAGCTTTTAAATTAATAAAGAAATTAACCTATAAAGTATTAATATTAACCTTCTTTTAGTTTAATTAACCTATTAGAATTGAAACTAATACCTTTTAAAATGCTATTAATGGAACTATTTAGTAATAATAAAAAGATAATATATAAAAGTTTATAAAGTACTTCTTAAAAATTATATTATTAATTAAATAAGCTTATCTTATATAAAATAAAGAATTATTAGCTATAATTTAAATTATAAAGTATAATTACTTAAAGTTATTAAATATAAAGTTTTTTATAATAATTAATTATTAAGCTTTATTATATTTTATTATTAAAAGAGTTTTTTTTTATAAAATAAATAAAATAGATAAACTTTTTATTTAACTTTAATATTACTTTTTAATATTAGTTTAATTAAAAAAACGTAATAATAAATATATTATTTTATAAAATAGTTAATTTATTAACTATTAAAGCCTATAAAGTTGAAGAACATAATATAGCTTTAATTTTATTTAAAGCTTTAGGAGGGCCAGTAGCTACTATAGAAGAAAAGGCAATAGTATTATATAATTCCAACCTGGTAAACTTAATTTAATAAAAAAACAAAAAATAAGGTTTAAAATGTAAAAACTATTAATTAATTATCTTAAAGTAAACTTTTAACTTAAAGGTTTATTTCTAAATAGCCCTAATTAAAGAAGCTTATTATTTAATAATTACTATTTACTCCAAATAAAATAAATGTATTAAAATGATTAAATAGAATTATTATTAGCTTTTATTAAAATAAAATGTTTAAATATATATTTATAATTATTATAATTATTAATGGAATAAAATCCCTTAAAATAAAATATTTAAATTATTATACCTATTATTAATCCTTATAGTTATTTAATGCTATATTATAATTAATAGGAAGGATATACCCTTAAATAAATATAGCTATAATTATATATAGGTATTTATTAATAAGTTTAACTACTTATTAATTATAATATTTAATAAAAAAAACAATATAATGGAAAATATAGTATATTAATATTATAAGTATACCTATTGTTTCTTAAATTTTTTAAAGGTATTAATTTTAAATAATATAAAACCTTTTATTTCATACTTTTTAATAAAGATTAATAAGTTAACCTATATTAAATATTAATATAAGAGTACCCTTTACCTTTAAATATAAAGGGTTATAGAATTTATAAATTAAAAGCTAAATTAATGGTTATGCTTTTATATTAATAAATATTAAAATGATTAAAGCTCCTATTTATCTATATTAGATTTTATATATAATACTTCTTAGTATTTAACTATTAATATAGTATTATTAAAGGTTTTAATAGGAATTAATATAAGGAACCCTTTATTACTACTTTTATTAAATATTGTTAAAAAGATAACACTTAAAAAGCTAGCCTAATAATTAATATAATAAACCTATAAGATATAAAAGATAATTTATAAAGCAATAAAAGCTATATAAAAAAGGTAAAAAATATAAGTAAATAAGAAGCAATATCCGGTAAACTTTTATATAAAAGATAAAGTTTTCTTAAAAAAGAAGGGCTTTATAACTAATAGCCTAACTACTTAATTAAACTCTTAATAGGTTAAACCCTTTAAAATATTTAAAAAGAAGGGATATAACTATATATTAAACCTTTTAAAGTTAATAAAAATAACTAACCTTTTTTATATAAATTAATTATATAAAGCGAATAAAGACCTATTACTTTAATAAACTTAACCATTATTAAAACTTAAAGATATTAAAGAAGGATCGGAATAGGAAGCTAAGCAGCTATTTAGGGAATAAATAATAGGGTATAATAAAACGCTATAATATTAAATTGCTTAAAAAGATTATAACTTTAACAATATTTAATACCTAGTAAAAAATTTTAAAAACTTGTTAATTAAAATATAAAAGTTTTATAAAAAATAGCTTAACATACCAGAACCACTTAAATAGCTAAATAAATAGATAAAAGCTATAATAGTTAATAAGTTCGTTACTAACCATCCCAACGATAACATTGCTATATAAAATAGCAGCATAATTAAAACTAAACGTTATAAATAATTTTTCAACCTATTTTACACCCATGTTTTAATTTTAATAGGGGGAAGTATAATAAATGTATTAAATATATACTATACCGGAACACTATATATATTATAAAGGGATACCGTAGAAATACGCGAGATATATACTAATAAGGTTACATAACCTATAATAGCTATTAATACGTATATATTTCTATATACGCTTATATTTTAATTTTATCCTTCCTTCCTTTCTTCCTTAACTTAAAATCTTCATCTATAGCATCAATATAGCTATGCCCTAAACCCCTAATTGTAATATAATTAAAATTAAATGCTATAAATAATTCTTTAATTTATATTATACCTATATTTTAATTTTAATAAGGGGAAGTATAATAAATATATTAAATATATATTATATTAAAATATTATATATATTATAAAAGGATATTATAAAAATATATAAAATATATATTAATAAGGTTATATAACTTATAATAGCTATTAGTATATATATATTTCTATATATACTTATATTTTAGTTTTATCTTTCCTTCCTTTCTTCCTTAGCTTAGAATTTTCATTTATAGCATTAATACAGCTATGCCTTAAACCCTTAATCGTAACAGCTATTCCCTTAACCTAATTAAAGTAATAGCTTAATAAATTTATTATATATAGTAGGAATAGCTTTACGTTTATTTAGCTTACCCTATAGGTATAGTGATAGGGCTAAATAAAGGTTTTAAATATAAAGGGAGTTTAATTATTCTTAAATATTTACATTTTATAAATTCTTTTTTTAAATAATAAGGAAATTATATATTAAATTTATATCTTTAAGCTATAAGGCCTTTAACCTTTTTAATACCTATATAATTTTATTTAAGTTATAATAAATTTATTATAAGGCTTTTATTATTTTAAAAAAGTTTTATATATTAAGTTTAATAATAAATAATTATAATTAAACAATTTATTATATTTTTTTAATTTAACCTTTTATATATATATATAAATTTAACTTTTAAGCTATTAATTACTTTACTATTAATATATAATTTACCTTTTAAAAGGGATAATTAAACTTTAAACTTTTAATTACTTATAAAAAGGGGAAGGTTTAATAAAATTAAATAAAGGCGTTAATATAAAAGAGTTAAAATAGTTATATTTTAAATAGCTTAAAGTTCCGTTAATTCTGCTGTATAAGTAGCCTTTAACTATTTAAACTAAGCATTAAAGTCTTATATTAGGTTAGCTATAGCATAAAAAATAGCCGTTTAAATAAAAGCTTAAACCTAATTTACGTTAAGGATTTAGTCCGCTATTTATATAAATACTATATAGTTAACTTAATATAGAAAAATTAGCCTAACTATATAAAAGGGTATAATTAAAAGGGGTATTGGCTAATAGAAGGGGCTAAAAACGAAGAAACAAACAAATAGCTATATAGGGGGCATATTCGTATAAGGTAAGTTCGACCGCATAGGGGTCCAAATAGGTAACCGCAAAGGGGGTCGAATAGGGTAGGCTATAAAGGGAGCCTTAATAGCAACGAAGGGTGCCAAGGGGGGTTCAACTGTAAAGGGGGTTGAAGGGGTAAAGGTAAAAGCTATATAAAAGCTCTATTAAGTTAAAATTATATATAATATATAGTTTAATATAATGAACTTTTATTATATAAAAGCTTTTTTATAGCTATATAGGTATACATTAATTAATCCTTAAAGGTAAATTTAATTATAAAGGGGGTTAAAAGAATAGTTAATTATAAAAAGGGCTAATTGGATTTAAGAAATAAAGGAACTTTAAATTATATATAAAAGAGCTATATAAAAAGGTATCTTTACTATATAAGGCTTAACTATAAAGGGGGTTATTTAAATTAAGAACTATATAATTATTATAACGGGTATAATATATAATATTATTGGTGAATATTAAAAATACATTATTAATTATATAGTAATAAAGTAAAGGATAACTTGCTAGGTTATAACCTTTATCAATTAAGCTATATATGTTACGGTAGGCTGAATAGGCTTCCGGAGGTCCGGTAGGGCTACTGATTAAGCTACAAAATACCTATACAGCTAGCCCAAGGCTAAAAGTTATAACTATTACTTAAGTAAATAAATAAGGGTATATTAAGCTTAAGTATACCTTTATCTACCTTTAATTTTATTAAATCTTATAATATTATTCCTATTAAAATTTAAAAAAACTAAAATAACTTATAAATAATGCTAAATTAAGGCTTTTTAATAATATAACTATTTTAATTAAAGTTATCTTATTAATTAATTAAAGAGCAAATTATAAATATAGTAGGTATAGGAATACTACATACTCATAATGTCACGTTAAGAAAACAGGGGTAGTGTAGGTTAGGGGTTAATATAACTAGGTCTTAAAAGTTATAGAGTTAAGCTGGAAGTTAAAGGGATACAATACTGGTATGATAGAGGAGCTGCGGATAAAAATTGGGCGTGCCGGCGGGTAGAATGATCTCATCTAGGCCTTAATAGCTACACTAGAACAATGACTTTATACTAGATAGATATATGAGCGAACATATCATCATTTTTGAATCCACAACATCCTATTTGGTTCTGCTTGATGGAGAAGAAATTATGTGGAACCGAATGATAATAATAAAAAAAAAATCTTTGTACAAGTTTGCTCATGCAACAAGTCTACCTAAGTTACATATTCGCACTCAGATGTTATAGCTAGCCGAATACTCCATCCATGCTGCTTCGTACATATGCTGATATCTTTTAACTCACGATGTGACCTCGCTTAATTGGCACACATTACCATACCAATGGGTGTTTTCATTTCTACCATTACGCCCTTTATTCGTCGTTTAGTAAGTTCGCTTGAAAGGCGGAACAGCTTTGCATTCGTTCTCATCCAGTGTCGTCCCAACAACCTTCCTGTAACCCAGCTCGACCTTGGCATGCGGTTTCTTCTGGAAACTGAGCGTGTGCTTCATCCAATTCTCATCATCTCGCTCGGGGAAATCTTCACGCGCGTGAGCGCCACGAGATTCCTTTCGGTTAGCAGCAGCAACAGCGGTTTGAGAACTAAGCTGGTTAGTATATGTAAAGAATTCATGAGATTTGAGACACTTACGCGCAGGTGAGCAAGTTCCGTAATTCCAAAGTCTCCACGAGGTCCGAGTTCCAAATCATGCCGCGATCCTTGATACCAACCTGAGGGAACATGTTGTCGATCTCGGTAACTTTTCTAACACCTTCATCCAGACTTTCCTGAGTACGGAATACACTGACATCCGTCTGCATGGCCTTTTGCATAGCCAATCTGACCTCGGCAGTTGACTTGGGTCCACTCGAGTTACGGACCTGGTCAAGTGTCTCAATAGACCCAGCACCGGCATCAGCGCTGACCGGCGCCAGTTTAGCCCCCGGAGTGAACTTGTCACGAATAGTGTGAGATACGGCACGGCCAAAGACGACCAAATCAAGCAAAGAGTTAGCACCGAGACGGTTAGCACCATGAACAGAAACGCAAGCGGCTTCACCACAAGCGAACAAGCCAGGAACAACCTTATCGTTGCCCTGTCCGTCAACGGTTAGCACCTCTCCGGTGTAACGGGTGGGAATACCACCCATGTTGTAGTGAACCGTTGGAAGGACGGGAATGGGCTGTTTCCGAACATCAACACCAGCGAAAATAGCAGCAGTCTCTGAAATACCAGGCAGACGTTCAGCAAGAATTTCAGCGGGCAGATGGCTGAGCTGCAGGTAGATGTGATCCTTCTCGGGTCCAACACCTCGGCCGTCACGAATCTCCATGGTCATGGACCGAGATACAACGTCTCGACTAGCCAGGTCCTTAGCAGTAGGGGCATAACGCTCCATGAAACGCTCACCCTCGGAATTCAAGAGGTAGCCACCCTCGCCACGCGAGCCTTCCGTAATCAAACATCCAGCTCCGTAGATACCTGTGGGGTGGAATTGAACAAATTCGAGATCCTGGTTAGGTAGCCCAGCACGGGCAACCATAGCCATACCATCGCCGGTACATGTGTGTGCCGATGTGCAACTGAAGTAGGCTCGACCGTATCCACCAGTAGCCAATACGGTGTTCTTGGCAAGGAATCGGTGAAGTGTGCCGTCTTCTTGGTTATAAGCAAGGACACCACGGCATTCGCCATCTTCCATAATCAAGTCGAGAGCGAAAAATTCGATGAAATAGTTCGTGTTGTGGCGAAGCGATTGACCGTAGAGTGTATGCAAAAGAGCGTGACCGGTTCGATCAGCTACAGCACAGCATCTGTACGCCTGACCACCCTTTCCATACTTCTGTGACTGACCACCGAACGCACGCTGGTAACTTCATGACGGTGATTAGCAAGCTCCATCGGTGCGATGCCTGGCGTTGGGAGCTTACATTTTCCCCTCTTCAGTTCGAGAGAATGGGCAACCGTAGTTCTCCAATTCGATGATCGATGCGGGAGCCTCCCTCGTCATGTAGTGGATAGCGTCTTGGTCACCGAGCCAGTCGGAACCCTTGACGGTATCGTACATGTGCCACCTCCAATCATCCTCGTGCATATTTCCTAGCGCAGCGTTTATACCACCCTGAGCGGCGACGGTATGGCTTCGTGTAGGGAAGAGTTTCGATATACAGGCTGTGTTGAAACCCGCTTCGGCGAGACCAAATGCTGCCCGTAGGCCGGCACCGCCGGCACCAACGACGAGTGCATCGTACTCGTGATCCTAGAGGCTGTCAGTTGTGTCTAAGTGATATAAATAGCTGGATAGCTTCCGTAAAGCTGCAATGTGGAACCTAGGTAACCTACGACAACTGGGTATTTGTTGCTAACGTGTATGGGCGCCTCCTTTGCCCTTAACGGGTTGTTTGCGATAATACGAGCTATATCAATCGATCAGCGTGGACTGAGAGGGAAGGCGGCACAGTGGTCGCAGCGATTGCTCACATACAGACGGGACGTGTCGTTGAGAAAGCTCTCCTTGGTAATGTGGTGGCCCTTGAGAACTAGAGGCAGCAGCCAAGTCAGCCGACCGAGGGGTTTCAGGTTCAAGGCGAAGCAATGTAGGGGACTGTAAAGCTCGGGGAAAGTGTCGCATGGGGATGTGCCGCATCGCTGGCCAGGACAAAACTCACGGTAGACCCGGTGGCCAGTCTCCTCAGCGCGATTGAGGATGCCATGTTGAAAGGACGTAAGAAGGGTAGAGCGGAGAGATAGAGGCACCAGCAAGAACGGACGAGGCTCTTGTCCTACAATTTCCAATGGCAAAAACTAGGTCGCCACGGATATGGATGATGCCTTCAAAGTTTCGTCGGCGCTACGATGGGCGAGCGATCGGGACTTGAGCCAATAGCGTCGATTCTGATTACCGAGGGACAACTCGCAGGTGTAACCACCCTCCCGCGCCCGACTCAAGCCCAATAGAGGTCACGTGCGAGATGCCGTGACATTCTTTGTCCTCTCGGCTCGCACAGCGAGGGGCTCCACAGTGACGATACTACTCGGGCATTCAATGCCGTAGTTTACCTAGGTAAATTATGTATTGGGGTACCACGATCTCAATAAGCAACATGGAAAGTGTACCTACATGCTAAGGTACATACATGTATGTGTGCACTAAACTACCTTGTACCTACCTACCTAGGGACTACTCAATCTGAGTAACTACTTGTATCGAATGAAGAGAGAAAAAAGTTCTATATCGTACAAGAGGTATATTCGCGTCGTCCTTTTCTCATTGAACTTGAATCTGTTCATATCAATTACAGCCTGATAGGTGCGTATGCTGCCTATACCTAGGTAGGCACGTCTATGTGTATATCTTCTTCTACCTAACACCACGAAATGCATTATCTACCAATGCCCATGCCATGTCCGTGCCCATCAATGTCTCAGCGGGGATCGTGGATTGGAAGCGCCCATCTCCCTGTGGCAGGAGGCCTATGATGCCAGTACTTGACGCAACATTATGATGAAGTTGTCCTTCAGACGGTGAACCTCACTCACCTGTGGCTTCGTGGGCTCACCAGCGCTACGTCTCAAGCGATCCTGTTTCTTAGCTCGTCTGCGTCGCTCAGCTTCTATTGGGTCTAGCTCATCCTCTTCCGCCGCCTCGACTTCCTCATCCGAATCGAAATCGTAGTTAAGATCTTCTAGATCCACGGCGTCGAGACCGAAATCGCTGGCGCTGATGCTTCCCATGCCCGGCAGGCCCGTTTCACTTACTGAGCCTTCGGCTGCCATCTTTTGGCGCGTCTTATCATGATGCCATTTCTTCCGTGCTTCTTGCCACGCAATTAGTTGGTCGATTTCATCAATCGCCTTCGCTTTATTTAATTGACCACTCGCAACGGCGCCCTCAAATAAAGCATTTATATCCACCGCCCCGCCTACCGGCCCGTTCCTGAGAAATTCAAGAATACCTTCTATCCAGCCCATAAGCTGTGTAAAAAGGCCATTGTCATGCGTATGAACCTCGTGAACGAACTTGTAAAAGTTGTGCTCATGCCGTTGACAGAGATCAATAAAGGCTTGTACAGTCTGGTTGGGATCTGCCGAAGCATCCTGCTCGCGACATTTCTCAACAACCTACGCAAGTAGTTAGCGCTATCGAAATAGTTGTACGAGCTCCCTGCCTACCTGAATCATATCATCAAGAAACACTGCAAAATCAGTAATGCTATTATAAACATTGGCCGATTTATAGACTCTAACGAGAGGCTCATAGAAGATGGTGAAAAGGTCCCGGAATAGTTGAAGAGTGACAGGCTCTTCGATGAGGTTTAGCATCATGGCTTTATCGCGCTGCCTCATCTGCAATTTCATAAGTTGCTTGAGGTATGAGAAAAGCCGGGACCCCTGCTTCAATTCCTCGTCAACGTTTTCGACGGCATTATTGAAGGCGACATACGCATTATATAGCCGCCCAATCTGGTCGGACTTGAGGGCTGGCGAAATTAGGTCAGATCGTAAGATCGATACAATAATGTCTATGTCCTCAGCCTCAGCCTCTTCACGTATGATGAGTTTGATATGATCTTCCGCTTGGCTGAATTTTGTCAGCTTCTCCACGAAAATGCTGTCTCCGATCTTAGCTGCCACTGCGTCAATGGATTTCTGATAGCTCTTGATTCCGTCGTTCAGCGTCATAGAAAAGATTCGTTGTAACAGAGAGCGAGAGCCGAAAGGTTGGGCTAAGAATAAATCGAGAACACCGGACATAACAGCAGCTGGATTCGCAATCTTGATGACATTTTTAAGAAGAGTGTATGGTATTAAAGAGTGGATCCGCTTAAGCTGCGCAAATAGTTCGGGCGAGTTGTCCTCAGCAAGGAACAAGTGATAGATTGTTGCAGCAATTTCTATCCGCAACCATTCAGCAAACTTCTGATATTGCATGCTAAGGTCCTGAATCGAGGGCTTATCCTTGATCTCCTGGAGTAATTTTGTTAACCCATTTCGCTTGACAATGTCTTGGCGAAATTTCTCCATGTAAACATCAAGCTCGGCGGCCCTCTTTCTCGCTATTTCGAAAAACTCTTTCTGTTCTTCCATTCGCTTAGCATCCACGGCTTTACGACGATGGATATCATCAACATCCTCATCCGAAGGTGTAATCGGATTTCGAGTGAGGAAATCCTGTATCGCCTTAGTCTGTGCGATTTGTTGGTTCTGCAGCAAATATCGCAGGAATGCTCTTAACGAGACTCGCTGATCTTCACGCCAGAGAATCGCATTCTAGTCCAAGTTAGTTGCCGTATAGAGTGAGCAGAGACCGCCTACTTACCTCGGCTTTGGGGCTCAAAATCGTGGGGCTCGAGTGACCCTCAATAGATGTTCGTGGAGATGCCAGCTTGTTCTGACGGGGGTCACGCACTGCCAGGTTCTTCATTGATTCACTGAGGCTATTGGATTGGGCACCCGGGAAAACAGTGGATGCCGACGAAACGGACGAGGCGTCAGAATCATCGGCGCCATCTGTTGTACGTGAGAATAGTCCACTAGCTGTCGTGGTGGACTTGTTCTTTTTGGGAAGCGGTGGAAGAACCTTTCCTGGAAGCTCATTTCTTAGGTCCTTGTGTAGTCGCGCAAAGTCACCATAACGTCTTCCCACGAAGTGCTCAATCTCGCCCTTTCTTCTCACTCGCAGCAGAAATTCCTGTTTCTAGGATCAGTATTGATTTAATTCTGCCAGCAATGCAATATCTTACCGCATGCTTGTGATGTCTGATATTTCTCTTTACTAGTGTTGTACGAACACCAGCAACGTTGACATCCCACCCGTTGACAAAGTTGCCCTCCGGCATGGTGTTGAGCATACCAGTATCAATGGCATTCCGGTCAACAATTTCCATTTCGGCGAATCTTATCCTCTCCTCGAAACCAGAAGCCGTAGGAACGCCAGACACCATCATCAGCTCTACCAGCTTCCGACATTTTACGGCTAGTTTTCGGCGTTTCGTCTCTTCGAGGCGATCTTCGGACGACGATATATTCTTGCTAGCGAAAGACTCGAGGAACTATTCCAAAGAAGTCAGTATGGGACTACTGCTTGATTTCAATAAATCGCTTTGCGGGCGTACGTACCACCTGCAACTTGTCCTGCCAGAATTCCTTCTCTTTGGCCTTATCGAGGAAGGGAAATTCGCGGACATGGTGGACGAATATATACCGTAAGATAGGGAGCTCGGAATCGAGAGGTGACACCTCGCCATAGTCGGATTTGAACGGGGCGCCAAACCTACGAAGGGCGGTTGGGGAGTTCAGCTCATTAATTTCCCAATTGACCTGCTCAGAGATGAGCTCCCGCTTCAGATCTGCATGCCCATTAGCTTGTCTGCACAAAAGCCACAGGAGGGTAGTCAGACAGTGCTCTTGTTTCCCTGTTAGAGTATGGCTAGTAAGAGAGGTGTTTGTCGTAGGATTCGTATCATGTGTGGTGACGTCGCGGGACGAGCCATCCTGCGTGGCGTTCACAGTAGACATTTCTGGCGTCAAAGCTTTATTAGCCGGGAATCAAGCGGAATGGGATGACATGTGCTTTCGCTTTTGGCTCTGATATTAGAACGTGATGGGTTTATTTTGAGTCATATTTTGGGCTCCGAACCTACATTGAATTGAAGGATATTAGGAGGAGGTAAGGTTGGGCAGTAGGTTGGTAGGGATGGCTTTGAGCGCGGGGTGAAATCGGCTACCTATGTAAAAGTAAATAAGAGATGTCGTCAGCGCACCCCAGGGCAGGCAAGTGAAACCCAACAGACCAATGGGGGCGCTGCTCTTGGCTCTGTACTTTGAAATACCACAAAGGGAAAGAAGACACCGGCCAATCTTATATCGAAGAGAGAGACAAACGCCGGGTAACGGCAAGCTAGGTACACCCCATCTTCATTACGAGCTACAGTAGATACCTGTAGGTACACCAGGGGATACATACATACCTATGTACTTACCTGCTGTAGGGCAAACAGCGATTCAAGTTTACATGCAGGCATCAAGTGACTACGGCACTCATACCTAGAGGTACCTAGCTAGCTACCTATTCGTAGATGCTAGGTATGCATGTAACTACATACCTAAGGCACATGCAGAACACCAGCACTCGGACTTCCAGGTACCTAGAAAATTTCAAGTTTGGCCATTTGGGACCTTAATTGATATCCGTTATTGACAGGCAGTTCTATGTTTAGAGGTATCTGAGCTACCGTAGGTGCTTGGTGGACTGTAAGCGCTCATGAGGACAAACTTACACTAGGTGTGCGTATGTTTGTGTGGCTGAGGCTATGACGTCGTCATCTGTGCCCTCCCTTAGGTATGTATGGTGGCCAGCAATCAAGTAATCGCTGACGCCTTGATGATACCGCCCGCCTACGGGGTATCGTGTGTCTCGCCTGGGTAGCCAGATGCTTGTTCGAGACGTTGCCGAATTTCCGCGTTGCCGCTGCCGACTCGCGGCTCTGACTCTCTGACTCTCTCATAGGTTAGACTAACTATGGAATGGTCTGTCCTAGTTTGAAAGAAAGTTTGCTGACAGCTGCTTGGCAAAACGCGTCTTTGGTCACGGTGCCTACCTACACGATGTACCTGCTAATATCTAGGTAGAGGCCTCCAAAGAAATATACACTCGCGTTGTCACAGATGGCTCTAGCTTGTGGATGCTCGGTTTTAATAATGTGGGGTTACAACCAGACAATTGTTTTGGGGGTATCTAACTTATTCAAAACTTGCAATTAGGGTATCATGACAACAGCCAACAGAACTTCGAGTAGCGTATACCATCGCGCTAGGCTATAATTCGTCAAAGATTCGGAGAGCCTCTTGGTCAACCAATGCCGTAGCTCTCCTTAGTGTTAATTCTTCCCTTACTTCGTCAACCATGAGAGTGTTGTTCCTAACTGAACTCTCCATTTCCTCTGAAGCACCTGGGGCCATTTTAGCCAACTTGCCGACATCCGTAGCTGACGGCGCATATTGAGCTCCAATAAAGAGAACGACCAGGACGAAGGCAACGGCTGAGATAAAGATCCAAATGATCCTAAGGCGTTTCCTCGTCCTTTCCTGCCATTCCTTGTCGGCCTTTTCCCAACCCTCAATGCGTTCGCGCACCACGTCAACTCGTTTGCTGAGAGCCTGTACTTTGCCGCGCCCTGCATGGATCCGGGCTTGGAGATCTTGGATGCGCTTCTTTTGGTCCTCGGACTGATCATCAACGCAGAGTTGTGACTCGATTTCGCTTACCAATGCACGCGACTCGCCCGTAAAGCTCTCCTTGAGGTCCTGTGACATGGCTGCAAGTTCCCTCATAGCTACCACAGTGCTCTTTAGTGAGCCAAGTCTCTGTAGTATAGAAGAATACGTGTCGTCTAGACGTGCGATTGTCGCATTCGAAAAGGAATTTAATTCGACCAGCGATCGCTTAAGGCTCCTTCATCTGGGGGATTAGCGAAGTCCTGGCAGCAATGCATCAATTGAGCTTGGTGAAGATGACCCACGCTACTGCTGCCGCCTTCTGCTTTTCCTGGGTGATAAGGTCGTTTGCAAGGACATGTTGTGATGTTCGTGTTTCGCTGGTATCAGGAACATCATCCCCTGTATTCAACACCATTCTTGTCCCGGTAGACGTAGCAGCTTCGGCTCGCGAGAGCTCGAGAGAGTCACGCCCTAGTGGGCCTGCAGATAAAGGCAGTTGGTCGCCACGGTCGCGATCTTTGCGATGTATATATTGGTGGACACGAGATTGTCTAAAGGGCGGCGATTGCTCTGTGATGGAACGGCGTAATTGGTGATGAGAATGATGAGAGGACGTTCTGGCTCGCTGCATCACCATATGCTCACTGTGTTTTGCTGGCATGGTGGTGCCAAAAGCAGCCATGCTGGCATACAGAGCCTGAAATGGGGTTGTTCGGCTATTGTCAGCTTCAAGTATGGCTTGTAAGTTTGGGGATACGCATTAGGTAGGTAGGTTACCGAAACATACCTACCAGGTGCCTAAGAGGTACGGTACCCGTTGGGACTCCACTTTCGTCGCCAACGTTCTGACTTCCAGTAGAAGCGTTGGGGTCTTTAACTTGAAAACGACCAGTTAACTTGATAAAATATCGGTACTTCCATTTATATACATTCCCTACCAAAAAATAAATAGCTATGCTTAAACCAATTTTACTTTATATACCAATTAAAAAAGTTAAATATTATAATAAGATTTAATTAAGCAACTACCTTTTAATCCATTTACCCTACCTACTTTTACACCTTTAATACCTTTACCTTTAATGCCTTTAATGCCTTTACCTTTAACTTTAATACCTTTAATACCTTTAATCTTTAACTTTTATACATTTTTTTTAATTATTAATATTATTTAAGGCAATAAATATATTAATTATTAATTTAAAATTATTAAAATCTTTTTATACGCTTTTATTTTTATTAAAATTATTAATAATAATTTAAAAGGCTTCTTTTTAAAGGCATTATTTTATTATAGCCCTTTAAAACCTTTTTTTAACTATTATAATAATTAATTTTATATATATTTTAACTATTTAAATAATTTCTTTTAAATTAAATAATAATATTAATATATATAAAGTAAAACCTTTAAAATTAATTATATCCTTTACTTTTATTTTATTATTTAACTACTTTTTATTTTATAAATAAATATAAATCTTTTATTAATATTAATAAAATATTTATAACTTTAAAAAATCTTTATATAGGTTATAATAATATTTAAAAGCTAATTTTTTCTTTTTTTATTAATTTAAATTTAATTATACTTATATTTTTATTATTTATTTTTATATATAAATTAATTTATTTTTATATACTTTATATTATAATTAAATCTTTTTAACTTTAATTATTACTTTTTATTAATTATTATTATTTATTATATAAAGTTATATATTTTTAACTTTTATAAAGCTATATTTAATAATAATTTAAATCTTTTTATATTAAGTTTTATAAGTTAAGATTACTTTATAAAATTAATAATTTTCTTCCTTTTTTTTAAATTATTAATTATAAGTATAATAATAATATTAAAGTAATATTAAATTATTTATAAAATAAAAAATATAAGGGATATTTAATTAATTTAATAAGCTTTTAAATAAAGTTTAATATATTATTATACCTTTTTAAATATTAATATATTAATAATTATTAAGCTTTATATTAATTTATTTAAATTAACTTATTTTTCTTTTATATTATTAATTTTAATATATTTAAGTTTATTTTATAAAAATGAATTATTAATAATTAAAAATATTAAATTAATAATTATATTTAATACTTTTTTAAAATTATAAAGTAAAAGATTAATTTTCTTTTATATATTTAATATTATTAAACGTTTAAAAGTTCTTTTATAAATTACTTAAAGGTTAATTAGGAAATTATCTTTATTATAATTACTTATATTATTTTATATTATTAAAAATACCTTTTAACTTTAATAGGTTTTATATAATTAAAAAATTTTAATATTAAATAATTAAAGTTTATTAAAGATATATTTTAATAATAAAAATATAATTATTTTAGCTTTTTTTATTTATTTAATAAATTTAACTATTTTATAATTCCTATAATTATTTAATAATAATAGTCTTTTTTACTTTAAATTAATAAATAAAGTAATATTATTAAAGTAATTAAATTATTTAAAAGCTATAAGGTTATTATTTTACCTATTTTTTAATAAGTAAATAATAATGTTATTTTTAAGGTTATTTAAATTAAATTTTTTAAAAATCTTTATAATTAAAAGAATAACCTAAGTAAGAATAGTAGTTACGGTGGCTGGCCTGGTGACCCACCTGGGGCTTGGGGCCCAGATGGCCACACTGCTACACGTATCGCAATCACCACGTAACCATCGCTTCGCTGTGCGCATTAAAATACTTTGCCATACTTTTTATACTTAGAATATTTCCTCCGTTCTCCATCTCACAATAAATATATAAATAGTACCCCAATATAAGCTTTGCTTTATATATAACACTTTAATTATAATAATAGCTTTACTATTTATAAATATATATTTAATAATAATAATAAAAATTTATATTTTTAAATTTATAAGCTTTAAGTCCTTAATTTTATAATAGGTTTAAATAATAATACTTTTAATAATATTAATTTAAAAGCTAGTTTTATTTATATTATATAAAAATTTAATTATAATATTATTTTTTTTATAATAAGTATTAAAAGCTTTATATTATACTTTTAAATTATTATAATTATTAATTAACCTTTTTTTATAATAATTATAACTTTACCTTTATTTTATAAAATAATTTATAATTATAAATAAAATAATAATAAGCTTATTAATATTAAACTTAATAAAGTTTTTAACCTTTTTTTATTTTAATTTTTAATAATTTATTAATTATATATTATAATTAATATAAATTTATATATATACCTTAAAGGATTAATTATTATAAAGTTAATTATAAAGCTATTTTTAAAGCTTTATTTAATATTTTATTATAACTGTTATTTTTTTAAAGCAAATAGTTATTAAAATAATAATAATGTATATATTAATATAAGGTATTAAAAGCTTTTATAATAGCTTTAAAGGTTTTAAATTAAATTAATTTATATATATTAATAATTAATTAAACCTTTACTTTAATTATTTTAAAGCTATTTATTAAAGTTAATTATATTTAATTAATTATTTATAAAGCTATTAATATAATTATCTTTAAAGGTAAATTTAAATATAAATAATAATTTAAGGATATTTTTTTTAATAAAAGGCTTAATATATTTAATAGCTTTAAATTAGCTTAAGGAAAAAAAGAACTATTTAATTTATATAATAATAGGATTATTAATAAAATATATATAAAGTTATTTATATTAAAAGATATAAACTTAAAGAATTAATTAATTTAATAATTTTAATAAAGGTAATAATATTTTTAACATTTAATTAAAAAGTATAAATATAAAATATATATATATAAAATAGGAACTACTTTTATTTTAGTAAGGATTGTACCAATTTAAAAGTACCCCCGGATTTTATTAAGTTAATTGGTCGTTTTTAAGTTAAAGACCCTAACGCTTCTACTGGAAGTTAGAACGTTGGCGACGAAAGTGGAGTCCCAACGGGTAGGTACTTCGCCTGTAGGTACCTATCCAGTAAGCAAGTACCCATGGCTATGGATTTTCTATGTTAGCCTAGGTAGCCATAATATAGTTAAATATCAAATATCATCAGCATTAAACATGTTATTTAATACATGGAAGACCAACGTTTGCCCGCCAACCCCGCATGTTTTGTCATTCAGGCCAATTAGCCAGCATCATCCATATAGATGTTTATCCAGACGGTACCTATACTACATGTATCCACCCAAAGGCTGGGTTGGGTGAGTCCCTAGCTAGGTTGTGTCTCCTCAAATCCCATTTGGTCATCAGTTTTGTGATACCTAGCTCTAGATGTTTCAAGGCCCTCTGGCTCTCTATGCCTTGGATGAACCCTGTGACTAGGCCTCTCGAGAAAAGTCTTTCTCAACGCATGTCTTCGTAGGTGAAGCATTTTGGTGTTATGGAAATGTTCCGAAGCATGGCCAGAGCTTTCAGCGCAGTTTGATTCGTAGTCAAGCTGGTCCCGCCTTTACGGCTGTACTTATCCCTCCTGGAGCGAAAATTTTCGAAAGCGCAAGTGCCAATATTTGCTCATGAGTTGAGAAGTTTGTTGCGCTTTTCTTTCCTCTTCAGCCTCTCCACTCGTTTCTTGTGCATTTTCTCCGCCATCTTTGCATATCTTTCCTTCTCCTCCTTCGCAGCGCGTTTATCCTTGATTTTTTGCACTCGTTGCTGTAGTTCCAAGTTAGCCACTCGTGACGGTGTGTCAGCTAAGCGGAAAATACCAACGTACTTGTCGTTCTGCCTCTTTCTCTTCTTTCATCTCCTTCTCTTTCGCTTTTGTCACAGACATTGCCAGTCGCCTCTTCTCACGCTGCTCATACGATGTTAAGCCAGCCGAGGGACGGAATGCTTTTCGCGGTGCGTGCCATTGTTTTCCTAGCAGCATATTAGTGACATGTACTGCCTGGCGTCTAGAATCCATCCTACCATTCTTGCGCATGCCTTGGGGTACGGCTTGAAGTTTTGTTTCAGAGTCAAGAGCATCGACAGTCATTTTGCCGCCACAATCACAGGGATTTGCTTTTCATGAATGGTTTCAACGATCTGAGCAGTCCGAACCGGAGATATGATCAGAAGTGTTGTTGGTCAGGGTTTGATCTAGGTAGTTAGAAAAGTTCCCATAGATCTTATCTTGATAAGATAACGTTGTGATCTCACCTAGTAGGTACATCACACTAGGTATCGAAAGTACCTAGGTACCTATTAGCATCGACCTAGGTAGCCGCTATCCAATACTTAAGTAGGTGCCTTCTACCTTCTACCTTGGTAGGACATTGTGCATGTATTGAATACAACCAGCATTATAACTCTTCTTGAAAAGAATAAAGATAGGTTTATAATAACTAACAATTACTGCAAATTAATCTTCTAGTATGTATAGCAGAGGGCTGTTAAACTGGCGGTCCATTACTCTAACCATTACATAGCAGTTAAAGAGGTGTAAAAAGGTAATATTGAGACTACATAGTACCTAGGTAGGTACTCCCACATGTCCACTACTGTACGTCGGGGTAGATAGCGTTCCGGAAAATTAACGGTTACCTAGGCAGGCACTATATGCTAAACTGTAGGCACATTAACTTGCGATCTAGACACTGCAGACATGATACCACCTACTTGAATGCTGAATGACCTTTGCATGGTCATCGTGAATATGTACCTAAGGTATGATGCGCTCTACTTGAGACAGGAGATGCACATTGGAACTTACTTGCACTCAGCCGAGGGCGCCTCAACCAGGTAGGTCTTCAGTGATTTGAAGGTATGCTGAACAAACTTTTAGGGCATGAGCAGATTTACTACGAAGTATATACAGAGCAGTTTCTGCTACCGTAGAAATGTGGACGTGTCGTCTCCGAAAGGTTTGTGTTTTTATTGATTAGGTTACGGATCTAAACTTGGCTAGGTATCTCCTGTGCCTTTCCAACCTATTACCTAAGGTATACACATACGTGTATCGGATACGAGGTGGTACCTTGCGTGCTGAAATGGTTGCCCATCAACAACACGAGTGTACGCATCGAGAATGCAGGTGCTGTTAGAACATTACCTGCTTGTTTGTATGTAGGTAGGGGGTGACTAGGCTCGGAATTGTTTGCAGTGATCTTGCAGGAGACATCGTGCATGAGGATTACAGCTTAGGCGGTGTCTGTAGGCACATGATTCTTCCTGCTCCTACCTAGGTAGGGTAGGATTTGTTTCTCAGCTCGGTATGATGTGCTGCTGTGCCTCGAATTTGCTTTTGCCGTTCTGGCCGTCTCATCCCGGCCGAGTCACGAGTGGTAACAAGACCTAGGTACCCTTCGGTAGCCTGTAGGCTGTCACAATGCCGCTGTCACCACCAGCTCTGCCAGGGGTAACAAGGTTCCCCATATCTACGCAGAAACGGTAGTACCAGCAACCGCCAAGTTCGTGGGGCTTTACTGCCTCAAGTAAAGGTTGCTTAAGTGCGAGGCAGGTTACTTACAGTGGACAAGTGGTGATAGTAAGGACATGCAAGGTTCTAACCCTCTTTCACTTCTATAAAGAGGCGTAATCCTCTAACTATAGATCTCCTTGATATGTACAATATTATCCTGGAATATGAAATACGAAGATTGAGATATATGATAATAAAAAGCAGCCCAGGAGCAATTAGTCAATCTTGCGGGCTTGATCCCGCTCCATGTTTGTCATAACCAACTCTGTAGTCTTAGCCTACCTAGTCCATTGTCTTTAAGCCTGGACCATTTGAAGGCTCCAAATCCCTACGCGACGGTGAGCTGTAATTTGTTGCTGAGTTCGACAGGTACCTACATAGATGCATTAGGATGCTCCCTGGTCCGCAGATGTGGTCTAGCCAATCTCTTTCTGTTTCGATTTAAGAACCGCCTCGAAAGGGTGCTAGCGCATCTAGGTACGAGATGTTTGGTGTCGAAACATCATCGAGAGGCGCATACTGCAATCGGTATTACCGTTACTTCTTCTATCTCGTACATATGTAATTCGGGGTCAGTGAAGCTTTTACTGCTGCCCTTCGAAGTATCTGGAGGTAGGTATGTGCAGATGGAGATGTAAGGGCTCCAACAGATAGGGTCAACTGGATTCTGTGGATGTAGCTACCGGTACATGTAAATACCCTACATTAACTGTAGGCATCGCATGTGTAAGTCATTCTGTGCAACCCAATCAGAGGTAGCCATCAGTCTTCAAAGAACAACTAAGCCAGGTTTAAGATGGAAGACAGCCCTCCCTCGGCGAATTTCTGGATTAGCCCTTCTGGATTAGCCCAGTAGCAACCTTGGAAGCCTACACTAAAAACAGAAGAACCAAATAAAGACCTACCGAGGTACAGTACTTAAGCGTACACGTAGGTAAACACGCGCTCGGGACCTAGCGTAGTGTAAATTGCCAGCACCTTTAAAAGGGCTTCTTACCTAAGACGATGTCGCATACTTATTTGTATGTATACATATATTACAGTTCGAGACTATTTGTCCATTATCACATACTGAGCAGTAGGTACCGTTTGTACAAGGACGACACAAGCCAATGCCACCAACTTGAATTAAGTTCCTTTCTTGTAGTTCGTAGGTACAGCACCTAACGCAGTACCTCTCTACATATAGGTACCTGTTGCCATTGCCCTGTCTATACCTACCTACAGTAGTAGTAGGAGGTATGTACTATATAGGCAATTGCCTAGTATAATAGAGGTAGGGAGGCAAAGAGGCAGGTACCTACTTACTATAGAAATGGGTTTACTATGTACCTACCTACCTGTCTAGCCTAATTAAAGGCAGTGCAGTGGTAATGTTTAACGTTGACCAGATGAACATGTCCCTGGATGGGTACGCTGTCCCTTGGCGGGTGCGGCCCCCTTGCTAGCGGCCCTTCGCTGTCTCGCACGACCCACACGCCCACAATCCCACACGCACTGTGCACCGCACTTCCCTTGCACCCTCCCGACAGTGGCACTGGTCTTCTCTTCCTCGCCCTTTTTCCCCTTCACTTTGAAAACATCACTGCCTACCCAAACCCATCTGGCTCAATTCCAGTAGCTTTCTCGAATCGTCGGGGCTGCTCTGGTCTTGGCCGTCCGCTCCTTTCTATACATACCTAGTTTTTATTCCGTTAACCAGTATTGTTGGCTGATTTTGATTTTGATTGATCAATCTGCAGCAATCTGCTTGGAAGAGATTAGCACAAACACATTCTTCAACGTCGTGCCCAGACGTTAACGCATCGGGCTTTGTCTTCCGCGAGGTATGTCGTTGTGCGCATGAGTGTGCATTATCCTTCTTGTCTACTTTCTAACAGCTCAAACCGCATAGCCCAAGCTATTCAATCGGATCCGAAGGCACATTTTTGCAATTCCCAGACGTTCTTTTCTCGGGCCCCCAATAGTCCCAATGCTGTCCGGGTATCTCGAGATTTGACGCCTCTGACTGTGTATTCGCACAATCTACTCTATGATATTCAACCGCTGTTAGTCGTGCTTGGTATTGTGCCGGGAGCGGCTTGGAGGACTGATGGCAGCCGCATACACAGTCAGGGGCTCGCCAGATGATATTGCTATTGGAGAAATGAGTAATGTTACGACAGCTCGTCTCGCAACTCCCATATTTCCACAAGACATCATGGCGGGTTCTGTTGGCGCTTTGCCTTCACCACATATCAATCTTCCACCACCGAATCCACCTTTTACATTTCCATCCCGCCCATCATCTTCGGCTCCTTCGTCGCTTTCTAGAACCACGGGACGGCGGCATCAATCAGCCATAGACATCCCTAAGATTGGGTTAGGAGTGGATTTGTCACCCTCGCATAGCCCATCGGCGGTGCTCCCCGACTTCCACTTTAATCCTAGCAATGATTTCAGCTCTGAACCTCGCAATCGTCGCCCGAGACCGCCTCCCCTGCCTGATTTCACCTTCAATCCAGGCGCAGACTCGTCTTTCTTGAGCCCATCAACTGCTTCTCCCTCTCCCAGGGCCATTTCTCACATGGGACATCGGCGAGGAGGCAGTGAATTCGTCGGTGGTACACTCAAGCCAGGAGAGTCGATCACTGTGATGAGCACGAGTCCAACAAAAAGTGAGAGTGAATTTGCCTCGCCAACGCTCACCCCATCGACGGGCCCTCGTAGACACCAACGGGGGCATTCCCATCGACGTTCTGGTGCTATCTCAAGCCATGATCTCAGCCTAATATTGCAGACAAGCCCGAATCCTTCCTCGAGAGGCAGCAGCGCTCCCGCCAGCCCCGCAGGCTTTCGCGATCAACAGCCACCTTTCAAAATCAATGAACAACACACGGTAGAACCAGCCTCGGCTGGCCCTAGAGAACCCACTCCAGTTGGCGAGCATACACTTCCTGAGAAACCGACTCGATCTTTGCCTGAACTAAGCCCAAAGCCACCCACACGCACACGGGTTGGTTTTTCTGACACTCTTGAGTTCATACCTCGTCCACTATCTCTAGTTTCAACCGATACAGCCAGCACAGTACGGCCGGGACACTCTGTCTCTGGTAGCATTTCATCGATTGCGTCTATGAGTAACGCGGCCATTACCGACCGTGATTTGCCAATCATTTTAGGCTCTTCTGTTCCACTAGCAAAATCTGGTTCTCGTCCAAGTACTGCAGGCGCAATATTGGAGCGTACATCGAGCCTTCATGTTGCCGTCGAAGATAAACTCTCACCTAAGAGACGCAATTCAATCTTAATTCTTAATGACTTAGCGCAGGCGAATCATGCGACCTCAGCAGTATCTACTCCAACGAAAACTCCTAGAAGGTGGACCTTTTTCGGATTTGACTCCTTTGCTACCACAGGTTCACCCACTAAACCTAGACTAGCAAGTACAAGCTCGCCTGACACAACAAAAGAGAGTATAGGCACAGAATGCGTCACATCAACTGGTGACGCTGACTTTGCTCAAGTTCTTGGAACTAGCAGGAGTGTTTCTCCAAGCGGGGAAAAGAAAAAATCAGGCAAGAAGAGACAGAAAAAGGTCAAGTCATGGGCAGGATCAATACTTCCACGCAAATCAAAATCACGCGGTCAAAAGTCAAAGGCTCGTCGCCGATCTCAAACACCTCCAACAACCCGTGTCTTAAAGGACGAAGATCAAGACTGCGAATTTTATGAAGCCACTGATCAATCGTCGGAAACTGATTTAGGACACAACTCTGATGCGTTAAGAGAACTAGTTTCCCAACCAGAAAAACGTAGCCAACTTCATACCGATGATGAGGCTTTCAGTCCAATGATTGATTTGGACGCTGCACTTGGCCCTTTCAACACACCAACCCGCGATCCTAAATGGGAGGAGGCTCAAAGGGCTGGGATGCCACCCAAGAGACAGCTTCATAGTGCCGCTGGAATGAGGGGCTTTTCTGGACCCGGAATGCATTACCATCGTCGTGCTGAAAGCGCACCAGAAATGCCACCTTTTGAAGGAGGCCGATTTAGTATGCACCGCTTTGGTAGTTCTTCGACTATGGCTGATGTCTTTGAGGAGGACGAGGAGGAGGACGAGGAGGAAGACGATCAAACTGGGGAGTCCGCAGCGGATGATTCGACGAGTGAGTCCCAGGACACAAATTCTGGACATGAGGAAGAAGACCACGACACAGACGCAGCCTCGACTCCGAGACAAGAGCACAGTACAGAATTAGCCATTCCAACAGCTGATGTTTCGACATCACCCTCGATGAAGAGCAAGAAGAGTAGCTCAAGTTTAGGTCCGCCTGTCCACGGGAAAGGAGGCAATGATAACTCTTCAAGTAACCTGCACAACGATATCATTGCGGAAGAAGGATCCTATTTCGTATCTAATAGACGGGAAGCAATATACACAACTCCGTTGGAGACATCTATCACGACAGTCCCTTCACCAGGCCGAGACCGGGGTCATGAGCAGAAGGAGTTCATACCCCCGGACGCAACTTCCATCATCCTATCTGGACCTCCTCCCACCATACCAATTAGTCCGTACTCTATCAGCCATTCATCCTCGTTCCCCTCACCGCGCTCGCCCATGTCATATGATCCTCATAGGATATCTACAGCGCCATCATCCGTCACGGACGATAACAACTTTCGCTCCTTATTAATGGGAGAGCCAGGGCCGGAATTAGTCCGGCTATCAATAGACGTTCCTCCCTCACTAGCCAGCACGAACTCAACAACGACGCGAGATAGTAGCTTTATACCTGGGGTTCGGCCGAGGAACAAGCCATTTCAGGAACAACGGCCAGCCTCCTTTACCTCGACTGCGTTTGGACGTCGCAGATCCAGTCTAGCGAGCTTAAGTCGCCTCATTAGTAGTGCTCATGGAGAACGCAGTAAGCTCAGCACGGAAGTGCCTTTTGACAACGAAGCCGAAAAGAAGTCTAAAACCAGCAAGTCTAAGCGCCTAACGAGATTAATGCAATTCTGGAAACCAAAGGCCTCTAATGATTCTTAAGCGACGTTGCTCTTAAGTCATCAAGATGAGGACATACCAGCCTCTTTTCAGACACGTCACTCATTCCATTGGTATACGGTGATTGTATTCTAAGTCAGGGTCAATGCTAGGAATACTAAGTCCATGTTGATGACATGGTCATAATTCATGCTAAATGTCTCATGGCGAACTTTGTCGTCTTTGCAACGGACCCGGATATACCGCGGACATGCATAGGACTGTCAGCTCCATGGTTACCATGGCAGTCTCTGAATATGGCACGACAACCTGTTATACTATGTACATGACAAACTTCGAACGGATAAGTACTCATGAGTGGCAATAGATAAATGAGGGGTGTTTTTCTCAACATAGCGCTGGCAGGGCCGCGGCGGGGATATTTGACTCATGGATGAGTCCGGATGGCTACTGTCGCCAACTATCTATACTGACGCTAACACCGTCAGCGAGCGCATATAGTTATCCATGTACAAATATAATGAACATATACTGCAATGCATTTGCTGCAACATAGCTTTACTGTAAATATCTATGCACAGTTTACCTGCTGCAAATAGATTGCTGGGTTGTCGGTTGACCATGAGATTCCAATGTCTATGTTAGCTTGCGTACCTTGGTGCCAAACTCCCTAGGTAGTCTGTTCTAGCCTAGATAATTGATCAGTGTAGGTAAGGTAACCCATAAGACTATATCCCTCTACGATACCCTCAAGACGCAATACTCACAAGTACATAGTAGTGGTGAAAGTTGTATTACGTTACGAAGTTTACACTGAGTTGTATTGGATTACTTTTACTGCCGCAAGATCTCAAAGCCTCAGGCTGACCCGCTTTGGGGGATAGCTACTTCGTAAGTGCCTAGGTATGTTACCTAATACCTAGGTAGGTACTTACAAGTTACAGGTAATTATGAATAGTGGATATCTGCATCCCCCTGTCAAGTCTAGGTATCCGTGGTTCAGCAATGCGCGGTGATTGTAGGGAATAAAACTGTAGCCACAGTTTCCATAAATGGATTAGGCCAGTCATAGTGGGCAGAATAAGGCGTTGGGGAGGGGTTGGCTTGGTTATCCACCTACCTGACTTACTTATCCTCATCCTTATCTGAATCTGACCACTCTGGATTGGACTCGTATTGTTTCAAAGGCACATCTGTATACCAGGCATGGTCAACCCATCGAGCTTGATTGTAACCTTGACCAGTTCACCCTCAAACAGATCAGCGGCATCGGGAAAATCTACTAAGCGGCAGAAGCCCATTTGGTAATTGAGCACAGCTGCAAAAAGATGGCCAAGAACCGAGGACCGCTGGTTAAGCTGGAGGGATCTGAAATAACGGGCGAAAGCGTGAAGGTTCCAATAAGTCTGGGGCTCAATGATATCACCACTGTCGAACTTATAGATGTCTTCGTATGTATATTTCGGAATGCCTCGATAGCTAGAGGCAGCGGTGTTCAAAACCTCTAGCCTACGTTAGCATCACTAACTATACTAAAGCAATAACATATACCCTGGCCTAAGGCCAAAAGATACGCCTGCGGGCACAAGCGGAGTTTGCAAAGACATTGCCACTGGATCTAGGATAGCTAAATAGGCATATTGATTGTAGGGGTTACAAGTACGCATACAGCAACGCCTCAAACAAGGCGATCTCCTAGATAACGCCGGGCCGTGGGCAAGGCACGGTAAGAGGGCGGCCGCCAACAGCACACTCGAAGCGGTGGCACCGCTGGCATTTGCGAACAGGATCAGCCTCGACAAGACCAGGGATGTATGCGTGGTAAACAGGCATGTCAACAGATAGAAACAGCAAAGGCACAAGGCGTCTGTGCGGACGTTGGCTATGGCGTGTAGAATATAGATGACAACGGTCGTGTGCACATCTAACAGAGGGCAAGGCGGAAAGTAAAGGAAAGGCCAGCGCGATGAGATCTACTTATGCACAGGAGCTCCCTCTCATAGAGCCTATCTGACAACTGGGAGCACTTGGAAACACTTGGCAACAATTGGTAGCAGCTACGGAGTAGGCAGCCAAGTCGGCATTGATTGGCTAATTCAGACTTCGTTTCAGCCACAACCCTTAATCCAAGGGCTCTGTCCTGGAGACTAAATTAGCGCAAACAGACTGTCGGGACGGGTCCGTGATCACGTCCATTTCCGCTTCCAAGGCTCACCCTTTTGGTCGGTTCAACGCCAGACTAATTTTATTCGTTCATCATTCGCTAAAAACAAAGGCACTTACGTTATCCTGACTACCAGTTTTTTCCCCGAAATTGCACCTGTCTTCAATCGCTCTAATCCTGTTATAACCCCCTCGAACCCTCCCACTTCCAAGATCTCTGTGGAATGCAACTGAAGCTTCCCTTCATCTAAAAGAGTCTGATACATTTTGAACTTTCCCGCTACAAGTTCGCGCTTGCGTTCATCCGCGGGCCTCTCGATGTAACCGGGGAGATTTATCCCCCGGCCGAACGCCTCTGCTGCGTGAAAGAAAGACGCGCTGATTGCGCGGCGCCTGTTCAGAACGGCATCCGATACACGATTCAGCGACGTATACCGCCCACCCGTGCGCGACATGGCGCTGTAACAGATGGCGGCGGTCTCGGCATTGCCGATGCAGTCGAGCACGTGTCGTAGCTGGCCCTTGGTGTGCTGTCGTATAGCTGTTGTAATTTCGTCCGCTGGTTGATTGCGATCGAACACGGCAGTCGCGCCGCGGCTCTTGACGAGATCAAAGTTGTGCGGCGAACAGGCTGCAATGGGGTCCAGGCCCGAGAGTTGCAGCATCTGAGTTGCGATGGTGCCGCTAGCGGTGCTCGCGCCAAATACAAGCACCGGCAGTCGGGCTGAAGACCATTCATCTGTATCTGGTCTTGCTGTGACCGGTCGATCCGGCGATGCCGTCAAGTTCAGACATTCCGGTCCCCAGAGCGCCATCGCACTGCTGACCAATGCCAGTCCGAGTGTGGCAGCTCGTGCCATCTCGTCGTTGTCAACCCAGGAAGACGGGATCTTCAACAGGAACGACGGGTCGGCCCGGACGTACTCTGCAAAGGCGCCGTTGTCACGCACGTGCGGATTCGAACCATGTGTCAGACCACACACATGGTCGCCACACTTAAGGCTCGTCTTAGAGTCAGATGCGATCTCGACGATGGCACCAGCGAAGTCCATGCCAATCACGGCGCCCATGGCGGGCATTGCCTCGCCTGTTTTGTAGTCGACGGGATTCAGAGCTACCGAGCTGACTTTCACAATCACCATGCCAGGGAGCAGCGGCGGCCGCGGCATGTCGCCGACAATCATTGGCTGCCCCTTGAGCCCCCCCACTATTGCGCGGTGGACATGATGCTCCATGGTCCGAGACTTGGTGTCTTTGGTTCTCTCTTTCTCCTTTAGTTTCGCTTCGGCGTGTTGCAAGTAGTCAACTTAAAATCGCAAACGTACTGCCCAGCATGAGATTTTCATCTTCTACGAGTTCCTCTCGACTTTTACCATAGGCAGGATCTGATCAGGCTCCGGTCGGCATGTTACGATTGGTAATACAGGATCAATCCGCCGACACCCTAAAGAAACCGTATCATCAACACCGCCAAGCACGTCACCACATTAGTTATGCAAGTGGGCGCTCTAAGGGGAGGCTCGCGATCATCAATAGATAAGCATGACGTAGTATCGTCGGCGCCCCCTGAGATGTATGTTGTGACCCGCGCAGAGGGTGTCATTGTGTCCCCAGTACACGGACGTTATAAGAAATTGAGATTTGCCAGCCTTGCGCATGAAGCTAATCCCACCCGATCCTCTTTTTGCACCCCAGCGTCTCATTTGACTCCAACGGCTAGTTCCGGCCACTTCAATACCAGAATAGAGCCAACATCAAGTCCACTGTGGTTTTTCAGTTGCCATCCGCCATACCCGACGCCAGCCTGACTACATACACCAATACTACAATGACCTTCGTACGGGTAAGAATCTAACGGTTAGCCCCGGTTTCTCCCAGTAACCCCAACTCCTCAAATCCTTTTCCATGTCGACGTGCTGACCAGGGAGCATTCGAATGTCAAATGACCATAAAATCTTGGCGATGACCAGTCGGCCCTGCCACCAGGCGACCTCTTTGCCTACACAGACCCGTGGACCTTGACTGAATGCGGAGAATGCGTCGAGGGTGTCATTAGCAAATATGGGGTTATATAGTGCGTGATCTGAAGGTAACCATCGCTCAGGTTGATACTTCTCAGGATTTTTGAAGTAGCGTGGATTGCGACATACTGAACGGATGCTGAACTGGCATACTGTACCTTTAGGAATGTAGCTCCCGTCAACCGTTGCACCTGGACTGTAGACGGGCATACCATTAATTGTTGCACTAGTGTTGAAAAGCCGTAGGGCTTCTTTCATACACGCATTGAGATATGGCAAAGGCGATGAACTGCCGGGAGTGATTTCATTGTACGTCTTAAACTCATGACGGATTTCCTGGGTTAAGACGTTCCATGCGTCCTCGTTCTGGAGTAAATGAAACAGGATTCCGTAGTACCAGTCTGACGGTGGGAGATACCCTGCGAACATGAGCTGGGTAGTGATCGTCGATAAATGCGTCAACTCCTCGCCATCGTCCGGAGTACGCTCTTGTATCAGTTGTTCGAAGTAGTCGACATGCTCCGTGGTTCCTCTCTTACTCAGCCTGCGACGGAACTCGAAGACCCTGGTCCTTTTCACTTCGAGAAACCGTGCCACTAGCGAAAACGAGAAGCCGAAGAAACGAAGGAAGCTCAGCCAGGGAAATCGCCGCAGAACCTGCGTTACAGTGACGAGTTTGTTGAAACGCAGGATAAGTCTTAGGTACGGTGAATCCTGTTCTGATAGGGATTGCTATGTTACTCAACGCAAGGCTGTGCTCGTAAGCTTAGATGCATTACGTACCGTCTCGCATACAATTGGCTTCATGGTGATAAGCCATATCTGCTGCTATGTCCAGAGACAACCACTGTACCCATGCTGCCAAGTCAACCCCCACGTGGAATGCTGCTTTCTCTTTCATTTTCTCGACAAAATAATCGACATGTTTGTGTAACACACCATCTTTAGCTCGTACAGCCCTCAGGCTGAATGCTGGTGCCAGTTGCTTAGCTATCTGGTGATGTTTGATGGGATCTTGTTGCCAGATGAGGCCACCATCTCGATCTCTGCCAAAGTCGTGAATATCCGTTTTGGTGAAAATCTCGAGCCCTTTATCATGAGAACAGTAGATGTCTGAAGTCCAGTCAGTATACTCTGAAAATGCTGTATAGGTGACCGTGTCAAGTGACATCTACCTTTGGATGCCTGCGGGCTATCAAATACGAGCTCGTTGGGAGCAATTCGAACAATGTGACCTGGCGGGGCTTTAGTCTTGCGAAGCGTTGCAGTGGCCAACACCCACCATATTTCTTCAGCGTCGCTTGAATCGCCCACGGCCAACGACCCTGGAGCCTGCTTTCATTAATGTATTGAGCGCAACAATCAGTGCAGGCGGACGAACCAATAATAAGCATACCACACATTCGACACAGCTGCAAGCTTCGGACCCGGAAATTTGGAGAGCGGATGGAAATGAAGAAAGTAAATGCAACGCGCCACGGCATATGCTATCACCTAGAAATACGTGGTGAGATTGCTAAGTTCAGTATGATATAGCATCATTCATACCAAGGTACTTAGTATTGGTAGCCAGCCATAGGTTTTGAGGCCTTCGGGTAGCAAGCCACCCATGATGAGAAACATAGTCGCAACGTCTACGGCAAATCGAGGTCAAAGCTGGGAGAAAGGGAGGTGTGTTCAAAATTGTGAGGATTATCTAGTGAAAGCGTACGGTGCAGCGCGTTTTATATACGACTGTTGGCCTGAAATCAAGCGATGAAATGCATACTGGGCCTTCAATGGTCCCAATAATCTATGCAGATGCCATGGAACAGGAATGCAGCACTTTATGAATTATTACTGTACTCCGTACGACGGCATGATACAAAGATAGAACATCACAGACCGGGGGCCTGGCGTGTGCTCTCGGTATATCTGATACTACGACGGTTGTTGAATTTCTGACTGCTTATAGGATCCGATGGCGACTTTCTCTATAGCACCAAGGTCCGTGTTGACTACCACAGTTGGGTGCAACGATTTAGGGGGCGGGGGATCACGGTGATTGGACTCGTTGGAGTCTACGATGTAACAGCGCCACCAAATTCAGATATGGTGATGAATTGTGCTCGCTCCCATTGACGAACAGAGCTCCAATGGTTTATACCCTAAGCATTGCTTACCTCCTAATATTACCATCCACCCCTTTTCCCCGACCGATCCTGGTATCATATCCTTCAAACACATGCTGCTTCCTAGCGAGCTATTGTGAAATCCTTTTGCACATTGATGCTCTCGAGTGGATGCTCTTCTCGGCCCAGTGCAGCGTTCGCGTCCTGGTGGCCCTGTTGCTCAGACCATACCAGCCCCTTGGAGCTGCCATCTTCGCGATGTACCCAGCCCTGCCCATTTTCAAGTCGCTCCATCTCACCTAGGGACTGCTGCGACCTCTTGCTTCGCGCACGAGTCTGTCGGAGACTTGAAAAGCTGACCTTGGAAGCCAATCGACTCCACATTCCCGGGGGAGGCAGAATAGGTTTGTAGACTGCAGCACAGCAACAGAACAGGCAGACTAATTCTTGCACGTTGCTCCACACTGCGATCAAACTGAAAACATCTGCCGCCGACAACGATTGATTAGCAAGTACTGCGCCTCGTTGAGCGTATTGCCATATGAGAGCGACTTACAGACAGCATCATTGCTGTAAGAAACGCCTATCTTGATGAATCCGATCAAACCTGCTAGAATGCCCAATCCAAATAGGAAGCTCAATTTCCTTTTTGTTGACGCAGGCATCTGGAGCCGGCGGACCATCGTGACCGCCAAAATGACAATAAGAAAGTCCCCAAACGAGTTGATGCTCTCGGTGACGGCGACAAAAGTGCCTTCTGAAACGCAACGACCCGGAGCGAGTGGGTTAAACCATTTCAATAGTGGGTAACATTGGAATGCGAGGAACAGAGAAGCACCTATGGTCAATAGCACATGATATACGACTAGTGCGTAGATACACAGAGCGCACGCGCGATGGACCTTGAATAGTCTGTAGTAGAGGGCCAGGATACTAAGCTTGACAAAGAGCTGCTGCCAGAAGTACAGCCAGAGCGCTACATATACGAGCTATAATACGCAGTGAAACTGAACGTTAGCTGACGAAGGCAAAATATGTGGTATTTTGCTACTAAAAAGACCAATGGAGAAAGGAAGGAAAAGAAAGAAAGGCTAGGCCTAGCCTAGTGAGTTAGATACCTCAACGGCCAGCTGGTGGCTAGGCCACAGTCGCAGCCGAGGCAGCCACTAGTCAGGCAGTGCTAGGCACAGGTGCAGTCTTTTATCTAGAAGTGTCATTTTGGCAAGGAAAGATTATTATCACTCGCCTGCCGGAGAAGTATGAGACGTTTTGGACTATGCAGAAGATCTAAAGAGTTGTCGCCATGTGCGAAGATGAGGTCTGTGTACGATTCGAGATTATTAAATGGAGAAGTGGTAAGAGTGGAACGGGTGTTATGGTGACGTACCACCTGTGGTGACTCCGAAGTAGCTTATGGAGAGGAATAGCGCAGTCAAGGCAAGCCAGTCCTCGGCACGATACTTGACGCCAGCCCGGCGGACAGCCCAGAACCGGAGAACGACACTTAATATCGCAATCGGCGTTGTGATTATGCCGACTAAGAACTGGGCCTTGTGTGCCTCGTTTCTGAATACGGCGAAAGCCATGGCTTTGTAACTTGTTGGGGCGGGGTTCGGGGATGTGTTTGAATGCGATAATATGTGAATGCTGCAATGAGTTTTGATGATCAAGTCGGTTTGGTCTCGCCGTCAGTTCTTATTTCATCGGTACCTGTGGTTGGCGTCTATCATCACCCCTGGGAGTAATTACAGTTTACAACACGAATATGCTCGGTGAGGTATTACGGCGTATTAACGGCAGTGGGGGCCCATTGCCTAGAATAGAGAATTGGGCTTTGCATAACCGTAGGACTGTCAAATGTGACGTCGGTTAAACAAGGCTGGACAAAGTAGACAGGGAGTAAGCACATCGTCGTAACGCGGTGGGCCACCGAATGCGTCCTCCGCCAACGTAATAAGTCCGGAATCGATCCGCCGCACAAAAAGGCGGAAAGGCAACTCCCAGTAATGCAGCGAGCCAATATATTATGGGTGACGCTGGACTCACGACGTAACCCTACCAAATAGACATCATGGCTCAAATGAACACCACTGTGATATTTCATCACACGGCGTATCATTTAACGATTGAAATGTGTTACAGTGCAGAGTCTCAAACTCTTCTCAAGTCGGCAAATATCTCACACAGTCAAAGGAAGCCCCGAGCCTGCCTGACGTCCTTGGGATGTCCGTCACTAGTACCATGAAACAACTCATGGGAAAAGCGTTAGGGCTTGTTGTATCGTGAACATGTTGTGCTACATATACGATTCCACATTATGCACAGAATTGAGTGAAATGATAGGCATATCAAGCACAACAGTAGCTTCCTCGCCTGCAATTGCGTTCCGTGGTTTGTATTTAAGTCTGCAACAAGTTGTCGGAAAGCTTTCACATAATCCTGAACTAACAACAAGGCAGTTTCGTCCCTATTTTGAGTGAAAATATATTCAATCTTTCTTCCAAACCATGGCCTCCGCAAGGCAGGATATCGCCATCATTGGAACAGGGTGTCGCTTCCCAGACTCTGTCTCAAGCCCTAGCCAACTATGGGATCTGTTGATGAAGCCAAAAGTAGTTGCGCAACAGGTTCCATCGGACAGATTCAACATAGAAGGCTTCTACCATGAAGAAAAAGGCTATCATGGGCATGGGAGCGTCAGAGAAGCGTATTTCCTCTCCGATAAGGGCGCACATCGCTCTTTCGACGCACCATTCTTCGGTATCAAGACCGCAGAAGCTAACGTTCTGGATCCTCAGATCCGACTATTGCTTGAAACCACATACGAAGCGCTCGAGGCTTCCGGGTTGACGATGGAATCTCTGCGGGGATCTGATACGGCACTCTATGTCGGCCAGATGATGGCAGACTACGAGATGATCATGCTACAGGACCCGGATTTCATGGGGAAATACCATGCCACTGGCACAGTAAGATTCATTCATGCGTGCCACGATAATCGTTCTACATTTAATACCCGAATATCTACTATAGTCCCGTGCAATGACCGCTAATCGAGTCTCGTACTTCTTCGATTGGCGAGGTCCATCTATGACAATCGACACAGCCTGTAGCTCAAGCCTCGTTGCAGTACACGAGGCCGTGCGACAACTGCGTACAAGTCAATCCCGAGTGGCTGTCGCGGCAGGGGTCAACCTCCTACTCAGCCCTAACCCCTTCATCTCGGAGAGCAAGCTCCAGATGCTCTCCGAAGATGGTCGGTGCCGAATGTGGGACGTGGATGCAAAGGGTTATGCTCGTGGAGAAGGCATTGCTGCAATAGTTCTGAAAAAACTAGAAGATGCAGTAGCTGACGGCGACGATATTGAATGCATCATCCGCGAGACCAATGTCAATACTGACGGGAGAACATCAGGCATTACCATGTACGTGCAAAGCCAGCGTCTTATATCGGATAATGGCTTCTTATTATCTTCGAGATTTCTTGGTAACTGACCGTTATATGATGATTATAGGCCAAGCGCCACTGCCCAGATCGAGCTTATGCGTCATTGTTATCAGAGGGCTGGCTTGGATCCAACTCACCCTCTCGATCGCCCCCAGTATTTCGAAGCGCACGGAACAGGCACCCGCGTTGGTGATCCTATAGAAGCTGAAGCCATTAGTTCCACGTTTTTCCCCGAGAGTTATCTCAGCGGGGAAGAGAACCAGAACGGAAATAACTCGCCCAAGGAGCTGCTCGTTGGTAGCATTAAGACTGTCCTTGGCCATACCGAGGGGTCGGCTGGTCTGGCAGGCATCCTCAAGGCATCTTTAGCCTTGCAACATGCAACTATTCCCCCAAACTTGTTTTTCAATCAGCTGAATCCCGATATTGTTCCTTACTATAAACGACTTGAAGTTCCCACTCAAGCCGAACCCTGGCCGGGGGTACAAGGTGGCGTCCGCCGGGTGAGCGTGAACAGGTAAGTTAGGAAATCGCTTCTGAAGTTCAACACGCTCAATCCTTTCTGCGACTTTACGTATAATAAGCTAATTTTTTCCACTCCGGTATAGTTTTGGGTTCGGTGGCGCCAATGCCCATGCCATTCTGGAGTCGTTTACATCAAGCGAACTGCCGGTGTCGGATCCTCGTCCCCATCCCACGCCATTATTCTCACCTTTGGTGTTTTCGGCAGCGTCTTCAAGCTCCTTGTTAGCTTATCTATCTCGGATGTACGATCATCTCCACCGAAGTGAAACCTGTATTGATGCCAGGGACCTTGCCTACACGCTCCACTCAAAGCGATCGCGCCACAGTGTGGGCATTGCACTCTCTGCAGACTCGAGCGAAGGACTGTGCATCGAACTTAAAGAGACGATACAAGAGGCTCAGAAAGACTCAAAGGCCTATTTCAAACCGGCCTCTTCCCTTCGAACGGCTAACGCACCTAGGATTCTAGGCGTTTTCACTGGCCAAGGTGCTCAGTGGGCACGCATGGGACATGATCTTCTCTCTGCATCTGAAGCTGCGCAAAGAATTATCGCCCGCTTGGAAGATCGATTGTCCCAGCTTCCGGATGGCCCCCAGTGGTCACTAAGTGAGGAACTTTCACGCGAACCTTCAACCTCGCGCCTAGACGAGTCAGCTATCTGCCAGCCTGCATGTACAGTGATCCAAATTCTGCAGGTTGAGCTCCTCAGGGCGGCCGAGTTGAAGCTATCTGCGGTCGTAGGCCACTCATCTGGGGAGATCGCTGCAGCATATGCCGCGGGGTGGATATCCGCGGAAGACGCCATATGTATCGCGTATTACCGTGGCCTGCACTCAAACCTCGCAGGCCACAACGGACGCATGCTAGCTGTAGAAGGTTCTATAGACGACGTCAAAAGTTTATGCGACGAGCCGTACTTTCGCGGTCGCGTTTGCATTGCCGCCGTAAACTCACCTACCAGCTTCACAATATCCGGCGACAGCGACGCTATCACGGAGATACACACAATTTTCCAGGACGAGGGAAAGTTCTCGCGTCTGTTGAAAGTCGATAAGGCGTACCATTCCCATCATATGTCTGTTTGCTCGGCGCCGTATTTGGAATCTTTAGGGACATTAAACATCCATATCGGCGCCTCCCACCACTGCAACTGGTACTCGTCAGTTCATGGTCAAAGCATTACTGGCATGAATGGCTTGACCGGCAGATACTGGGAAGAAAACATGTCGAGTCCAGTGTTATTCATGCAGGCTCTCCAATCTGCTTCTGATGGGGAGGGTTTATTCGACTTGGCAATTGAGATTGGTCCTCATTCGGCGTTGAAAGCCCCTGTAACACAAACGTTGAATCAGGTTCTCTATACCAATTTATTCACTCGCGGGCGCCCGAGCCTGAAGTCATGCGCCGAGAGTCTTGGGTATGTGTGGACGAAGTTCGGAGGCGAAGTCGTGCATTTGAGGAAATATGATGAATTCCTTTCTGCCAATGCCCCTTGCCGACTGCTCAAGGGGCTTCCCACCTATTCATGGGATCATCAACTTGACTATTGGCACCAGTCACGCTTCACTCAAGCTTATTTGAATCGCAAAGGCCCCGCGCATAGCTTACTAGGCCACATCGCCCCGAACAGTACACCGGACAAGATTCAATGGAGACATGTTCTAAGCCTTGACATAATCCCATGGTTGGACGGGCATCGGGTCCACAACCAGATGATCTTCCCAGCAGCCGGCTACGTCTCCATGGCGCTAGAAGCTACAATTGCAGCGTTCGGAGATTCAAGCATAGATCTGATCGAGATCCTGGACCTTCACATCGAGCATGCGCTTGTCTTTGACGAAAAGTCTAGCTTCGAGATTCTGTTCAGCCTAGATAATATTGTTTCCGCGTCTGACGGCTCTCTACAGGCAAAGTTCCTATGCTATTCTGCCCATGCCAACCGCGCCGGACACGAACAACTGAGACTGCATGCCGGCGGTCGTCTACGAACATCTGTCAATTGTTCAACCTTGTTTCCCACAAGAGCTCAACCACCACCCCATCTCCTCCCAGTCGACAACAATCAGTTCTACAAGTGTCTGAACGATATTGGATATCACTACGATGGCTCATTTACCACTCTACACAGTCTTCAAAGGCGATCAGGCTTTGCGACAGGGTCAATTTCCGCAATGGAACCACCTACGCTCCTAGTTCATCCTGCCACGCTTGATGTGGCCTTCCAAACAACGCTACTCGCTTATTCAGCACCTGGTGATGGCTCTCTATGGATCGTACACGTTCCGTCTCGCATTCACAACATCAAGGTGAATGTAGGTCTGTGTAGGGCTAGTGCGAATCAACAGACCCCATGGCAAGTTGACGGCTTCCTTCCTGACAAGGCTGTCACTACTGGCGATATTGATATTTACCCACATGACACAAATGAACCCATGATCCAGACTCAGGGATTAGTGTGTGTGCCACTTTCCTCGTCGGTAGCCGCGGACGATGCACAAATCTTTTCCACACTAGTTTGGGATGTCATTAGCCCTGACACTGGTGCTTTGGGACAGCCAAAGATTCCGCACACGTCCGAGGGCGTCGATAAGATCGAAGTGCTGGAGCGAATGGCAGGATTCTTCCTGAGGAAGTTGGAACGGGAGGTCCCCCTTGGTCACCCTGCGAGACAAGCAGCGCCGTACAAATATCTTTTGAACTATGCGGGTCACGTCATTTCACAACAAAAGGCCGGTAAGGTTCCACGATGGAGCAGTGAATGGGAACTCGACAGAGAGTCGGATGTCCATGCAGCAAGTTTACCTTACGCGAACACCGTCGAAGTAAGCCTTCTCGACAAGATAGGACACAATCTGGCCGAGATTGTAGATGGTACTAAGCTTCCAATTGAGCTTGGTATGCAAGGTGATTTGTTAGCGGGAGCGTATGCTGGGGGCTTAGGTGTTGATACGTATGTCAGTCACGTTGCTAGTCTGGTCAGACAGATGACTCACCGGTGCCCTAATATGGACATCATTGAAGTCGGCGCGGGCACTGGGGTCACTACCAAACGTGTCTTACGCGAAATAGGACACAAGTTCAGATCTTATACATTCACGGATGTGTCGGCTGGGTTCTTCGACAGTCCAATGGCTGACCTGGAGCCTTACGAGCTGATCTTCAAACAGTTCGACCTAGCACAGGATCCAGTCTCCCAGGGCTTCATTGGCGAGACATATGATTTGATCATCGCGTCGCTCGTGTTACACGCCACGCCGTCGCTGGCGTCCACCATGGAACACTGCCGGAAGCTTCTGAAGCCTGGAGGTCATATAATTGTTCTTGAACTATTGCCTGCGTATCACACCTCCATTGGTGTAGTCTTCGGTGCCTTTCCCGGGTGGTGGGCGGGCGTCGAAGACGGGCGCGTGCTCACGCCGGCGATCAGCGTGTCAGAATGGGATGAATTGTTGCGTCATACAGGATTCTCTGGCTGTGACACTACGACTCCTCACAAAGATGACTCTACACAACTGGTTGTCTTTGCGTCGCAAGCCATAGATGAAAAGATCGCGTTTCTCCGTCAGCCGCTCTCTAGTTCTCAACCATCTCCAGTTGACCTCGAAGACCAGCATCTCATTATAATTGGCGCCGAAGGCCCTCATCTACAAGACAGCATAGTGTCATTGCAGTCACTCTTGCGGCCTCATTACCAGTCAATCACGTATGTTGAACAGCTGGCGAGGATTGATCTGGACATGATCTCACAGAGCGCAACAATCCTAAGTTTAGCCGATCTTGGTTCCCCCGTGTTCAAATTCCCGATCAGTCACGAAGTATGGAATGCGATAAAGAAGATTCTCCTCAAGGCGCGCTCAGTCATATGGGTAACCCATGGACGGCTTGCCGACGAGCCCTATAGCAACATGATACCCGGTCTAGTGCGATCGGCTGTAAGAGAGCGACCGGGTCTCAAGTACTTGTTCCTAGAGATCGAGAAATGGAGTCAATCAGCTGCGAAATTCATTGCCGAATCCGTTCTTCGTCACAAAGCCGGGACCTACTGGCAACACCAAAACGCAACTCACGTCACTGTCGAGTCTGACATTATGCTCGATCATGCAGACAATATCCTGATCCCACGACTAGTCATGAACCATGAAATGAACGACCGCTATAATTCTAGAAGACGACCAATTATTCATCCGCTCACTTCAAGCGAGACGACGGAGCCTTTTCATGTAGTGAAAGAGGGGCCAAGTTTCGTCGTATACCGGGCCCCGTCAATCGGTCTACAGAAAGACGCAGCATCGCCTCCACTGCTGACAACGATCCGAGCTCTTTTATACGCCGTGAAGGTCTCCGAGTTCAGCTCAATGTTTCTTATGCTTGCTGAGAGTAGCCGATCGGATCGCTACGTTGTCTTATCATCTTCATGCTCATCACTTTGTTCCTCGCCGCTGCGACAGTCCGTGCCAGCCGAAGTTACAGCTGGTCGCGAATCACAATATATAGTCCTGGTCACTTATCACCTCATTATTTCCCAAGCACTAAGCGGTTTGGCCTCTGGCGATGTTATCCTTGTCTATCAACCTGATCGTGACTTGGCTCAGATACTGTATGCAGCAGCAAAGCTGAAAGGAGTCGATGTGGTGGCCGTGACCGAAACGGAAGAATATTATTCCTTCGAAGGAATACGATGGATCCGAGTTCACTCGAACGCCCCAGATCGAGTCTTGAATCGCCTGATACCCGGGAAAACGGCTTTGTTCCTGGATTTAGTAGCCCATGGTAGTAATAACCCACTGGGAGATCGTATCGTTTCCAAGCTTCCCGTCCATTGTAGATGGGCGTCCCTAGTCTCTCTATTGACGCCCTCTTCGTCGCAGCCATCCCAGGGCCATGTGGCAGAGCTCGAAGCTAGGCTTGCAACCGCAGCAAAAGAGGCAACCAAGTCCATAAATCAAACTGATTACGTTCACCGAGAATTGTCTACAACCGTCGCTATAGAAGACCTCTCAAGCCTTAACAGCCCACCACACTTAACAGTCGTTGACTTCAAGAAACAGTCCGAGGTCCTCACGCATGTGCAATCCGCAGGAAGTTGTGTCAATTTCAGCAGCAAAAGAACATACTGGCTGGCAGGGCTGAGTGGTGGCTTAGGCAAGTCGCTCTGTGAGTGGATGGTTGATCGCGGGGCTCGATACTTTGTGATCTCAAGCCGACACCCGAAGATTGATCAGCGATGGCTCGATGACATAGCCACCTCCGGCGCCGTTATCAAAATCTCAACATGCGATATCATGCGATCTGAAGAGGTCATGTCGTTATACAACCAGATATGCTGCACCATGCCTGCGATAGCCGGTGTCGTACAAGGGGCTGGGCTCCTCCACGACATGGCAATTGAAAACATGTCGCTAGAGGACTTCCTCGGTGTCGCATCGCCCAAGGTGCAAGGAAGCTTGAACCTGGACCAAATATTTCAGCAGGATAGTCTTGACTTCTTTATACTCTTTTCGTCATGTGTCAGCCTGACAGGCAATCCGGGGCAGGCAAGCTACTCAGCAGCCAACGCCTTCATGGTGGCTTTAGGCGAGCAACGCCGCAAGAGAGGACTAGCCACATCTGTCATGAACATTGGTCCTGTATACGGAGTCGGATTGATAACCGAAGGAATGTCCAATGTCGCGCTTAATGAGTCAGTTTTAAGACAAGGGCGCTATAGGCCACTCTCGGAACAGGACTTCCATGAAATGTTTGCAGAGGCTGTCGTGTCAGCTGCCAACCCCTCCCCGATGCACGGAGACATGTACACTGGAATCAGCCTCATCCGCGAGGAGGAAGAGAACCCGCCAAATTGGATAGCAGATCCGATCTTCAGCCACCTCGTGAGGGCTGACAAGAGAGAAAAGAAAGCTGGCGGGAGCAAGTCACGGTCGAGGAACACTCTCCAGACGCAAATCACCGGTGCCGAGTCAGCAGAAAAACAATTTGAAGTGATACATGATGCTATTCTCACAAAAGTCCGAACAATATTCCAACTAAGATTGGACCCGTCAGATGTAGAAACCGTTGAGAATATGCGACTTGACGAGCTTGGAATTGACTCGCTCTTAGCGACCGAGATTCGTACCTGGTTGTACAACGGTATGGGAATCGATATACCTGTTCTTAAGATGCTGGGCGGGATTACGGTGTTGGAATTGAGTGAGGCAACATTCAAAGCGGTTCAGTCCAACTCAAAACCATCTCCGGAAGAGGGATTATCTGCTTCTGATGCGCGGGACGCATCGCTGGCGGGGCCTGTCTCAAAGTCAGAGGAGCTGACTAACGGCGCGACGGACTCTTCAACAACAGAAGTAGATACCGCAGTTCATCGAGCGGCCCCGACCCAAACCGATGCGAATTTTGACTGGGAGGCAGAAGCAAGTCTCACAGACTCCTTGCTCAAAGCCGCAGATCTTGGGCTCAGTGAACACAAAGCACAGCCTTACAGGCACAAGATAGTCGTTGCTTTGACAGGCGCCACTGGGTATCTCGGAAACGGATTGCTGCGGGCTCTAAGCGCGGAACCAAATGTGACAAAAATATATTGCCTTGCAGTCCGGAATGACAACTTGTTAAAAGACATAGTTGCCCCAGGCAGAGCCGAGAAGGTATGCATATGCCAAGGCGACCTCAGCCAGCCGTTACTGGGTCTTTCCGAGAAAGACGCGCGCGACATCATGGCGGAGGTTGACGTAGTCGTTCACAACGGCGCAGACACGTCATTGGCGAAAAGCTACTCGACAATCCGCGCATCCAACGTCGACTCGACGAAAGAGCTAGCGCAGATGATCGCACAATCTGGGAAGCTCGTGCCGTTGCACTATATCTCCACGGTTGCCGTTGGCAACATCATGGCGGCACCCTCGACGCAAGACAGCGAGCGAATCTTTCGCCCGAGTTCCATCGCGCATTACAAGCCGTTAGCTTCCCAAACTGCCGTGGCACAAGGATATATCTCATCGAAGTGGGTTTGCGAAGTCTTCCTGGAGCGTCTTTCCGCGAAATTCCGCGCGAACTGGCCGATTTACATTCACCGTCCAAGTTTCATCGCCGTCGTAAGTGAGGCGGGCCCACGTACAGACTTCGTGCACAATATCCGGCTCTACTCTTCATATATAGGCGCAGTGCCGAAGTTTACGAGTAAGCATATTCGCGGGGTCATCGATATCGTCCCGTTGGAGAAGGTTGTGGAAGGGATAATGGCGTCGGTCCTGGCATCCTTGTCCCCATCACTTGCCAATGGTGATGCGCTCTCGCCTGGTGATACCGATAATGGGGACTCGGTTTTGCCCGCAGCCACTATAGCAAGTACTGGAAAGCTTCAAAATGGGGAGCCTCGGAACCCTGGCAGTTCTCAGGGTGTACATTTCCTTCATCATTTGAGCGGTGACCAGCTTCGCGTGAGTGATCCCAAAAGCTGGATGTTGGCAAACGACAATCGGACAAGCGAGACTACTGCGACACCTCCACGGCAAGAGCTCGGGACAGAAAATGAAGAATTTGGCGAGATCCAACAGCTGGATGTTACTGACTGGACAGAGAAAGCTCTGTCGATGGGCATGCGCGCTTCGCTGATATCTATGTTGAGAAGTTTAGACACTGATGAGGGGTTTGGGAGCCTAGTCTTCCCAGCAACAACCGCTATTTAATCAATGCAGGTCTCGAATAACGAAGCTGCGAATTACTGACAAGGGAGTTGAATTGCACAGATCGGTATGCCATCCATGAAAAGGATAACCGTCTGACTGTATCTACACTATTTGCCACTAGAAGACAATTAACGATAAGCCTTAATAAGATCTCAGTCCATGCTTAGGACAACAAACAAAAATAGTAATAGATATTTGCCCATAAACTAATATCTGTGTGCCATTAATTTTGCTACTGTCGGGGGCAAACTGTTATTGTCAAATATAAGGGGTTATATCTTAAGCCAGGATATTGGGTAAACGGGGACCTTAGCGTAAACCCACGTCAAGAAAACAAGGGCCCTTGTAAAATCTCAGTATAGTAAATACGTTATATAAATATAATATATCTATTATGCTAAGATTTTATAAGGGCCCTTATCTTTTTAATATAGGTTTACCTTAAGGTCCCCGTTTACTTAATATCTTAGCTTAAGATATAACTCCTTATATTTAACAATAATACCTTTAAACTAATTAAATTTTTAAAGCTACATTTAATCTCCCTATAAAGTAAAAGCTAAAACAAAACATCTTGTAAGCTAAGCAACAAAAACCTCCCTCATATATTTTACTATATCAAAATAGGCCTTAAATGCTATATCATTAGCTCGCCAGGTTCCAGCTCCGACGAGTTATCAATATCACGTTGGAATGAGATCTCAGCTCTGCTAGCCCTGCTTAGCGTGGGGAAAGCAGGTAATAGGTAATCAAGTTGTTACCGACCTTGTCGTGATACTACTGTACTTTGTTCCCCCAACCAAACCTCGCCTTCCTCCCGAACAGCAGCTCCCACGCGCCAGCGCATTTACTCTCCTTTAATTCTTCGGCGCGCAATCGGCCACTCTACTCATTGTTCAACACATACCATTTGTACTAGAGACCTATAGGCGCATAGGATACAGTCTCAACAATAACAGCGAGCCAACAAGCGAGTGGATCAGAAAACCGAAACGCAGGGCGGATACTTGGAAAGAAGAAAGAATCAAAGAAGAGCTCGTTATGTCTTCGGGCTCTGGATCGGGCTCGCGCAGTGCAGCGAAGAGATTAATTCGCGAGCTCGCCGTCTGGGAGAAGGAGGCGTCGGCCGAGACGGGTATTGAGCGCCTCGGCCCCGTGAACGAGGAGGAGCTCCTGCGGTGGGAAGCCGTTATCAACGGACGGGGGGTTGGGGGCGGATATGATGGTTCGTTGGCTCATTCGTTTTGACCCTATCTGCTTTATTTCCTCTTCGTTAGAATAAAGCAAGCCAATCACTTAAGTAACACACACACCATTTCCAGAAGGCCGCTGGCTCCTCAGCATCGACATACCTCCGACGTACCCCCTCGCGCCCCCGCGCATGACATTCCGCACGCAGATCGTGCACGCCAACGTGGCGCTCAAGGAGGGCGAGATCTGCCTCGACCTACTCAAGGACGCGTGGACACCCGCGTACAGCGTGCTCGAATGCGTGCGGGCCGTGCGCATGCTGTTGTCGTGTCCCGGCATCGATTCCCCGCTCAATGTCGACGTCGCCGCCCTCATACGCGCCGGTGACACGCTCGCGGCGAGGCGGTTGACGGAGTACTGGTGTACACAGGAGAAAGGGCGGTACGACGGGCCGTGAGGTCGATTACGGTTCAGGCCGCTATAAATGTGATAACGACTCATTATTTCACTTGCGTTGCTTGTGGTGCTTTTGGGACAAAAACAACCTCAAGTCACATTAGGACGCACCATTGTTTTTCATTAGATCTGCGATTGTGCGCGAAGACTACTCGCCTTGTCTATGGCATGGCAAGCTTACCGATAAATTGTACAAAAGCTTGGAGTTGTGGCCGGGGACTCGCGAGACCTTGATGTCCTTAATCTGCTATGGTTGTTCTACGGAGTTTTTGGTATGGTAACGAAATGTAATATGAGCGCTTTCTTATGGAATTGTTCAAATCTATTCATGTGATGCTGTGTTGGAACTAGATTAGGTATGTCTTAGACATCGTCTGTGGTACGTAGCCTCCCAATGTGTCTGCTCCATGTCTGCTAGGTCTTCTGGTGTACCTGAATTTGGCAGGAAGTTCTGGGCAGATAGCTCATGGGAGTTATGGTCTAGGTATAAAGTAGGAAGATCCCGCCGTTAATGCTACAAAATGGTACAAAAGATTTCCGAGCTCTATCAACATCGGAAGCGTGGCGGGTGTTCTACTCATCTGTCATTGACAGGAACTTCAAAATCCGCGGGGTAAAATGCAGTGTTTAGACAGATGTCGAACTGCTACCATTCCCGCCAAAATCGTTTACTCATTGTAGTGATACACCTAGAGCAGAGTTAGCAAAGGGAGAGCGCTGGCACCAATTCTACAATTGTAATTGCTTACCTTGTAATTGGGCAGCCCAGTGGCGGCCCAGCCTAACCTCTTGGCCATTTTGGCAAATCCCTCGGTTTCAATCAGGTTGTAGAATGAGAAAGGTGGAAACATGGCACCGTCGCGGTGAACGTCAGCCTTGACCAATAACGCTGTCCCTCCCACACCATCAAGAGGCACCTCGACATCTTTCTCGTCACTCTTATCGGCCATGTATGCCATAAGCGACCTATATGTCGCCATCTCACGGTATCCCTCCAAAATGATGTCGTCTGGGTCCATCTTAGAAGCAATCTCTTGGGCAGTTGGACTATCCTGCCAGCTGTTGAAGTCGTAAGGCCGTTCCGCAGGCTTGCCAGTTTCTGGGTCCATATATCTTTGGTAGCAGTTGGGCACAATCAAAGGCTTGTCATGAGCCGCAAGGTCCTGGATTAAGGACGGAGGTGTTTCGATAATATCGGCGTCTAGCCACAGCACCCATGACGTTTCGACGCCGAGTGTGGTGAACAGCAGCGAATTACGCGCTCTCGACATGGAGGCGCGTCTGACCTTTTGGTTTTCCATCTTGTGGCGCTCTGACTCGTCTTGTGATATGATCGGAGGGTCGAAATCCTGTCGCTCAATAACAACACTTCGAAACCGGTCATTTAATGGACCTTTCTGGGTCTTAGTCACTTGTGCTTGAAGCGCAGCCGTTGCAGCATTGCCCTCTTTATTCTTCGGTAATATGAAGCCGAGCGAGATAAGTTCGTGAGGGTAGTCGAGCTTCATGAGATTGTCCCAATATTCCTGATAGAATCGGGCCATGGGGGTCAAAATGAGGACCACCTCCCTGTTTTCAATTGGGTCGGGTGTTATGGTAACATTATTGAGGTTGAACCGGCGGACAGGCGGCCTCTCACCGATGAGTTTGGCCTGGGCGGGCGCAGGTGTGCGAAGTAGTGGTTGATTCCCATTTGACGAGCTCGAGGTTGATGTTGACGTGTCTGATCCATCCGAAACAATGAAGTAGAGAATGAAGAGACACAGAAAAGCGCCAATCGTCAGAGTCACGTAGTTCGTCTTTCGTAGACGAACGGGCCCCATAGGGCGCGCCATTTGGCGGGTAGGTATATTGTCGCTTTCAATTCAGTGGTTCAGTGTTATCATGGGCAACGATAGGGTGGAAGCATGTGCTACCGGGTTGGAAAGGGAGCGTCGACCGGCATGCGCAAACAACCTTGAACGAAGTGGGAGGTCAGTGTGGCCAATGAGTTAGGGTATCAAATATCTCGGCGTGTCCGGCTGAGGGCATAGGGGAGCCTTGGAATGATGAGGGGCTCGTATGAGGGCTTGAATGTGAACAATAACGAGACGGCGCTGATGACGATGGCAAAAAACGATGACAGAAAGCGATGGTTAGAGTACTTAGGTAATCTAGGGTCACTTCATCCCGAGCGAAGCTTCGTCTGGTCTTCCTCAACTTGGCCAGATAAACCCGAATCTGGATAGGCGTCGGCGAGTGGGTCTCCGGTCTTGTAGGTACCTACCTGCCTATTAGACAGGCCACACCTCCCATCTTAACTAAATAGGTACATACTTGTAGGTAGGTAGGTGCCTATGTAGGTATCTATTGCACTGTATTCTATCGCTACGAAAACAGCCTTGAAACAATTTAGACTTGAAGTAAGCCAAAAAGAGCAACCGCCAACATATGCCTACAAATACTCAGTTACATAGGTATAGCATGACCAGTGTCAACTTATAGATCGGTTATTTGATTGAGCTACCGGTAGATCAGATGCCTATATGTATTACACAGCAGTGTATTCGTCATATATGGTACACTACTAATTGAAGGGCTAGTATTAACCTTAGGCAGTTGGTGGTCTGGGGTACACCTGCCGGGCTACCTACAGTATGTGACACCTGTGACTTGCAAAATACTGCTTGGAGGACGGGTTAAGCCAGGAGAGTGGACGAGTTCACATATCTCTATTGATATTCGGCGCAGTAGATATGCGAAACCAACGAACTCTACAGCATTTTTTAACGCTGCACGAGCAGAGACAAGTTAGTCATAACATGTGGAGATGTTAAGTATGCAAGCGGTTACTTATCATATGGTTATACATAAGACCGGCGTACTGTAAGTAATCTTTCTCATGTAACTATGAACTTGGTACTCTCGCGCTGATTGTGTGCTCTTGGGCTCTGTTAAGAGTCGTTCTTGTATCCAAAGGAGCAGGGAAGGCTGGCCGAATAATAGTGTCAAGATCAGCCACCACGACCAGGAAGAGACCTAAACAGACCACATAGAATTCGGTAGCCATGAGTGATTATTTCACTGTGAATAGCTTCAATTCAGGTCCTGCCACTAGCTCTTGTTATCCAAACTTCTCAATTTAGTTGACAACTAATTGGTGATATGGAATAGCTAGAAAAAGGAACTTCTATGTTGGAAAACTTGCTTTGTAAGGCAAAATACTATGTAAATGGAGGACAGAAATGCCTAGTCTTACTGCTTAGTGAAGGTTTCTACCAGGAAGGCTTCCAAGCTATTAAGGAAACATTGCAACTATACTTATTAAGTAAAGCCCCTCGAATAGGAGAAAAACTTTAAGGCTAGTTGTTGCCAGTTTTACACTTAAGTCTTGTAACAGTTTTATAGATTAATAAAACTCTTAATTCTATTATATGATGCTGATTTACAGTTATATCCTAGACGCATTTAGGGCAGAAGTCCTCTCATACGGTCACCCGAGATACCTACTACCTCAGGGGCGAGAGGGGCAATAAGCGCCATACCAACTTGTACGCTATGCGCTCAGGTGGACTACTCAATAGCCTGTCTGGGGTACCGTAGTGTCATATTAGATAACAGGCGGCAATCCTGCAGGTTGTGCTAATAATATAGATCGCCGGTTCGAGGGAAGCATCCCCCCACTTGACCACTGAGACTTTGATAGATCCTCATAGTATTGTCGCTGGGATCGACTCTACAACCAACCCAACACTGTAATGTAGCACCTCATAGGCTAATCACATGAGGCCTGTTGGTGTGGGCATGCCCGTTTCTGCTCGTTGTTAGGAAGGAATCAGCAACAGATCGTCGGGCGTTAGATGGAGGGCTACCTGTCTATTGGAGGGAATTTTCGCAGCCTTGTTAGCTCCCCTCTGCCACCAATCCGAGAACATTGAGATAAGCTAACAGAGAGGCTACTATCACATATGTATTGATAAGTAACCAAGCCTTAGAAACCCTCAGCTCAAAGTGTCTCGAAGTAGTATGTACTGCTACTCAGTATCTATAATGAGCCTGGAATGTCTTATATATAAATACATTAGTTTATTTATGAGATGAAATATTAGGGCTTAATACAGGTCACCTATACAGCTTTGCAGTGTTATACCTAGTTATAAGCAAGATATAATTTATGCATATTAATACTTACCTAACATAGCTATACTTGTGCCCTACTTTCTATGTTGCATACTATAGTGTGAAGGAAGTAGCATTATTTACATAGTAAGCTATGTCACAATAGAGACCTTTGACAGAAGGTGTACATAGTAGATTGCCTTTTGTGCAACCTGAATGACCTGTAGTGAATCTTGGAAGAGTCTGGATCTTGAAGTGATTCAAGGCCAGTGGTCAAGCAACTAAAACAGAGTCCTAGATGCAAGCTCATTGAACCCCAAATCGCCTACAAGCCTTAATGGTAAAACTACTTGGAAGTCCCTACCTATCTCGATACATATTACCGGTATCTACAGGTAGGTAATGTTACCTGCTGTAGGTAGTAGAACATTGTCCTTACGTGTAGCCTTGGCGGTGGTAACAAGAGCAGTAAAGTACCTAAGGTAGGTACTGTGTAGGTACCTCGGCCTCACCTGAGATATGTACCTAGCTGTGGGTATATAGCAGCACTAGAGCCACGAACTGCTCTTGTCCCGTGAATGTCAACTGACGCTGGGAACTTGCCTCCACGACCCTTAAAAGATACCCGTTGACGATCTCTCCTCGTGCTACAAATCCACAGTCATACCGGAACCTACGTCCCTCCCCTCTTGCTTCATCCACATCGTCCTCCCCCCCTCCCTTTTGACCCTCCGAGGGCCTGTTTGTTTGCCTTGCTTGCTTGCGCTTTTCCCTACACCCCGGAGTCATCAAAGAGCTATTCATCACATGCCCTTTTTCTAGCCAGTCTCGCCAGTCTGCTTTGTTGCACTATCCTTGGGCAACTCTTATATTGAGCGTTCGGCTTCGTTATCGAGTAAGCACTAGACGCCAGCGCCCTACCGGAACATTGCCGGAAAGCCACCCGTATCCGCCGACTCGTTCACCAGCGCCTCCGTAAATCACGCCTGTCTATCTACAATAGGTATTACATTTGGCCGGTGCACAACCACTGGGTCTTAGGCCTTCATAGGACCCAAGCTTCAACACCAGGCCATTCTGGACCAACCGTCATTTATTCACGAAGCTGGTCGCACTACAGCCGAAAACCGTTGAGCCAGCTAGCCAGACTCTTCGCTTTTTCGGTCTTGGTCACTTCCGTCCTATTACCACCTGAAACTGCATTCCAGCAAGACTCCTTGCCCACACTACCAAAACAAGGCCCGCCACATTGATTGCAATTACTCTGCAGTGTGTATCTTCCGCGACGAAGCATTCTGCATTTCCCCAGTCATTTGCATTGTGCCAGTTTCTGTTTACATTCACAAGAATCATACCTGAACTTGTTTGGATGAACCATAATGGAACCTGTTCCCGAGACGGAAAGAATGGAGGAGTTTCGTTCCTCCCCTCTGCCGTCGCTGCGCGTCGTCTCGAATGATGCAGATACTAATCGGAAGCCTCCTACTATCCGCCGGTCGACCGAACCACCTTCGCCAAGCTCGCCGTTATTCCCTTCTTCTGTAGCCCTTCCTTACAAGCCGCGAACGGCATCGCCTCTGTCGGGTTTGCATACTCGGTCCAAGTCCACAGCGAGTCTTACACCTCTTTCAATGGGCCGCACTCGGTCCATGCCAGGTGTAGATGGGGCGGGAAGGATCCTCTACGCACCACAGCTTCGTCCAGCTAGCCCATCTGGATCTCCCAGTCGACATCGGCTACCCCGAAAACCTGTCGACGAAGCGTATCCTCCTGCTTCGCCAGTTCGATCTTCTGTGCTGGACAGCGACAGACGACATGGCGAACAACACACAGAACGAAGTACCTCTCCAACTCCTAGTATTACATCTGCCAGCACTCTGCCGTCATACAAACGGGCGTCTTCCCCGCTCCGGTACAGTGCCTATTCGTCGCCGAATGCTAGTTTTACTTTTCCTGGCCCGCCGTCGTCCGGAACAGCATCTCCATCGTTCAAATCGGATAGCTCAGCTACAGGATATGGCTTCTCCTATTATCCATCCTCTTCAGTTCCATCCACCCCGAGCTCGATGCGTTCAAGGAGCCCTAGTATCTCTAGTCTCGAGACTATACCCGACACTCCCGATGCCGAGGAGGCGGCCTTGGAAGCGGAGAGAATTGCCCAGCTTAAAGCTGCTGCAGACGCTGCAGATGGCGGAGAGTCAAAGAGTCGGACTAATTTAGATGCCCCCATTCGTGGCAGGACTTTGGGCGTCGGTTCCAGAGACAAGCGAAAGCGGTGGAGCGTCTGCGGCGCTGAGCGACGTGGAGACCTCGACCTAGAAACGATATGGGAAGATTGAAACCTGGAATCGGCTTCGTATGGCACCGATACTACAGCATAGTCGGTTTCTTGGGGTGTTCGCCACTAGTTAGCTAGTCATATTCACTACAAGCATGTTAAGGATTTTGGGCATTCAGGCGTTTGTTGTTTTGATACCCTGTTGCGATTGCATTTGTTGAGGAGGCGAACAAATAGGATATACTTCTACTCACCATCATATTATGTAGAATTTGAAATGGAGGGACAGCACTGTCAATGCATTCATCAAATCAAACGTTAGGCATCTATAAAACAGGCATTGTGCTCGTGAAGTCAAGGAATCCCTCGCCGCTAGGGGTTGATGGTACAGATGTATGTATATATATATATATATATATCTCAGGTCTAGGTCAAGTTTATGATATTGTGACTGAACCGACTTGTTTCTAAAATCTAGGTATATTTTATATTCACTATAGTTACATACTTAAGTGAAGCTGAACTTGATCGGAGATTAGTCGATAACTGGAAGTAACCAAGGGTTTATTTGCTACCTCCCTGGCTTGATGGTGTGGTCTTGTTTTTGTCTTGAGTCGGACAAAATGAATGCGAGTCTACTATCTCCGTCATCTTATCAATCGAACGGTATGCGTCGTAAACTCTCACCAACGCCTCCCTTTTTGGCCACTTGCGCGGCTGCGATCGCGCTCGGCACCTTGATGCCGCAGCAGTCTCCCCAACTGTTCAAATGGTGCACATGCTTGACGCCATCATGTTCGACCACCATAGTCCCGCTCTCGAGATCTTCATCGCGTGAGCCACCCACATCAGTTTCCGTGCTCATGCCTTCAGCAGCTGGGACTAGCGATCCGAACAGGAAGTGCTGCATGACGGGTAATTTACGCAGCACCTCAGCGACGAACATGCGTTTCATACCCCCTTCGATCTTGGACCAGCTCTTGGCTGACGAGATGTCATCGAGCATCGGGCTGTGCCATCGCAGGCCCTTTACCGTCTTGGTGCTGTTCACGAAGTCTACCTGTCCTAGGTACATGAAGTCATGCCCAAATTCTTCGATTGTGAGCTGCTGATGAATCGCGAGCGGTGTAATGAAGGGATGGTGTATTAACTGGCTTGCACCGAATAGAAACGGTAAGAACTGGTAGTCGTCCAGCCCCCAGACTCCATGTGAGCCTGCGGGCTCAAGGTAGTAGGTTGACTGAATCGCCCGCATGAGAGCCAGATAGCGGACGAAGACGCGCAAGACCAGAGGCTTGAAGTCAGATTTACTAATGATCTTCAGCTGGTACAGACATAAAGTCCATATCATGAAATTCAGCTCATGGCCCGATCCGTAGTCTATCCGATTCCTGTTGCCGAAGGATTGGTTGAGATACGTCTCAACCTCTATGATAGCAGCATCCGAAGCCACTCCGAGCTTCTGGTGCCATGTGTGACTGGCAGCCTTGGCCTTGTCTAGGAAATTTCGAAAGACCTTATTTCCAAATCGTGAACCCCCTGCCTCGTCTGGCGGTGTTTGTTGAACGAGCACCTCAGCCTCATCAAGAACACTGATGATGGTTTTGATGGCGGCGCTGCACTGCTCATCTTTGACGTCTGAGATGGGCGTATCTACAACAGCATCTGAGAGGCCGAATATGAAAGAGACAATAAGGTTATATGATGGCGACGACAGGAAGAGCTCGTGGTCCTTGTTTGATAAGATGCGCCGGCTAGGAACTTGGAAAGAGAGAGTAGAGGTATCGGGTGGTGGGGGTAGAGACGGCGTCTCAGGAAGCGGGATCTGATTCTCAGGACCTTGACGTCTTTTCCTGGGCTCCAGCTTGGGTATCTTGTCCTTCAAATTTGGGATGGACGGAGCTTGTTGATGTGTAGCCATCATTCTACCTCACTAGGCTGTGTGTGTGTGAAAAGCGCCACAGAGTTAATCTCACAACGCAATTTGTTGATAAGTGAAGCCAAAACAGATATATAGCCGCAAGGACTACTATTCTAGGATGCTGTTGTCGATGCTGTGAGGCTCAATCCGAAAGTTTACCTACAGTCATTCCTCTGCAACTTACTTATGTACTGTAAGGAGTGCCGCATTGTACCAACGTTGCCCCACGTTTGCCCCTCACTGATGCACTTGAATGTGGATCGTATATGTAGGTACCGGGCAGGCTCGCCTAGGCACTTACATAAGTAGAAGAGGGGCATAGTTAATGCTAGCGCAGAAAAGTCCCTATCCCTCTAATGCCCAATTCACCTCCGTGACCTGCCAAGACTTTATAAAACCAATCCAAAGTGTAGATATCTCATGCACTTGTACTCTAGCACTTTCATATTGTACTTAGTAGAGGGTGCAAACATCAGCAAGGGTATATAAGGATAGTATACTGATTGGGGCTCTGACTACTGAACTTTCCTACCTACACCTTGACTTCTTTAGCTGGCTACAGCACCCGCTGGTTCGAGATATTCAATAAAGCATTGGCGGCTGCGGCCCTCGATTCTCTCTTCAATACATATGTACTCCGTAGGTACCTACTAGTACATGCCAGCCCCTGCAAGTATGTAGGTAGTGGCAGGAAATTTCTAATCAGAGCTGCTACCTACTATTGTACCATAGGTATCCATCGTCAGTTGCCCTTCCCTCTCAATACATCCAAATAGCGAGTAGGCTCATTGCTCCCCCAAAACGTTCATCATGACGGTGATAACTGAGCCAGAAGCGCTGCTGTCACATCTTCACAGGACAGATGGCTCAGCGACTTATTCCTACGCAGGGTATACTGTGGTTGGTGCGGTGAACGGTCCTATCGAGTCGCAGAAGCGAGACGAACTCCCAGAAGAGGCCATCATCGATGTAATCGTACGACCCGCTGCTGGGGTAGGAGGTATGCTAAAACCCATCATATTCCTTTGTGTTTCGATGAAGATGAAAGTTGATGATGATGGCCTGACTTTTTTCAACTGTCCCTGTGCAGGCACACGCGAGCGCCATCTCGAGTCCTTATTACAATCAACCCTCCGCCAAGTTATCCTCATCAATAACTTCCCTCGCACTCTCATCCAGGTTATACTGCAAATCACAGTCACTCCAGAAAACGAATATACAAATGGGAAGCTCGTTCAAGCCACCGTGGTACGCATATTCTTCTCGACTGGTTCACGAGACCCGCATATGCTGATTACTTTTCTGATGTTCAAGAATCTCCCTGTCCTCCCCGCCCTCCTACAGACGGCGATCCTGTCACTGCTCTCAGCCTCCCTTCCGATGGCGGCTACACTTACCTCGACGTCGCTTGCTATTGTCTCTGAAGACAGTCATCGACGGATCGTAAGCAATCCAACGGCGCGACAGGTCGAGCAGTCCCAGTCCTTCCATGTACTAGCATTCACCTCTCAAAACGAACTAATCCTCGCAGAGAGCGAAGGAGTTTTCACTATGAAGGAATGGAATGACGTTTATCGCGCGGCCCACGAGCAGTGTTGTACTACCACAGCAATTGATGATACAGACGCTCGTATGCATGAAGGGCCCATTGGCGCCGACCTGAAGCGTTTCGTTCGCTCCACAATCGAGCAGAAAACCGCTTCGGATCTATACTGGAAATGAGCGAGGTTCTTGGTCCCTACGTCTCTTCAATGTGGCTCCAAAAATCCCCTCAGGTTACCTGTGCGTAGCGACTTATCTAACCCGATCAAACTCTAGCCTTTACATGATGTCCTTCCCAAGGTCCAGGGGTTGGAACTGCAATAACAACCCCATGTTCATGGGTGTTACTGATTCTCACATATAAACACGGGAATTCAGCCGACATTAGACAAGCTATTATTGATGCCGACTATCCGAATGAGTGGATTCTAACGGCTAGATCTGGATGCCCATGTCGACAATTTCTAGCATATCTTCGTGCCAGTGGATCCTGTCACAGATGGCGGTTAAAGCTGCCAGGTTGCCGGTTTGCCGTTATGAACAGGCGGTGTTTCACCCAACCCTCACAATGCATATCGCTATGCTTGCTGAAGTGGGGGTAGAGGCTACTGCCATCAAAAGCTCTCAAATACAACGTCTGTGTCTGTTAGGCGTACTAAACGCCGCACACACAGTCTTCTGACGCGACACTGTGAGAGGTCGCCGCCACCACTTCGGTTCAGGCAAGCTGCGTGCACAACAGGCGCTAATTGCAGATACTCTGCTGATTCGGACGATCTGATTCGCACCGCGACAGCATCTGAAGTCTGATCATCGCTAGGCTCGTTGTTTCTCTCAGCGGTATCACAGGCTCGTGATTTGTCAATTTTGGTGATGGCACGAGGTTGGATCGTCATGCAGCTTACTAGCTAGGTAGGTAGGTAGTCCGAAGTTGAGAATAATACAAGAGTTTTACCTTGTTTACAATTTTCGGCTTGTCTATTGGCGGGTTCATTCCACCTAGGTAGTTGGTAGTCAGGACTTCACTACGAGAGTTGCAATAGGAGCATTGTCGAGATTATGGTGGATTTCAAAATAAGTGCTGAGACAAGCAATCTCCCCCTGTTTCTGGCTTCCACACCCCCTGCTCAAGGGCGAAGGATGAGACTTGGAACGCGAAGGCAGGCTCGTTTTGAGAATAAGAATTATGGAGAAGGGAACTGCAAGACATCCTGGGTCAAACAGCCACGGGTCTTAATCCTCGGGCGTTATCAGACTCAGATATCTAATTGCGGATCTCTGAACAAGATGCCCCCGTCTCGAACCCTCACGGGCGACTAGCGAGGAGGCTTTTCCCACGAAGGCGCCCCACCATTCTGTTACTTTTGCCATCCCAACACGGCTCGCACATTGCAGTCCATCGGTCGGGGGATCTTTACACGAGTTTAAAAGCTGATATAGCCTCTAGCGAAGACTGAACTTGAAGATTTTCTTCTTCAGGATCTCTAGTCTTCTCTCGTAGCCTGAGTCCGAGCTTCCTCAGTCCTCCAACACTCCTACAGGCGAGAAGCGAAGCAGAACGCTGGCTGTTCATCTGTTTACCTATCTTTCCCATTCTTTACACACTATCTGTAGTTGTTGTTATTCTTAATCTTATTAAATCATCGCTTTAATCGAACCGTCACTCGATAAATCAGAGTCTGATATCTATGCAGGACCGTTCCTTCTTTCTCACCTTTCATAAGCATATATTATAGAACCGCTATATCTTCTCTCGGCATTATACGACATAATTCTACCATCACCGCTTAGTGGTCGACGAAATCCAGAGTATTCGGGCATAATCAATACTTCCCCATACCGAAGACACAATTGAGCTGAGCCGAGCTCCGCGTAAAATTCAGGGTACTCTGTAAGTGCTTCCACGCTTGGTTGTGCTGTCTACCCAATCCACAGGGCCGTCCCAGGCACTTTGATGCATACCTACCTATGTGCTTGTGCGGGGCGACAGACACACAGGCGGGAGGACCGATGTGGCTGACGAATTGTTAGGCATTTGGGATACAAGGCCGAACAGTGTCTTAGCTGAATTTGCTGGAATAGCTGTGTTCTCGCAGCAAGGTACTTTTCTCCAGCTGAAACCACTGCGACACTTCAAGGTTTCTCTCAGCAGCTGAGCTGCCCAAACCGAGTCGTACCGGCGGTTAGCGCGTGGAGAAAACCAGGACACCGGAACCCCGGAACAAGCATCTAAGGTTGCGACGACGTAGGTAGCAGTTGTAGCTGCGCAGCTTGAGTGGTCGGCCGTAACAACTTCTTCACACCATTCACACTGCAATCGCCGTTTGTGCGTCTGCATTGATCGACGTTGATTGTCACGATCACTCGCTCGCTGCCCTCGAGTAGGTAACTTTGCCTAGGTACTTACCTGCCCGGTGATTTTCTGTGCCAGAGATAAAATTTAGGGCGCGTTGACCCCTGCGGATTACTGTTTTAAGTACAACCTTGCCAGTTAGCTGCGCGGGCCGCGCCATTACGAGTTAGTTACGCCTTAGTTACAGGTTAGCGTGGTCTTTTTTTTGGCTCCTTGTCACGCTGTAGCGAGTCTGGTCGCTGCTTCTACCTTCTACTTACACACTTCGTAGTACTTACTCTCCCTGTTCCAGCAATCCCGCCAACCCCTCCCTCGGCCAGTCCCCGCTTTGCTGTTTTGGATGACGCTGTCTCACTCTTCCGGATCCTCAGTGTCAATGGCGGCCGCTAGTCCTACCTCTCCCGTCAAATCCGGTGTCGAAGCTTCTGGTGAATGTGCCTTGATGGCCGTCCACCCTGCCCTCGCCAACCGCGATCCGCACCCTGCTGCTGACTGCGCATCGTTTTCTCCGACTTTCATGCCTTGCGATTCCAATCCCCATCCCAGTCCTCCACCCGCAGCCACAATCACACCTGGAAATGCCACTATTTCATCCAATGCATCCACCTCGGAGTTAACGAAACCTACCCTTTTCCCATTACACGATGCTAAGCAGGCCGGGCCGCAGACTGACCATGTTGCCAAAGGCTTGACAAGCCCTCCCTCCGTCGTGCCCGAATATAACAACAATAACAGCACCAACACCAACAAGTCAGTCAGTCACCGGAAAAACGCCCTCTCAATAGAGTCCGTTCCTCGACAGACCATTATCAAGGCTTTGGCATCTGCTGCTCGCAGTCGAAACAACAGGCCTGAGGCCCTTTCGTTGAACAGCATGCTGTCCCCCCCATCCGCCGCTGACAGGCGGCCGTCCACATCGTCGTCTTCGTCTCAGAAGCTCGCTGATGCACTGAACGAGCTCGCCCTCCAGACCTCTACTCCAAACACTGCCCTTCCGGCTCTGCAGTCGCCTTGCTTCTACCATAACCGCTTCGATGATGCAGTAGACATCAACAGGGTGCTCGAAGAGATCAAGAATGACGATTGGATGTCTCACTCTCGCCTCGTTCAAACCGCTACCGGTGTTCGAGAAGTTTCCAAGCAGCTGCAGCGCAGACCCATACGGCGGGCAGTCCGAAACGTCATGATCGTCACAAAGGCCCGAGACAACGAACTTGTATATTTGACCAGGGAACTGGCTGTGTGGCTAATGAGAACGCCTCGCTACGGCTCGGATATCGGCGTCAACGTCTACGTTGACGCCAAATTGCGCCACTCGAAACGATTTGGCGCCGCTAGCATCATTGACGAGGACCCGCGCTTTCCATCGATGCTTCATTACTGGTCTCCTGATCTTTGCTGGAGCCAGCCAGAGAAGTTTGATCTTGTCTGCACGCTTGGCGGTGATGGCACGGTGTTGTTCACTTCTTGGCTGTTTCAGAGGGTTGTTCCTCCTGTCATATCCTTTAGTCTGGGCAGCCTGGGCTTCCTAACCGGCTTTGAGTTCGAGAAGTATAAGCAGCACCTCAATCGAATCATGGGCGATGAAGGTATGCGTGTCAATTTGCGCATGCGATTTACCTGCACTGTATATCGCAATGGCACATCAGGAGAAGAACCGGAGGAGGGCGAGCAATTCGAAGTACTCAACGAGCTGGTCATTGACCGTGGCCCGTCCCCATATGTTTCCAACTTAGAACTGTACGGAGATAACGAGCTCTTAACTGTGGTTCAGGCCGACGGCTGTATTTTCTCGACCCCAACAGGTGTGTGCGACGTACTGATATATCATGTATCAATCAATGAAATGCTGACTTTCTAAAAAAGGTTCAACGGCCTACTCCCTATCTGCCGGGGGTGCACTCGTTCATCCAGATATCCCCGCTATCCTCCTTACACCTATATGTCCGCATACATTATCATTTCGACCTATGGTGCTCAGCGACACCATGCTTCTCCGTGTATCTGTTCCACGTAATTCACGGGCTACAGCATATTGTGCATTTGACGGCAAGGGACGGGTAGAGCTGAGGCAAGGAGATCACGTAACCATCACGGCCTCACAGTATCCATTCCCTACCGTCATGTCCACAAATACGGAGTGGTTTGACAGTGTATCAAGAACGCTGCAGTGGAACACAAGAGCGGCTACGCAGAAGGGTTTTGAGAGCAAGTCGGGTAGCCAGGCCGCGTCGGTCGATGGCGATGAGCCCGAATGGGATATTGATACAGATTCAGGTTATTATGCTAGCGAGGATGGCAGCATTGCTGCGAGCCCACTCCGGCGGCAAATGAGTCTGTTGGGCATGTAGAGCGCTAGATATAGATTTGATGATTTTGGGTTAGACGATACACTATAGTTGAGCGGGCGCAAAGCACTCTTTTGACCGTATTCTTGGGTTGGCCGAGGTATTCTGGTGTTTTAGGCGTTGTTTTCCGGGCTTGAGAGGATCGAAGTTGTGTGTCTTGATGGGTGGCGTATCTACTGGAAGGAAATCCTTCGTTTCATGATCCCTATGGGCTAAGCGAGTACCGCAACCTGGAGCAAGATATAGAGGATTGACGCATGACGGTGAAGCCCCACCGCTGACTTTGGGTTTGCGACACACTCAGTTGTATATTTTATCAGCCTGTTGTCCATGTAACTCTGAATGATATCGCAAGGCCCGTGAGTGACGAAGCGAGAACATGTTAGACACGGTATCGTAACTGAGATTATCTATCTCCGGGTACAGTCTGGGCGGGGTACACTCAGATCTCAGATTTCTGGTGGCAGCTTGGTGTCCCTTGTGGCGTGATGTTGGAATAGGTATTGGGACTACTGTAAATTAACCCTAATTAGATTACATTTTCATTTGGGGGGTCTGAGAAGGCTCTGGTTAATCAAGGTGTTAGAAATGCTATTTTAGGTGGTCATAAGTGCAAAGATTGTGGTGGCTATTAGATGTCATTTTAGCACATGCCACAATTATATGTACCATAGCTTGTGTACTGTAGCCCCGCGTCTCTCTGTTCACCATTGTACTTCGTCCTGGCTGAGACGCCAAATGACGTAGAAAACAGGCACTCTGTCCATACATATGTACATACCTATCTACATAAGATACCTACATAAGGTACCTACATAAGATGCCTACAGGAGGTGCATGTGTGAGGAGGTAGGATAGGTAGGTGGTGGTAGACATTGGCACGACATTGTACAAAGTTATGTGGAGTGGCTTACCTGGAAACGACATCTTGTCCTGTCCAACAAAGTAAATAATAATAAGTTGCCTTTTCCGGCCAGCTTGGGCGGCTGTGATTGGTGCGAGTCGCGCTGGGATAGGGCTTTTTTTTCTCTCTCTATGGCGTTTTCCATGGACGCGATTTGCAGGGTTGATTTGCAGGGCAGCGCAGGGCAGAGCAGGGCTTGTGATTGAACAGAATCGGGCACACCAACCACAATCCCCCCGGCCATGACACGCTTCGCTGCAGTCGGGGGGCCCACATGAGACCCCCAACCCCATTCTTCTTCTGCCCATTCATTCCTCCCATCTCATCCCCATCCCCATCCCATTAATAACGCCCACCACGCGCCTCCAAGTCGGCACCTCTGCTTCCTTCTCGCCGCTAGTCGAACGAGATCCCTCTCTCCCTCTGGTCCGAGGCTTTGCCGTCCTGTGTGCTCGATTGCTGAAGCGCCCTGTCTCTCGTTTCCCGTTTACGTTTCCAACGCTGTTTCTTTGTTCCTCGTTTTCATCTTATATAATGTGTTTATAGCTGTTCGTCCCCATACCATGTCGTTTCCCACCGCGTCCACGCCGTCGCCAGTCCGCGACCAACTCGACCTCTCCTTTAGCAGCTCGCAGAGCAGCAACCCTGATGCTTCAACCTTATGTTTTGAATCTTCCTTCAGGCTGGAACCGCCCTTCCCAAACCAGAAGGCCGACAGCGAGAAGCACCCCAAGGGCAAGCGGAAGAGAACTACGTGTGTAACGTGAAACCCATGCTTGCTTGGCGCAACCGAGACGGGCCAGCCCAGTCTCCCTCGCGTGCAATTGACTAACCATTGGCCTGTCTTGTCCTCTAGATCACAAGATAAAACTATCCTTGAAGCTGCCTACAATTCAAACCCAAAGCCTGACAAGGCGGCGCGTCTTGACATTGTAAAGCGCGTTTCGTTGAACGAGAAAGAAGTACAGGTTAGTGACATGGGCCCGTGGGTCTAACGCGTCTTATGGACTGCTGGAGTAAACCACCTAGGTCAATTGAAGCTGACGCCGCCGTGTCAACATAGATATGGTTCCAAAACCGGCGACAAAACGACCGCAGGAAATCACGTCCGCTCTCGCCCCAGGAGATCGAGGCACTTCGCTATGGAAATGGCATGCGTGTTTTGTCGTCTGACGCCATGCCGGCGGCTATGGAGCAGATGTCTGCGTCAATTGCTTTGCCAAACGCTGCCGAATTACCTCACAGTTTAGTCGCTGACATATCAACGTCAGTTGAGTTTGGGGAGGCCTCGAGTCCTGAGGATGTGGTACCCCAACATAGGTCTCAACCTTCGTCTCCCTCCATTTTCGGACTATCAAGTTCCGCTAGAGACATGAGGAGGCACTCGGAAGCGGCGAAGAATGCGTCAGCTGGCACGCCGCCATCACCAAGGGTAATTAGGCCTGAGGGCGAATCACGCCCTTACGTAGGCGCATCAACAACGCCAATTGGATACTTGGCGAACCGATGGTTTACTGAAGACTCTTTCTCCTCATCTTTCACAGCAGAACGAGCCGGCGACGATTCGTTCAGAAAGGAATGGGAGTCTCGACCGGTGATTGGCTCGAGAGTTGAGATTGGAAGTTCGAGGCTAAGCTCATTCTCATCTTCAACATCCTCTGCTGCTGATCACTCCCCCCCTGTATTGCAGCCACAGTCATCATCGTCACAGATTCGGTTATCCCTGTCGTTGGATGGCAAGGCAGAGTTGGTATCTGCTCTTCAGTCACCACCACGTCCTGGTTCACAGCTCGCCCCAAACGCAGAGACGCTCCCGCCAGTTTTTAGTAACCGAACCTTGCAGCGAAGCCGGAGTGCAGTATCCAGCATTACACTCCCGCCTATTTCCACACTTACCAAGAACCTCGGAACCCATTTTCCGCCACTAGCCCGTGGTCGATCACGCGATGTCCACGCTTGGGAATCTTGCTGTGAGGCTGATACCCGCGATGAACTAACAAGGCAGGCCGAAAACGAATCCTCGGGGTCTGCCATAGCAGCTATTAGCTTGGTGCGATCATCCAGTAGTTCGGCAAGCCTGAGCAACCTAATCCATAATCACCATTCCCACCCTCAACCTCCTTCTCATCCGGGCATTTTACAGCCCAATCCGGGCAAGCGAAACACGTTCAATATGACACGGGGCCCATTGGATAGGAAACCCAAGCTGGCGCGTGCTAAAACCTCACCTCCCTTAGCCCGTTACGTTTCGCTGGAGGAAGTCAGGAAAGCAGTAGAAGTAGAGGATGAAGAGGGCCATCTCGAACCTGAGAAAAAGAAGCGCAAGAAGCAGGCTAACCAATTCGATATCCTCAGCCCATCGGGCGACTCGGATAAAGAGAACTTGAGCCCAGACGAGGATGGAAACCCAGGTCGCCAACATCCCTTGCCGCCACCTGAAACTGGTGCGTCACCCACGAAAGTAATGGCGCCACTTCCACGGAATCCGCGTCGCGTCGGACGTATTCTGGGCGAGCAGGATGCGGCGACCAAGCGACTATTCTTGCACGATTCTATGGATGCGAGAAATCGTATTATGAGTCGTGCGAGTACAGCTCCCACCCAGGGACAACGACAGCGGAAATTTGGCGAGGCAGCAGTAGCTATTTTCGAGGACGGGGAAAACATGCCACGTGACAGAAAGAGAGAAATAGTGCCACGAGAAGGAAAGCGGGCAGAGGACGTTGAGCACTTTATGCGCGGAGAGCTATCGCCTAGTAAGCGTCCAGACATGGATTGCGTCGCTGGCCTACTTTCCCTTAGTCAAGGAAACTGGCGTTGAGTACATCTCGGCTAAATCTAGCATTGTTGAAACATAGACGATGTCGATAGTTCAACACAGTGTGCTCACCATAACTGCATTGATTCCTTACCTGCCTACACATTCTAGGCAGACCTTTATTCAAAATTATGCGACCATCTAGGGATACCTTTGGGAGCTTTTTTTTCTTTGGCTCAGAAAAGGGGTCATTGGGTGGTTTTGCTAGGCTTGGTTAACGAACGAAACTTTTTCATAGCGTGGCTGAGGAAAAGGGTTGTGCTACGTGGTTTTGAATGAATGGAAAGGAAAGGGGGTTTGAAGTGAATGAAACTTTACTACATAAAGGAACTACGACTTGTACCCCCTACTTCTGTGCTTGCGTTCCTGATTGTATGTGATGATGAATAATGTATCTATCCATCTCGAAGAGTTATGTATGTATAGTTGGGTACGCTGTAGCTCTGGTTGAAATAGAGGGGAACAAAAGTTGCCTGTATGGTCTGTCTACACATGTCTGAACCTAAGACTAGCAGATTCGAAGCGTTAGCTAATGAGGTATATAAGTCCACAGGACAATCATAAAACCCTACAAAGACAAAACTCTACAAATTAATGGTATGATATCATGTCAAAAGTCATATTTACATGCTTGCTCGAAGTGTCCGAAACTATTACACCCACGGTAACCTCTCAGTCCAATCTCACGAGCCCTAGGTTCAGCATCCAGCCATCTAACTTGCCTCAAATCAAAGACCCGTAAGCACACTCTGCACGCCCACGCTCCTCGCATCCTCTCTGCTCTGAACAAAGCCCTTGAAATCGGCCTTGCCGAGCTTCTTCATAGAGACGCCACCCCCGCTGGCGAGGTTCCTGCTTCTCTCGCGCAGCGCCTCGGGGCCGATGATGAAGAGATACCCGATCTCTGTTAGCAACTCGACGGCTACCTCGGCGTCCTTGGAGAGCGGCCATTCTTTTAGCGTGGCGACGTACCTAGCGATGTCCTTGGTAACCATCAGACCGCCGGTGGCGTTGACTTTGAACTTCTTGAAGTGTTCGAATAGGAGCCGCTGGACGGCGAGGGCGAGCTCGCTCGTGAAGTTCTCAAGGTTCTGGCCGTCGATGGTCTGGACCAGGAGATTCGTACAGCGGGCTAGGAATAGGCAGGTTGATGTGCAGGTAGGTGTTTGCAGCGACTCGACGAGATCAAGCTCGTCTTTAGGTAGGAAGTCAAGCTTCTTCTGTTGAGCCAGTGATTTGGTGACCCAGTTGACGATGACATCCATGGTGCTTTTCATGACGCTATTTGTTTTCTTTTCAATGGCTTCAATGCCTAATCTAGCCTGCGCCTCCATGCTTCTTCGTACAGTTGTATTAGATTCCGCTAAACGGATAAGAACGGTATTGGTAAAGCGAGACATGATGCTCGTGATGGTCACCGCCGGTCTAATTGATGGCAGATAGGATAGGTCCGGCTCTGTCTTCACGTTTTCTTGAGAAGTAGCTCGCTCAAGCGCAGCTTCCAAGGCGGTCTCAACGTACACTTGACCCATATTTGTCATGAGCAGACTGAGAAGGATTGCTACGTCCTTAGGGGTATCGCTCGGGCTACCTAATTCGAGCGTTCGTCGCACGCCTTCTGCGAGCCAGGTCATCATTCTCTTAGCATTTGCAGTCGATAGAAATCCCTCTTCTTCTGATACCTCAATCTCATTCTTGTTTTTGTCAGTCTCTTGGACGCGGGCAACTCTCAACATCATGGCCTTCTGAGTTGGCGTCAGATCAGATGATTCAAGTCTTTCTAGGTACGCATCTTTAGCAGATTCCATAAGCTGGTTAGTACGTTGTGCCAATGAAGCCATGAAACCGGTTGGAGCCTTTTTCCTCCTGAAATGATAAATATTAAATCGAAACAACAAAGAGTTGAAAAGCTCCTCTAAACTCTTTTTTTCTCGGTCGATGTATGAATTTCCCATGATATAAGGGACGAATAACTCTTCCATCTGCTGATCTAGGGTCTGGGCAATTTGTGCCGAGCAAGGCTCCGGGTGTTCTGTCAAACCATGCGATTTCAGATCTTCGATCAAAGCACTGATATATGTCCTGGAAGAATGTAATGACCGGAGGAAGGCAAGAGACGAAATGGTGCTAGCTTTTTCCAATACCATTTCCAGCCTCTGTTGGATGGATTGTTGGAATACCCTTTGGATAAACTTAATCAGGACGGTTTCGTAATATGGGAAAGCCCTTTTAATGATGAAAGACTCTTCTTGCATGATGATCCGTACTTCGTCAATAAGCGACTGCAGACTAGGTTCCACGCCTGGTGGTTCAGCATCAGGATCTGCGAGCTGGTCCCAGGTTTCCCCGTCCATGGTAACCTCGTCGGTGATGAGTTGGTCCCGATCGATGAAAAATTGATGTTGATTGACAAAGACAGCTATCACACTAGCACCACCGTTAAAATCATGCAACACTTTGGCGCATTCCATCATATCATCAAAATTCTGCTTTCGGTAGCTATTGTTGAACTGCTTCAGCAAGTCTTGTTCCAGGGTTTCGCAGAATTTCTCCAATATCTCGCGAGTGTTATGTGATCTTTCGGCGCCATTTGCGCCATTGGTACCATTCATACCATTAGTTTTGCCGCTGCGCTGATGTCCGTTAGTTTGATTCCAAGAGCCCAGGTCCAGCCTCTGGCTAATGCGCATCAACTGGTGCGCAATAACTGCGCATCGGACCTTGTTTTCTGAGCCCCCTTGACGCTGGATGTCCTGGAGAGAGGTTAATTCACCAGTTTCGCTAACTTGAAGCCAACAATGTATTAAGAAATTGGCGTCTATAGCCCGCCTCCTTTTCCCATCAAGTTCCTCGAGCTTCTCTCCAATCTGGACAGCGATATTACCCCCTGCCTCTCCACGGCTGCCCCGGTCATTGCCATTTGGATTGTTGAGGGTGATATCGAGGGCTTCGAACTGGTTTATGGACTGATCAAGTTTGCGACCGAGGGTATCGAGAGTCTGATCATGCTGTACCTCGGCACGTCTGACTTGGGTTAGGAGTTCTGACTCTTTCTCCTGTAGCTCTTCGGAAAGGCTGCCGAGGCCCTCTAACGCATCTGAAAATGCAATATTAGCGGCGCATTTCCAGGAAGCTATGAGACCATTGATGCTATACTTTCAAAGGATCTGATTAGCGGCTTAGGGTCGAAAGCCTGCTGAGCGGCGCCTGAGCGTCGGTTTTGAGAGACGGCGTTCTCGGCGAGGCTATCGACGAAGTCACGGACGATGAAGTCCTTGTTCGAGAAATCTTCGAGAGTAAAATTAGGACCCTTAGGAAAGAGGGCTCGCGACCCAGACCCAGCCTTCTCCATCAGGTTTGTTCACGTCGTTATCGGCGATGTTGGCGGGTGGCGACACCATGAGGGGAAACAGCAACGAGGGTCGTTGCAACTTGCTGGTCCCGGCGCAAACTCGGTTGTTCAAGGGGAACATTCATTCATTATCCATTCGAAAATCGAAGCGGTACTGCTGACGTTGATCAAAGCGAATCGTTGTGTATCATATTGCGAAAGGTTAGGATTGGAGTGCGGCAGGTTAGGTACCTAGCGCATAGGTAGGTGAGTACGAAGTACGTGTAGACTAGACTAGCAGTAGGTACATATCCAGTAGCTCCCGGTTAGGTAACCTGTCATTACAGGGGCATACATGCCTAGGTAGGTAGGTACCTAAATATGGACTTATTGTTACGGGTCTGTTACGGAGCTGTTACGGACCACTCAGCCCCACGTAGGTAGCATTTAGTGATATGACCAACGTAATCTGTTTCCTCAGCCACATATTTTGCGAAGCTAGAGCTGCACCATCTCGTCACTCCACCAAGACATCACCCGTTACTGGGCACATTCCATTCGGTAAATAGATGCCGGATTCCCAATGATCATCGTTTTACGTCTTTCGTTATAACCCATTCTCTCTCTCTCTCTCTTCTGTAGCAATTATCTCGTGGCTCACGCCTTCCTTTCCCATAGTATGATTGGACGATACAGGCAATCAGAACCCGAGGCGATTTGAGTGGCCAGGTATTAAGCGAAGACAAATTCAAAAGAACAACAAGAGCCAACGACTTACCACATTCTTTCACTGGCCCTGGGTTCATCTCTTTCGAGCCCCCGTCATAGACAAGCGCTCACATACCCATCTCAAACACATTGCGGCCATGTCATTTAAGCAGAAAGACATCAAGACATATCGGGAGGATGAGAAGTCCGGGCATAGGAAGCTTGGGGCAGAGGCACGGGAGGAGCTAGTTAAGGTCAGTCTTTGCGCGTTTCGCTTTTTGCTGGTTTCAATGCGCCTCAGCTCATAGCCAGTAGACACTATTTTCGGCTCGAAACTAATCCTATCTGTCAGAACTATCTTCCCACGCCTCCATCCACATCCCGCCAGCGAGCCAACAGTCGCGTGAGGAAACAAGATTCATCGCGCTTCGGCGTCAGGAGATTCTTAAAAGCGCAGTTATACGCACTTCTGTACCTCGTTATCCACGCCATCTTTTCACTCTACATCCGTATTCGCATCGCCTGTCATGCCGTCTCCAACCGCCTTGTAGCCATTCTCAAGCACCATTACAACTCGCCCGAGTACATAGCCCGTGACGTGGCTACGCTGAAGAGAATACCTGACCATGTCAGCATAATACTGACCCTCGAAAATGGTGGAAAGGGCGATGCTTTAGAGAAATTGGTCAACGAGGTATCCGAGGTGGCAGCATGGTGTACTGCCGCTGGCATTCTCAAGCTGTCAGTATACGAAAAGACAGGTACTTAGGTTTCTCGAAGGATTTCTTCTGCCATTTGCCACTAACTCATATCGTGTAGGTATTTTGAAAAGATACATGACTCAAACGCATCGTAGCGTGAGCCATCGTCTTAAGATCTGGTTTGGCAAACATCAGGCGCCGCCTGTTGCGCTTTTCGCTCGAGGTGCATCTGCTGTGCGATCACATAGCCGCCACGGCTTGGAACTCATCCTCATTTCTGAGGATGATGGCCGCGAAGCTATGGTAGACCTTACGAGGGTCTTGACTGAGATGGTACAAAAGGAGAAGATCACTGCCAAAGACATTACTATGGATGTAATTGACAACGAATTATCAGAGGCCGTGATGAGCGAGCCAGACCTACTAATCTCGTTTGAGCCGTACGTCGATCTGCAGGGTTATCCGCCGTGGGCTATACGTTTGACCGAAATCTATTGTGCCCCTGATAATCACGGGGTAGGGTATCAGCTATTCCTACAAGCGCTTCGGAAATACGCACAAGCAACTTTCAAGCTAGGAAAGTAAAGTTAATGTTGAACCCCTGCGGATCTGTTCAATGGGTACGGAATAGGTGCATAGGCGCATTAGGTGTTAGATGCTATAGTTATATTCTGAGGCTCACCCCTCCCTAAAAAAAAAAAGTAAAAGAAAAGATAGGAGTGGCAGATAGCTAAGTGATTCCCGGTGTTCATGGTCTAGATGGCTGTATCCACGGAATCATCTCCTGCCCTGCAGCATTCCACTTGTAGACGGGCCCGCTGCCTACATTGTACTGATAATAATTCTCTGTGCCTCCTCTGACTAAGGCTTGTCGGAATGTAATATTGATGCGTCCGCCATCCCACTCATTCTTACCACTACGCTTGGGGATCGAGTGCAGCCAGTTCGCTTGGGTCTTGCCGCGCATTAACACCATATCGCCACTCAAGAGAGGAAGTTTTAGCGACCCTTGCGATGTACTATTGCAGGCAGTCTCTCCCGATTCCGGCTTCGGCGGCTTGTGTTTCATCAAGAAATCCCGCTTTGCACCTAGCGAAAACGACGCGATAGCTGGGAGCGAGCCGAGAAAGCGCTCATCATCGCTATGGAAGGAGATGCTGTCTGCGCCGGAAGCGTAGTAGTTGACGAGGCAGAAATTGAAGTTGCATCCCGTTACCGCCTCAGTAGATCTTCGCAGAAGGTCGAGACAGTATGGAATGGGACGCGGTATTGCTTTGTACCCCTTTTGCCCTGGCGTTTCCTTTGGGTTTGGCTTGCCAACAGGAATTTGCTTTCTAGTACGCGCGTCTACTACCTCCCCTTTCGGAGCATCTTTCAAAGGTAGCACATCGGCTGTCAAGCCAGATGCCGCCGAACGAATGTCCTCGAAACGCGCTGTTTCGTCTACACCAAACACAGTTGTCCACTTTAGACGGTCAAAAGTCAGCAAAAGAGTGCAAATTTGACGAACCAAGACGGAAAGGGAAAGAGATATATTCAGAGTTGCGTAGAACTGGCAGAGCCTATCTAATTGTAGTCTCTTGGTTTGACTAGAGAACAAAGGGGGCAAAGTATGCAGGAACCGAACCGAGATAGCTTACTCGAGGCGTACGAATATGTGTTTTGATCCCGCCTCGAGCAATGTCGTACTCGACACGGTAGAATGGCAGCTCAGAGCGCAGAAATTCAAACAGCTGTCGAGCCGCCGACCGCGAAATATACGGCTCAAAGTGTAAGAGATCAAGATCTGGCTGGTCTGCTATTACTCGAGCTTCACGTGCCGGAGAACCAGAAATCTCAGCCTCCAGAGCGTCTGGTAGGTGAGGTATGGGGAATGGATACGATGCATGTTTAGAATAGCTTGCTGACTCGCCATCAGTGACTGTTAAGTTGCTAGCAATTTCAAGGTTATTGATACTATGTGAGTCTGCAGTTTTGGGGGTCGCCTGCATCCATTAGTCTCATGTTGTGCTATATTCTCGCGAATCGACACACAGTCTCTCAGCCGTATAAATCTCGGTTGTAGACACCACAGCTTGGTAGGTATATATTGACAATTCATTCACCGAAATGGCAACATACCGGCGTTCCAGGTTTCTCGCTACCAACCTGGGTATCAGAATAACGCGGCTTCTTGGCTTTAGGTATACCGAAATAAGCGTCAATAGTTCTTTTCTTAGTCATCGTTATAATAAAATTAGAGGTGAATAGGCTTCTATACCACCCTAGACAGCAACTAGTGTTATATAGAGATAGAGACAGAATCTGTCTCTCATTCGTGAAATGTCCGTCATAGATTGTGTAGCATTCAGCTGTGACGAGCCAGCCACAAAGCGTTACCTATGACGCACGTACAGCTATCTCCGAGAGCTGATCATCAGCCTTGCATCGGCGCCTGTACTACTGAAGCTACTTAGCTAGGTACCGTAACCCCTGTCAGCAATTGGGCCCTGTCGCCGCTATCCAGAGCAGGGGTCTAACATGCCCGCCCTATCATTCAAATCAAAATTTACGAGGTTGCGCGAACATAGGCTTCGACGTTTCCCAGCCATGGCAGTATGTCAACCTAGACCCTTTACGATCCAGCACTTGTGCCGTCTTGACATGTATCGGCTAACTTTGAGATCAACGACCATCAGGATTCCGCAACTGAGGAGGATATGAGCAGTCTCTTCCGCCCACCCACTGTCCGTCATACCTTCGGTGTCCTTGACCGTACGCTTTTCGCCAAAACGGTGAATCTCGCTGCAGCCGCCGTCGCCGACAAGACGAATATCGCGAGGTGGCGCAAGGATCTTCAGAAAGAGAAGAGCCTCTTGTCAGCTGAACGGGTGTCGTGTGTCGTGCCACACCCGGATCTCACACTAGCGTCGCAAGGCGCTCGATGCATACTTCTTGATCCAAAGATCCGACCGGGGGGTAAGCAAACGTTTGGCTACAGCCGGAATGATGAAGATAGAGAGGTTTTGTCCTGACTAGCCTCTACACGTCTAGTGACCGATACCTGGACACCCCTCATCCGCGACGCCGTAGAGAAGCAGGAGCTGGGAGTCGTCCCCTACGACTTGTCGCTTGACTATGCACACTGGACCTATGAAGAGGTAATGGGATGTCTGTTACCGCCTGGAACGAGAGATTCAAATGATGGGTTTCCCACAGGCTATAACCAGGCAGGTCATGTGGCGCACCTAAACCTGAGGGATGAGTTTTTGCCGTATAAGAAATTGATTGCCGAGGTGTTGATAGACAAGTGTCCGGGTGTGCGCACCGTTATCAATAAGGTTGCAAACGTTGGTACAGAGTCAGAGTTCCGCACCTTTGCATACGAGATCTTGGCAGGCGACGACGACCTCAATGTAGAAGCGCGCGAAAATGATTGTATATTCCAGTTCAACTATGCTAAAGTTTACTGGAACAGTAAGCTAGAAGGAGAGCATAGGCGTCTTGTCCACTTGTTTAAACCAGGCGAGGTTGTGTGCGATGTCATGGCAGGTATTGGTCCTTTTGCCATTCCTGCTGGCAAGAGAGGTGTCTTTGTATGGGCAAATGACTATAATCCTGAGAGCTATCGATCTCTCGAGTCTAACATTAAGGGCAACAAGGTAAAGCGATCCCGAGGATTTTCAATAATATTCATCTTTTTTTTTTCACTTAATTCAAAGCGCAGTATTAACAGAGGCCCATAGGTCAACCAATACGTTCACGCATTTAATGAGGACGGTCGTTTATTTATAAGAAGAGCTGCCGACTTGGTCCACGCTGCCTCCTCCAGCGGCGCGCACGCCGTCGTCAAAAGCAAGCGCACGGGAAGAAATAAACCAAAAGAGATCATAAAGGCGAACGAACAGGATCCGAACCTAGAGCAACATATCCCTGTTCCACCAACAATATCACACTTTGTGATGAACCTCCCAGCATCAGCCATCACCTTCCTTCCCCATTTCCACGGGGTTTACGTTGGTCGTGAACATTTGTTCGCGCCACACACCAGCGTGAAGCTTCCTATGATCCACGTCCACTGCTTCGCTGCCAAAGGTGAGGGCGAGGGGCCCATGCTCGAAGTCTGCGAGCGGATCTCAGCCGAGCTTGGCGTCCCTATCAAACTCGGAGACCCGGAGGTTCCTGGAGAGGCGACTGTACTCGAAGTTAGGGCTGTGGCACCGAACAAGCGTATGTTTTGCGCTTCTTTCCGTATACCCACCGAGGTTGCATTCGGCTCTAGGGATATGTAAACTCGACGTGGATAACTCCTACGTAGTATTGAGCAGGGGTGGGAATAGACGATAAAGAGTCACATAAGACGCAAGCTGCTGCCACATCATTACAGACAATTTCAACGGGCGCCCGCCTAGTTGGAGACATCGCATGCGCCAGTGGCGATACAGACATGCATTCAGCATGTGAACTCAATGTTAAAACACCAAGAAAACAGATGTCAAGGAGGTCCACTAGCACCTTTGGTGTTCATGCGTGTAGTGTTCGCCTTGCCTGTAAAGGTGGGCTAGGTAAAGAGAGCAGTACGAAGTAAGACAACGAGAACACTACCTATTGCTTGCTACAATAACAACAAGGAGGAGACCCGCTACTATCTGCATGGACAGCAGTCCCGTTAGCTGCCGTATTTACTAGATCAGCCGCTTGCGCCAAGGACGGTGATAGGGCTCGCGTCGAACAACAGATGCAGGCAAACCAGCGAAAGCAATGCCTTATGAGTTTGTTCGAACTACATCTCGTGTTCGCGCCAACTGGTGTGTATTGTTCCACGAGGGGTTCGTACAGGAGGAAGTTCGATTCGAGATGGCGTGTGTTCTGGCAAAGATGGCACGAGTCTGAATACCCATCGTAGCTTCGTCTGATGCAAACCATACCTGCAGAACTCCTCACCTTGGCTGTAACACACTCTAGCGTCCGATCCGACGACGACTCCATATACATAGTAAAGTACAAGTGAGGGACGCATGTGATCTTAGTCTCTCTTCCCTGGAACTTTTGTCAGGAGCGTTGGCTCCGTTCCTTATGTCTTGCAGAAAATGCGCGGTGTGAGTTGCTATTTCCGAGAATATCTCACGTATTCCAGCGACTTTGGCACTTCTAGAGAAGGTCCTTCTGCTTAGGTACCTGGGTAGCAAACTGGGATAATATGGGAGTTCAAACTGGTACCTAGGTAGGCCCCTACCTACTTACTTATCTTGGTGAAATTGATAAGGCATTCATTTATGCGGCCTGCTCTGTTGGGTATATCGTGGAATCGCACAAGGTTCCTGTTTCACCACCACCAGACGACAGTGCTTCGAATCCGCATGAACGATAAGGGGAGGCATGTAGGAGGTATGTACTGCCGACCGCCAGCAGAGAGTCCCTCTCAAATTAAATGGTACTGTATTAACCGCGGTGGCAAAACTACCGTAGGCGAGTTCATCGAGGTGGCACTGCAGGTCACCTAGCATAATGTAACCACACAACTAGTGTGCAGTCTGCTGCTGTACGGTAGGATCGTCAACATACATTACTTAGGCATATGTGTGTTCTGTTACTTATAAGCAGTAGGATTATTTTGCCATACAAATCGGTATATGAGCCGACCTAGGAATACCGGTATATGTCAATGAAGCAGGTACGCTAGGTAGCTTCGACTGATACGTGCATATAGTAACCATCTTTCTCTGATAAGCGCCCTGTCCGTGATTGGGCACCACACTGTACTGCTATCGTCGGACATGATGAAACGGACTGATATGGAGATGAAGACGGCAGTGGGGCATTCTCTATGTAATGTATGTGACGACGAACGTTCAGCATGTGCACGCCCGAGTGAAAACATCCACGCGTAGACCTGTTTGAATTCCTCGACGGTATCGCGCCAAGGAAGTATGCAGCAGCGGATGGCTGAGGCATGTGGTAAAAGACGGCCGCGAGACCGCCTTATCTTACGGTCCCGAGACCACGGGTTTGAAAAAACGGCTATGTTTGGGCACCCGAGTCCCGGAGGAAGGTCCGTCTAACTTGGATGCCTTTTTTGGCTTTGATAACGGGCCTGGGGTTCCAGTTAAACCTGTTCTAGATCGAGCTGGTCCCCAGGCCAGCTGAGGTTACAAGTGAGACTTCTATCATCAGGGGCACTGCGACTGGTGCAGGAACACTTGAACAGGGGTGAACACCATGATAGCAGCCATCTTCCCTCGTAACCCCAATGGCCAAAGGGTTACGTAGGTCGCATATGGAGATGAGGTGTTCGACTGAAGAAGATTAGCCAAGGTTAATGTCTTTGCGTGTCCCACTAGACACATAGGTAGCTTTCCTGTTCATCGTGTTGCATCGCAAGGTCTCACACATTGCGGGTTAGGTGCCCCAAGCAAGGCACTCGCACTACAACACTCAATAGATGGGCCGTTGCAGAATCGTACGGCCTATCGAATGAGTATCAAGAATAATGGCCTTGTATTCTACGATATGCAGGGCCTCAGCCGAGACACGTTCCTTATACACATGTGGCACTTGTTTGATACTCGTTGATTATTAGACCGTAGTTCATAGGTCAGTAAATCGGTAGCCATGACTGAGTAGCACTGAGGCCGAAGTCGTATCGTCGGTAATAACCGGGAGCGCGGGATCTCAATGACGTCTAAATTGCCTACCTAGGATGGCCATCTCATAGCCTCGTTATCGCTTCTGGGTAGGGAGGACAATGCTAAATGATGAGCTACTTACTACTAACTACTAACTCTACCTATGGATAGCCATGAACGCGCCAACTTGACCAAGAGGGAGGCTGAAGATACCGATAAGCTGTTTATGGAAGAAGAAGCGTATCGTAAATACTGCTGTATGTATTATCATGCATAGTATTTCAACTTCTCGAGACTTTGGTCTACCTACACTCCACACCTCCACCATTTCAACTAGATACAGTACAAGAAGCTCAATTATGCAAGCTGTAACCATGTCAAATGTAACAAGCTGTAGTTTATCTAGCCGCTGGTGAGTCTTGATGACTTTAGTACATACTAAGTAGGTGAAATATATCTTGTACCTAATGATTTTTTGGCAAGTTTACCTCAACAAAATCCTTGCCATAACGTCAATAGAGGTAATGCGTGGGAGGGGCTGTTCCAAGGGGATCCTGCGGTTTAGATAGTGAGATGGGTCGATTCCCAGCAGCTTTGGTTGAATTTTGTTGGATAGTCCGTTAAACGCTAGAGCGGCCACTTTATCAGATCGAAGGCCGGGGTGAACGGAAGAAAACATGGGCTCCTATTCGCTCGACGCTAAGGAAGAGAGGATCGTCGAAGACCACAAGAAGAAAGGAGGCAGTGACTAGTTTGATCGTCATCGCTCGCCGACGTCAAATCTAATCATCATGAAATCACAGGTGCCCTGGGTAGCTTTCTGCGTTCCTCCTCTCCACTAACCGGGCTTGTTACATAACTCAACAAGTCCAGTAGTGCCTAGGGGAGACGACACTTACCCCTAATGTGCTGGTTGTATGAAGAGATGGTGCTTAGACTGGGATGTGCTCGTAACGCCGCCATTGGCATCTACCCGGTTTACTGTTCGAGTCACTACCGTATATGATATTCATAACTCAACTGGATTCTGAAATGGACGCACAGCTTGGAGCGTGGAGACAGGCTCATAGTTATCTCCAGCTTGAGGCGGGGAATACCTAAAATGGTCTTGGCTAAGAACAATTTGCGGGGGTGGGTATGTGACCACCAACCTACCAAATAACTTACAGTGTGTATGTACATACCTACCTAATTTCGTCTCTCGAAACGCAGAAATAGGTCAGTTGCTGTACGATGTTGGCCCGCATCACTTGGCGAGTTGCGGTGTGTTAAGCACGGACGTGATATGCCCCGACAGTACTGCTACCTACACGTACAGGGCAGATCCATGATTAAGTGTGCCGGTGGATATCCTGTGAACCGACCAACCGCAGCACGGGGGAAATACGGAGGAGCGCCGAGCTCCGGGGGAAGCACGGTCATGTTCGTTAGATACCTACTCCATAGGCTCTGTTCATACCTACTTAAGTAGGTATACAGTGCATACATAAACATCTGTGGCGGTAAGTTCAAGAATTGTGTTCTTCGACTTCCATTATGATTGCTTCCATTAGACATGCTGGGGAAGAGAGTTTCGCTGTACCACCCATGATGCTACTTGCTGATGGCCCATCAGGGTCCTGGAATTGCCGATTCATCATCCAGCCAGGTCGATCACCAACCTCGCATGACCTCGAGGTTCAAGCATCGGAAAATACTGTATACTTGGTAGACAACCAGGTACCGCGTATGTACACCTTCTGTTCATGTACGTGGTGCTTATTCGTGATACTGCACCTGACCTTGTTTCTACTGTATATTATCTCGACCTTTGATGTTCGATAAGTACGTAATCCAGATATGAGATTGTCCCCTGTTGTTTGTTTGGTTTTTTCACTTTCGACTTACCTTGGCCGGGTATGACCGAAGTAAGTATGACAGAAGATTTATTCGGCACTATTCGTACCGATATCATCGGCGGTGAAGGGCTGACATGTATTAGCTAACCCCTTGCCTGAAATAGGTAAATCGAGGTAAATGCTTTCAGCCAGATCAATCCATAGTTCTGAGGTGGTGCAGGTGGTCATATGACGAGGTAGATTTAGTAAATCTATGTACTTAATTAAGTATGTAGGTACATGCTGTTGTGCCACCAACCGAAATCAGAGATGCAAGATTGACGATGGCAAGGATGGATACCTACCTACTACCTAACTATCCATGGTGTAGTTATGTTTCTTTATTTTTTGTATTCCCCTACTACCTACTATATCTACCTCTATGTATGTCTCTATGTATATCCCTATGTAGGCAGGTAGCCTTGTGAGCTTTGTCTGTACGAGCTACCGTAGCCTCTTCCTCCCTTTCACTTGCTGATGAGCCTCACTCTGGCCTCACGTACGCCTCCATTCGTGTGGCGTACTTCTAAGCACTGACGCCTCGTCTGACCCTGCCATTCCAAGGACTCGTTGTTCAAAGACCAGCCTACCAGTTAGAGCAGCACGAACATCGTAAGTAGTAGCACGTACATTCCTCCTTTGTGCTATTTAGATGCCAGACTGCTATGCCATCTCCGGTGGCCCTACCTACACTCGCCTACTCAGTAAGAAGGTCTCAAAACACCCAATCTCTACCATCTCCATGCGCCCTTTACTTACTAAGTACATGTAGTGCGCGCGCACGGTAGGCCGGGATGCTCTGGACATGTGCAGTAGGGTGCTGCACTCACCAGCATTGACCTGTCTGACCTCTAGCTCTTCTATTGGCTTGCGCCAGCCATATGGGGAAACTGGCTTACTTACACGACCGTTGGCATTTCCTAGGTACCTCTTACCCATGCTCTATTTGTGTTACAGTCAGTACACTGCTTACTTTGCATCGAACCTCCTCTTCTCTCCCTTCGCTTTCCTCTTCTCTCTTCTGTCCACAGATACCAGCACCAGTACCAGTACTATGTAAATGCAGAACATCGTTTTCAAAGAGCCTGCGTGGGAGCTTGCATACCGACACTGGTATCCGAGCATCACGTTTTGTTATCCTAACATCACCCTAACCTAACATGGCAATTGTCGGGACCCTGTCTACAACCCCCCTGTTTTCCCATACAAATTGGGATAGCTACAAACATACCCCTAACAGCAATTATGAAAACAGTTGGTTTGTTAGGTAATCACTGAACAAGTACACCATCTTTCGAGTTTACTTAGAACTCTTGCATATAGCAAATTGCTACTATATTTATTAGCAAAAACGTTCCCTTCTAGAACTGCCTTTTGGTTTGGTTTCCAACCTGCCTTGAAAAAGTAACTTGCCGGTTAATCTTGACATGAAACCACCACTTCTACCACCTATTTAACTGGCCTTCGAAGTTAAAGATAACGGATAGCTGTTCTTTTAACTTGCTAAGCTTAGGGATACAAGGGTAATACTTTAGAAAGGGCTAGATTAGGTGCGCTAAGGACCGTTGTGGGGGTAGCGGTACGTACCGGCCAAGCAATTGCCATGTTAGGTTAGGGTGATGTTAGGATAACAAAACGTGATGCTCGGATACCAGTGTCGCTTGCATACACCGATCTTGCAGCACCAGGTTAGCAACCCCCAGCTGACCGGTCGGCCTATCACACGCGCAAAACCCAGCGCGCTTGGTGGCTTGGTGGCTTGGTGCTTGTCCCAAGCCCAGGCTAACGCTGTTACAGGGACGCTAGGGGCTGCTGTAGGGCCCGGTCTGCCCTGGTATAGGCTACACGCGCAGGCCCGCAGCACGCGAGTGTGGGGGTCTCTCTCGCCTGCCCCCGCTGCAGAGTCACAACCCCAGTTTTCCTTGTCCACTTGGGCCTGCAACATCGGCCCTCCACTACCTAAGCATGACAGTGTACATGTACTGTATATGTACATGATGTACGTAGGTATACTGTAAGTAGCCTCTAATCTATCTCCCCAGGAACATAAGGTACCTAGAAGTAGGCACTGTAGGTAAGTACATAAGGTGTGCATGTACAGCTAGGTACCTAGGTAGTACCACAGGTATCTGTAGGCAGGCCCTGCTCTAATCTACTGCAAGCCCGAACTCCCGGATTCCATCGTCTCCCACTCATTCACGCAAACACAGACTTTGCCGTGCTAGCAAGGTTGGACTTTTAAGATTTTGCCGCGACACCTCTTTTGCCAGTGCCTTTGCCAGTGAGGTGTCTAGACTCAGTGTCTAGACTCACTTATATACTTCCTGTGCCAAACCCCATCACCGCCTACCGAGAGGTACCAAGAGCCCACGAGCCTCCATCCCGTCGCTTTTGTACCCCGATTTTTCGCGCCACACTCTTCTGCGCCTCCACTTCTCTGCTTGCGTGCGAGCGACGAGAGATGCCCAGCGTCGATGCGAAAATTGCCGACTCCTCCCAGGTCTTTTCGCCACTGCTTTACCACCCTTATCCATCGTACTCATCGTTTACCCGACTTTGAACGCTTAGGGAGTAGCTCTGCCGAGTTTTGCCGGCACTGTTGACAAAAGAATCGTTGTCGGACCTGGGTTGCCTATCTCTCCTACTACTGAGTGTCGCGCGTGCTTGGAAGCTGTATCGCTCGGAGCCCGGCTGTTATGACGGCCATCGCTGTCTTCCCATAAGTGGCTAGGTTGGAGGAGTGTATAGCGTTTTCGAAGATGGCTGTGGTTATTACTTCAGAAGAGAGCGATCTCTTCTCTTCCTCTCCTCTACGACGGTCACACTCGCAGTCTAAATTCATGTCTAGCGCTCGCTCACAAGGATTTCACACTTCAGCCTCGACATCTAGAATAGACCAGCTATTTCGTGATAACTATCGCCATAAACCCATACAAATTGTCCCCGATTCGAGCCCATCCTCCAGTCCGCCTTCTCCCAGCACGGTCCATGCTGAAAGCGAGTATGACCCTTCGTATATATCTACCCCCGCCACGAGCCTGTCATTAGACGGACAATACGAGGATGACCTTGCCATTCATCCTCAAGACTCGTTGCTTCTCTCTGAGTATGGCGACAATCCATATTTCATGATGGACGGGCTGGAGGAAGTGGAGGAAGTGGAGGAATTGGAGCCTTCACCTAGCCCTCAAGCTGGCGATTCATCACTAGCATCACCAGATGATGACGTATCTGCTGTGACTTCCCGACCAGAATCGCCCGTCGCGCCAGAACATGCCGAAGACGACACAGCTGTCGAGCATCACCCTACTCAGCATGTGGACTACTTGTCACACGATTGGAAGGAAGAAGACATATGGTCATCGTGGCGCTACATAATATCCAAAAGAACAGAGTTTGCTAATTCAGCACGGCTCGAAAATGCATCCTGGCGGACGTGGATGAAGGCTAAATACAAATTGAGAACAGTATCGCCTGAGACTCTTAACTGGTACGTAACCATTCTTGTCTTACCCTCGCGATATAGCTAACGACTATATAGGCTGAAAGACTGCGATGTAACATGGCTCTACGGACCTCTACAGACATGCCAGTGCAAGTTGTTTCCCAACAGTCCCGAACGAGGTAGCTCGACTTTATCTAGATCAGATTCCTTCGTCCACAAAAAACCCATCTTGAAGAAGAGGTCCATGTCAGAAGTCATGCTCCAGAGGTCACTCTCCTCATCCTCTCTTCTCAAGCAAGCTGCCGCTGCTGTGCAAGCTCAACAGAAAGACGGCACTAGTCGGATAGGCCGTCCTATTATATATCGTGCCCATACAGATCTCATTACTTTTCCATTCTCTAAGCGCAGGAGAAGCAGGAGAAACACGAGTCTTATGCCCTCGACTGACACATCAGGTCTAGCATCCCCTGCAACGGAAAGAAAGCACATTCACTTCGATGAGCAAGTCAAACAGTGCATAGCTGTTGAGATCAAGGGTGACGATGATGACGATGATGAGCCAGATTCCTACCGCTGGAGCTACGATGATAGTGATTCCGACAGCAGCGCTATCATGATGAAGACGACTAAGTCCAAGAAGAAGCCGATATATTTACGAAAGAAGCCTACGCCCAACAGTAACAACGAGAGCAAAACAATCGCGATGCTCCCATCAACTACTCTCAAGTATAGAGAAGACTCTCCGGCACCTGATAGCGCTGCTAAACACAGCACAAGCAGTATGCAAAGCCCAACTATATCGCCATCTTCATCCCAGGAAACCTTACGGCCATCCAAACCATCAGGGCCTTTTCACCAGCACAGTGATGTGAATGATGTGCTTGTTTCAGCCCATAGTAGCGAAAGTTTGGCGAAAGAACCTACACGGCAATCAGGATTACGCCACTCTCTTTCCCCCAGTACATTGGGCGACGAAGAAGGGCCAGCTGGCATGCGTCGAACTGAGTCTGGCATGTTTATGCCATATGAAGAAGGCGAGGTGCAGCCTAATGATGGTATTATCGGTCGCGTGATCGACACAGTCAACACGGCTAGGGATATTGCTCACGTCATCTGGAATGTTGGCTGGAGAAGGTGACAACTATTGGTATTGCTAATATGCATCATCATTGAACTTGGATTCACCTACACGACACCCTACTTGAGGGACTGACCTGGATCCACAGCAACAAAATCTGTTATGTAAATTTGTGTTTGTTTCTGCTTGTTCTCTGGGGCGTTGGAATGGAAGCGAGTTGTTTTTTGCTTGGTCTTACGATGCTACGTTCGTCGGTCATTGTATCAATTCTGGAGCCTTCTGTATTTGACATTACAGATTCGCATAAACGCATAAATGCATCGCACAAGCACGGACGCGATGGCAAGAGTCATCGGATTATCACAGACACGAAAACAAATGAAGGGTTTAACAAAAACAAAAAAAGGAAAATACATTGGATTACGGGATGCGGGGCAGCCATCGCTAATAGAGTATCAACTGGCTGTCTTTGTCATCGTCTGGTGCTGCTTGTCACACGGGATGGCGCTTAATATACGAAAGCATGCCCCCGAGGGAATGGCAATATTGATTTGCTTCATGTGCGTCTTTTCTCGATGTGCTTTTCGAAGACATACACGGCTTTCATTGCTTGGCGCATTCGCAATTCAAAGCCCATCATGAGGATGTAACATTAGAGAACAATATCAACCAATCCTCAAGCGGGCCGGAGTCTAAATGAGTTAAGAATTAAAACAACCGTGAATTTTTGGTTGTAGTCCCTAACACATATGGGATGTGAGACCATTTCAATAGATGGCCGAAGTACATAGAGTGTCAAAAGTTAATTAAATAAGAAACATACGGTGCTGTGTTGGAAGATAGGGTTGTTAATTGCTTTTATCCTACCTACCTAATTTACAATATAGCAGAGTGTCACATAGAGTATAGAAAATAATAATATCGTATCCGCCCATAATTACGCCCCTAGAAGTATACAGGTATTTCATATGGCTCGTATGAGCCCTTTCTAAAGCAAGTTATTACTACAGATGACAAAGATGCACCTTTTACTCTCGATCCAGTCTGTTGTTTCAGTTCATTGCAACAAGTGTATCCTCGACACTTCCACTGTCAAAAAGGACCGGCGCGCCCTCTGTCGTTGAGTCCTTGACCCCAGCTATTTTCAGCACTCGTGTAGCCTCAACCAATATTTGTCTAGTATAGACATTGATATCGGTGAGACGAACCTCGATAACGTCACCTATGTGTAGATCTGTCTTACTGATGACCTTGTTAAGAGCAGAATGTCTCAGAGTTGCGGAGCGCTCGAACCAGTCTAGCCGGCCATAGACGAAAGACCGAGCCAAGTGCTGCACAGTAAATTTGAATGTGTCGGGCAGCACGCCATCTTTGAATTGCCAGGCACGGGCCATGGCCTGAAGAATCCACTGGTCGGTACCTTCGATGTTCGTAAGAGTACGGGCCTGTTTCTCGCGCAGGCGGAGCATCGGGAGCATTCGATCGAGGTGGTCGCGGCTGAATGGCAAGAACGAAAGATCATCGCCCTTTTTCTTGCCATTAGGACCAACTAGCTTACGCTTCAGCCTCTTCTCCTCCAGTAGCGCCGCCTCGATCTGCCAGTGCACGATTAAGTCACCAAAGCGACGTAGCGGTGATGTGGCCTTGGTGTACATATCACTCCCCAGGCCGAAGTGTGGGCCAGGAGTCGTCGAGACCTCATCCACGCCAATTAATGAGCGGAAATACCTCCATACTGCATCATCCGGGGTGGCGCCGGAGTTCAGAATCGGATTTAGTACGTCGCGTGCGTATTGTTGGAGGACGGCCGCGTTGCGCAAAGCATGAGGCTGGGTGCGGTAAGGGATAGGAATTCCTCGCTCAAAGCACCAACGAGCAGCAACTTCGTTCGCAAGCTTCATAGCATTTTCAACAAGGTCGGTCTCTGAACTCCGAGAATAGTGAACATGGATCAAAGGATCCCCGGTGGTGGTAATGAAGCCATCAGATTCTGTCTGATTAACGCCGTCGAAGTTAACAGTTGCTGTCGGGCGAGGCTCAAAGAATGGTATGGCGCCTTTCTCTAGCCGCTTTGCTTGGATTGCCTTGCCAAGTTTCGACAGTATTACAAGGTCACTCTTTTGGTCTTCCGTCAGGTCGTCCGGCCCGGCCATCTTCCTATTTGCCGGTTGGACCTTTGGAGCTGCACTGTCTGTGTTTGAGCCTTGTCGGTCTTCACCGATAGCTGAAGCCGCATCTTGGTAAGTCATGTATATAACGTCCTCCAGGAAGTTAGCAGTGATCTTCTCCTTCAAAACCAAGCCTTCCATATTCACGAGGGCGCTAAACGTAAGACAAGGTCTCCCGGGCGCGAGAGAAAACCGATCGCTGATAATATTTTCCGGTAACATAGGCTCAAGATGCCCAGGAAGGTAAATAGCCTCAGGAATGAGCTCCGCGTATTTGGCTAAGGGTGTATTGGCGCCAAATGATGACGATGGATCTGCAACGTGTACATGAATCCAATATTCTTCTGGGTTCGAGGTTCGTTCGAGTGACACCGCATCGTCGATTTCACTGGCTGAGATATCGTCAATGCAGTATGCCATAGCCTTGCTCAAAGGCTTCCGAATAAGTGCTAGCATATCTTGCTTCATATGCCTATCAAGCATACCCATAAACGGTCGAACATAGCTACCACCCCGTTGAATTTCAACACCTGGGAAACGCATGTTATAGCGAGCTTGAATCTCCCACGGCGGGATGAAGCCAACTTCTTGTAAGAAGGTCCATCCCGTGGTAGGCAAATATCCTGCTGCCTCCTGATATCTATCAATAGCTCGTAGGAGTGTGCAGCCGAGGGTTTGGAAACGCGAGTATTTTGGGAATTTCTGATAGCTGGCCCATAGTTCAATGAACTGCAGGATCTCCAGGTCCGTCTCAGACCATTCTGGCTTTTCTTGTGCCGGTTTGGAGGATAGTCCGATCATACCAACATTCGACCACTCTCGATTTCTCCGGCTTTCGTCGATCAATTTCTGGGCATTGGCTACGAAGGATGCTATAGGTGAGTCGGGTTTTGACAGAGCAAATCTGGCATCACCTTTCATGGTCAAATACTCTCGCACAATTTTTTCAATCTTTTGCACGAGACGAACCTCTGAGAGTGGACTAACTTCGAATAAGTATGATCTCTTATGTCCCCTTCGAAAAAGTGGTCTGAAAAACACCTCATCTTGTAGCAACGCTCGATGGACTGCATAGAGGGACTGAGCGCTAAACTTCTCTCCGCGCTTGATTGTATCGGAGATCAAAAGTTCAGCAATTTCGTGTAAGGTAAGGTATCGGTGCTTGATAGGGTCTCCTATAAAGGAGCTAGAGGCGTCGAGGGTGCCAGCATTCGCCTGATACACAGCTTCCGCGCTCTGAATAAATTCAAGCATTTTGCGCAGAAGTACTGCTCCTGCGGCTTGTGATGGGCCTTCTCCTAAATCTTGAAGAACATTCAGTTCTTCAATGGAGAATTCAACCTGAGGCAGAGCGTCGATGACTGGTTTCAGCTCATCCATTGTGGCGAAGTTGTTAACCACAAACAGAGTCCTGATGCCTATGGCTGAAAACCACTTCCCGCTGACTGTGTAGAAATGCTCATATCCCTGAAGACGGCCGAGACAAACGGCGACAATAGGTCGCCTCGAACCCTCAGAGCTACGCGCACGGTATTAGCGGATGAAAAATGAGAAGGTAAATACGGGGGAACGCACCATAGTTCGACGAGGTCGCCAGCGCTTAACATGGCATCATCAGAACGCAAATCCGCCAGTTCATCTCCAATGAATAAGGGCGTGCTATCCTCAGGGTCAAACTCCATCAAGCTCACATTCTGTGGGCGGGTATGTGAATTTGATAAGCTTCCATGACTTGCAAGGTCACTCAACATCATTTCACCCTTGGTTGGATTCTCCTTTTCCCATATACGTAAACGTTCTCGTATGGGTAACCTGCTTTTCTCGTCCTGCTGCCCACTAACAGGAGCCTCACTAGGTGCACCTTGCTTAGATTGGTTGTGCTGTGCCGTTGCCAGCTTCGGAAATACAATGTCAGCATTTATTTCAATGTGTTAAATAGACAGGCGAGCGTTATTACCTTTCTAGATGAAGTATTCATATATTGAGCTGCCCTGTAGATACCTCCGACCCTCGGTGGTGGTATGCGCGACCATGGAGAGGACGGGCCCGGAACCAGTCGCCGAGAGGTACACCTCCAACATATATACGATCGACCAGAAGCTTGTAACATCATTATTTGATTTGCAACAAGCCGTGTCAGGCAACAGTGATGCTGAGAAATCACAAGACGCAATGCGGATATGAGACTTGATATTGGCAAAATTTCCAGTGAGGGTGGCAACGTCCTGCATACTGCTATCGCCAGGTGTGTGTCGTTCATTGCAGCTGTCAATGGGCCCTGAGTGGGGTATCTATCCTATGTTGGCTCTGATTGGTTGATCGAGGTACATCGCTACTTACGTGAAAGTCGCGAGAATTTACATCATGATATACGGTACCTATCACATATAAATAAGTACCTAGTACTAGATCTTTCTAACTTATGGCTCTATGTAGATATGTTCCTATCCTAAACTCCTATTTGAGTATAAGATCATTTTTGGTGATTGGTACCCTTTTCTAGTTGTGCCCTCTTTTCCGCCTCGCTTGTGCCTGCTGCTAGGTATCCTACAATTGCGAAAGCTGCCAGTGGCGGCTAGAGACAAGATCTTGTATACGTCGACATTACCTATCAAGAGCGTTGAATTCATAGTTAGGCACAGGAAGTGACCTTGTTCGAGCTCAGCTGATGAAGGCGGTGTAAGCCCGTGACTTGCTTGATCTGAGACATTGCTTGGGAGAAAATGCGGTGAAAACCTAGAAATCTCGGGCTCGCGTGGGAGCCGTCATAGTCACTCACCAGGTAGCATACGGTATGCGGTACGACATGACAAAAGAGGAATACCACCGATATTAGCATTATGTAAAATAATGAGGCCTCACAAAGTACCGAAAACAATTGGCCGGTGTTCTCCCTTGCCTGAAGTTTCAATCGCTCCTGCTCGTATTGTGATTACAACGTAGACTGATCATGTTCAAGGCCCAACATAAAAAAATAAAATAAAAAAGAAGAGGTTAATATCGAGAGACCAAATGATTTACAAGCTGTTTTGTGAGACAAAAACCAGATACCGCCATAGTAGTTAGAGCTCGAAGAGCTTGTTTTAGGGAGTAGCGGGGATAGCTGGTGGTCTCGCCCTGCGTAGATGGCGATCGCTGACCGGAACTGAAATGAGGTGTGTAAGTAAATGATAAATAACGAACGAGAACCGTACTCAACAGGAGGTATCGTATCTTCTATATGTGTTAGCGTAGGAGTAGAAGCCCCTGAATTTATCATCATTTGATTAAGACGTAAGTAGGTGGTCGATATAAGCACCAATACCTCGTAACTTAAGTGTGCGCTTGTATATTGGAGTCCCTAACCTGCAATAATCTGTGCCTTGTTGTGAGCGGCAGGAAGGTGTATGCATGAACAATGGATGGAGGAATCCGGGGGCAGATGCTATTTATTGACCAGGATCTACCAGGACTTGAGGCGAGCTTGGGAGCGTTGTGTTGGATTTCGACATTCAAGTCACTGATAAATGTACTTATGGCTACCTAAGGAAAGTCTCGCTCCCCATTGGTTAAGAATCTGTATAGGTTGCATACCTGAGTTACGATGGACTTCAATATAATCTCAGCGAATGTGGTAGTAGAGAACGGAATCAAGATGAATTGAAGATTGGACTGAAGATGGATAGCAAGTACATACATAGTAGTAGCTGACAGCAATCAAATGCAAGGCACGAGCTATGTACCCCACATGGTCAGGTCAAAGATGCGAGTCAATGCAGGTACCGGCTTCTAAATCCCGATCAGTGCTCGATCTGGCCAGCCTCGGCTGAGAAATGATCGGCTGGCCAGCATTTAGCAGCAATCATCACCATCGTCATCATCACAATGCTCTGGTCGTCGCTCGAGCCAGTCGTTCAGTTTGAATTGCTAGCTACCACCGCGCTGAATGCTTCTGCCAGGTAGCTATAAGCAGCCTTTTGATGAAAATATCTGCCTACATACCTACCTACGTACATACCATATATAGTCAACTATCTATTTACGTAATAACAGTCGGTCTCGTTACTTATAGTACTATGTAGAATCATGTTTGCCTCTTCTCGGCTCTTTACTTGTTTCTTTACTCTGTATCTGCTCTGTACTCGAAAGATTTCTTAGGCAATCGACGGACGGGCATCCATCCATACTTACTAGGGTAAATGAATTGTTCCTGGACAATTAACCTGGACTACTCGTATCCTGAATAGGTAAGGGGTCAGGCAATGCCGGGTTGCAAGAGCCTAAAAGGGGCGAAGGGTACCTATTCTATCCACTAACCGACCAGCCTGCCCTCGCCTGCTTTTGAAGTACCTACACCATCTCAGAAACCATCCTCGCCATCTCTCGCAAGTGAGGAGGAGTGTAGTCGAGGGAGTGCAGTGAAGCGGTAGGGAGTAATTTCGCTTAGACCCGCAGGCAATCTCCCCTTTCTGCCCCCAGGCCACACAACCCCTGCATACGACCTGTATAACCGGGGCTTGGGGGACCCGCCAACTTCGCTGGACCCTCTTGGCTTCAGTCGTTCCTCCACTCCCCATCACACCTCGAGATCCTGTCCGGATGTTGGACGCTGGGCGAGATGCCCTGAGTGCCTCTCATCTCGCACGCAAGTGGCGTTGTCACGGTCAGCAAGTACACTTACCGCCGTCCTTCATCCACTCTAAGTACACACGCATTGCTTACATACATGGGATAATAGTCTAGGTATCTCATGTGCCGGGTAGCGAAGTAGAGCATGTTGAGCGTACCAAGTCCCGAGTCCCAAGTCGATGGGCTTCCTTCCCTTCCTTTCAGGTTGGGTCCATTGTCGCTCAAAGGGTGCAGAGTGAGGACTTGCCATGACAGAGAATAGCTGTTGCGAGAGTCGCTCGCCTTCAAACCTGCAATGAGTCGCGCGAATGGCGCTGCCACGACTCGCGATACGGTGAAGCAGAAGAGCTCGGGGCACGAACCCCGGCTCTGGCCAGAGAGTGACTACACCGTCTTGGGAGATGATGCATACTTAAATGTACATCTGGGTGACTGGGGTGCTTCTTTGTGACTGGCCAGCCTGCCAACCTGCCCCGTCTGTACGAACAAAGGAGTGCCAGCATCTTGCTGCGCCTTACCAGAAAAACAAACACCAGGTAAAATTGGCGCCAGAAGACCCATGGCGCCTCGGCCACGTAATAAAACTAACGAGCATGCTGTCTACACCATGGCCCCTTTCCCTTTCTCCTCTTCTCCACGAAGCTGTCTGCTTTTAATGGCCACGCCTGACGCCAATCCGTCTTTCGTTTCTCGCTACATCCCACCAACCGCTTCACTCTTTTAGCGGGCACTCGTTTTTATCACGACATCACGAAGAGGAACAGAGCCATTCATATACGATCTAGAGCATTGGAATTTAACCGTTGGAGTTTTTGGAAAGAAAAAGTTGGAAAATGAAGGCAACTCTGGCGGTCGCAGCTCTCGCTGCTGGTGTTAGTGCTGGCAGTGTCCACCACAGACACATCCACGCCCACGCGAAGAAGGGTTACGAAGCTGAGGATACTTGTGGCTGCACAACTGTCTATAGCACCTACTATGGCGAGCCTACTCGTATGTGATTGAAACCCTTGCCCAAACTACCTATCCTCAGGTGCAGTTTGTTGAGAGACGGGAGCTGATAATAATAGTAATCTTCCCCCCTGCCCCATCGCCGGAGCCCACGACGGCGTCTTCCACTCAGGTCGTCGTGCCTACGCCGATTCCTCAGACATGCCCTACCACCGGTGTCTACACTTTCCCAGCCACCACCATTACTTTGACCGATTCTACTACTGTCGCCGTTCCATATACGACGTCGGTTCCTGCTGGTACACACACTCTTGGTGGTGTTACTACTGTCGTGACAACTGCCACCACTGTCGTATGCCCGTACGCTACTGTCTCGACTAGCGAGGGTGTAACAACGAGCGTTATCGAGAGCACCACATACGTGTGCCCGTCCGCTGGTACTTACACTATTGCCCCTACCACCACGACTGTGACCGAGGATACGACTGTGACTATCCCCTCCGTCACGAGCTACCCTGCTGGTACATACACTCAGCCCGAGGTTGTCACTACTGTCTATGAGACGAGCACTGTAGTATACTGCCCCTTCGATATCCCAACCCCATCAAGCAGCTCGGTTGAGACCTATGTCGCCGAAACCACTCCTGTCGAAACACCAGTCTATGTTCCGGAGACCACCAGCACACCCGTTGTTGAGACTCCCATTGTTGAGACTCCTGTTGAAGTGCCTACCTACCCTGTTACGACCTCAGTGCCTGAGCCCTCGACAACATCCTCCAAGCACACTCCAAAGCCCACTCAGGGCAGCCCCGGCAAGACCCCTGCCAAGGGCACTCCTGGAAAGCCTTGGGCTGTCACCTACACTCCTTACCAGACAACCCCTGGTGGTGGTTGCAAATCTCAGGGCGAAGTGAACAGTGACATTGCTGCTATTGCTGCCGCCGGCGTCACGACCATTCGTGTTTACTCCACTGACTGCAGCACTCTTGAGTTTGTCGGCGGTGCTTGTGAGGCTCACGGGATCAAGATGATTCTGGGTATCTATGTCGATGAGCCTGGCTGTGATGCCGGCAACCCCAGTGTTACCGAGCAAATTAGCTCAATCAAGGCTTGGGGTAAATGGAATCTCGTCTCTTTGATTACCGTTGGTAATGAGGCTGTTTTGCACGGCTTCTGTACTCCCAGTGAACTTGCTGGTCTCATTTCTACCACCAAGGAGCAACTCAGCTACACTGGACCTTATTCAACTGCCGAGACCGTCAACATTTGGCAACAGGAAGAGTTCTCCAGCCTTGTCTGCCCTGTTGTTGACTTTGTCGGTGCCAATGCTCATGCTTTCTTCAACACGGAGACAACTGCCGATCAGGCTGGTCAGTTTGTTAAGGGCCAGCTTGATATTATCGATAACATTTGCGCTGGCAAGGAGGGCCGTGTCATGGAGACCGGCTGGCCCAACGCTGGACAGGCTCTTGGTCTGGCTGTTCCTGGTGCCAGCCAACAAGCTGTTGCTATCAAGTCCATTGTTAAGGAGCTTGGTGACAAGGCCGTCATCTTCAGTCTCACCTCGGATGCCTGGAAGGACGGTAACACTCAGTGCCAGTGTGAGCAGCACTGGGGTTGCGCATCTGTGCTTGGCATCAACATGTAAAGGCATTGATCAATCTCTGCATGATTCAAGGGGCTTTATTTTACATACTTGAACGTATTTCGGTCAAGGTAGAACAAATCATGGGTTGCGTTGACAATTATTGCGGTGTCTCGGAAGATCACACGGGTGATTACATATAACCCTCTAAGCGTGGCGATTAGAAAACATTAGCTTCCATATGAGTCGTCGCGTGGTTGTGGGTCTGTCTCATAATATTGTAATTTACTAGTGTCTATTTATGATTTATTGGTGTCTTGTTCCCAATATGCTCCCAATTCTCGCTGTCTTGGTGTTTTCTGTGTATTGAGGACCGGTTTAAACAGATAACCGCTGAGGACTTCTTGCTGAAATGTTATTTTCCTTCGAGACTTTTAGAGCGTTCATTCCCAGTGTGCTGTCTATGTGAGATTCTTGCCATCTTTGCTTTAGATCTGGGAGACCTTTGTCGATATGATTAACAGTCGCTGATAGCTCGTACAAGTATCAATAGTTTGTTTATGCATCCATGTATTTAATGTTCTCTTGACATCTTTTCAAACCAAAACGTCATGAGTTTTGTCCTCATCGGCGTAAATTTATTGCTGTGTTCAGTCTGGAAGATATCCTCGGACTACAACGCGATACAACGGGCAGTACACGACACATCATCTCTTGCCTCGACTCAAAGGTGATTTGTTTGTCCAAGTCTCTGGGTGTTGTTGTTTCCATACCGAGTACGCCGCGGTAAGAAGGGTCTTTCGCAATACAGTATAGAACGATGAGAGTCATCTAAACCATCCCCTTTGTTCTGCATGCATCTCAGGGCATCGACTTATTTTGAGAGGGGATTCGTCTAGCTAGGTGTCGCCATTGTGGTTAGTGAATTCTTTGAAAGGTCACTAAGCATCACAGAATCTAGACGTGTATATGCCGAACTCGTGGCGGCGCTTACACAATGGCTATGTAAGTGGGTGTGTAGCTAGGCATGATATGAATACGCGCTTATAGAGACACCATGATCCGCTTTGGCTCAATGATAGTGACATCTTTAATGCGATAGTTCCTTTAGAGGGGAGCAATATATACATAGATGCCTATGTTTGTGTGGTAAATCGAATTGGCCGACAAGAGTTCACCACTTACATTTTTTAATGCGAAGATATTTCTACCGCCCTAGCACATTCATATGGATAAACTAAGTCTCATCATAACCCTTTGGCGTTTCCCTGACACGGCGCTCGACTCGCGATGCGGAAGTCGATAGTTAGGAAACCAAGCCGGATTTACTCGAGCGAGGCTAAACATCATTGTGATAGGAAAGAAGGTATTACCTACCCATTTCCTACACCTCACAGTTGACATGGCGAAAACTAACAGGACAACGGTCAGAATCTGTGCCATATCAATGGTACACGTTATACTATAGTTCTAAACACATCTTTACGGTTAAAGAGAAACCTGACTGCGTCCTGTCTACATATTCCATGCGACCTCTAGCGGCTTCGCGTATATAAACAGTGTGATAAGTGCACGTAGCTGGCCGAGGCTTGTGTGAGGGATTCCTTCACACATTCGTAGCGTTATTGATACAGCCCAATACGCCAGAATATACACACACATGCATATATATATATATACAATCCTTCCTCGAGATGGCAGCCACTTTCTACGGGGCTTTGAAATCCGAAGATAGAAAATCATAAGCTGGGAAGGTAAGCTATGCCTTTAAGCGTCAGGCTACTTGTGGTGTTGACTCGTTGACGAAGAATTCCAAAGCCTACAAATTTGAATCTGAACCTACTGATATATTGATACTTGCTAATTACCTGCTACTTTACATCATTTCAAGGGACAGGAGCATCGGCTTCCAGGCCTTAAGCTCAACATCCTCTTGCCGCTCATATACACAACGAACGCTGTTCTAATATCCGTCATAACGCGAGTGACCCGAGACCTAGTAGAGTGAGAAGTGAGAAATCTACGAGCGCGAGAAACTTCGACACAACCGATGCTCTAAATCTGCTAAATAGTAGAGACTAGGATAATACATCAAATAATGAGGGCTATATTTAGCAGAGGCACTAATCCAGGTTGCTACAACCAATGTTCTCCTCCCCTCGCGAGACGATGCCAGAAGAGAGCGGCGGCTCTTCTATATCTCAAGATGATGTATCTTGTACAGTTCTTTCGGCCGCCGGGTCTCTTTTCTAACCGAGTCTGTACGCAGCATCATGTCCCACAAGTGACATGGGAAATATCGACCGCAATCCAAAAGTATTCCAACAAGCCAGGCCTCGGATCGGAAATAGCCGCATTCGTCAAGGTTGATTAGGCCGCCTGACACCGTTGCCCTCATGAACCAATAATACTCTGCCTTATCTAACCCCATCCAGGGCTTAATAGGAGCGCATGACGAAAGCTCGTTGGCAATGCTCTAGTTACCGCAGTTCTTTCCCTCCACCCAGCCACCCGGCTACTTCCTACTTCCCCCAGGGCCAATGCCGAGATACGGTAGAAGCCCGGCGTTACGCTATGCCCTCTTATGCTATGCTATGCTACGCTATGGTACGTGGCTGCTACGTGGGTCAACAGTAGCGGTGGAGGGGCCAACGTCAAGTTGACGTCTACCTGTCTGTTCATCTGTTCACCTGCTTACCTCCTTAACCGTCTTTCATTTTGCTGAGGTAGACCAGAAATGGAGAATAATATGTCTCTATGCTCGAGTTAAGGAGACGAGGAGCAGAGACAGGTAGGCAGCGAACTAATGAGCTAGGTGCTCAGGCAGGTATATTGACATGGAGGTAAGTACTGTGCTGTCAAGATAGACTGGGACCAAGGAAAGAAATCTATCACGGGGGGTTTCAAGCATAAAACGAGATGAAAAGGGGCAACTTGGATATTTACCAAGCTATGTATACAACTTAGAAACATATCCGAGATCCCATGTCGCGACTATTATATCGTTTGCCCGAGGAATTGTCTTCGCATATGTGTGATTGCATCCAAGCAAGTAACAAAACATGTCAGGTGACGACAGCAACGACGAACACGTAACCAGCCCTCGACCCCCAGCACATATACCCACCGCTCCAAAATTAATATACCGACGTCAAGATCTGTAAAAGTCAGAAGAAAAGGATCGCACGCACGCACGCACGCACGTACAATGATCGCCCTCACTGCCAAGCCCAACCCCGTACAGCGCTACGACATGCAAGCCAGCAGGCAACTGCCTGTCTCTCCAAATGCTTCACTTCTGTCCAAGGAGGACGGATCCGAGAGAAGGAAGGAAGGTAGACCCGGTCATGCCCCACCCTTGTACGGCATTTGAAAGTGGAATTAGAATCCCGATCCGATCCATCTGTCTGCTTGTCTGCCTTGGTTCCGAGCGCAAAGTACAGTACCTAGCCGAGCTACGGCAATTCACTCCCCTTCTCGAGACATAGTTCGTATCAGAGGGGGGAACTGATTGAAGTGTCCGAGCGAAGGGGCGGAGTAGGGTTGGTATCGAGATCTGCCAAGGTTGTATTAATATGACTACTTACTGTAATCTTCCCTGATAGGACAAGCAATTAGGTGGGAGAGCAGTCCAATTAGAGAAAAATAAGGGACATAAAAGAGCTTGGTGCGGCGAAAGAAAATTTCATCGTGCAGGAAAAACTGCTTTTAGATAAAACCCGCCTCTACCTACATACGTAGTATGTATATATGCATGTACTTTAATGGATGTCTACCCAATAGCAACCTGGCTTCCAAGACTGGCCTGGGTCTGAATGTATAGGAACATGCAGGCTTCACCCTAGCAACACCCAATAATTTCCAAGGAAAATGTAGCAGCCATTGCAGCAGCGTCTAACCTCGACGCGGGGGTTCTGCTCGTCCGGACCAGTTCATTCGGCCGGCATGCATGATAATGGCGTATGGCCGCCTCCCTATACACGACCTCTTATCCAATCGCAATGATCGAAGCGCTTCCTTAGAGCATCAAACATAAGGCTATGAGATATAGAGAGAAACTATGCGGTGAAAATGAACAGGAAATCAGAAATAACGGTATATCCGAGAATGCTAGTCACCCAAAACCATCCCTGAATGCTCCTCTTATCCCAAACGCCTACCCACCAGATGATCATATGCTAGTCCAATAAACGGTGAACACTAGAAGAACCAATCCTCAACCATGGAAGCTTGTCGTTGTTTCTGCGAGAGAGTCACTTGTGTTCGAGGATGGTCTACAACCTGCTGCGGTGTTGATAACCAGTCGTATCCTGGCTCGACCCACCCGTAGTCTCCCAGATATTGTCTCCGCATGTAACTAAAAGTGTCCTCCGCTCCATGATCGCACCGCTCGAGACGTAGTACTCCTCCACGTACCGGGTCGCTTGACAGCGCCATGATCTCTTGACCGGCATTGGCGAAAGATACGCCGGCAAGTTCGCCGAAAATGTCAATTGTTTGTTTGGATTCAAAGGTTTGTGCGTCGATGAGATTGATCACGTCGGCTTCCTCCGCGGCAAGAAGGAGTCGTTTTCCGGACCCGAGTGGAGAAAAGCGTAGGCTGCGGACACCCGCCATCTCGCTTCGCAATACAGCAACGCTGTTTTTCCACATCCGAGCATCCCAGATCCTGATAGTTTTGTCTTGATTACCTGTAGCTATGGTCCAGCCGTCTGGTGCCCAATCACAAGCGAAGCCAAAGTCTCTGTGCCCGTTGAGACCTTGTAACACTTCGCCTGTTTCTGCATCTGTGATAAGAACCTCTCGTAGGTCACCAACCATCACACGAAGCCTCTTATCTGGACTTAGAGCTGTACAGTTGAGCGCATGGTCGTACATCTTATCAAGGACGATTTCATTCCTGGCCAGGTCTACCATGCGAAAACCGAAATCGTTTGAAGCAAAAGCTGCTAGTGGTATAGATGAGCGACGGGACGAATTGACTTGCACATGATTGGTAATACCACTAACGTGGTCGGTCAGTCTTCCATCGTAACAATGGGGGTCACCACCTGTTCCAATAGAACGGTAGCGATATGTACCGTGAAAACCGCCAGTGATCAGAATTCCCTCCTCCGCTGCCAGCGTAGAAATTTGGGCATCATCGCTGTTTTTGAACTTCATAGCAATTTTGACTTCGCTTGTGGTAGGATCTAATTCCCGTATAGTCCCTGATACACAGGGATAATAGACAGCTGTCCGAGAAGCACAGCCCATAATGTTGCGTAATTGAAAGTGCATCAAACGAACATCACTGCATAAATCCATGCTGCGAAATCGAAAATAATTTTCATGGCGCCGAGGTAACTTGTCGGGCATGGAGCTGTCCCAGGCATCTGAATCAGGTATGTTGGTATAATTACGGAAAAGCTTAGTGCGGCACTTCCGTGCTGAGCCCCTGGTAACCCCTAGGTCCTGCCAGTTGATGCCTTGCGGATCGCATGCGTCGCCTTTCAAATCTTCGTACGTAATCCTTGAACGGCGGATTTGCGCTATGCTAAGCTCATTCCTTGGTGTGGATCTTATATCCTTCAACTGGGCATGCCTTTTGCACCATGACCAAAACCGCACAAAATCCAGTGAGTTGGAGTTATCGGGCAGAATACCAGGGCCGGCATTGGGCGTGAGGAGCGGGTAGGGTTCAAACTCATCACCACCAAAGCCAAACACGTCTGACTCTTCCGTGACTGGCTGTGCTTCAGGCAAGGGGTAATGAATAGTTACAGGGTCGGTCAAAACATCGACCGCTGTCTGTATTGATGCCTGCGCAAAAGTAATATTCGTAGAGGTATCGATGGTGTCAGGTCCTGAAGATACACTTTGTGGTGGTAACATAGGCGACTGGTCCCCCATGCCTTCCATACTGATATCATACAAAGGCGCGCCGCCTTCCTCGGCATCTACGAAATCGTGGTCATTGTCTCCAACGTATTGTATAGCATCGGCTTCAGCAGGAGAGTGGTGTTGATTTTGCGCATGGGCGGGCCAAGGGAGCAAAGAAGGTAATTCGGGACTTTGAAGCTCGTCGTGATTTGTGGAAGCGACTATATGATAGACAGCATTATCTGTGGTCGATCCAACGGAGTGAGGTTGTATAGAAACATCTTCCTCAGTGGAAGGGCGATCAGGCTCGAGGGAGGACGAGCCTGGTGGCACATTCTGAGGGCGCATTCTCTACTTAGAGGGATCAATAGGGTCCGCGGCGGCGATTTATTGGGCCTCGAGAGGATGGTGAGAACGAGCCGGATTATCAGACTTGACCAAGGCTAACTGTCTCGGGCAAGCCTGGAGGAGGGCTGTGACGGTCAGGAATGGCCAAGCCTCGTAGTAATATGCGAAAGCGTTGCTTTTCTGGGACTATCAGCGATGCGTGGTGCGGGATGCCACTTCAGGTAGGCTCGCACGCCACCGTTCAAATCCCGCCAGGTAAGGTTGTGTGGTTGTCGCAGCCCGTGGGAAGGGTAATGCACGCTGTCCAAGGAGATGAACCTAGGTAGCCCGGTTGCGTTAGAAAGAAACAATACCAGAGGGTAAATATATGCATCACAAGGCTGGCGGGCATTTGACAGGCAGCGTTGACAGGAACTCGGGCTAGGCTGATATGAGGGCTGATATGGGGGAGGGAGAAGACTGCGCTGCGGGAGCGATGACGATCTTCTGCTTGCGGCTGCTTTGGGATAAGCCAGCCGGTCCGAGGCTTTCCACGTAGGTTCTCGGTATGCACTCCAACTGGGGCTGACAGGACCTGAAGATCTCGGCGCAAGTGAAGACCCAGGATGATGGCCGGGATCGATCAGACAGGGTATGCATACCATGAAGTACCAGTAGGTAGGATTTCTGTCTCAAAAGTAGCTGCCGTCGCAGTGGATGTGGAGGACGGTATATCGGCGAGCGGCCGCGCGGTATCTGTAGATGGTCGTTATGCAGATTCGCGAATCAATACCGGGGGTCAATGGGGTCAATGGGGTCAGTGGAGGAGAATGAGCAAAGAGAGAATGATGCGCATAATGTCAAGGCATGTCGACGGCTGATGCTAGCTAGTCGTGGTCGTGGTCGTAGTCGTAGTCGTAGTCGTAGTCGAATTAGTTAGCGGTAGTAGATCGGAACGAGTACTTGGAGGTAGGTGGTGAGTAGTGCCGAGTAGTGGTAATCCGTGGTTGAGGGATACCGGTAGACGACGGATGCACAGGTGTGATGTGAGAATTACCACAATGTTAAGCAATGTTAAATACCCCGTATGAGGGCCAACGGCGATCGAAGCTTGCATGCCTCGTCCGTCCTAGGCAAGTACCTACCGTCTACCTACTTCGTACCTGCCTGTCTACATACGGCAGTCCTGTACCTTGTCTGCAGCGATGAGTAGATTAGCTTACTCAACCTCAGCGTTTTCTCTACCAGTATCCGGGCTGTAGGTATCTATCTATCTACCTGCCCGCTGCCCTGTTCCCTGTCGGCCGGAGGGTCAAACTGATCACGGGGTACAGGAGAGCGAGGGGGGAGGGACGAGGGAGGGGCCAACAGCTGTAATCCGCCGCCTGCACTTCACACTTCAAGAGTTGCGCTGCCTGACTCGGCTCTGCTTGCAGCAAGAAACAGGATAAGGTGTGCTGGTACTTGGCAGGTACTTGGTAGCTGTACTTTACTTACTGTAGCTGCATACTGAGTACGAAGTATGTATGTGCTCACTTCCCCGTTGGTTGGTGTCGTTGTGCATGACTATGGGCGGACAGACGGGGGCGGTTCGTTGGCTCGGCACCGGATATTTCAAGGTTACTTAAGTAGATAGGTAGGTACTGTATGTAGTTGTGCACTCACGGTAGGTACTTTATCAAACGTGTGTGTAAATGTAGGTAGGTAGGTAACTTGAAGTAAGCTGTTGTGTATGTAGTGATGGTGAGCGCCGATAGATACATACATGTAGATAGATGTATGAGTTGCATCGGCGGCGGCGGTCGAGGGTCTACACTAATGTACCTTGTAAAGACAGGGCGGAAGACAGGGGTCGAACGCAGCCGAGTACTATGTAGATAATCTACCTTATTACTTTAGGTACGTACGATACTATAACTACATTATCTCTCTGCCTTCTTGTCATGCTTTCCATCCTGAAGTAGATTCCTCAAGCCGAGACAGAATCCGAGCCCTGTTATTTCCTTTGAGTGCCTACTTAGACGGCGGCTATATCTTTGCCTCTCCCGCCGAAGTGCCTGACAAGATGAGAAGTTGAGGTACAATACTGTAATGCAGCGCCGGATGAGGCAGGGTAAGGCAGTTGCCAGTAAATGACGTTATCATATTACGCAACGCAACTACCGATGCCCTCTCTCGCTCTCTCACTCTCCCATCCGTCAGATTTCCGTATGAATGTTTTAATCAGGAGCCTGGTTAAGCGCCGACGTATCACTGGACTGGACTGGGCTGGGCTGGACTCCATGTCATCGAGTGTGGTTGTGTGTGGTTGACAATCTGCACTACCTTTGCCTACTTCCCTGCACTCCTTTCTTACATCAGAAACCATCCGTGGCCGTCACATATCAACACCGCAATTCAATGCTTACATGCTTTGAACTTACAGCTTCGGATAAACCCCCCTCCCCCCCACAGATACAGCAGGTAGAACGGGAGTTGTCAGGTTATTTGTCTTTCTCTCTGTCTCCTCCATAATCCCCCGCCCTCCCCCCGGCACCCCTCCGGGGCGAACTGAACTATAACAGACTGGAGAACACGTTCCAACTGGCTGGTCGACCCATGTCTTCTGGCTACGAAACCACGGCTCAGGAATCGATGACCTATCTGTCACTTATGCTCCCTGTTGTTCCCACAATTACCATTGGCACGTTGGGCATTCCCCTGTGGGCGCATCAGAGAGGGTCGCGGGATGTACTCGTAATTCGGCTGCTGCCCATGAAATGTGCGTATGCGTACGTCTCCTGGCGAGTGATCTATCACATTTCCTCTCCAAAAACCGTTACAGCGAAGTACCTGTCATTCCGCGACTCGACCAGTGGCCCGGTCCTTCGCCTTGACAAGATGGGCAACCTTGATTTGTTCGGCACCATTTCGCCGTGTGGAGGGGGTGAGAAGAAATCCATGCGAGGAACACTCTCCGGGGCTTTATCGTCCATTGCTCTGTAGCCGGTGTAGACGGTTCGAGGCGCCTTGCCTTGTATTAGCCGACTTGCGCCCATGGCAAGCCACTGGCGGAAAGCACACCAACTACCTGCTAGAGACTGATGGTATGCAGTACTTGTCGCAGGGACTTGTTGGCTCACTTCCAGGTTCATATTCAGTCTTGACAAAATGTTACAATGCGTATGCCTATGGTGTGTAATGATACGAAACCATGACTTCTGCGGCTCATCCCGTCCTGTTTCAGTCCTACCCAAAGCGCCCTTTGAGCCCAACAATCCACCACTCAGCGTTGAATAAGTCCCTACCGTATGTTTGCTCATATATACCTGCCTTAAATACAGCTGTTAGCAATGAATAGCTCCGGCACTCCCCGGGTTGTCATGTACTCCACCTCTGACCTCCCGGTACTACTACGTGCAGTTGATGGAGATCGCGATGTCAGGTGAGCAACAAAACTAACCAACACTAGGTTCAAGAATCAGGTTCAAAGGATGCTGACTGAGTCTTACTTTTATGCCATAGTGTAAGTGTTAACTGGGGGCTTAATGCCTCTCTGATAAAATCTTAGAACTGCAAGCAGTCTGGCGAGACGAGGCTCTGATCTCTTCCGGTCAACGGAGCATTCGAGCATGTACCTTACTAAAGCATTAACGCCGCGACTTGTGGGTTCGGCTATATGCAATAAAGGGCCCGTGATCTTGCATCGATCCGAAGCATTCAAGTTGGCTAGGTATTATCAGTCGCATCGCGTTTCTATTATTATCAATATGGTCTATCACATCTGTGGGGGCATGTGATTTTGTTCTCGGGATCTTCTTTAACGGCCAACCTACTTTTCCAAGCGCCAGAGTGAGTGTACTACCGGTACGTATCTACACAAAAGCGCATTTACCGCGCCATGTACTTCTGTCATGCAGAATACCTAGTGGTATCTGACAATGAGCTGGCCCACGGTAACCAAGAGAAAAGCACGAATGATTCCTAGGGCAGTGAGATGTGACATCTAAATGATATGTGATAGGTTTGGTCTCTGCGCTCCAAAACAATGCTTGTCTTATCCCCAACCTTGAATCCACACCGTCTGCGATGGGGAATTGTTCGATTCCAATTGCTGGGGCCCGGCAGAATGGTTCGCCTTTCTCGCCAGGCAGCAGAAAATCTATAGCCCCGTTCCTTGCTTCGTCCGTTCCAAGGTCCGCTAGCGCCGCCACGCGCCGTTGACTCCAATATCGCAGAGGGTGGCCACGTTCACGTGGCTGTTACTTCTGACGGAGGGCTGGCTACGGCCGACGAAACGGACGCCAAAGAAATGGCCACCCATCTGGCTGGGCGTCGAAAGCCACAGCTAGGGACACGCAAGTAACTAAGCCGTTCACGGCATGTGTAGGCGGTTTGGGCTGAAAAAGCGATGGTATCTGTGAAGAATTGATATACCTACCGTATCTGATGTCGGGTAAGTCGGATTACTACCTTCGAATACAGTCCCGAATGCCATGGGACCCATATCTCGTTAGAGCTCAATGGGTTGTAGAATAGATCAATTCAAACAAGATCGGCTGGTACTCTAGTAACGTAACGGATGGAATTATGATGATATTGATGTATGCCATATACAGAACTAATCGAGTCTCGCACACCAGATTCCCAGCCACCGCATCCATTATATATAAATCTCTAGACACCAATAACCTGATGCGAACGAGTCGCTAGGCCACGAATCAACTATGCCATTACCCCCCCTTTACAAAAACTACTAGAGTAGTTTGATGGCAAAGGAGTTAAAAAAAAGAACTTCCCCATCTCAAAATTTCTCATTCCCATGCCTTATATGCCAGGATAATACTGGTCATCATATGGATGCTGAGATGCTCTAGGCCAGTGGCCATTACCCGCAACACTTTCTCGAGAGGCCCAGAAGTTGTCCTCTTTCGTACGGCGCTCGCGCTCGAACTCAGCCCATCGTCGCATCTTGATTTTGCTACTGTCGAACTCGCCTTCATACTCGATACCGGCTTTCTTAGTCTTTTCACCTGCCGTCTTTCGAGTATCGCCCCAAGAGAAATCGTCAAATTTCCAGAAGGCGTAAGCAGGAAGCACGAAGTTCCAAATAGGAAGGGATATAAGATAGATGAACATCCACACCACGTAAGTCCAAGAATGAGCTGTGACTACGATAAGGACCGCAGGCAGACCGAGAATCAGAGCCAGTAGAACAAGAGGGATTACCTGTACGGTTGGGCCCACAATGGATATAATAACTAAAATCAAAATTAGAATGAGTGCCAATTTGTAGATTACAAGGATGAACTTACCAACATATAGAGTGAAGGCAATAGCTGCCGGCAATACAAGTGTACCAATCAAGTCGATGAATACGATAAATTGCATGCTGAAGCAGAAAGTACCACAGAGGTCTTTGACGAGAACCAATTCCATGAGGTTGTGAACGGTCGAGTTGATCCATCTTCGACGCTGTGAAAGTAGCACGCTAAATTCATCTGGGACGGTAGTTTTGCAAACCGCCTGCGGAACAAAGACCTGTTTGCGTTTGGGAAAGGTTCGTAGCATGAGTGTAGTCAAGTATCGGTCTTCACCCAGTAGCAACAGATTCTTCGTGTGCAAAGTGTCGACCACATTTTCAGAGTAGTGTTCGACGATATCAGGATTGGCCAAGATCGGGACCCAGAAATTCTGTGCCTTCGGGGCCTTGATGCGGTACATACAGAAACAACCAGGCAGGCAGGTAACACCACCGAAGCATGACTCAAAGGACTTGGCTTGGTGATGAGAAATAAAGTACTCAAATACCTGGATGGCTGTGACCCAGCTCTGATTTTTGTTGGCGATCTTGGTTTCACCACACAGACCCATGATATCAGGATCACGCACCAAGGCACACAGCATATGGGTCAAGCTGTCGGGGAAAATCTTGGTATCGGCGTCAACCATTAGAACCGCTTCATAGTAATCGGGTGATATGCCGGTGACCTTCCAAAGACCATTGAACATTTCAAACTCCAACTCCGACATGCGCTCGTCAAACATCACCTTCTGCAGGAACGACATTAGAATAATTTGACTGTCACGCTTTCCTCTGTTACCGGGCTTGGCCTTCGTAGCCTCATCAGGAGTACCACATTTGACTATAAGCATCATGGGCACCCTTTGCTGTTTGTCTACCGGAATGCTAGACTTGGCACCATAATCGTAGAAACCGGCGTAGACCTTAGCCATGTTGTGTCGCTTTGAGCCACTTGCAACGGCGACGTATGAGAACGCTTCGACTTCCTCAGGAGCTACAGTATGGTCTTTCATCATTCCAAGACAGACGTCCGGAGTTGACATTGTTTCCCCTTTGCCTTTAATGAGACCGTCACAGATAACGAGGATCACTTTATGGCTGTTAGGGTAATCTGTCATAGCAATGGAGTCTAGTGTAGTTCGAAGACCGAGTTCGCCTTCGGAATAGGCTGTAACCAAACAAATGGAATGTATAAGAGGGAAACCGAACGGTTGATAGTCAGAAGGTGGCTGGGGAACAACAGCATCGTGAATGAACCCAGCGGGACCGGAACCGAAGCCATCCAGAGGAGTAGCGGAGCTACCATATGTATCCGACCGGAGCATGCTGACTCTGCTGTCATTTCCCTGTCTATATATTGATGTAGGGTGAAGCAGCGGTCCAGAGGAGGCCTGGCTAGCCATCGTGGTAGGCTGCGGCGGTCGGGCACTTCTTTCGCTACCGGGCCCGTATACGGCTGAGAAGCGCGAGGTCGTAGGCAAGAAATTGCTTGTACGCTTGCTGATCCTATCAGAGCCACCGTAACTACTACTTATGTCTCCAGGCATTCGTATTGGGGCACGATATATGTCTTCACTCCAATCCTCGATCTGGCGGTTGCGTTTTTTCTTGTCGGCAGATTGTGAAGTTTTAGGAGCTGCATATTTGCGGCTGATAAACCATTGAAACAACAGTGCCAAACCAAACCGTGCGGCCACCACAGACAAGATGAGGGCCAATGACACATAAAGAACCACCTTGGACGCAATGCATCCGACAGTCTCTGTGTCTACAGTTCCGACTTTGATAATTTCCTCGAAACATTCTGCTATCCGCTTGTCCTCAGGATTGGAGAATGCTCTGGTAATGTCACGTCCACGAATGGCGGCGTTGGCAGCACTGTTCTTATCTCTCAACTCCTTGAAACTGTCGGGAATACTAACTTCGTCCTCGTTGAACCAATACAGGAGATCCAGATCAAGGACTTGACCCGAATATACAATCAAATTGCGTGTATCGTTCTTTAAGTCTTCCCACGTGAAGAAAACATCGCCAGTACCATCGAGTTGTAGATAGAATGTATCTCGAGCTTCCTGAGTGGTATGGCAAGCGTATCCCGTGTAATACGGCCAGGTGAAGTTCGGTTTTGTTGATCCATCTTGAGAAAATGTAGTACAGGGGAAGTACCACGCCAATTCACCATCACGATTCGTGGGAACGTCGGAATTTTCAGCAGCTGTAATGAGACCCTTGCATTTACCGTTGACATTTTGGAACATGAAGCTTCCGTCCTGACCGCCAAAAGACCGGTTTGGAATATCGTATAGCACATTGGGGTATCGTCCGTCAGGCCGAAGAGGAATACCGTCGGCAGGAGGGTGACCGGAGGTAGTCAGATCGTATGCGGTTCCGTGGAAAATCATGAAGCCATCGGAAACTTCATTAATGTGAAGCCGAACAGCGGGACTTGAACAAACAACCTGGGTGAACCCAAATGTTAAGAACCCAACAAATGCCATTAAGTATAGGATGATGCTGATCAACCCCATCTTCTCCCTCCAAGCTCTTCGCTGTGCCTTTGAGCGGAAACCACAGCAATTAAGGATGAAATCAGGGCACCAAAACGTAACCACAGCACAGTAAATATTCCATATACTTGGTGGTCGAATGGTCTCTTTAGGTTTGTTCCGTTTCGAGTCTTTCGCCAGTTTTGACGCTCTATGGCTGTTGGAGCGTCGCCGACGTGAGGCGTGAGATCTCGTCTTGGCTTTTTCCGGATCGTCACCACGTTTTCGTGGTGGCGAGCTATCCGAAGTAGCCCCTAGGCTTCGTTCGCCGGATAGCTTCGCACTGCTGTCTGCATCTTCGTAAATCGGGTCATTACCAGTCGAGGAGGGGAGAGTATCCATCTGGGCGGCATGCTTTCGATAGTGATAGTTGGGGTGATCTTTGTCTATCCTATTACGTTCAGGACGTATTAGGCTTCTTTTACGCGTTGGAACTCCATTAACAGAGACGTGTTCATCGGTTGGCGAGAGAGGTTGCCTATCTGGAATCACATCAGGAGACCTGATCGTCTCAGGAAAGGAGTTTCCCGATGCGATACGCTGGTGTTGATGGGATGGACGGCCAGAGACGGGAAAATAGTTTCCGGTTTCGACATCATTTGGTCGGTTGCGTCGCGATGGAGATTGTCGATATGCATTTCGCTGTTCATACGATGGGCTCAAGGCACCGGGCCTCTCAGGTAAAGACATGCTTCTGTGTATACAACTGCGTTAGCGGACGGGGTCTCGCTTCTCCATCAGATTGAAATAGGCCTCGAATAAAGCGATTGGTAGAGCTGTAACCACGCATCTGAGTTGGAAGGGAACACGAACATGAGATTTGGCCCCTGACCCGGGACCTAGAGTCAAAAGAGGCGCGCAGCGGATGAAAGAAATGGCAAACGCTACATAAAATAGAGAGGAAATTGAACAGTGATGCTGATGGCTAAACTGACGGGGATACCATTACAGGAGACAACAGGAGTAATGGTGTAGATGCGCAATGGCCAATGGGTAAAACGCAGAACGATGGTAACAGTGCCGTACTGACAAGTCTTGTTGTGGTGGGCAACAAACAGGGGAGAGTCGTCGACCAGATCTCAGTGGGTAAAGCGTGATCCCTGTCGCTGTCAGACCGTGGTCCAGTAAAAACCGGCTGGAAGCTAATGGCTGTACGAGAAAACTCAATGCCTTCTCACTACCCTCGACTACCTAGAAATCGTGAAGGGCGCTAAAGGACGCTAATCAAACCCCTTGTAGGTAACGCTCGTTTCTATCCGGGCCTATAAAGATACCTAGGTACCTATACTTCCCAGCTGGTGGTAATGCAGTGCAGCCAGAGTGCACGCTACCGATGTCCTGGGTAGTATACACTTGTACCTATCCACGAACGCAGGACGGCTGTCGAAGCTTCTTCTATTGTAGTAGGATCGGGGACAAGCCCCTTCTGCTAGCATATGGTATATTTGTTGGAGTGAGAACAGTGAATGGAAACCGGGGTGATGACTGAGTACACTAGGTAGGGGCGGCGGCGACTGGGAGAATACGATGGCTGACAGTTGGTGCCGTGGAGGGATTTGGTGTAGCTACTTCCTAGTAAGTAGGTAGTAACCTGGGCTGGGGGCCGGGCGAAAGCGCAATGTTAAATGTTATTAATAAACGAAGGTGGAGGCCGGGACAGGCTGAGTGCCGGTCGCTTTGGTATGCGATGGATGCAATGAAGGTTGGTGAGCTGTTTGATTAGGCACCTACTGTAGGTAGGGAAGAGCAAACGAATGGAGGTCGGCGTGGTGGAAGCCAGAAGTGAACGGTAGGTAATGGCCAGTCCACGTTGGGAAGCAGCTGATGGTGAAAGAGGAAGATGCGGCGCTTCGCAGAGAGTCAGCAGAGAAAATGTCTAGCCACATGGAACAACTTGTGTCTGGCTACGCTGGGCGGGGGGGGTCGGGGGAGGCTGGCCCTTACAAAAAGGCAAAGTAAAAATGATTCCTAACCTCCAGTATTCTCATGGCTGTTCCGCTCGAATCCCCTCACGTGTTCCAAGCCGTTCAATATGCGGCGCAGGCGCAGAACGGGCCGCAGCGCTCAAAGAAGGGAGGGGGTCACCTACGAAGCAGGTACCTTGGGGAGCTTGGGCACCTACCTACCGTACTGCTGTAACGTGTGCTGCAATCTACCTACCTACCTAGGTAGTAAAAGGTCGTGCACTAACCTTGCCAGTTTACTACCTCTTACAGTAGGTATGCACTTACGTAGTAGGAGCTATGTTAGGTACAGGTAAGCTTACCTAGAAGAACTGCCATCGGTTGGGCTAACGTTGATGAGAATGGCAGCAATGGGCAGGCACCTATCGGTTTACATGGGTGCCGTAAACAACTCCTCAACTTCTGCTCTAGATATTAGTTAGAATTCATCTACCTATGCTCTGCCAGTCTTTAATCAAGGTTGCTCGAGTCTGCTCGAGTACCTACATAAGTAAGTAAGGGAGAACTTGGAAGTGGGATCTGCAAGTCAGTCTCCCAGGGTTGCCCGGTGACTGACATTGCTGTCCCCAGGAGCCACTGTCGTCATCGTTGGTGATCTCACTCCATTACTTTCTCAGGTGCCTTCTTACTACCTGACAGATACTTGACTTGCCTGAGTAGGAGACTGACTGATGTCGATTGCACATCACATTAACTAGCCATATCTTTACCAAATCTTATCATTGGGTAGGTAACTTGAATGAATGAAATGAGCTGGAGGTACCTCACTAGAGTTGCTGCTTTTACACTAATGAGTTGTGTGAGGCGAGGATCCGAAATAATTGATAGTTTCGAATATGGTCTTCCTGCATACACCATCGGCATCGACATTTATTACGTGGAGAGAACGAAAGTGATAGTTTGGTTTGCTGGAGTTTCAACAGACGAGAATTCAAGTTGGTATGTCGCCTGCTAAAACCCACCAGGTACAGAGATATCAAGATGAAACACGAGCAATGCCATCCTTCATCTAGAGATACTGCTTTCAGTAAAAGCATCGAAGATCATTGGTCGATGCCTACTTCTGGATGTACGAGTAGGGATGTTGGTAGTAAATAATCATGGAAATCATGCCATCAAATCGCTTTTGGCAAATCCAACTTTAATTTAGCCCCGTCTGTTTGTGACAGTTAGGAGAACTGCGAGATCGTAATCGGTAGTCGAAATGACGCGCTGTCCTTGCTTGAAGCTAAGTGTGAGCACCAACCATACTTACTACCATAACCCAGTTACTAACTTTCTGACCTAAGTAGGGTAGGCGTTACCACGTGAAGCGCATAGTATGATTGGGCATGGGGAATTGGAAGCGATATCGAAGTCTTCTGTCATATGCAGCCATAATCTTTTAGTACCGAGCGGACAGATACCACCTACTGGCGTCCGTCAGGCAGGAGTAGTACCATTAATTTTCTTCGTATGTGGTATACATTAAGTAAGATAAGCATGTATGTGTAGGTTTTATATACTTGTACCGATGAGGTAGGTCACTATTGAGAAACTAAACAAAGGAACATGCTTATTGGGCAAACTGGCTCAATTACGGTTGAAAGGTAGGTATGCCAGCAATATATCCGCGAGGAGGGGGAAGAAAAAAAAATCCAAAAGATCCAGCTTTAGCGACGGTGACAGATGGTCATTTCACAGTTCCATGATTCTGAGTGGTTGAGATGCTTTGCCCCACTAGTGCGGTCGGCTGGAATACGAGGTGCTTGCGGGAGGCACCTACAAAAGCGGAAGAAAGATGGGGACGGATACTCCTCCAGGCTGGACTGGCTACCTTGTACGTACATGCCTAAGTAGGTATTACTCACTTAAGTAGAGTACCTAAGCGGATCATCGAATCGAAAAAAGAACTTTGCGTGCAAATCTGACTCACTTTACGTGTACAGTATGCATGCGGCGATGACGTGCTAAGTACACAGAAAACAGCCGAGGCTGATACGGCGACTCGCAAACTGACGGGCGGCTTCTTGTGGCGGCTTATTAGACCGCACCGGCCGGCCGGTGAACAACCTGGAAGTGTTACCCGAGTCTGCCTCTCGAACATACATACTGAGTATACATACCTACCTACAGTATATACCTACCTCCGGTGAGCGGTTGGTTACATCTGCAACTATTATAGGTAGTCGCATGCCAAGTGTATTTATTATACCTGGCACTCGGAGCGACGGCGGCACAACAGAAGATTTTTGATGCTGCCATCCCATGCTAAAGCAAGTGAGCTTAGATTTTAGCAGCACGTGGGCTGTGAGTGGTGAGACTAGTATCCAATAGGTAGAGAAGCATCGAGTAGACCGCTGTTTCTAGACGTCTTACCAAGCGCCGCTAGGTGCTGTAAGTAATATTGAACATATCTAGGTACTGGTCAGTGGTCGAGTGGCGGGTTACTTGTTACCTCGCCTACCTACCTTCTACATACTGGGTAGGTATGTGAGATTTAATCTGGCATCTATGGTAGGTAGGCTTGGGATGAGGCTGAAGTATAGCATGTCCAAAGCCTGTTTACCCAAGCACCGTCAGTTGTTCTCAAGAAAGCCTTATGCGAAATAACAGCCCAGAAAAGACGATGTGCTACTATGCGGCTCTAATAATATGGCACATGTACCAAATTCCAATAGTATATAATTAGCAGCGATGCTTACCGACAACGAACGAACTACTACGTGCATCTATCCAATGAATGGGGTGTGTTAGGTACTGTGATACAGCTGGACTCATCATATGAGCTCTGCCTTGGGCGATGGCTGAGGGCGGGGCCACAGAGCTGAAGAAGAGAATATTCCAAAGGTTGTGATATGTGAGTGATATGTGAGGCTGCCACTTGCAACGATTACCTACCTAGGTAGGTATATGTCCACCCTCGACACACGACATGTAGATAGAAGTCACTTGCCTTGGGTAATCTATGTATGTAGGTAGGATGATGGAAGTATGTAAATCTTGTGCGCTGTGCTAGCATTTCGCTAGTCTGGCGCGTTTCAATTCTATACATATTGGTTTTTTTTTTTCTTCTTCTTTTTTTTTTTTTTTTTCCTTTCCTTCGACGCCGATTTAACTGCCAGCAGAATGGCTCGTGACATGTGTATGTAACGATAGTGCGTACCTACCTACAATAGGTAGTGTCCTCGGACTCAGCTCTCTATGGGCTGTTCCCGAAACTTGGAACTCAATACGAAGAACATGGCAAGACATCAGCCACCATAGAGCCCTGTGCCCACAATGGCTACCTACCATACATACATATATACACGTACACTACCTGCGCAAATAGTGGACCACAAGATCAGATACGAACGATGCCGTGCGCTTACAAGATATCTTGTGTCCAACATCAGATCGTGACCCTTTTTAGAGTCTCTGAACGATCTACGTTTCGGCCGCTTCTGTAATAGCGACACAGTTTCTCGCGCATCACCTTTTAATACTCGCGCGCCACGCTAAACCTACCATAGCAATTGTTGGGGCGGTACGTACTGATACCCCCACAACGGTCCTTGGTACACCTAATCTAAACCTTTTCGAAGTATAACCCTTGTATCTCCCAACAGCACCTATGATAACCATTAGAAAAAAAACATCTATAATGCGAAACAGTAGGCGTTATCTTTGACTTCGAAGGTTAGTTAAATAGGTAGCGAGGGTAGTAGAAGGGGTAGTTTCGTATCAAGATTAACAAGCAAGTTACTTTTTTAAGGCAGGTTAAAAAACAAGTCATAGGGCACTTCTAGAAAGGAACGTTTTTACTATAGTAGCAAGCTGTTCGTTATAAGAGTTCTGAACTTAAGAGATTGAAGGGTATACTTGTTGAATGATGACATAAAAAACGACTGTTTTCATAATCGCTGTCAAGGGTGTGTCTGCAACTAACCTAATTTGTATGGGAAAACAGGGGGGTTACAGACAGAGACCCGACAATTGCTATGGTAGGTTTAGCGTGGCGCGCGAGTATTAAACGGTGATGCGCGAGAAACTGTGTCGCTGTAATAGTGTGTTGTGGTCATCCATCAATCCAGTCCAGTCCAGTCAGATCGAGTATTCTGAGAGCAGAAGAGGGTCCAATTTAGGGGTTCCGAGATGGCCGTATGATTTCTTTTTCGGGACACGGCTATTCCTGTTCTGGCAATACCCTAGCAATATCCTGGGGTTTACATTTACAGGTACCTTAATACCTGGGACCGTAACATTGAACACCACTGTTAAGACAGGCAGGTTTATAGACAAGATGAAGATAATGCAACTAATTATCTGACTGACGTCTCTTGACACTGACATCTTGTGACAGCCTGGTTTCAGTCAACCTACTGCAAGCTCTAAACTGATGCCTGCACTAGAAGCAGATTTGCACATACAGTTGTACTTATGTAAATCTTAGCTGAATATACCTAAGGTACTAGTAGTCGTGGGTGTGGTAGATATGTCTAGTTGCAGTAGCCAGCCCCTAACCTAGGTAGCAAAGCTTACCTAGTCCCTCTTCAATACGGAGGGTTTTGGACCCCGACTCAGGTGCTCCAGGGTTGTTGCATCAGTACATGTAGGTACCCCCCTGAAGTATCTGTTTGTACTGGAATGCTGTGTACATAGTAGGTAGTCCAAAGAGCGCCTCGAACTGGAGGCTGATGAGTTAGCGGGATATTACAGACCTGTACCACTGCAAGTGATTGAGCAGCCTGCACTTACATATCCTTGAGTAAGTACATACCTATTGGCAGGTAGTATACTACCGGTACTTATGGCTTGGTGTACATCTATATGTACTAGGACAGTACTGACAGGGCACCTGCAGGCAGGAAGACCCTAGGCACAGGCCTACATATTACTTAGGTATGTAGATACCTACCTGTGTAGTAGGCGGTACCAATTCTTTCGAGGACAAATGCGCTGCGCTCTGAATGGTGGCAGACAGAAAAATGTAGCTGTACTTATGCCTACCTACTCAAGTACTTACAGCTATGTAGGTATGGACCTAGAGATAGCTTGGTGGTAGGCCGTACACTAGATCGTACTACTAGGTTAGGTACCTAATGTGTGTACTAGGTAGGAGGTAGCGTTTTGCCCTTTCTCCCGTCTGCATTCACAGGCACAGCCCTGCTGCTCCTTGCACCATCACACATATTACCTACCTACCTACCTATTAGCAACACCACCTCCTAGGTATCGACACCACCACTGCTACCACGACCAGCCGACTGTTCTGCTGGTGCTGCTACCGCTGCTTCTGCCGTTGTTGTTTGTTGTTGTCGTCGTCGTTGTCGTCACGTTTCATGATCGCTTGATTGATAGGCATTGTTGTCGTTCGCTTTTGTTTCGCCGCACTCTGGACGTCGACTCAGTCTCGGCCCGTTTCAGTCATAGCCAGCAACATCTCCGTTTTGCCTAGCACGATATCTCGCCAGCGTTGCCGACTACATATATCCTGTCGTTGCCTGTCGTCCTTTTTGACGCAGTTTCCTTGTTTCGAAGCATTAATTCATATTAGACCACCACTTAGAGGCCCGTTGTTTATACCAGGGACGATATCAGCAGCATTTCCAGTTCATCAGTTCAATACTACGCATTTCCACGCATTTCCCCTCGCGCCGAAGCCTCATATCGTCCGACCGTTCATTGCGCCACACTGGCCCATCGATACCTGTCGTACACGTACATGGTCATTCCCGCTAGGTTGTGTTAGTCCAACAGTCTTAACATCCTCCAAGCCGACGTACATGGCTGTGGTGCAATCGTAATAGAAGAAGTGAGCTTCAGCTGCTGCTTCACGTATTACAACCCCCACGCCTGTAGCAAATTCGACGAACCGTTAGTCCGCTTTGCCGTCGTCGTCAGGGTACACCATTGTGGGACTTGGCTAGAATAGCTTGCAACATTGCGTTAGCAATGGCGACCGTAACTACTACACCCCCTCCGATAGCTACGCCGTCTCCACCAAGATCACTGCAGCGGAAACCCCTGCCACCGTCGAAGCCGTCTCCCGGCTCTCCGCAGTTGAGAAGCTCTCACCACCATGAACATCAAAATTCGATAGCTGCAGAACCTACCACGGGATCGCTGTCGGTGAGGAATGGTCTCATGTCTTCAGCAAGGACTGGCTTTCAACCAGGGGGAAACTGGACTCAGCCAGACAGTGCAGCGGTTCAAAATGGCGAGTTCGAGCACATAAGGCACATGTCAAATCAAGATAGAGAGCTGCCCAAATCACCCATTCCTCCCACGCCGCCACCCCATAGTCCTATGCATGTCCAGGCTCGGATGCAGCATGGGGCGCCGCCGAAACAGCAAACCCTGGAAAGCTCAATATCTCCCAAGTTTGCCGTAGATTTACCGCATAGAACCGGCCAAATCAATGCAAACATAGGCGTTGACCATGTTTTTGCTAATACCTCGACGTCCCTGGAGCAAGATGGTGAAAGCATTCGGGATGCGGCTTCCAGCCAGGACCCGTATAGGCAGAGTCGCGAGTCCGATACCACCCTTAGTACTCGCCAACAAACATCAACAGATTCATCCGTTGAGACAAGCGCCAGCTCGCTGTCAGGGGGCCTTAATGAGACGTCTGAGAGCCAGGTTCAATGCGATAGCATGTCTGTAAAGGAATCCATTATAGAGGGTACGATACCAGAGGAACCACCGGTGCCGCAGCTGCAATATCACCACCAGCCTTTCCAGACTCGTGTGTCCAGTGTCCCATTAGAGGCAAGTTCTCGAAATTCATCCACGCCCGATGTCTCCGAGAGTGCATTAGCCATCAACCGTCACCTGACACCTAATTCGTATTATGTGAGGAGGAGCTCTTTACCACGTCCCCAATCGTCTTATTCATTGTACTCTGATCTGGGCCAACGTGGCCGCTCTCCTGCCCTTGGAGCTCCTCATGCTCGCGCCCCTTCTCAAAACCGTAGATCACCCGACAATAGAGCTTCGTCATATGGTGAACTGTTGAATATCCCTTACCCTCAGCCAGCACCAGCACCCATTACATTTGACAACTCATACTTACGCAACAATGTGGGTAATAATGCTTCCCTATTAAGCACGCAGAAGACACTTGAGATGTATCGGCAGAACGTGAAGAAAACAAATGACTTTTCCATCCAATACTCCTTTGCGGTATTCCTGATATCTACAGCACAGGAACAGGGTCTGGACTACGATGAACCTTCGCGAAGAAAGCCAAGTCCAAAACAAGGTTCTCAGATGGGCGGGGTAGAGTCGTCGCCAACAGAATTAATACGGGAAGCTAAAAGTATTTTAACAAGGCTAGCCAACGGTGGCTACCCGTTTGCCCAGTACTACCTTGCAGATGGGTACGCGTCAGGTCTCTTCAATAAAGGCAAGGAAGATTATAATGCAGCGTTCCCCCTCTTCGTCCTCGCCGCAAAGCACGGCCACGCCGAATCAGCTTACCGTGCCGGGTTGTGCTACGAATTTGGATGGGGCTGTAGGAAAGATCCAGCTAAAGCAGTTCAATTCTTGAGATCGGCCGCATCCAAAAATCACCCTGGCGCAATGACGAGGCTAGGAAAGGCGTGTCTGTCTGGGGACTTGGGTGAAAACCGGTATCGAGAAGGCATCAAGTGGCTAAAAAGAGCTACTGAAACCGCCGATGCTATGTATAATTCGGCACCATACCAGCTTGGTATGATGTACGAGACAGGCTACGGTGACGACATCTTTAAAGACGAGAACTATGCTGCTGAGCTGTTCACACAAGCTGCGGAGCTCGGTCACCCAGAGGCTGGCTATCGAATGGGCGATGCCTACGAGCACGGGAAGTTAGGCTGCCCTCTGGATCCAGCGCTCAGTGTTCATTTCTACACTGGCGCAGCAGAGCGGGGACATGCTGCGGCCATGATGGGTCTTTGTGCTTGGTATTTGGTAGGAGCAGAACCTATCCTTGAGAAAGACGAGGAAGAGGCTTACGAGTGGGCCCGCCGGTCTGCTGAGCTGGGTAAGTGATTCGATTCTCATGTAAACAGCCTTGCTTATTACTGACGAATGCTTGCGTAGGCTTTGTAAAGGCCCAGTATACTGTCGGATACTTTACCGAAATGGGCATTGGATGTCGCCGTGATATCCTCGAGGCCAATGTATGGTATGTCAAGGCGGCGGATGCTGGCGATGAACGTGCAAAACAAAGACTCCAGGCCATCCGCCTAGCCGTGAGTGGTGGAACCCCCATGGATGTCGCACCCGCCAAGAGTAGTAAAATGAGGAAAAGTCAGAGCAAAGAGGATAAAGACTGTGTCGTCATGTAGGCAGGGTTCTACAGATACAGAAAGGAGAACTTTTCTGAGGAGGTGACCTTTTTTGAATACTGTCCGGAAGCGAGGGTGATCACCCGAGTCATAATTCTCTTCCTGAGCTGCGACTCGGAGAATGAAGGTTGGGAATTAGAAGGGGCCAATGGGATAAAGCCCTAAAGTGCTTTTATACGATCTCTAGAAGGACTTGGGTCGGGTTAGTCCCTGTTTTATTTCCAGGGTTACTCGAAAAAAGACTTTGCATTTGCATGCTGCATACGCAGCGACGATATTGTGGTCTAGAAGAGCATTGCTCGGCGTTCTTTTTTTTGGTTCCCATGCAACCTCATCATGTTCCGTATCTAAACCATTTTGCTGGATTGTAGATACAGAAATACACTCACCATGGGGAGGGATAGGATGGGGGTTTACGAGCAAGGGGATGACAACACGGCAGTTACTAACGGGGCCTTGTTCTTACTACGGCGCTCTTTACACATCTCTATTGTACATACTGATCCCAATATCCCTCTTTTTCTCATTAGGTACCTACACCTACTACTCCTTAATACTTAAAATCCAAGGTCGCGAGCCACATGGGGAGTTGGGCAATGATTTGTCAACAAATGTCGTCTGTCCATTTTTCTTCCTAAGTGTCGTAACGGAAACTTAATGTCTGATATGTGCATGTTTTCGGTAGATGTAGAGGAGGGACAGCATAATAAGGCTTGCGGCGTGCGCACCGGCCTTCAATGACATTCTCCTTAAACTTGGGAAATACGCATTTTCAGGGAAGGACGACGCACGATCACGAGACAACCATTGCAGTATATTGATATTTTCTTTTGTGAAATTCTTAGCAAAATGATTGGAGGACAGCTCGAGTCAGTCAGGGTCCCTTGATTAATCGTCTTGATGCACCACAGCTCGGTTGCCAAAAGTTGCATTGTCCGAATACTCAGCTTACAGAAACAGGGTATATTCGATAGCTAGACTCATTCCAAAAAAATATTACTCCGCATACACGCTACGCCATGCCATGAAGCCCTTCGGAACAAAAACGCCTCGTGATCTCATGAATCTATGTAAACACCGGCTGTTCCCTGTGTATGGGGATAGTGCGATTTAACAGTGTAGTACTAGCCTACCGCTTCCAGAGTATAATCAGGCGCTCGATGACGACGATTTCGACTCGATCTCATCGCCTAGCACTTCAGGATTCTTTGGATCGACAACAGCAGAGTACCTGCAGTCACCCCATCTTGCGCCAATAGTAACCCAGACGTGTTTGCTCGGGCCGCTGCGCACCGTCTCACGACTACCCGCCCACATTAGGCGATGTTCGCGATCCATTCTGCTATTGCCCAGCCCATTGTTGGTTGTCCATTCCCTGATGATACTAACAATAAATTCTATCTTGCGGCGGAAATCGTTAGCCCCTGGTATTCCCTGGATATCCGGGTTAATTTCCGGGCGTTTGCGAGTGGGATTGCGTGTCGGTCGAATCGGTGGCTTCGTCGTGAAATTCAAAAGCGTCTGCACAGGATACGACAGAATACCGCGCTCATCCAACGCGGTTTCGTCTAGTTCTCCCGTTGTGGCTAGTTTCTCTGCTGAACCTTGGGGGAGGTGCCAGAAATGACACCAAGTCCCAGTCGCATCGAGTACAAGTTTAGTGTGATCGGGGAAGTTAAATTGCAAATGACCATCCCCAAAAACCCAGCATCCAACATCCCCAGTGCGTTGGTAGAAAGTAACTACGTCACTAGGTGGCATCGTTTGCCTAGATGAGGCTAGGGTTTCTATTTGCCCTGTGCCATCGATACCATCCTGATCTCGTCCATATGCCATCATGTAATTAGCGAACTTCTTCCACAAGATTAGATGTTCTCGCTTTCTATAGTCGTAAATATCGTTGCCGGCAGGAATTTTGCCTGGTGTCCCATCGTCGTTGGGTACAATCTTGAACTGCGAAGGATGAACAAAAACTGTACAAAGGCCAGTTTCACCATTGTTCTCGTAAAACTGTATTTCGTTGGTCATAGGTACGATTTGTTGTCGGTCAACGTAACCAGGATCCTGTCGCCGCGAGCAATGCTGTTCCGCTCCGCGGACAAGGATACAGCTTGGTGGCAGCTTGACCACTTTGCCTCCTCTGGCACTACCAGGGATGCTCTTGAGGACACAGCCTACACTTCCATCATTCAAGATGTAGCCTAAGCCGAATTTGTTCGAGTAGTCTACCCATTTCACCACAACATGAGGAGGTGACGGAGCTGCTGCCTTCCCAAGGAGTGCCATGGAACGTGAATTCAGAGCACGTTCGAGTTCTGCTTGGAGACTTCGAAGGCGGTCCAATACTATATCAGGTTTTGTGTTTGGTACTGCCAATACACGCTCCTTGGAACTAAATAAGGAGCTCATTCTTTCGGTAGTCTCCGGTGGAAGGACTGATGGAGGCACTGAACTTTCTTTCTCTTTCGACTGGGTAGTCGTTTTCTTTGTCTCTGACGAAGCTGCTTGGGACGAAGATGTAGACGTAGAAGTAGATCTCGTTCGTGAAATTTCTGAGACTGTTGAATATACAGCCTCTGGCTTCCTAGCAAGGCTGCTCTCCGTCGAGGTTTGGGAAAATTCCCGCCTCGGTCGCTGTCGCATCGTGCCACTAGCATTTGGCGGTGCTATGTCATTCAACGTTTGGACTCGCGGTAATGCTTGGGACCTTGTAGGCTTGTTTTGTGCCCTTTGCTGCGCTGCAAAGCTTTGTGGAGGGGCGCGTAGCAAACCAGTCAGATTTGTTTGCGCCGCTTGTCCATCATCGCTAGCTCTCGAAATAGGTTGTGGAGGTGGCCGAATGGGGACCTGAGTCAAGCCAAGTTCCTTACTAACTTCTTCATATGGCCGGTAAACGATACCCTCAGCCAGAGGAATTATAGGTGTTAATCCAGCCTGCTCTTCTAGCGCAACCTCTTTCCAGGTGCTCTTGTAAGCCGTCTGAGCTTTGCTCCATGGTCCGACTTCGCAAACACTACACAAGTCTTGCAGGTTTTGCGAGATTTCTACCGCCATCTTCGGAGATACATCTGCTGCGTAGAAGCGATCATCGTCCGGGGGAACATCTCTGAGTTTTGTTGTGATTTCTCTTGGTGTAGGAACATAACCGGAGGAAAAGAAGCCGTGTTGAACAATACTGTCTGGATCTGGTCGCCGCTCAGCATCTTCTAGCATAGTTGCGACGATGTCCTTGGCTTCTTCTGATATGAACTTATTGGAACTGCCTGGCTTTGGCCATTCATAATCGCGGTTTCTTGCTCGGCGATAAATCTCATCGGTTGTTGAAGATTGGAAAGGTGGTTTCGACGTTAACATAGCAAACCTGGAATGGGTATTAGCTTGGAGATACGAATACTTGATAAATCTTACATGATAATTCCCAAGCTCCAGATATCGACCATGTGATCGTGGCCCTTTCTGCCCTTCTCAAGAATTTCAGGTGCAATATAGTTGGGTGTGCCACATAAGGTTGTCCGGCGGATAGTCTGCATATCTTTGCCAGTGACCAATAAAGCCGCCAGACCGAAATCACCGATCTTGGCATTCATGTTCCTGTCCAGAAAGATATTCCCCATCTTCAAGTCTCGATGGATAATGCCTTTGGCATGCATGTATTTGATGGCGCCGGCAATCTGGATTGAGTAGAACCGTACCTCAGGCTCGGTTAGACCTTTTCTGCGCTTAACCATGTCCATAAGAGAGCCATTTGGACACAGCTCTAGCACAAGGTAGGTGCAGCTGTCGAACGAAAAGGCCCTTAAGAACTGGACGATATTTTGATGCCTCATCTTCGAGTGGATTTGTAGCTCCGTTTGAAACTTTCATGGCTGTCAGCGTCGTTTTCACGCAATCGGAGACACGAAGAAATACCTTTTGCTCCATTTTAGACGGCATCTTGCTCCTGACAATCTTCAAAGCATACTTCTTTCTATGCCCTGGCAACTGTCCTTCGTAACACACTGCAAACCCCCCTTTGCCTAGCATTTTGCCAACCTGGTAAACGGCGCCATCCCTGCGATCTGTGCTAGGAGGCTCGTAGACTTGAAGCGGAGGCTGAAGAGGCGGCTCCTTCTCTTTTGGGGGAGCTTTGGAAGCCACGGCTGCTTTCGGTTTCGTGGAAATAGGGGCACGGTTAGGAAGTTGGGCGTTGGCGTCCCGGGGCGACAAGGCGTCGGTGTAAGCTCCTTGCTTGGCAGCGAGGAGTCGATCCGCCATCTGAAAATTCCTGTTGCCAACTTGTCGATGATGCAACAAGCTAGAGGCAGGTAATGTGTGTGCTAACTTGATTCAAACTTCTAGGTTGATTAGTAAATGCTGCTGAAATGCCTTGTACCGCACTTCCGACGGCGAAGGCAGCGGAGAGAAAGAAAACAAACACAGCCAACAACTCACGTGTAAGTCTGCAGCAGCATGTAAGAGGGTGATAAGTCACGCTGGCTGATAAAAGCCAATGCAAACGCCTCAGGTACTCCGAAAAACGGGTGGTGAGAGATAATCGTCGACAAGATAATTGCAAATTGATCGTCGAGCCCAAAGAAAAGGATTTCGACAGATGGTAGAGTGGACTACACGCTACAGGTACCCAAGGGAAGCTGGTCAATGGTTGCCGAAGTATCTACCTAGGTACGGTAAGTAGGTACTTGCCTAGCTCATTTACCGTTGGTGAGGCAACGACTACCCACCTGTGGAGCTAACCTTCCCGCTCGCTATCTGCCAGTCAACTAAGTAAGCAGATTCCCTGTGCAGACCCTGTGGAGCGCGTCTGCTTCCGTGCTAACCGGGTTTGGTTAGACCTAGTCTAGGACCAACACTCGGAAGAGCTGTTGTAGCTGGCTTATCGATAGATGCCAGTTCGAGCTTTTCGGACCCGATCCGATCCGCATCAGTTCGGGACCCGGCCATTGTACGAGGGATTGCATCGTCACTTTTTCAAACAACCATCATAACGTAATCCTCCCCAAGCTGGCTTGGGCTTTGACAGTGTGCTTAAACCTGCTAGGTGAACCACGCCGTATTGCTCGAATTTTCCAAAACTTGGTTCTTGTAATTGCTGTGAGATAGATAGATAAGCACTTGCCAATTCTACGTACCGGGGTCTCATCTCAAAAATGGTGGCCTTGCCATTATTCAAGCTTGGATCTCTTTTTGTACGACACATATCAAAATATGGCGCGGTAAGTTGTCCCACGGTGTTGATACAGCTCCAGAGACTGATGTCCTTGTTCAGAATCAAATCAAGAAGCAAGCTCACGACCACCCGGGCTTCCGCTCGTTTGCTGCGAGATACGGTCAGATGATGCACCAGTTGAACATGCGTCTTTCAGTTTCTTTATTACGTAATGCCGAAGCCGAGACGAAAGCGAAGGAGAAAGCCGAGGCGCCGACCGTTAAGACCAAGGAGGAGACAGAAAGAGAGAACGAGATTCGTATCAAGCATGGTGCTACCAACCGCGAAATCCGGGCAAGGCGATCATTCCCTATAACGACTATTTGGAGGAGGAAATTTCGGCCCCTACCAGAGGCCAAGGCGGTGGATTTATTTGCAGATGTCATTGGCGACGCGTTCATTCTCTTGGTAGCCACGGTTCTGATTCTCTACGAATACCACCGGTCTGCGCAGAAGCCCGACGCAAACCTCGAAAAGATCGCAAAGCTGACAGAGCGCTTTGAGGAACTTGAGAGGAGAGAGAAGGAACTGGAGGAGGCAGAGAAACAACATAGGGATAGGACAGCGTTGTTAGAAGATGTGCTGAGGCAGTTGAGTGATCCCAAAACTAAACAGCCACTGCTACCACCTCCTACCTCAATACCATAATATACAACCATGCTAAGTAGATCAATTCATGGTGAGTAGCGTTTATTGATGCCAGAGTTGAATACTCCTTTCATGTCTCGACGAACATGTATATTGAAACTGTATATAGCTTCGGGGTGTCTTGGATGACTCTAGCGAGTATTCTATTAACATAGACCACCTGGCGTAGCTTACGGCTCGTCTCAATGTACTTATTACTTGGTAGTACCAGAGTGACTACCCCCTGTAGATTCTAGAAAATATACTGTACTTGGGTGCATTCTGAACCCACCATCTGAGGCTCAGCTACAAATAATACAATCATTACATCGAGTTCCTGACCGAGGTATACGTAGTCCTTCCAGCCAGTAGCTCGCGTGCAAGAGCACATGGGCAACGTCATGGCGTTCCTGCTCAAGTCTGAGTTTGTGAGGTGAAGCAGTTGCTACCTGCCTGCTAAGTACTCAGATAGTGTGCCAGATATTTCCTGTTGTGCGCCTCCTTGCTATTCATTTCAAATCTCAATCAACTACGGCTGACATCGGATTGCCATATCAGATGTCTATCTAACGTGCTCACGGGACTTTCGCTTCACGGATGTCAGCCCGATTAGACCTCGACAATAGAATGTTCGGCAAAACACCAGCCGGCGCTGCTAACTCTGAGCCGCCATTGGTAACAGAACGGCCGCTTATTTGCTCGTCCCTTCGTAAGCGCCTTGACTGGGTCACTCTTTTCACCTCGCTCTTGCGCAACCATAGCCCATGTGGCAAGTGGAAAGGTACACCTCTATCTATTCCACCTATCAGATGACCGTGCCTCCCTAGACAAGTGGCGCAGTACTGAAAAGTGAGCAGAAACTCAATTAGAAACCTATGATGTCGCAATTCCTCTCACTTCGCAGCGAGTGTTTCGTGCTATCTTCATATCGTCACAGGATGCGGCCTCGCCTGATAGCCTAGCCCGCACTGAACGGTTGTACAACCTCAATGCTGGCCAATTGTCCGGCATTATCTTTCTCCTCAAGCACGATGATGAGCAACAGAGTGCGGTACACGCGCTTATGACCCTCCAGACACAGTGAGAACAGTTTCCCTGCGATTTGATTATGGAACAGAACGTTGTGACCTAACCAAGTAATCAGGCTCATCAGTGGCGGATGGGTGCTGCCCATCTATCCAGTTGATTCCGTAGCCGCCGTGCCAGCAATTTTAGTTACTATTTGCAGCCAACTGTGTTCACCAGCTGTTAATAGAGAGCCCGCGAGCTCAGCAAGCTACCTTCTCCCGTTCTGTTCAGATAATGTACTCTTGACTGGACATACAGTCAACATCCTAACTGATACGACTTCGGACTTCGAGAATCTACTCAACAAACTTTCAACGAATACTGTTCTTGAACCAGACATTGCGCTACTCCTGGGTGATGACGCAGACAAGCTTAGGAGCTTCTGGGCAGGTGACTCTCCAGTGGATTGATATGACATGTATTGCTTCAGAGGCATGACGATATATATAGAAAGAGCAGACGGTGATGCTCTGTGAACCCAACGCTAAGGTTCACGCTGCCCTTTCACTCGACTGGCTGTCATCTCGACAAAAGGACGTGCACTGATATTGCTTCTCATTCCCGATGAATAGAAGAACCGTTAGATATTGGAAGATTTTACACTGCCTTGTAGGGCCTATAGAAAATCTACTCAGTCAGAGGTGACAGGTATCATGAGCTACCAGCTGTACCTATTTCAATGCGCCCATCACATGTATTACCTATCAGCTGTACACATACGCATGGGTAAGTACCTACGAAGTAGGGGCGGTGATCGGGTGAGCATACAGGGCGGCTCACCCCTCCCCACACAGCGCGGCTTACCCCTATGGTCAGTGCGCCATATAAAAAACCAAAAAGGTTAGATCAATGTAAGTACATTAGTTTTAAAAGTACTTATTTAACTGCAGCCATATTGCATTACAATTATCTTTTTCCCTTTTTATATCTACATATTAACTCCATCCTAACTGCATCCTAGGTACCTATAAGTATAGTATAACGTATTAACGATAAAACCCTTCAGCATTGCCCCTTTAAATGTCGAAGTAAACCAGGGCAACCAGCACTATACGGTAGACCTTTAATACAATATACCTAAATAACGTATATAAACTATTTAACCGCTTTTGAACTGCATTCTAACTACATCCTAATAGTTCTTTTACACTAGGTTTATTTGTACTTTTCTAGCGGTAGTACTTGCCAAGATTTCCGCACTGACCATAGGGGTAAGCCGCGCTGTGTGGGGAGGGGTGAGCCGCCCTACATCCTGGTGATCGGGTTGCTGAACCAATTCAGACCCGAGGGAGGGGTTCAAGTCGATTGGCCAATGGTATAATGCAAGTGGCCAGCCACAGGTACGCAAAAAGCCCCGAATCCAATGAAAGCCGTCGAACAGCCGCTGCCAAGGGCAGAGAATCGTTAACCGCGCAAATGTGTGACTGCCCCGCATAGAGTGACATGCAGTAGCACATACATAATATGTACCTACATGTACATTAGCGTCAGCAGTAAATTTACCTGGCTTCCACAAGGTTGTTACACGCAGGCTACCTAGGTACAGTCTGCAGGCACTCATTCACATCTCTGCTTGCTGAGATAATCTCTGAGAAGGATTTAAAGGCTGCTAAACTTGATCGTGAAGTTCGTTATCAATGTGATATCTTTGAAGTGTATCGAACCACATGATCTGACAATGGTTTCTACACAGTACGCGCTGACCGCTGCTATTATAGGGAGATTCCAGTCGTAGTGCTGGGACCGGACATCTACCTAATACTATCAGTGCCAATTCGAGTTGCATAGGAGCGGCGCGTAAGGTAATAATGTTGATGTGAGAATTGACTTTAACTCGCCAGCCCTCAGCTGGGGCGGTCGTCAGCGCGCCAAAGCCTACGACCTATCATAGTAGAATTTCGTGGTCTGCGTAAGCAGTGTAGAGATAGGTATCTCACCAGGGCTAAGACGGCGCAGAAATCTTGTGGTGTTTGCTCGCAACTTCATGGGGGCCAGGTTGCTAGAACACGGCCTCCAACTACCGTTTATATCGACCTATCTCTCCGAAAAGATCTGACGTCTCCGAATGCTACTTTGCGTGCTTTCCACATGATCCGGTCAGATGGCAGCGGTCGATGACGAGGCTTATGTTGTTGGCCCCTATAGTATGGCAGAGCCTCTTGCATATTTATATTTGGCTGCCGCTGCCAAACCTCGGGCTTGGGACGGGCAGAGATGGCGCGCTGTATTTCACGACGTTGGATCGCGGATTGATACCTAAGCTTCCTCATTGCTCTTTTCACGCAGAATTAGTATGTGTTAGTTATGAGGAACCTGCCGTCTTATCCCCTATTGCCACGCATACCTACGCACGCAGACATATTGCTAGGTGGAGAGAGGAGCTCGTGAAATTGAGGACTAAAAGATACTCAGGACTATTTACTGTAGATACGCCAAATTAGTCGATGAAGATAAAATATTTGTATCTCAGTCTTCAAACTTATAAGGCCCGCACTTGACAACTGCAATCTTAGTATAGTATGTGTTTTTTTCAACCCGGTTGTTGCTAGGTGGCGCAGAAGGTCAACATCTCGCGCAGACCGTAAATAGATCTCGCAATCATATACCATGGCACTTGAACCTACCGTAATAGACGACTGATTTGCCATCACTGCATGTTGTGTGTGTACTCCACTCACTAGCCCTCGACGGATGCCTACCTATCTCTCAGGACAACGCTGCGCCAAAATGGCGGGTTGAGTGAGGAGGCCGGTTCCTGAGCTAATTCAAGAGCGATATCACCGCTATTTAAATACATACGTACATGCCTACATAGGTCTGTGAAAGGTGTGCTGTATGTTTCGGCCGTGTTCCCTGCCACTGGAGGTGTTGATAATTCCTGGGCGCTTCCGTGTAACAAATGCCCACTACGTGATACAATCTATTGTGCCACTTCACTGCCTACCCAGGCACTAGTTATCCAGCTGGCCAGAAAACATGGCCATGTTCTACACCGTGGAGGCCGCTGTGAGCCAACTAGCGTTATGATTCTACAAATATACTACCTATGGTAGTTCTGTAGCTTTAAAAAGCAATCCGAAAAGAATCAGTTCACATGCACAAATGCAAGCAATTGGAGTCGGCTAGGTATCTGAATAGGTAGCATCTATTGAGCCACGTCACTATCCCGACTACCCAAAGCACGTTGTAGTGATACCCTCCAACGTGGGTCACTGTGCCTTCAAATCATCAATATGTGATATCACACATTTGTTAGCGCTAGTAGCGAATGTTCACATGTCTCCAGCAAAAGTCTCGTGGTTGTGGTTGTGGGTATTATTCATTTTCTTGCCATCGCGGAGGATTCAGGTGTTTGGCGGACGTGCAGAACGGCTGATCTACCTAGATATGGTCAGGCGCGCTTGTTAGTGCCTTATCTACCCGCCGACCGCTTCCAAGGTTAAATCCATTATCCTCTCCAATCCCTGCCAGACCCCCTGTTCATACCCCGGTTCGCCTCTTCTCCTGTCAGCGTCCACTTCGAAACCTCGCAGTGTTTGAGACTTTGCTTAGGCACCACACTTAAAACTATTATGAAGCAAGGTTAGCTTTATAGTATACTAAAATGCCATCATAATCACCAGCGCTTTTCCTGTGTAGTGTTTAGTCAGGAGAGGTCGAATGTTGTAGAGAATAAGGTAGGGAATGATAATGGAGGCTTTGCCTCGAACTCGATTGATTGCTCCTCAACGTCTCCTAGCCACTCGCTTCTCAACAACCTGCACTGCTGTACCGGTAGTAGGTCCTTAGGGTAGACTACCCACGCTCAACGCTTGATTCGGACCATGCTACTTGTTCTCGTGTATCTGCCAGTGTACCGGTATTGTATTGTGCTTTGTGCTGCAGGTACCTACCTAGGTAGCTACTTAGATAACTTCTTGTACCCCTGCCCAGAAACCCCTGTCCTATGTCCCCTGCCTGGACTTGGTAGTGTGCCTAGGTACTGTAGGTATCTGTATCTCGTGTAGGTATCTGCTGTACCTTGGTCCGTAGGTACACTAACAAATAACCCCTGCTTTTTGGTCACCCATACCTCCAGTAAGTACATGTTGGTACCTAATCTACGGGGGGAGTAGGCCCTTGATTGGCCACGGGTACATCTGTAACCGCCCGTCCAAGCCCCCCGGCCCCCGGTCGTCTTCTCAACCTTGCTATCCTCAACGGCTCTTTGAGCCCACAATCGTGTGAACATCCAATGCCCATCGTTCAAAGCGCTGCTACCGCTGGCTACTTTGCAAGCGAGCAGGAGTCTAACATGAGCAACATGTTGCCGTGGACTGCTACGGGTTGCTATAGGCTCTTTGCGCCAATGACCCGACCAGATTTGGTTACCCATCTCATCATGACGACTAAACCAATCCGCCTTGATACCCCAGCTTTCTTACCCTGTTGGGCATCCTAGACAACCGGTGCTCGTGGGTACGACATACTGAGAAATCGCTAATGGCTAATGGCGGTCTCGGCCGTCGCTCTTGATACTCTCTACGTTTCTCGTACTGGCCCGTCTTCTTAAAAGTCTTGCATGCTCCCCCATGTTGACCATCTCCTCTTTTGTACATGAAGACACCCCTTCGTCTCATATTCCGACCTCCTGCAAGTCTCATCGTGTCTGATCTTCCACCCTCTTGGCCTAGGACACAACCCATCAATTTCGGCATCCAGCTATCCTTGCGGTTATCAATACTTGTTTAGCTGTTCAAGAGGGCCACTCTACTGCAATTTGCTTCAAAGCGCGCCATCTCGTCTCAGCCGCTTCCCCCGTACCGTGTTTCTTGATCTAGATACTTGGGCCCTGGATCGGGTTCAGGCTTAGCGCCCACCTGACTTCACCAGAGAGTCGATTGACAATCCTCCTTTGCCGGATGTATCCAATGCCGAGCGGATGCCAGCTGTCATAATAGATCGGATATCAAGAACTTGGATCTCAGACGAAGAAATCCCGTTGTTAGCAACCCCTAGCATCAGATACTCTACCCCGGTAGACACCTGTCGGATCTGATACAAGCTCTCCCTGAACGGGAGCACGGCTCCTCCTTAGAAGTTAGGCTACAAACCCAAGAACTCTCTAATATAGCTTCAGTGGTCCCGTCGACCACTTCGTTTTACTGGTTCCTCTCTTCTCTTTAGTCGCCAGCGCTGTGCACTCGTCTTCAACCATATCGATAACATCGATTTGTTGTCATTCTTTTCGATACCCTGCAGGTCCGGCTACCTCGCATTTGTCTGTGTTGTTTGTTCCTTTGTCTCATATATAATTCCTTGGACGCCGACTTGTTGACCACCTTCGGCCGTTGGGGTATACGACGTGGACGAGAAGCGAAAGGTGGAGCTAGAAAATATTGGGACGGCTTGGGAAATCAAGACGGAAGAGAAAAATAAAACGAGCATCAGGATTTAGAGAACTCCAAGCCTTCAGAGGTCGGAAACCCGGAGTGTGTTTATACTGAATTCAACGAACCGAATCAATCGTCACCGACAATCAACGACAAGATGGGCAAACTTATCAAGAACCATTGGGCAAGGCTCATTGTCCTGACCGCAGCAGTTTGTACGTATTACCAGACTATTTCGCCTTGAACTAGTTGTGACAGGCGAAGAAACGAGATTGGGTTGGGAAAATAGACTAACATCTATCTAGATCAAGTCGCTGCTGCACTGGAATCTTTTTTTTGGCCGAAAATATTTTGGGATTTCCTGACGAAGACTTTAGACCCGGCAATTAAGCCTGTGCCAGTCTTACAAATCATTAATCTCCTCCTGGGCATCGGCATGTTTGCCATGGAGTGGCCACTCAGCTTCATCGCTGGATCGAAATTCCACCGCAGCTTGGAGGCTCGACTACTGCTCCTCCCCTTGGCTGCCTTGGCCGCCGTCCTCATCTACCAGGGCACAAACCCGGCTATCTACTACCTCACTGGAAGCGCCGTGTATTTTTGGGCTTATAGTGAAGGCGAGGTATGTATTACCGCATCAGATTATTTGGGTTGAAAGGAGGCTAACCTAGTGACCAGATGGTTTGCGCTGAACCTTGGACACTACCCAAGAGGAGTCGTTAGAGACAGTGAACCATATGTACCAAGGAAACTTTGTCTAGTTTAAGTCGACAATTTCTAGTTATTTCACTTCGTCTCGTCTCCGGCCAGATAGTCGTATGCAAGAACGAAACAGCTACGTCCTTACAAGTCTCACATTATACACGGGTCACCAGCCCATGAAAGGCTTCTTCCGTCAATCGCAAGAGCCGGGCTTTGAGGTTTTACGCATTTTGAGCTCATATATACACATGTGTATATTCATATCTTCTATATATAGCTCGATGTCAATTTTTGTCTACACCGCCATTTTAATATAAAAAAAAACAATTGAGACGAATTGAAGGAATGGGCCAAGGCACTATTTCGCATATAAACTGGCATTATCAAGGGCATCGTGCAGGGTTGAAACTGGGTTAAGATGTATTGAGGCTGTAAAGTTAATGATTGATTGCATAGGCATGAATGAACGAGATATGGCGATACAGGATTGCCTCACATCTAAGACTATCTAAGACTAATGATGTGATTTCTTAAAACGATATGGCTGCTGAACTACCAACCACTTGCTTAAACTGCGACGAGCGTACCGGAACGACTTAAGGCTAGGTAGTTTTCTTGCAGGATTCCAAGGACGAAGTGGATCTTGTGGCCAGTAGGATCCATGGATCAACAAGGTTGGTCTATTCGGAACTTGAGTGCCGGCAAGGAATCAAATACGGCAAAGCAACGCCACGAAAGCTGGCTAGTACTTGGAACAAACCGAATAATACTAGAAGTGGGGATTCTCACGTTGGTGGCACAGTCATATCATCTCAACTCTATGTTGTGCAGGATGAAAACCGTCAGGCTGGGTATGCAGGAACATTCATTATTCCGCTAGCTAGTGACCTTTGCAGACTACCTATCGTATGATATGAGAAGACAACACGAATTGCCTTTTTAGTATGTGAAATGCACATTGCATGCCAATGCCTCATTTTAAGCTTCTGCTCTGATTAAAAGTCCGTAGCCCCCCAAAATTGCACAGCCTCTGGAACTGTCGCCAGCGCTGCGTGCTCCTACAGGAGTCCATGACACCGATGGCTTTCTAGGCAAGATTAGCCAGCCTTGAGCTGCACGCTGTCCCTTCTTATCTTGTGCCTGGCTGGCCGTTCACAATGTTGGTCGTTTGAGCATCGTTCTTGTGTCCGCTACGTCCGGGGAACTGGCAAGTCGTAGGTTAGCACTCAAGCACTGGAACAGGAACAGATAGCGGCCAGGATACCCATACCTGTGACTCCTGAACGTTGCCCTTCTGGAGGATCTGCTTAATAACCTCGTCCTCGTCCTCAGTATCAAACTCGGCCGCCAGCGTTAATTTCGCCGCGTCGGAAAGCTGGCCTTGAGTTCCTTGCCTATTGTGTTGTGTTGGTTAGCGGCATGCTCAAAGCAAACAACCAAATCGCTCGCTTGGCAGAGAGGGGGAGGGGCATTGGCTGGAGGAGCCGCTAGCTGGTCCACGCTGTAGTCGCTCATGACAACCCCGTCGGGCGATTGTCAATGACGTAACAACAGGAAGGTATGTGTAGACGCCAACGAATCTTCTCGTCGGAAGCCGGCAAGGTCTAGATGAACGATGGCAAGAACGGGCATTTACTTACTTGCCGTTCACGAAGACCTTGAATGTGGAAACGAAGTGGGCCATGGGGACAGATTTGTCGTCCAGCCACTTCTTGTATGTCTCGTTATCGTCGACAAAGACAATGAAGTCCTCGTCCTTGCCCTTGTAGTGGACCTTGATCTGGGTGGCCTCGCCTTTAGTCATGTTGTCCGAGTTGCAGATAGGCGAGCGGTGAAGATGGGAGGGTTCTGCTCTGGCAATAGGTAGCAGGAGGGAAGTCAATCGAGTGAATAATGGTATGAAGGTGAAGTAGATGTGAGGAGTTCTTGGCTGATGGGAGAAGTTGTAATGATGCTCAGATCGTCAGTTTGGTGATGAAGTTGATGGGAAGAATGACTGGGAAGGAGGTTTGACGTTAGGCAGGAGAGCTTCAAATAAGAGAATGGAGAGCTGCTGTTTTGCTGGTCCTGCGCACATTCCATCATACTGCTGCCAGCCGCTACGTCATACGTCATTGTAGCTCTGTCTGTAGGGCAAACAGAGCATTACCTGTCGGGATCCCCCACCTCTACATAGGTAAGCTCGGTAAGTACCTAGGTACTAACCAGTAACTGACCAGTGTCACAGCTGCCCCCGCCTATTAGGCGATGTACTGCCCCAGACAATTCCAACTCAATGCCTCCCTACTATATGTACCTACAGCAGTTAGGTACATTGGTTGGTGGCTGTTCTTGTAGCTTACCTCAAGTACCTACTTAAGGCAGGTACCCCGCTTCGGCTGGCTGATTTCCTGCCACCTTAATCGAACAAGGTATCTACCCTTGGGCGGATAATTACTTAAGTACTTGGAATATCTTTGGTCTTCCTTCCCGCTCCTTTTACGTCATTCAAAGACATTGGCCAAATCACTTTAATTGTTCTTTGTCAGTACCGCCCATAGCAGGCAGGTACTAGGCACCCTGAACAGGAACGCCTGGGATCAGCCCAGAGAGCACGTGCACAGTGACGGCATAACATAGGAGCTCTTCAAGCCAGCCTTGGGAGCTTCCAAGCTTGCTACTAGAGTCAGCGCACTGTTGGTGGGTTATCATTATATGAATTTATGAAAATGGGCGTCGCCATGTATGGTCGGTAAATGACGTGTATTAAGAATTTGTTCTCATAGAGTACACCAAGCGGGTGCCTCCTTCATCACTCGAAAAGAGTAGAGTAGAATAGACTAAGTGCTACGCGCCTTTCAGTCTGCCCAGCATCGACTTGTGCATACAACCCCAAACCCTCTCCTGTGCCGAGAGCCGTATAATCGATGCAGATTAAAGCCCTAGTGATGATATCGTGGGTTTCAATGATAAAAGAGCTGGTAAAGGAGCGAGTGCGAAGGTAGGTGGTATCATTTTCATAGCCAAGCCAGCCAAAAACTCCCGAATAAGCACCCAGTAAACCATGAGACGTTGTCCCACAGAAACCTCTCCTTTCTCTTTCCCGTGTAATGTATACAAATCGCCTCTACCCCTAATGGAAGAAGCTGCGGTTTCCTAGGGCTTGGAGACTTCTGTTGATGATGCCGACTCGGGCCCACCTGCTGCTAGATCTTGCAGTGCTCATATAACCTGCTGCAGGGCCGCCCTTTTGTGATCCGCCGTACGACTTGCCTGCTTCCACCGAGCAGGAACACATCGAAGATCTAGCCGACGACGGCGTCGTTTCTGCACGGTGGCCCTGTGCCGACGGTGTTCGAAGAGACGAGGTGCCTGATTCATTCTCATCGCTCCATGTCGCCCCCACTTTAGCCGCGTCTAATCGGCGCACAGTGCCTTCTGAGTTGGTGCCGTCAGCTATCTGGGAACTAGCACTAGTACTGCCACTACTTGACCTTTCTATCTCATCGCGGATAATTGGTAAGCGTTGTAACGGGCTGCCTTCTATCACCTCGGTTCTAGAAGACGTCAAGGTATCGCAATTCACACTGACAAGGGAGTCAAGGAACTTATTCACATGAGGCATCTGCTCGCTATCTTCCGTAGGCAGTAAGTTGACAGTGCTTCCAGAGCGCTTGGCAAATGGATTGGTGATACTGGCGGCGCTGAGTTTTCGCATCATTATTGATGCTGAACTTCGTACACGATGTTCATTCTTCAATCGCGAGGTAATGCCCGGATACGGCAAAATGTTGCGGCTCCAAACATCCGCTAATGATGCTTCAAGGTGGGCCCTTTCAGCCCGAGACGGAGCAAGAACCGGTATTCGGGAATTCGTCGTGAGCAGGGACTGTGAGCGATTGATTGATGATGGTAGGTTTATGGGCGTGACATCTTTGACGGTACTTGTGTTCTTAAGTATAACTTGACACAGCGGAGACTTGGGTCCGATGGTCGTGGCCCGATGGATAGAGAGGCGACGAGCTACTGACCCTGCTGTGTGTAAGTAGACATATGGTATCTGGAATGCCAACACTGACCAGGTTTTCTAAACACTGTCCCAAGGCTTTTGATATGGAGAGAATTTGAACTGTAGAATGCCGAGGATGGCTGTTCATGGGATGCGGGTCGCTTTACATCCGAGAGACGTATGCGCCATTCCATCTCTTCCTTCGGCGAACAAGCTGTCATGATCATCTCATATAGTTGGTGATCACACTCGAATACAAGTTTCCAAGAAAAAGGTGCCGTATGGCATTGCAAGCCTTATCTCATCAGCACATGCATATAGACAAAGCCTTTTGCTGCAATACTCACCCCTGCCATTGTCTGCTTCTTCAACTCTGATTCTATCTAAACCGATACAAGCCTGAATGGTGTAGACTTGATCTCCTTTACCCACGGTGGCAAGACACAGGTAGTCTCTGTAGAGAAGTGAAGCCATATACTGGCCTGTCACGCCCTCCCTGGTTTGCCAGCAGACGTGTAAAGCTCCACAAAGGCGTATCTGTCCGAGCGAACGAATCTTACTCTTGGATGCGGCAGACAATCTCTATTCAAATTAGCAGGTGTAAATTTTGCTACGACCTGGTATATCTTACTTGGTTGGGAAATACGAGACGATCTTGGAGCAGCCAGGTTTGTTCCAGCGAGGCTTTGACTCCGGGGTCATCCGTGGCCCGGTTGATTTCGGCCGTAGTTTCGCGAAGCCTGATGAGCACGCTCTCAATTTCCATATGAGAGATGGGGCAGTCGCAAACTGGCGTGTATTTCAGAAGCTCAGAAAAGAGAAGAGGGTATCTGCAGATTCGTTGTATTGGCTACTGGATGTAAGCAAACCGATTGCTGTGAAGATGTGAGAACAGGTCTTACTTTGACTAGTAGGTCACCGATGGTCAGAGACTTTCTAGAGTGACCTAGATGACCATTCGGGGCGTTGAGTGAAGCGGCTAACGCCTCGATGCCTTTCTGGTAATTTTCCCAGTGTGGGAGGATACGATGAGTAGACGCAACGTCTCGAATCATCAGCTCGTACCTTGCTCCATATTCTTCATAAATGAGGAAACGGTTTATCTAGGATTCGTCAGCATGCCCGGTCGGTTACACGACCGCTCTTCAAGCATCTTGAATGGTACCTTCTTCCCAAATATTTGGGCAACCTCAGCTGCAACATTCGGTTCAGCGATCACGCTAGGGACGCTATGTAACCATGACCGCCCGCCTCTTTCTTCGGGGACAGAGTCGAGGCTATGCCAACGGTAGTGTTCTTGGCTTGGCTTTGGACTTGGTTCTACCGCAATGTATTCGGGTTGCGTATACTCCGAATCAGGGACAATACGATGAAGCTCACCAAGAATTTCTTCGTGGAGTTCAATTATGTCTGTTAAGTTCTGATTGATCGAGGATCGAAGACCGTGCTGGAGCGTCGGTAAAGAAGCCAAGATGGTAACATAGACCTTGAGGAGGTCAGCAGTCAATGATAATGAAGTAAGAGATTGAACGTACGTTCATGAGGAATCTAATGTCACCAATGTAACTTTCCTCTGTTGTAATGAGCTCTTCAAGTATCCGTCGCCTCTGGAGTAGACGTTCTGTGACAGCTGGGTCTACTTGCGAACTTCTTTCAAAATAAGTGCTGTCTTCAGACATTCTTTGGGCTGAAACGGAGCCCCGGCTGCTCAGGTCCGTCCTCGTATGGACGGAAGATCGCGCCGCGCGTCTTTGTTGACGAGTTATCACACTTGCACTAGCTAGACTCACAGTGGCGCTTTTCACAGCGGCAACAAATCCAAAAGAAGAGGAACCTGATGAAGATTTCCTGTGACCATCGATTCGCGTGGGGCCTTCAGTAGATATGTATTCTAGGAAAGGCACCGTAGTATTGCTGCTAGCACTGGAACGGTGTGCTCGCCTGTGTAAGTTTTTCATCCACTTGTGAAATGGTCGGGACGTTGATGCCAAGGGTGTCTCTGGCTCTCCGATGTTAAAATCGTCTTGACATAGAGAGAACCTAGGCAGATCGAGAGAGTGCCTTGATATCTCATCATCATTTCCCAGACTGAGACGAAAAGCAGCTATGTCATCTAAAGCCTTCCACACGTCCTCGCTATCATCCTTCTCGTCCGGTAGTGGATCCAGGTAGTCGAGTCCAAAGTCGGTATCGGTCCTATTCAGCTTGACCGTTGCTGATGTCGTCAGGGCCTTTACCCAACTTTTGCCTCTTGCTACACGCAATGAATGACTTCGCGAGTATGGGCTAGGCGAATCGGTGGTCAAGATTCCGAGAGGCATAGTCCAAAGGGAGAAAACGGTGCCTGCTAAGATGAGGACCAAGAAAATATGACGATGCAGTTGGGTTCCAAAACTCCAAAGAGGTTGATAGAAGACAAAAACAAAACAAAACAAAGATTTGCCCCCGGGCTTGATCAGATTCAAAACATAATTATCAGCACGAAGGAGATAGCGAGGTTGAAGGCGAACCAGTAGATAATTACGAGGTTCCCTCTGTTAGGCACGTCATCGGTAAGGTACCTGCTTACCTACCTATGGGTATGTACGCCTTCGATACGTGGAAAGAAAGAACGGATTCATTGGACGGAGATTGGCACCTGAAGATGGTGGAAGCAAAGACAGGAAGCGAAGAGCATCAGCAACAGGTGCAACAGGTGCGCTTCCCGACCGCTCCAGCCCGTAGGTAAACAAAAGGCTTCCAAGGCGAGTGGAGGGAGACGGTGTGGAGGACACACATGCGGTGATCGCACCAGATCACTCCTCCTCCGGTCCGGGATATTTCAATTTCACAAACATATTTTCCCTCTCGCTCGCGGGAAGGGCGTGCTCGAGGCACCCAGTGTTTATGAGGATGTGACACAAGTCGCGGAGCTCGCGATGACGAGGTGCGTCATAACTGCAGAGATAAAGCACGATAACTAGGGACATTCCGATATGCCAAATGGCGATCCGCATTTGCAGTTCGATCGACTAGCTAAACTAGGCGTTGATAGCGTGCGTGGAAACAGCACACACACACACACAATGGATACAGTAACAACCTAAGTAGGTAGATGAAAACATGGAGAATGCCTACCGGTACTGCGATGTCGTGTACTGTCACAATGTGGCGCAAATGCGAACGCAGCAAGGTCACCTACACATACACATAGGTATCTATGCGAGAGATATGTGTAGGTAGGTCAGCTCAAGCATTCCCATGCGGATCGCGCGCATTACGAAGTATGCGCTCACCATCGCGCAGTTGAGTGTGATTCGGGAGGCACTACATAGGTTGGCGGCGGTTGCGTTCCACCAGTCCAACGTCCGTGATATTGACTACGTATGTAGTAGTAGTATTACCTAAGAAGTAAGAAGGCAATAATACACACTCACACGCTCTGTACCACAAGTATGCGTACGAAGCACACGGTAATGAAGATGCGGATTGGACAGCTTCGTCAGCTCAATCGATCAGCTTGGTCCGGTCACAGCTGAAGTCCGTAGACGCCAGTATTCAAGTGCAGAATACTATGTAAGTAGGGTAGCGCAAGTTTGGGGTTCTTCGGTTTAATTAGCGAATAAGAACAAGCCACAGCCCGAGCCGTACATATCGGTAGGTGAATGTGATAAAGCCCTGATAGCGCCTTATCGGGGGATATCGGTGGGGCGCCCACAACCTCCCGCTAGACAATTCAGACAATTCTGGCCAATTTGTCTGCAAATTCTCAGATCGACTTCTCTTCAACCACACCACCGTTACTAACGACCACAGCATCAACACCGACAAGATGGCCCTCGCACGTGGTCTCGACGTGAGTTGCATCCCAGACATCAAGGAAGTCCATCTGCTGAACAAAAACTGACGAATTGTGTGAAATAGAAAGGATATGTAAGGCTTTGACAACTTCTTCCTCCCCGAATTATCACACCGAACCCCTCCATCAACCCGTCCAACCATCAATGTCGATCATCGACTATATTCCATAATGCTTGGGCAATCAGTTCTACACGTCTCACCTCGTGGAGGATCCTGCTCTTCTTTGCTTCTATTTTCTATCGCAAAGTCATGGCAGTGATGGACATCTTTTAGACTGACGCTTAATTTTTTTGGAATCAGAAAACGACGGCTCGCGTCAACAAGAAGCGAGTATCCCGCACAAAGGGACACCTCAGCCGTCGCACCGCCCACGTTCGCGATGTGTATGTCGATCTCCCTCCTCTGTGGAAGCAAAGTGATGTGAAAATGGCAGCTGACTCAGACGATAACAGTGTCCGTGAGGTTATGGGACTTGCGCCATACGAGCGTCGCGTAATTGAACTCCTCCGCAACTCAAAAGACAAGGTGAGTGACAACAGCTATAACAGTTGACATGAAAGTTTCTTGGCTTACCATGATTACAGCGTGCTCGTAAGCTAGCCAAGAAGAGGCTCGGTTCTTTCCAGCGTGGCAAGAAGAAGGTTAGTGAATAGTTTAGTTGAATTTGTTTCATTTGCGCTGTCAGCGACTAATTCTCATTCTAGGTTGATGAGCTTACGCGTGTCATCGCTGAAAGCCGTCGCGCCCACTAAATTACCAACTTGACAAATTGAAGAAAATGCATTTACGGGACGGAGTGAATCAGGGAATCTAAAACGGGCTTGGCCTTTGGCGTCGTCAACTTTTCGGGATGTAATTCTCATATCCCTACAGTATGGGATCGGTTGAAGTGGGCAGCACCGCTTAGAAAAGCTCCTGCCACACATTACATGAACGCGAGATACCACATTTCTCATCACGAGTCAATTATTCACCCTACGTTCACAATGAAAGAAAGAACTGATGATTTCCTACAATCGGTGCGACTGTGCGCAGTGACATGATGTATTCAAATACACTGAAGTAGAATGCCACCCATGAAAACTCCAAATCTATGCTAACGCAGTCGTTTGTCTCGTCGATCAGAATCAGTAAAGACACCCCAGTGCTTTCCTCCATTAACTACGACGGCCTGCGCGAGTCTGAATCTAGCAACGTCACTTTACTTCTTGCCAAATCCCTTGAGCCACTTGGGTTTCTTAAAACCCGAGCCATCACCGTCGTTCTTCGGCTTAGGCGCTTGCACCGGCACACTTTGCCCATCTTCCTTCACTTCAACTTCGGGCACATCAGGTACGACGACTTGTTGTGCTTGACCAGCCACACTGCTCTTTAGAAACGGTTGACGCCTGACGTCAGCAGCTACACTGTCGTCCCATAAGAAGTTGACGAGCGTGTTAGTGTTGAGCCGGTATCCCTTGATTAGCTTGCTTTCCCCATCATCCTTGATAATGGTCCGCGTGCCGGGAAGCACAAGTTTAAATGACGGAGAGTTGTTGGCCATTATATCCCTGACCTCACTGTAAAGGCTTGCACCTGTGTCTGCCGGCCCGAACGTCCATTCGGCGGAAAAGTTGTCGGGAAACCGCACCTTGATCTTGATGGATTTAATGGCGGCTACTTTTGCCTCTTCTATGGCGGCCTTCTCCTCGAGTTCTTGATCTGAGAGGAGCCGCTTGTTCTCTCCTAATGACTTTAGCATTTTCTGGTGCGCCTTTGCGTGACTAATGCCGGGGGCGTAGTCTTCTTCTGAATCTAGCCGTGAAGCCGCTATTGGGGTAGATGATGTGGGAGCCGAGAAGATTGTGACGGGCCGCTGCCCGGACTGCTCGTCGATGTCCATAGAGTCGTTTACTGCGTTGTCCTGAATACTAGCGGGCTCTTGATTTGAGACGGGCGGCGAGACAACTTCAGTTGATTTGGGTGTTGCGGGTGCTTCACTTGCCGGAGCGGGAGGCTCAGATCTACTCCCCGATGTCCCTTCCATCTCTTTTGTGTCAGCGCCTTGAATTTTCTGCGGCGTACTCTCCTGTTCCTGAGACTTGAAGTACTCTTCGATTTCTCTCATAGCATCTGTCAACGACTGCGTGGTCTTTTGAAATGAGAGACGTATTAAGACACCGCCCGAATTGTAGCCCAGCTGAGCCAACGTCTTTTGAAAGTCGACAAAGGTCGATAGGGTTCGATTCTCTATTACAATATTCGGCATCTCATAGTATAGCTGTCCACTACCCGCTTGTGTACCATTGTTCGTCTGCGGCACCGCTCTAGCAGTGATGTTCACGTTCTTTCCCGCGCTGGCTTTGCCGCTCTCGAACTGCCGTAGTATCTGCCATATTGTGAAGTCGCTTGGTAGCTTCTCGCTTACACGTCCGTGAGGGGGGAAGAGGCTAGATTCGGGGGGTGGTAGTTGTAGAGCAACGTTGACGGCACTTGGTGTGTTCGCCCGAACGACAAGTTCTAACCGGGCGCCTGGAATAAGGCCAGATGTCCGGAAAGTTTGGCTGAGGTCGAGTTGCCGTTGCTTATGTTTTAACAGGTACTTATTGTTTGGGATCTTGAGCTTTGTGCATGCTTGTTCTAGAACTTCGGTGAGGTATGTGCCTGGGTTGACTTTGATGGTCACCTGTCGTAAGTCGGTCCCTACGACCTTGACATTGGTTGCCATGAGTGGCTATCTGGTCTAGGAGAAGAGAGTCTTCCGCAGGCTGAGAACAGTTCGGTAAGGGGTCCGGGGTAGGTGAAATGGCGGCGCTGCCTGTTGGGAGGGCGATGATGCGCCGCACTGCTGACTCCTGGTGATACGGAGAGCTGTTTGAGTTGTTCGACTGTCCGATACAGGTTCACGCGACGTTAAGAGTTAGATAGACTTGTGATAACCTTTTAGTACTGGTACGTCTCATCAAATAGCAGCCAGGTTGAGGAATTAGGTAATTAGGTCGAATGACACAGAAGACTTGGGAAGTTGATGCAGTTGATCAGCTCTGGCGAGATAGGTACAGTCTGGTACGGCAACAGTACCACCTGGGCACATTGGGATGGAGTGGAGGGGTACTGCATTGTGGGGCATCACAAACTACTAGGTACCTAGTACATACCTAGGTACTGCCTAGGTACCGAATTCTGCGGCTGCTGGAACTCCTCTGCTAGCGAACCAAAAGCCATAGCCAAACCTCTGTTGACCGGAAGTGGAAGAGGCTATGAGGAGGAGTATGAGTAGATATTCAAAATAGGTGAACTATGGTGTTTGGAATCAGCTGTTCTCTAAAATACGGGAATCAAAACTATGGGAGTCGGGAAGAATAACACACAGTAAACAGTAAGGCACCATTTGTTACACACATATACAGCCGAAACATGCAGTCCACCTATGGCTACGGGCATAATGTAGTCTGTTCATGACTTTAGAAAGATATGCAGGCAATCTTAAAAGTACCTAGGGTTATACAGACTTCGTTTCATGAAATAGATCACTAAGGCCTATGCGCTTAAGACTAGCAGTTCAACTGTATGTAGAGTCAAAGTCATCCATCAAGGTCAAGAAAGAATTGGTTAGCCAATGACTTTTGCAGCCCTAGTGTCATCGTTTTGTAAATAGCATCAGTACCAAGCCCAGACCTCTGCCCTCGTTATACTACCTCCATGGTTTCAAGAGTAGAGCGCAGTTATATAATTAATACTAGTTGTCTTGTCTTGCTCTAGTTCTCTTCGCCCCCAGTCTAGTCACGTCTCAACAGATGTTGCGCTTCAATAGAGGGATGGCAATAGTATTTATGCGACAGACTACATATAGGTTATTTAGGAAACGGGAGAGAAAAGGATGGTGTGCTCATGACGACAGCAAATAGTCATTATCAACTTCACTTACAGAATATCCGATGAGTTACTATCTTGGCCATCCAACGTTCCCGCCTACATAGGCTGCGTAGAAGCAAATAAATTAGCTTCAATCATCCGAAATGCACGAGAAATGATGGTGTGTCCCTCGGTTCCTTCCTGTAGAACCTCCCCGTCGATATGGATGACATCTTCCTCCGGAGGAACCTGGTGATTTTGATAGCAACCACCCTTAGTCCTGCTACAGGTAAAGTCGTAGTGCTTTTCGGATCGAGTTTCCATGCACTTGAGTTGAATGATGCCAGGGACCGAGTCATGACTGAACTGGGCGTCATCAGCAGCTGCGAGCCAGTCCGCACTGGTCGCTACAGAGACATCCTTAGCAAGTAGCCAGCAGTTATTCGTTACTAAAACAGTTAAAAGGGCTTACCCAAGTTCAAACTTAGTAAAAACCTTTTCCTTCAAATAGAGGGATAGAGCCGTTAGTATAAAAATATCCTGAATTCCAAGTTATAGGGCAGAACTTGCAAACTTAGCAACAAATTCTTCATAGTCTAACATATTCATACCTGGGTCAGTTATAAACTCGTAGGCAACCATATACCCGTCAAGTATTGCCTTAAAATAGAGGCCACGCATATTTGGAATCTTCTATGGAGTTCGAAGACTGCTAAAAATGAAGTTTCCGTATATGTTCCCTTTAACCATCTCATATACCATAACTTACCCTTTGGGAAGATCGTAGTATTTATAGATAAAGTGGACGGAGAACATATTAGCAACTCCATAATTCGCAATAATATCAAGAAGAATAACATACGCTATAGAATTCTTAGCTACGGCATCTGCCATCTTACTAATATAGGGAAGCTTATTATATTCCACTACAGATAAAGGACCTTCGTAGAGGTATTTATTGCTTAACGAGTTAATAGGGGGAGACATTGGTGAACATTAACTTGTCTAGTGGCTAATGGCCTTGGGTTATAGAAGTAGGATGGAATTATAAGCGCTGAGCTAAAGCTAAAACAACGGTGTACTCAAGTGTTAGCAAGTAATTTCGAGACTGAAAGTTAATAAAATAATTAGTTTGAGCAGGACAATATCTTTCCTGAAGAGCTCTGGAAGGTTAAACACTCGGAGTAAACATCGGGGCATTTTCGTGACTTTTATGACCTATTATCTGCGGTAGTTCACCAGTGACTCAAGAATACTGGACTAAGCGAGATGCTTTCTGATTTGACATCATGTGTGATTAGTGTAGTAGGTATGATACGGAAGAGACATAGTATCAACACGTCCAGCAGATATTGTACCGTGAGACTACGACATGCGTAATGGTCGGTATGACCCTTCTTGGAATTGCCCACTATCTTATGGAGTCATTGTTTTGTCAAGCGAGAATAACGTTGAGAAAACAGATATGTAGTAAAGATGGTTGTTTCTTCAAGGTCTTAATCCACGAGAGGGATTGGGATGTCAACATTGGGCTGCTTCGCAGCCCCTACGTCACCCGTGCCTTTGTCTTCCACTTTGCTATATTGTTTACTTCTTTTACCACAATAGATTCAAAAGACCAACATGTAGAGAGGGCATGTGTCGTCAAGCCCCTGATGTGCGTAAGGAGGATAGTTATCTAGCCGCGCTTTGATGCTGCTACGATGCTCTATTATAGGAACTACCACCGTTTCGTTATATTGCAATCCTGCTCTATGAACGAGTGTATTAAAAAATGTATTTGGATAAAATGTTAGGTCCAGGATGATGTAGTACGGCTCTGTACGTAGGTACTGGTAGTGGCTTGGATTTCTGTGCTACAATTCTCCTAGATCCTGTTCCACTACTTCATTTGCCGTGATGAATTGATTCGGTCTCCTTAGATGTAACAGATACTACCCAGGTAGCAAACTAAACACTATCCCTACACGAGAGGTCGAACAGATCGCAGTGCGTCATGTCTGACATCCAACTAAGCAATAAGCCGACCGCTTCATCTTTCGGCAGTCTCCTATCACCTGCCCCTGTTTTCACCTGAATACCATTGTGATAGTAATGATCCAAACATGCGCCTTCACCCATCTTCATACCTATCTACATCTCTATCTGCGTTCACGTAGACTCTGCATCTGAATCTCACGAATCAGTCGACACAATGCCAGAGATTATTTCTGATAAGAATTTGCCCAAACTGCTCGACACTCCTGTAAAGCAGGCCGAATGGGCACAGAAGCTGGTTCTCGAGCACTTAGGCAGTACCTGAAACCGCATCGATATGCCCCCTATTCAAGGAATGTTCAGTCGGACCCTATTCGTTACCTTTGCCGACAGTGGTGTAGTGGTGCAATTTCGCACTGAGCCACTTGATATCGAGGCATTCAAATTGCCAAAGGAGCACTAGGCTCACTTGTCCCTGACATTAAGGCACTCACTCCCTAGCGAGGAGTTAGAGAGCGCGGGTGCCTGGGCATACTCACTTAGTCGTATTCCTGGCCAAATATGGTTGTATGGAGTCGCTGGGAGGGAAGCCATCGCTTGGTCGCGTCTTTTCGAAAGGCTTCCTCGCCGGTAGTAGTCGTGAAGCTGCCGAAACCAAGCTCCGGCCGCATTTAGAGGCCATCTGGGCGTCACCGCTGGAAGAAGTTGTCCCTTATAAAACGACCCTTGAAAATCTCTTAAAAAAGCTTGACGAACTTGCCCAGCTGCCGTTATAGGTTGCTCACTATAATCTAAACGAGGTCAACGTACTCATTAATAAACAATATGAAGTCACCGGTCTGATCGACTGGGAAATGTCCACGCCGCTCCCATTTAGGGTTGGTTTCGGCCGCATTCACTCGATTGGAAAATTCCAAATGCCCGATAAGTTTAAAACGGCGGAAAGGGGCTTTTGGTCCAAACTTTTCAACGGAATGCCTAAGCATATTCCAACGAGCCTAGATAAGCGCATTAACCTAGTGTAAGACGCCGTCACACTTGCGACATTGCTGAATTGCTTCTCTTTCGACTTTGGGGAGGTCAGGGTTGGCCGAGTTACCTTAAAGGCCCTCCCAAAACTATTGACCTATCGAATCCCTTTTATCCGAGGACAAGAATAGCCATATAGCTGTTGAAGTTATAAAATAAATACTGTAGTCAACTGAATAGGTAGAGACCTAGCCACAGAATTATACTAGACCTTGAAATCTAGTCCTCTGCACTTGGGAAGAGTAACATGCCTACGACACAGCTGCTGGACAGCTTTTACCAGAATGTTGTTGAACCACAAACCGAGATATGCGCATCCAGAGGCCAAAGCGTGCATTGTGATTTGCATGTACTTGTTGACAGAAAAATAATAATTAGTACTTGTAAACCACCTCCCATCGCTAACCAAGGACTTTCCTGATTTACCAGTTCTCCAAAAAGTCGTCCATGGCACAATTAAAACTTGGAGGCTCATCCGCTGCGAGATGAGGTGAGTTGGGGGCTCTTTAGGTATCGCCAAGGACAGCTACGTGCATGTACACACACATGTACAAACCAGGTACCGCTACCATTTTCCAAGTTACGGGGTACCTGCCATCCACATCCCTGCAAGAGCCTGGAGCTTGCCGCGCCAGTGTGTGTTTGCCTTGCAGCTACACTGGCGACCAACCTCAGCCAGCCAGTATAGACATCGTCACAAGCTACCTCTTACCTAGGTAGCTTCACCTATCTAATTCCACGACGACGACGACGACGACAAAAACAACTCCTACACTCGACATCAGGAGCCAAAACGTCACCCAAGGCCCTTCGAAACAGCCGACATAAGTGCACCACAAACGACGCCGCTCTGTCTCTCCCTCCCTAACTTTCTGTCACTCATCATCACAACCTCGCAATGGTAAGTTCCCACCGCCCGCTTCGTGCAAGCCAGCTCACCAACACTTCTATGCCCAGGCCTCACCATTTTCGATAAGTACGCTCGCCTCGCCCGCATCCCTCTCCTCGCACCTCTCCCAGAAAGACTAACGCCCCCTCAGACGGCGGCGCCTGCGTGGCCATGGTGGGCAAAGACTGTGTAGCCATCGCCTGCGATCTGCGTCTCGGGCTACAAGCCCTGACGGTATCCAACAACTTCCCCAAGGTCTTCCAGTACGGCGACAACGTCTTCCTGGGTCTGACGGGGCTGGCCACGGACGTGTCGACCGTGTCGGACCTGTTCCGCTACAAGGTGAACATGTACCGCCTGCGCGAGGAGCGCGCCATCGCCCCTTCCACCTTTGCCAACCTCGTCTCCTCGTCGCTGTACGAGCGCCGCTTCGGCCCGTACTTCGTGAGCCCCGTCGTCGCCGGACTCGACCCCAAGACCGGCGCCCCTTTCATCTGCGGCTTCGACTCCATCGGCTGCATCGATTTTGCCAAGGACTTCATCGTTAGCGGCACCGCCTCAGAACAGTTGTTTGGCATGTGCGAGAGTCTGTGGGAGCCTGATTTAGTGCGTACACCCCGCCTCCCCCTGTTCTTTCTTTCAGCTATGTTTTAGTTATCCGTTCATATATAAATGCATGCATACATGTCTTAATGGAACGCTTCGAACTAATCAAGTCATCTCATATCCGCCAAACAGGGACCAGAGGATCTGTTCGAGACAATCTCGCAGGCTTTGTTGAGTGCAGTTGATCGGGATGCGTTGTCTGGTTGGGGTGCACATGTTTATGTCATCGAGAAGAACAAGGTGACCAAGAGATTGCTCAAGGGACGACAGGATTAAATCATAAATTGCAACGATAGATCTTCTCAGTTGAAAGAACCGAGATAAGCATATGAGGTTACAAGATCCAGGCCCCCATGGCCATAGCACCCATCGAAACAACTACAATAGTGATGGAGGGGCTAGAGACTATCGCTTCAGGCTCTCTTGAAAGCAAGCTCTATGACTATGGATATGCCACCCAGTACCGACTCTTGATAGTGGGAATCGGCTCTGGGTGCCTCCGTAAGATTTTATAGTATCTAGAGAAACTGGAATGGGATAATGGAAATGCACAATATTTCACAATGTTTCGCAATTGCTCTTTATTATCTTTAAGCGTAATGCTCTGTATAGAGGGAGTTTAAGCTCCCTAGGTCTATTCTATAACCTAGAACCTCTGTATGCTCGACTATGCGTCCTTCTTGGTCTTAGTAACCTTCCCACTGCTACTGTCGAGGAAAAATTGTCGCTCGATCATCTTCAGCACTTCATCGATGACACTAACTAGCGGTTAGTTGATTCAAATCATAGAAAGGGCGATGTGAGGACAACTTACATCACTGGCGCACTGATATACAACACTGCTTTCCACTCGGTCCAATTCATAGGTAGAATGGAGAAAAGGGTCTGCAAGAAGGGAGTGTAGAGCAGTGCAAAGTGCAGAGCCATCGATAAAGCAATGGCATATACAAGCATCATGTTCTTCCATAAGGGCAGTGTCAAGAGCGATTCGCTTGATGACAGCGCGTTCATGGCATTGAGCATCTCAATGACAACCAGGATCGATAGGGAGACAGTAGATGCTGATTTGGCATTGTGATCTTCAAATATTTGGCAGCCAATGCTTGCAAACTCTGTAGAGCATCGATGGAAATGAGACAGTTCATAGAAACTGATCTGGGGCCCTTCAGGGTTGTACATGAACCACCAAGCGTAACCACCAACAGTAGCAAGGCCAACATAGGTGCCGATGACCAGGTAGCGGAAGAAGAGCCAACCTCCAATAAGAGCCTCATCACGCTTACGTGGCCGTCTCCTCATGATGTCGTGGTCTGGGGGGTTGAAGGACAATGCAGTGGCTGGGAGACCGTCCGTGACAAGGTTTACCCATAGCAGTTGAACAGGAATCAGAGCCTCTGGCATGCCTAGTGCTGCAGTGATGAAGATGGAAACAACTTCTCCGATATTGGAGGAGATAAGGTACCGAATGAATTGCTGCGTGTTGTTATAGATTGACCGACCTTCTTCAATAGCAACCTCGATCGTGGCGAAGTTGTCATCGGCGAGAACCATATCAGCTGCCAATCTAGACACATCAGTTCCTGAGCCCATGGCAACACCGATATCAGATTTTTTGAGTGCGGGCGCGTCGTTCACACCGTCTCCGGTCATGGCGACAACCTCATTCAAAGACTGAAGTAGGTCAACTAGCTTAGACTTGTGGCTTGGCTCAACACGAGAAAATAGGGAGGCATGTTGGGCGGCTTCGAGTTGTTCACTTGGAGTCAAGTTGTCGAACTCCCTACCAGTAAAACTCTTGCCTTTAAGATCTTCAGATTCTTCGAAAACGCCAATTTGTCGACAAATGCTTTCAGCTGTGTTGCGGTTATCGCCAGTGATGACGATTACTCTAATACCAGCAGCCTTGCACTTTTTGATTGCATCGGCGACTTCAGGTCGAGGGGGGTCAAGCATGCCTACGAGGCCGAGCAACGTAAGGTTTTGTTCCAATTGGGCATAATGAGCAGAAGTCTGAGCAGTGCGGATCAAAGGGTTAGATCCGACGTCATCCAGGCTAGCAAGAGCAATGACTCGAAGACCACGGTTACCATAGTCAACCACCTCTTTCATAAGAAGATCATAGAGCTGTTTGTTAAGCGGAACTCGTTTGCCATTAGCTCCGACCAGCGCATGTGTACATCGCTCGATGATAGACTCCGGGGCACCTTTAACAAGGAGTTTCTTCTGCTTGCCGTCTTGGACAAGCACAGACATGCTCTTTCGGTCTCGGGAGAACTCGAAAGTGGCAAGGCGGGTATACTTTTGTTCATACCAAGCACTGGCGTGGTGGACACAGTCTTCAGGCTTCGTCCCAGCAGGGGCACAAGGACCAAGCTTCTCAGCAAGGACTCTCAATGCGCCTTCGGTTGGTTCGCCCACGTTTGAAAAGGTGGCAGATCGGGCATCATACACGAGCTGGGCATCGTTGCAAAGAGCAGCAACCTGATTCATTTGGTTGATTGTGCTAGACGTCTGAACCAAATCTTGAACTACCTTGCCATCCCGTTTGATGGAGCCCTTGGGAGAGAATGTAGTACCCTCGACATCGAGTTCATCAAGATCACGGCCATCCTCACGAATGTAAACCACTTTGTTAACGCTCATTTGGTTAGTAGTGAGAGTGCCAGTTTTATCGGAACAAATGACGCTGCAGCTTCCCAAAGTCTCCACAGACGGCAGGCTTCGAACCACGGCATTCTTCGCAGCCATTTTGCGGGTGCCTAATGCCAAACAAGTAGTAATAACAACAGCTAGGCCTTCAGGAATAGCCGCAACACCAAGAGAGACGGCAATCTTGAGATAATAGATAGCACCTTTGGTCCAGTTTCCGTGGCTAGGATCAGCGAAATTGGGTATGTTGATCAGCCATACAAGGACACAAATGACAGTGATAACCTTAGCAAGAGTGTCGCCGAAGTCGTTGAGTTTTTGCTTCAGAGGTGTGGGCTCGGAAATCTGGGCAGTGATGCTCTCATGGATGTCGCCGATGGCGGTGTTGGATCCAGTCAAAACGACCACGGCTTTCGCGCGTCCAGTCACTACGGTTGTTCCAGAGAAGAGCATGTTCGTTTGGTCCTGAAGTACAGCCTTCTCGTCCTGGACCACATTTGTATGATCCTTGCCAACACTCTCACTCTCGCCTGTCAAGATGGCCTGATCAACAGCGAAGCTGTTGCTTTCGATGGAAACGACCCGACAATCGGCAGGGATGCGATCACCGACAGCGATAGAGACGATATCTCCCGGTACAAGCTCTTCGGCCTTAACACGAGAGACATGTCCATTTCGAACGACACTTGCGATATTGGCGGAGTATTCCTGGAGAGCGGCTATGGCTTTCTCGGCACTGCTTTCTTGGGATACGCCCACGACGGCATTAAGGATGAGGATAGTCAAGATCTGTGCATGCCGTTGGTTAAATTTCAGAATGAACGATACCGGACTGACATTGGAGAGATATAGGCAGACTTACGACTAGAGGGTCAACGAATGCAGTCCAGCCGCCTTCTTCTTCAAAGAGCGCCAGGACGAAGGACACGGCAGCAGACCCGAGCAGTATAATAACGAGCTGATCCTTGAACTGCTCGAGAATCAGCTCCCAGAGCGGTGTTGGCGGTTCTTCGGGTATAGCTAGAACACGAAACGGTCAGCATAAAGTGTGCCTTCCCAGATTCTTGAGTAGTCTCGGTCTGGTAAAGGTCTCTGCGCTCGGGGCTTTCAACATGGATTGACGTACCATTTTTGCCATACTTGGCTCTCAGCTTGGTGACCTGGTCATTATTGAGCCCATTTTTGGGGTCGACGTCGAACTTCTGTAGTACAGCCTGTATAGGCCGCGCAAAGGCATTCTCCATGACAGTCGTGTGCGCGCCAGTTGCGGTTATGATTATTGTAGTGGTGGTGGTAGTGGGGGGTGGTCTTAGCACAGCACGCAATAGCGAGAGCCGGTGGGTGGTTGGATTTGCGTGCAGTAACGAGGACTGGACAGGGTAGGTAGTAGGTAGGGCAGAGCAGGGCAGGGTAGGTGGGAGGCAGAAGGTAGGTAAGTACGTAGTAGGTAAGCAGGTATTAACTGCGCCAAAAAGAAAAAAAGGAGCGGGACAGTCAGTGGGTTGGTAAAATCAGCAGGTACTACTGCACTGCACGTACAGTAGGTAGGTAGGTAGTTTAGACGAGAGGGACAGCGACCACGACGATATTATCGTTTTATGAGAGGGAAGTGGGCGAAGATGCGGCTCCGTCAACAATGCCACATGTCTTTTTCGATCTAGAGCACTAACGTACCAGGGACTGGCTGCAAGCACCTAACCTAAGCACTACTAATACGAATAGTTAGACTCCGAGGTAGTGCGATGTGAGGAGCTGGTGTTGGTGAGACTCGAATTTGCCTGGGACTTTATAGGCAGGCAGGCGAAAAGAAGGGCAAGCTACCTGGTATGAGTATTTTCAATGTCTATGGAAGTTTGTTTGCTGAGGTTTAGGTAAGTCTCAAGTTGCCACACGCCACAAAGCTGCTTACTTTAGGCAGAGCCAACGATGCTGTGATGCAAGCAGACCCCAATGTCTCTCGACGACTGAAGTGTCCACTACTACCTACCTAGGTCCATATAGGCACATATCTATGTGGGCTGTGGTAACCCGCTTAACTAACCAGATGGTGGAGGAGAAGACAGAATGCGATCAAATCACCTTTCGCCTGCGAGTAAGTAGGTGCATATCATACCTTAGCCAGGTGCCTAGTTATCCGGACGAGGCGAGGTCGCGAGGATAAGATACCTACAAAGCTACCTACCTGCCTAAGTACGTACACCCAACCCCGAAGCAAATCGATTGGTGTCCATTCTCTTGGGTATTTCGATCTGTCTCATTCATCAATGACACACACCGTTTGGCTTTTGTACGTGCCATGCTAAGTATGTTTCTACTTAACCCTTTCTACGGCAGGCTTGAAGCAACGTGTTCTCTTAGTGAAAAAAGGAACACGTGCAAATATCCCTGGCCTCTGTAGGTACCATCTGCCCTGCAGTATCTTCTCCTCCCACCTACCCGGCACCCGTTCTGACAAATCAGCTGCTCTGGCAACACTCCGCTTCAACCCACCACACGAGTGAAATCTAGATCATTGTAGCCGCATCCCGGCTGCCGCGAGATTCAGAGGCTTTGAGGGGGCCTTTTCTGCTCATTCGCTATCGAGGCTCTTATCCTGCACCGCGAACTATAAGGCTTACCAATAACATATATCCTGGTAATCCCCTTATACCACTATAACACATATTTAGTCCCTAGATAGGGAAGTCATTGGGCGATATGGTCAGATTTAAGAAAGTCAGGCTGTCAATTATTAACAGGTTATGTCCGAATATACTGGCATATACACAAATTCTGAAGCGGGGTGGTAAAAAGACCAACAAATGGCACATAATTCACAAACTGAATCACTGTAACGAGGTCTCGAACCTGGCATTGCTGATAGGTGCTCTCAGCAAAACATGGTGCTCCTGTGATGTCACGCTTTGCAAATTACTGTCTACTACACTCACCAATAATTGGATGGGCCTAGGACGTAATACCTTGAAGGGTGAGCGGCTGTAACAAAGCTTAATTAAGTTGATTTTCGTGTTGCTCATAAGAATGTGTAGTCTGGAGAGAAACGGATGGCCACTTTTCCCACCTAAAACTGTCTATCAAGGGTGCTATCTAGAGCTGCATGCGCAGCTATGCGCTGGAACTTCTGCTCTGGAGACCAGTGGTAATAATCACCACCGAAAAACGCCACGCAACTATTCATCTCTGGCCACCGTGATGCGTACCTGCTGATCTTTGCGAGTCGAACACCTTGGTGGCCAATCAAATCCATTCACATTCCAAGCTTCTACCAGCGCAAAGCAATCATTGTGCCGAATGATACCACCCCGAGACCCACGTCACCAGTTGCCCCCCCTAACCCAAGTAAAGCATCTACAAGTCGTCATCATCATCCTCACCGGGCAGAGGCATGGTTGCGGCGTCGTCCATCTCCTTTCGGTATTGCTCCAGGAGCTTCTCGTCAACCACTGCAGTCGGGGGCGCAAGGGCAGGAGCAGCGACGAATTCCTGAACTGGGTTAGCTGGTCGTAGAGAGACTTTAGGTTTTGAATGGTGGTACCTACCAATTGAGCGTTACCCACAAGCTTGCGGGCGAGCCACAGGAAAGGCTTCTCGAAGTTGTAATTTGACTTCGCAGAGATATCGTAGTACTGAAGGTTCTTTTTGCGGTGGAAGGTGATGGTCTTGGCCTTGACCTTGCGCTCCTTCACATCAACCTTGTTACCGCACAGGACGATGGGGATGTTCTCGCAGACGCGAACAAGGTCACCTGGAAATAGATTATTAATTAAGCACAGACAGAATATGCGAGATAATATGACTCACGGTGCCAGTTGGGAACGTTCTTGTAGGTAATTCTGGAAGTTACATCGAACATGATAATACCACACTGTCCGTTGATGTAGTAGCCGTCACGAAGACCACCAAACTTCTCCTGTCCGGCAGTGTCCCATACATCGAAGGTGATAGGGCCGTAGTTCTAATGCATGGTAAGAACCAAAAGCGCAAACCGCAGAATAAACACATAGTCACGGGTGCGAATACTCACAGTCGTGAAGCCGAGGGGGTGAACCTCAACACCCAGCGTCGCCATGTACTTTTTCTCGAACTCTCCTGTCAAGTGACGCTTGACGAAGGTAGTCTAATCAAATTAGCGGCCGATACCAGCATTGTTTTATGTCAAACATGAGTTCGAGATGGGGAGGGGCTGAATGCCGGTGGGGGTTTGTTTGTAAACAGACAGCATATCGCAAAAATCCATGTGCCAGAAATGTGCCTGGGTGAACCATATAACATACCTTTCCAGTACCACCATCGCCGACAAGGACGAGCTTGAAGGTAGGTTGCTGCTGCGCCATGGTGTGCGTTGATAGGGATTCTTTGGTTGCGAGGTAAACAGAGAAGAGACTAGATCCGACGTCAGTGTGGGGGTGTTTTCGGCGCGCGATAAAGCTGGCGATGGAAGCAAAGGGGCCGTCGCGGGGACGTTTTCTGTACGAAGAGGAGGCTGTTGTATGGGGTGCGCGTACCTGGATAGACGGTGAAGCAGGTGGAGGAAAAGAGGAAGAGAGGCAGAGAAGGAGTCGAGTCTGGCGGTAGTTCACCGATGATGATCGTTCTTGCGAGAAAGAGTTTGGCGGGCGGGCCTTTTTTTGGGGGTGGGACCTGAGGGAGGACCTTGCTTGGGCTGCCGAAATTTTAGGTGGTGGTTGCGGGGCGGGCTGGGCACGTGATTGATATCTTGCTTCAGCAATCAAGGCGCCACCCAAATGCCTTACTTTCCCAGCGTATGCTCACTACCTTGAGAAACCTAAGGTCCTAAGGTGGGTAGGCGGTAGTAGGTAGGTACCTACCTAGTAGGTATTATTATGTAGAGAGGAATATGGGAAGCTTCTGTGTAGTAGCCGAGTTGGATTCCGCAGCTGCACGAAACCTTTATACCTTGGTCAAAATCACTTGGGCCAGGCCGCCAGCGTCCCGATTGTCATTGGGGAGCCGAATAAGGAGATATAGGTGCCTAATGCAGCAACAACGTCGCCTCATTGGATTGTTTGCATGATTAACAATACATCATTCGCTACCTTACTGTTACAATGTATTAGATCCATCTCCTCTCCCTGCCACAAACATACAAATTACATGTACATGCCTTTGAAGACTGGTTATTGCCATAGTGTATTACTAATGTGTTTGGTGCCTGATACTAGCGCGTAGACTGTTCTACAGTTTCCAGGCACACAATGCGACATTAGGTATCAAACCCCAATAGGATTAACCTGAGACCATGTTTCCCAGCCTCAGCATCAAGTCTACAAGTTAATTGAGCTCTCCCTAAGTGTTTGTTGGCGAATTCGCTGATTCTCCATATACCTACCTTAGGTAGCTAGCCTTGAAGGCTGCGGCTGTCAGCTGGGACCATTCATTATGCTCATAAACCTATGCAATGGTATCTGGATACTGTCCTAGCTTTACCACACAAATTCGATATGATCTGCTGATAGACTTTACGAGAGGGTATGCATAGGTAAGAGATTCTTTGTCATGCGCCGATGCTTTCTTCACAGGATTACTAGATCGGAAGAATGTGGCAGCCAAGAAGACCCCGGCCGCCCCAGTTGCGGCGCGGTATTATGTACAGCTGGAGTTCCTGTCGCGCGCCCTGCTGTGAATCTGAGTTGGCCCGTCGTGAGATTTTCACCAGAACCCGTTGCTAAATCAAGTCAGTACTAGCCTCTACTTGAACGTTTAGACGGATGCTCAGGAGGCTACGTTCAGGATCTATTGAGAGTCGACTTACCCCTTCATTGCCTTGGACACATTCCGCTACTTTCTTGAGACCGTCATGGTTACTTTTGTTTACGTATCCAAAGTTTCTAATCTCATCACCAGGTTTCAGGCCCGCGGTAGCCGCCGGACTTTCGGAAACCACGCTGTTAACCTTAGCGAACGGCACCTCTAATGTCTCTGGGAGCGTGTCCCCCATCATCGTGGCCCCATTCTCTGGCATGGTAGTAGATGACTCGTTGTCTGCAGCTTGCAAGCTAGCGAAATGTTCGTGAAGGTGCTTCTCGATGGCATTCATGAGGTCCTTATAGTCATTTTTCAGATGAATAATCCGCGAGCGTGCAGTGCGTACTGTGGTGAGGCGTTAGCGTGGGCGACGAATCAAGTTCAAAAGCTCCAGAAAAGCTAACTTTGTGCGATATCGAGGTCGGCTCTTGGGAAACCATCCCGGGTGATCAATGGTGTTTCCATATTAACGCCATGCTAGAGAGAGGGTCAGCACAATAAATGGTATATGTCCGGTCGACGAACCGAGTCTAGGACGCCACCTAGAGCTTTCAACTCAGCCTCCATATTATTCTTCTTTTGCTGAAGCTCGGCAAAGGAGAGCTGCTTTGCATTGCCATTGGTGATCGGACGGGAGGTTGGTCCCGACGGGATTGTTGGTGCGTGTATGTTGTCCATTCTCAACGGTAAGCCCATACTAAGTTCAGTCCGAGCTACCTATCCACGGTTCAAAAAAGCCAGCTTCGACCAATTCTGGTGCGAGAGGAAATTGTCTGAGCTAGGACAAGGCAACGCGTCGTGACTGCCTGACATGGTGGATGATGGACGGATGGGATGGATGGCGGGGTCTTTCTTGCCTTGGAAAGCTACCTGTATGGTACCTGAGGTACATCATAGCAGATGGCGGGGTGCTACAAGGTACCAGCAACTTACCTGCATTCTGCCATTATGTAAGTCATAGCACCGACATGCCACTAAATAGGGACGCCATGGAGCTACCCCGGACTGCCCTGACGTACCTAATCTACAGCACGTAATAAATGTGAATCAGGGGTTACAACCAACATATCGCAATATCAGTTCGCCTTGGCCACCTCGGTGCTCTCATCAATGCCTAGCCTACCTAGTCTCTGCTAGTTTAGTCGCACCGGGTAATAACTCGACAAAGAACATAAAACGACTGATTGATGTCCTGTCTCAGTGGCATATGTCCGTTATGGTAATGTTCATTTACCCAATTTACTAACCTAATATAGCAAGGGCAGACAACTGGACTTGGAATTGAAGTTATTCACAATACAATAAGCCATGGTCCTTGACCAATTATTGCCTTCCCGGCCTTTTTGGCTTTATTTTAACCCTCTATACAATTGGACCACCTGCTCTGATCGCCTAGGTTTGATTCGTTTATTCCATGAAGCGAGCTCTGTATAACCTCGCTTTCAATAATAGTCTGCATGCACATGAACGCTATGAAGGGGACTGTTGCGCTGCATACGCCCTAGCCGTAGGCTTAGCTGCATGTGCGAGTAATAATTAATGACAATGAACCTGCTAGTTTGCAATGAAATACCATGAGCTACGGATATAGACATAGATCTCCTTGTGTCGATCATAACTAGGAGCTTGATTCTCTAGCTAAGTACGTTCATGATCATAAGCCTTCAGGCTACTTTCAATCTGAGGGTCGTTAACGTCTACTTTTCTACGCTCACACTAGTGTTGGAATATCGTCCAAGCCTTTTCTAGGGTTCTAGGGGTCAAGGGAACGATCGCAAGCTCTATGAAGTTCGACTAACTGTATCTATAGTTGTACGACACTATGCCCTGAAGAAATTGGGCTGCTTTGTTTGCTTCTAAGTATGTATGACAATCTATCTTCATTCATCTATTAATCAGCGCTAGGTAGTCCTCTATGAGGGCTCTCGGTTCTTATGGGCCTCTTTTTGGCTAGTTTCGTGAAAGTGACGACATGATTTATATAAGAGACGAATAATAATTAGCATGCTTGTACCCCTGAAGAGCGGATGCTTATACTTTGACTTTGACATGAAAGTAAGACTGAGAAGCCCAAGTAGCTTTATAGTTGAAGTTGTATGGCAGGAGCTAGCCTCCCCCTTTATGATTATTTCTTATTTTTCTTATTTTGTGTTAGGAACCTGGGGCTAAAAATACAAGAAGTGGACAAATAGTTAGACCAAGTCTTAATACCCATACTCCTAAATTCCGAACCTCTTTCAACAATAAAATACTATTCTATACCTCGGACTTCGTACTGGCACCTAGGGGTTTCACGAATTCAGTTATCTCCCCTCTCGATCACGTCGCCCGCGGGTGATTTCACATCTGGAGGAACGCAACAGCTGTAACATCAAGAAAATCTGGCCCGCCATTTCAAGTTTTTCTATTCACTTGATGTTGTATAGAATTGATCGTCTTAATATGGAGTTGTGTAGTGCATTATAGAGCAGCTTTAGGAGTTATAAAGATTTTAATTTATGCTTCCGTTATATTAGAATCTCAATTTAATTCTAATGGTGATGTCCCGTAATGGCTGAACAGTTTTCAGAGGTAAGAAAAGATTCTGATTAATTGGTATTTTAGTTGACTATTTATAATAATACTGGTAGGTCCGTCTTACATACGCTGAATGTTACGGTTCGAACTGCATACGTGGCGCCGTCGCCTTTTGTTACACGCGTACAATAGGCGTAAACACGGTTCACCTTTCGCCACGGCCGTAATGCAGGCAGATCGTGATCTTTGAAAAACACACAGGCAATATTGGAAATGAGGTTATACAGACTTCGCTTCATGAAACAAGCCAATGAGACCTAAGCGGTCAGGGCTGGCAGACCAGTTGTATATATAGTCAAGTTAAGCCACCAAGGCCAAGAAGAAATTAATTGGTCAAGGACTTTTGCAGCCGTAGTAGATTATTGTATTTTAAATATCATGAAATTCCCAGCCCAGATCTATGCCCTTCCTATATATTTATAAATTTCATTGGCAATGAGACATACAAGGCTTTGATAAACAATAAGGGCGGAAGTAAAGGCCGCACCAATGCATACAGTAGCTACATAGTACCTCCATTGGATTACCCCTTTTCAGCACCTGAGTAGATACAACTAGAGCTATTGAAGTCACCAATATTACCATAATGCTTCAGACCTGATAAAATTACATTCTGTCATTAGATGCCTATAGTATGCTCAACGAGACTCTGAAACTGGGGAAAATGAACGAAGGTAGTTCACACGAAGCCTTTTCAAGAGCCAAAGAATATATCCTTGATGCCTTGATCTTGAGACTGTGAGAAGGGCCTTTTTATGTGGATTAAGGGACTTTAAACTTAATCATATAGCCTTACTATTCAACTAATAATTTTCTAGGTGCCTCAAGAATATTTTTTGTTAGGCACACAATCTGGACTGTTCGTGTCCGTTAGGTATCATATAATCTGGGCCTCTTTTGCTTGTGAGCGTCCCTGTGCCTAACTATCGGTTTTGTGTGCATGAAAATCTGCCCTTAAAATTCTTATATATAGCTGCTAGTCGCCGAAGGACGTTGTATTCTATGAGTGACTGCTAGATTTGGCTATGTGACAGACAGAAGAGAAGTTGATGGTATTCTCGTGACTCCTAGATGGCCACAGATATATGTCATCGTGGCTGTTAGGAACAAAAGAATCGGTATAACCTGAAGGAGTCTAATTACTCTCACTCGTATTCATGTAGAACTTGCACTAAGAAAGTCTTACTGTATACCTATCCAGGACAATGACTCAAACAATCTTGGTACAGTGCAAACGACTTTTTGAAGGTGGCGAAACAGGTGTATATCATTGCCTTAGGGGACCAAAATAAACAGTCTTGATCAACTGCTAAGAGAAGAACATTGTCCCTCAGCTGGGCAAATTATCGCCGCAGCAGCAAATTTACCGAGTTTCGAGTTTCCAAATATGTAGGCAGAATTCACATCTATTACTACACTCAAGGTTTTGAGTTAAAACTTTATAGAAGTTACGTACTACGTACATTGTTCCATTTCGGAGAGCTCGCCCCGTTCCAAGGCCTTTTTGTCCCGTCTCGGGGTCGTCTAGCTTTTCACTTCGGTCACCGACTAAATTGGTCCCTGAAAATCGATGCCCTTACCCATGTCAGATGGGTGCTTGGCATCACGCGACGCGCTCGCGATGACCGGAAGCATTAAACTTCTTGGCTGGAGTAAGTGCACAATAGGACTTCGCAGCTCACAATCACGACTGTTGGGAATAATGTAGTCATTGTCTTAGTAATTTACAAGTCTACACATAAGTTGATGGTTGGTTACTCCCCTGTTAACCTGGTAGTACCCGCGCGCGGGTTTTACCTCAGAGTAGTACTTTGGTCTGCTCCGATCTCGCATTTACTCACCCACATACTCAATGTCACCTTCAGTGCTAGGTAAGCATCGTGAAGCAGCCATATTTTGGCCACCCTTCTAGAGATCCTGACATCCCAGGCGGCATGCGCTCCGCGCCAAACCCAGCCCGGAAAGAAGTTGTATATATTGAATCTTGGTCTGCTGCTCTCTTTGCTCACCAAACGTTATGATTCATTGATACACATAAAAAATACGGAAGCAGAAGTAACATTTAAGTAGAGAATGCACGAGTATTATTCGCTTGACGGATTATCTGTTCGCATGTAATTTATGCAGGTGATAGGTCCCTTCAGATGCGTATGTCAACGTATCTTAATAGATCGCTAAAGCCATCATGATTATACAGTCAGCTACCTAATTTCAATTTTCTGAGCTAAGCTAAGCTAGCAACCTGCGTATTACGAGAATACTTTGTCATAGACAGCAGCAAGATCTTTCGCAGGGTCTTCATTGTCAACCATACCCAACCAAGTCTTTTCTGGTTTCTTGAATCCGAGCAGCTTTTGTAACTTAGGGCTCATCTTTAGGACTTTGCTTCGAGGGTTACACAAGAACTGGTTCTCCTCTTGACGCAGAATACCACGACAGAAGACGAGGTTTATGATCTTGCGAACCTCCTGTGTAGTATTATACCCAGATCCGTGAGCCAAGTTCCCAAGGAAAATGAAAGCAGAGCCTCGCTCCATTTCTGAAAGCCATAGTTAGTCCCGAATATGATATGAGATTCAATCTGCTAGAGACAACTTACCGAGGAAAGACACCTCATCAGGTCTGCCACGTCGCTCATGTTCCCACTTGTGGGACCCAAGTACAACCATAGTGCCACCATTTTCACGGGTAACGTTGGTTCCAGCAATGAAACAGCTGAAGCCATCCACTTCAGTGATTTTCATGTTAGGGGGGTGCTTGCTGGAGAATATCATGTCGTCCTTGTGTAGTGCTTGACGAGGGGAACCATGTCCAACCCAGAAACCCAAGGAGATACTCAACAAGGGATCAACGACCAGCTCCTCAGTATGCTGCTCGAAAACGGCAGGGTATCTCTCCTCCAAGAGGACTTTGAGGAGCTGCTCTATGGTCTCGTTGGTATCAAGGATGTTGGCAATGGTATCTGATTTTCCTACTAAGCCGGGAATAACCAGCGTCTTCTTTCCAATGAAGTCATCGTAGGAATCATTGGCAGATATAGCATTCACATGAGGATCAAGCTCCTCATCGATCTTGTCCATGGTCTCCTGTGTGGCAAAGTTGGTCAAAACAACACCGCCATCTCGATCAAGGACCTCGAGAATTTCTTCCAGGGGCGCCGTTGCGGGAAGCTTGGTGGGGGACCTAGCCGGTTGATACGATGCATCAACAGGAGGCAACAGGCGAGGAGTAGGGTATTTCTCCTGTGTCTCGGCCGGCTCCATTTTGATGTATTTGATGACAAGCTCGGATAAATTAGTGGGAGATGAATGAGAGGAGGTATGCTGAACGAAATGTTGATGGAAAAGTAAGGCAGCGGGAGCAAAGTTCGTGACAACCAACAGGATAAAAACGTGAATATATTGTTGAGCAACCGCGTGGGACCCCACGGTTGTTTCGGTATGCGATGTTTTTGCAGATGAGCTGAGTCTAAGCGGGAAGTAAATCTCAAATTCATGATCTGATTACTTTGGTCGAAAGTATCGACACTTGGACTTGCATGGTAGCGCGACATAAAGGATCACATAGTATCAGATGTCCCAAGTGGCTAAAAGTGTATGCTAATGCATGCTATCGAATCACTTATTAGTCATGGGGTGATATGGTTCGGGTAAGCAGTGATGTTGTACTCCGTAACGCTAGATTAACTAGGTAGTCTTTCTTGACCTATCAATCTGTAATGCTTCAACACTTCCTCGCGCGCGGCTGTAACTTACACCTTGTGTCTTCTGGTCGGCCTCACACCAGTCGAGATAGCTGCTGATCAGTTCTGGTGTGTCTACACCGTTACCACTAGCAAACCCTTGCTGTTACTCTCCCAGCTCCTTCCTTGCGGAGTGAGTACATGTTAGGCATAGTATTCTGGGCATATGTCTAGCAGGAAGCTTCGGTGTCCGAGAGGAAGAAACTAATAAGCTTTCATCTGTCTGAGACGTGTAGTGTAAGTGTGCCTTAGTACGGGTTCTCACGGCGGGCCTTGCGGGCATTGGCCCCGCAGCAGTGACACCGGACTGCCGAGAGCTGAAGAAGCTAACGTTTCCACGATGTCCTTAAACAGTCAGCACATACATGGTGTATATGGGGTAGATGGATGGAGACGCGGTGCTCTGGCAGGCTAAGCTGAGCTCGGCCATAGATCACGCAACTAGAGTTAATTCTTGTGCCGCCCGCCAAGAAGCACCAGTCCTGGCGGCGCGGCTGGGATGCGATGGGAATGATAACTGCGCCGGCCGGTTGACAAATGTAAGAGCGGAAATGTAAGCTAGGCGGCCAACAGCCGGCTTACGCCAATTCGGCGGTCTCTAGGCTCTCGGCCGCTTAGCTTACTATGTACCTATGGTACGCATCGCGAGAAGAGCTAATGTAAGGTAGAGGCTTCAAGTCCGCAATTCAGCCTCGTTTAGACGTGTGGTCCGCAAGGAGATCGAGGTGGGTAGGCTGTGGGTTGATGCCACATGTAGAACGGGTCCCTCAACACCACATCACCACATGGCCGTGCGTAGTAGAGAGCTAGTTAGGTGCATTATCCAATAATACTGGTCTCAGGCAGATAGTCATAGCATCGCGGAATTTATCAAATTTGATTTTGATTTGTATTTCGTTCAATTCATTATCTCAACTGGGAAGTCTGGGTTATGTAGTCCAACATTCATACACTCTGGCCCCGCGGATTCTTTCGGTATACAGCCCAATAGGTTAGAACAGCAAGGTCGGTGACCGTATTACATCTCTAGCAAAGAGAGATGTCGTTCTGGAAATTGCCTGATGCCTCACATTGTATAAATCTTCGAACCCCCGCATGAGAGACATACGATACTAGCGGTCAATCAACTGGTGTCTTGTAACTAATCATTCTCTTTCACTATACCATCAAGATGTCTCACCTAACTGAGACAAATGCCATCTCAGAACAAGACTACCACACTCTAGTTAACGATTTCAATGCCACAGATGACATCTCTTTGATAGGGAATCGTTTAGATCAACTATTCGAGAATGTTGTAAATACCTTTCCAGATAACACCGCCCTGATACACAACGACGCCGAGGTGTCCTACTCAGAGCTCAATGCAGCTGCAAATATTCTGGCAAGGAGCCTTGCGGGTCGAGGTGTAGGATGTGGTGATTTGGTCGGCCTATCGGTGGACCGCTCCATCGATCTCGTTGTGGTTATAGTAGCTGTGCTTAAGCTAGGAGCAGCTTATGTCCCTATCGACTCAAAATTCCCATCCGAACGCATCAACCAGATGGTGGAAGATGCCAATCCTAAATTTATCCTCATCACTGGCAGCCCGAGTAAAGGTCTGGAGCGCTGGAAAGACATATGCTTGAGCGTCGACCAGGCGAGAGACAGTTCAGTCACTGATACAACCAACCTTAAAACCGAAATCCAAATTCAGAACGTGGCATATACTCTTTATACGTCTGGCTCTACTGGACGCCCCAAAGGAGTCGAGATTAGCCATGGAGCCGCTGCCAACTATCTAGGCTCGCTGCGGAAGCACGAGCCTGGCTGCAATGAGCACGATCGACTGCTTGCTATCACAACCATATCCTTCGACATGTCAGCTCTAGAGTTGCTGTTACCAATATTATCCGGTGCCACAATGATCATTGCAAACACAAGCGCGGTCAGAAACCCACGCGAGCTCATCGACTTAATGGATTGCCATCAAGTCACCATCTTGCAAGCCACACCTGCAACGTGGACAATGCTTTTAGAGTCCGGATGGGAAGGGAAGCCACGACTTTCCAAAATCATATGTGGTGGCGAGCCACTCTCTCGTCAACTTGCAGATCGCCTACTTGCATCAGCCGATTCAGTGTGGAACGTATACGGCCCATGTGAGACGGGTTATGGAAGCGTTGGAAGGGTCACGGAGGGTGACATTGTGGTCGGAAACCCAGTGGCCAACGGCCGCATATACTTACTGGATGACAACATGTCGCCCGTGCCTATGGGCACTGAGGGTGAAGTATGGATCGGCGGTGCCAGTGTGTCGAACGGCTATCGAAACCAACTCGAGCTCACACAATCTCGGTTTCTTGAGAACCCCTTTCACGGAGGCAAATTCTTTCGCACTGGCGACCTGGCAAAGTTCATAGGACCAGGACAACTTCAGGTATTGGGGCGCATAGATGGAGTAATTAAGATTCGAGGTAACCGTATTGACGTTGGCGACATCGAGGCAATTCTTGTCAATCATCCCAAAGTCTCCCAGGCTGTTGTCATCAGTCGTGACGACCGCCTAGTGGCGTACTGTGTGCTCAATGCGCCATTAGATGACCTGACTTCACTGGAGAGCATTCTGCGACCATGGGTTGCCGAGCACCTCCCACCATATATGATGCCGTCATTCTTCGTGCAAATGGATACATTCCCTGTATCGCCGAATGAAAAGATCGATCGCAAAGCTCTTCCCGACCCAATCGAGGTCCTCCAAAGCCAAAACCAGACCCTGACGCAGCCCGCCTCCGAATTGGAGCAACAAATACTAGCCATCTGGTCGGACATCCTTGGTCACACCAGCATTGGTACAGAGGACAACTTCTTCAATATAGGCGGTGACTCTGTGCGCATCATCCGCATGCAAACATTATTGGAGAAACAGTTGGGCAGACACGTGCCAACACCTAAACTGTTTGAGCATTATACCATCAAGGCTTTGGCCGGGTATCTAGCTGGTATAGGCAAAGACAGCCAGGAGGAGACATTTGATGCAGCAGGCAGTGGCTTTGCTGCAGACAATGAAGATATTGCTGTCATATCCATGGCATGTCGGCTACCTGGCGGTGTGCATACGCCAGAGGATTTCTGGCAGCTGCTGCAGAGCGGTGGCGAGACAGTTACTGATGTCCCCAAAGATCGTTGGGATGCTGATAAGCTATATAATGAAGACCCTGATGTCGAGGGGACTTCATATTGTCGCCGAGGTGGTTTCCTCGACTCGGTTTACTCGTATGATGCTTCCTTCTTTGGAATCTCACCGCGTGAGGCACAGACCATGGACCCAACGCAACACCTGTTGATGGAGTTGTGTTGGGAGGTCTTTGAACGAGCTGGCTATACGAAGGACCAGCTGAGCGGCTCTACAACAGGTGTCTTCCTTGGCGTTAGCAACAATGGAACAACGAATCATACACCCCCTGATCTCAAGGGATACTCAATTACAGGAAGCGCAAACGCTACCTTGGCTGGTCGGCTCTCGTGGACTCTTGGTCTACAGGGACCATCTCTAGCCGTCGATACCGCATGTTCGGCATCTCTAGTGGCCACTCACTTGGCCTGCAATGCTCTGCGCCAAGGCGAATGTAATATGGCCGTGGTAGGAGGTGCAAGTCTTCTACTCAATCCCGGCATACATATTGAATTTAGCAGACTCCGCGGTCTCTCACCAGATGGCCGTTGTAGAGCCTTCTCAGATGACACGAACGGCACTGGATTTAGCGAGGGAGCCGCCCTAGTCGTCCTGAAGCGCCTATCTGATGCCCAACGGGATGGGGACAACATCCATGCAGTGCTCCGTGGTACTGCGGTGATGCACGGTGGACATAGCTCCGGTTTAACGGCGCCTAGCGGCCCGGGGCAGTCGAAACTAATCCGCACTGCCTTGGCCCGCGTCGCAATGAAGCCCGGCGATATCGACTACATCGAGGCTCACGGCACTGGCACCAAGCTAGGCGACCCTATCGAAGGTACCGCACTGGCTGAAGTCTTTGGGCCGGGGCGTTTTAGCTCGGATCCTTTGCGACTTGGCTCCGCCAAGTCCAACATCGGACACACACAAGCGGCCGCGGGTCTTGTCGGCTTGTTGAAGGTGATAATGTCTATGAAAAATAATTCTCTTCCCAAAACATTGCATATAAGCAAGCCTACTACGGCAGTGAACTGGAAAGATGCCAACATCGAATTGGTGCTAGAAAACCAACCATGGCTACCTGATAGTGCCCGAACCCGCCGCGCTGGCGTCAGTGCATTTGGCATTGGGGGTACAAACGCCCACATAATTGTTGAGGAGCCTCCTAAAATCGTTAAGAACGAGCCTGATAGCATCAAGTTGCCTACATTCCCAACTGCTCTCCCGGTCGTGCTATCAGCCAAGAGCGACTCTGCTCTCAGGGCACAGGCTGAGAAAATTAGGTTGCACATTGAGAACAGGGTTGAAACGGATGACCAGCTGAGGGACGTGTCCTATTCGCTAGCTACATCTCGAACACACTTTCATCGACGATTGGTAGTAACAGCAGGAGACAAGGCACAGATGCTGGAGAAGTTGGCGTCCGTCAGCTCGGGATTTAGCGAGCCGCTCGATGTAACCGGAGCCTGCAAGGCAAGCCTGGGAATGCTCTTCACGGGACAAGGAAGCCAGCGACCAGGGATGGGTAAGGATCTATACGCTGTCTATCCAGTATTCCGCGAAGCGTTAGACGAAATCGCCGCGCTGTTTACAGAACTGGAGTCGCCTCTTCTCGATATCATGTGGGCCGAGCCAGGAAGCACAAGTGCCGCTTTGTTGAAACGTGCCGATTTTGCCCAGCCTGCCTTGTTCGCTCTAGAGGCATCGCTCTGGAGGCTGTGGCAGAGTTGGGGAGTAAAGCCAGCTTTCCTACTCGGGCACAGCGTTGGTGAGTTTGCAGCAGCTTATGTTGCGGGAATACTCGCTTTACCCGACGCTTGCCGACTTGTTATGATGCGCGGCCGTTTAATGCAAGCTCTTTCTTGCAAGGGTAAGATGGCGTCTGTAGGAGCAAACAGCACCGAGGTTACAGCGGCGATAGAAAGATTGGGCCAGGGCGATAAGGTAGAGATTGCGGGTTACAATACGCCTTTCCAGACGGTAATATCTGGAGATATCGATGCTGTTGAGGCGGTGACACTTGATTTTGCCGACCGGGGCCACAAGACCAAGACGCTTGATACTAGCCACGCTTTCCACTCACACCATATGACCGGCATGCTTGATGGCTTCATGGCTGTACTGCAAACCGTTACGTTCAGCCCACCCACGATTCCTATTATCAGCAGCTTGACCGGCAAACTGGCTGAGGCAGGTGAGCTTGAACAAGCTGGATACTGGGTTAAGCAGGCGCGCAACGCTGTCCGCTTCACCGATGCCTTCCAAGAGCTGGTGAGTCGCGGAGCGAACGTCTTTCTCGAACTTGGACCCAGTCCAGTACTTTGCGGCTTAGGTGCAGCATGCCTGATGGACGCTTCTCAGCTGAGCACTGCGCTCTGGCTGCCTTCTCTGAAGTCTGGCGTCAATGATACCTCGGTCATCCTGAATAGCGTTGCCGAGTTGCACTCGCGACACGTTCCGGTGGACTGGGCGGCATACTTTGAACCTTTCGGCTGCCAGCGGGTAGAACTACCCACATATGCCTTCCAGCGGGAGACTTATCAGCCTTCCAACGGAGGCACTTGGTTTAGCAGCCCGTCAAAGAGTACAGATGTGGATAAAACTACAGAGGGAGTGGACAAAATGCTATTCGATATGAACTGGCGTCCAGTCACGACAGACAATACCCGAGCTCATGGTCTGTGGGGTATTCTCAGCCCGCCGGAGGAAACGCCTTGGACGGAAGAGGTGAAACAAGCCTTATGCAGCATAGGTATCAGGTTGGTGCCTGTTGCAGGTCCAGATGAGTCCCACCAGCTTGACGGCCTGTTCTCGCTGTGGGAGTCTGGCGCGGAAGTTGTTCAGACGGCGCATAACCTCACTGCAAAGGCATTGGTCCAGCTACAAGAGACCACAAGGGCTGGATTTGCTGCTCCAGTGGTGTGGATTACCCGTTGTGCTGTCGGCGCTGCCGCTGGTGACCAGCCTGCCGGAATCGGGGCCGCACCACTATGGGGTTTGGCTCGCACCGCTCGTACTGAGTATCCAGAGTTGCGTCTGCGCATGATCGATCTGGACAAGCAGATGGACTTAGCTACTCTCGAGTCAGCATTGATGCTGGGCGACCAGACGGAGATCGCTATACGCCAGGGACAGGCCCTTGTGCCACACATGGAGCAGGCTACTGCGGTTGCATCAAACCCAGTTAAGCAGCCATTGCTGCGAACCGACGGCGCCGTCTTGGTGACGGGTGGGCTTGGTGATCTTGGAGGCCGGGTAGCCCGCAGGTTGGTGAACTCCCACGGAGTTCGTGACTTGGTTTTGACATCGCGACGCGGCATGGAATCCCCCGGCGCTGACGCATTTGTGTCTGAACTTGAAAAGTTAGGCGTCAAAGCCACCGTGGTTGGCGGCGACGTCGCAGACTTTGACAGTCTCGGATCCATCATACAACAAATTACCGCCGAACGACCATTACGTGGTGTGATCCACGCAGCTGGTGTAACCGACTCGGGTGTTTTGTCGACCTTGACGCCTGAGAAGTGTGCCACCACTTTCGCTCCAAAAGTAGATGGCCTATGGAACCTGCACCAACTCACCAAAGATTTGGATTTGGATGTATTCATGATGTTCTCCTCCATCTCTGGTGTTCTGGGCTTGCCAGGACTAGCAAATTATGCCGCTGCTAACTCCTTCATCGATGCGCTCGCATACCTACGACATAGTCAGGGCCTACCGGCCACGTCGGTGGCTTATGGTCTATGGGCCGGAGAGGGTATGTCAACCACCCTCAACTCAACAACTCGTGCCCACCTCTCGCAGCTTGGTTTAGGGGCCCTTGAATCAGAAGCTGGCCTGAATCTATTCGAGGAGTCTGTCCGCCGGGGCCGCGAGCTTACTGTAGCTGCTGATCTTGATTTGGAGCGTCTCAAGGGCTACTATGAAGAACAAGGCGGTATCCCCAGCCTGCTACGTTCTATGCTCAACCAAACCAAGATTAAGGAGTCGGCCAATCGAGCCGCCAGCCTACGTGACATGTTAGTGGACGCACACCCCGACCAACATGATGGCATTATGCTGCGTATGGTCCGACAAACCGTAGGCAAGGCCTTGGGATACACCAAGGCTGATGAGGTCGATGTCAGTCGACCCATGAAGGAGCTGGGTATTGACTCCCTGACTGCGGTTTTGATCCGCAACCATCTAGCAACATTAACGTCACTGACACTACCCCCCAACATTGTCCTTCTTTACTCGAACCTGAAGTCACTTAGCGAGTTCTTGCTATCCCTGATACTAGGCGATATGGTGAGCGGCACCTCGTCCAGTGCGTCAGAGGCTGATGTTGAGACGCCGGGCACCACGGCATCAGTGGCTTCCTATGTCAACATGGCAGCAATCCGAAGGGGAGTCCTTGATCCCACATTCCAGTTCAATAACGTATCTAAGCATGCTCCTAGCACCCCGGAGGCTGTTTTCGTGACAGGCTCAACCGGCTTTGTGGGTGCTTTCATGATATACGAGTTTCTCAAAAGGGGCATCTCTGTGTACTGCCTCGTTCGCGCCGATGGCCTTGATCAGGCCCAAGAACGGATGGTGAAGATGTTGGAGCATTACAGTCTCTGGAAGTCCGAGTACGAGCCGCTGCTCAACCCGGTTGTCGGCGATCTCGCTCAGCCTCTACTTGGTCTCGACGAAGTTGTATTTGATGACCTGGCCAACAGAGTTGATGCCATCCTTCACTCAGGAGCTCTGGTGGACTGGATGCGTCCATTGGAAGATTATGTTGGCCCCAACATTCTTGGCACTCACGAAGTTCTACGTCTTGCCTCTTTAGGCCGGGGCAAGACCGTGCATTTTATCTCCACCATCTCCACCTTGCCCATTCATTTGGGCTATGGGCTCACTGAGCATGATGGAGAGTATGGCTATGGTACCTCGAAATACCTGGCTGAGAGAATGATCGTGGCAGCCCGTTTCCGTGGTGCTAGGGCGTCGTCTTACCGGTTGCCCTTTGTTGCCGCCTCAGCCACTAATGGTCATTTCCGCCTCGACCAAGGTGACTTCTTACACAATCTTATCAATGGAAGCCTGGATTTGGGTGCCTTTCCTTTGCTCAAAGACGCCGACCTATCCACCGCGCTGCCGGTTGATTATCTATGCGGTACCATTGCGAGCATCATGACCGAGGCTCAACACCGAATTGGTGAAGACTACGACTTCGTCAATCCACACGCACCCACATTCGACTACTTTTTCAAGGTTATGGGTGCCGCTAGTGGGGGCAACCCGACTATTCCCTTTAGCGAGTGGCACCGTCGAGCTCTCGAGTACGCGACAGCCCATCCAAGGAGCTCACTGGCTCGCATCACCACTATCATCGATGGCTACACCGATGAAAATGCGGGTGCATTGATGAAGGGAAATCCCGTTGGAAAACATGTTCTTGGGCTGGATGTTTATCCCGCTCCATTGATTGACGAGGAATATATACACAAATATTTGAATTGTATTACTGCGGCTAGGGCGAAAATAGTTAGGTAAAATAGACTTGGGAAACATAGATGATAAAATAAAATTTCAATAATATCTCGACTCGTACGTTATCCGTGACAAAAGATCAATCGATACCTGAGGGCTCAGGACACTCTGCATAACGTCCCTGTTGAGTGCTATCAAATGGGCAGTAGTATGTGAGTCAAAGGAGCACGTGCCGACGTTTCCTACATTGCGCGGGCTATATGCAGTAGAGAGACTGTGACAGAAACCTGAGCCTCTGTTCCAGCTCACGTAGAAATAATCTCCATTTGCTTACTACAATACACTTTGGCGCAGACCGGTAACGGCGGGAATGCTATTTGGTTGAGTTTGGGCGAGTGCAGCTGGGACCACTACATGTACATTAGTCTCATCCGCTTATTTTCTGAGGAGCTACTGTAATAGGAAAATAGGTAGTATTCTTTCGGGGCACAGTCCTCGTAAGTACTTAGGGATCAATCCGACCTACTTTGTATTGTACCTTCATGTATCTCAAATCTCTTGGCGTTCCAGGCATATTTTAATTCAGCTCATATCCTGCCTCCTCTTATATCATCGCCCTCGCTACCTCTTCATTCATCTCGAAGCTCAAAATGCGTGTAGCAATTGCTGGTTACAGCGACCTGGGTCGCTATATCTGTGAAGAGTTTCTCAAGGCTGGCCATGAGGTCGTTGTCCTAACTCGAAGTCACAAACCCCAGCTTGAGAGTCAGGGCATCACACAGGCTATCACGGATTACACACTGCAGTCTCTGAAGGCGCCGCTTGCCAACTGTGAGGTTCTGATATCGACAATCTCAGACTTTTCATCAGTATACATCGATGTCCACAAAACCCTCATCCTGGCTTGCCAGGAGAGCCCGAAATGTAAACGTTTCATGCCCGCTGAATTTGCGGTAAATATTGAAGCGTATCCGGATCAGCCTGGTTTCTATTACGCCCCGCATGAGCCAATTCGTGAGATGCTACGGAATCAAACGGATGTCGAGTGGACCTTGGTTTGTCTCGGTTGGTTAGCAGATTATTTTCTGCCGACTAAAAATCGATACATCAAGGATATCAGCGGATTCCATCCTATAAATTGGGAGGGCAACAAGATTGTGATTCCGGGAACTGGAAATGAGCCCGTGGATTTCACTTGGGCTCGCGATGTTGCCACGGCGCTAGCATCGTTGGTTGCGGCACCCAAGGGATCATGGGAGCCTTACACGTTCATGTCAGGGGAGCGTAGCTCCTGGAACGATGCAACCCAGATTATTAAAGAGAAGTTCCGACCTAATGATCCGATAGAACACGTCTCATTACATGCTGTCGCGGAGATGATCAAGACAGCTAAAGATGAAGATACCATGATTCTGGCCGATTATTATCTGTTGTCCATCAGCCAGGCCTGCGGAATTCCCGCCGACAAAGTTCACACCCACAGGGAGAAGTTTTTCTCAGGTGTCCGCTTCCGAACTTTGCAAGAAGGTCTCTCTCAATTTGACGACAATCCCAACTCGGTAGTTTGAAGAAAGCGGCAGGTGTATTTTAAGGATCGAAACACGCGAAGGCGGCATGGCAATCATGTCATCTATAGTGCTTCACCGATCTAGACGCACGAAATTCAAGAGATTTCAGACGACGCTCAGGATTGCATTGTTTTCTAACCGACTGGTGACAATAATATCGTATCTTCGTATCTTTATGTGCAGTGTTCAGTCTGGGTAAAAGCCACGAAATTATAACTCCGATTCAAAATCAAGACCCAGGTGCGAAGCTAGCACGGTCATTGTTGCAGGTAACAACACTGAGTGATATCTCAGCAATAATTAACACATATTCTCTTTAACACAATATTTCATTCATCAATTCTATATATACGAATTGCGGAGTGGATTCAGTTGACCAGCACTCTGCCCTCCCAATTCTCCATTCCAAATAACCCAGCGTTTTCACGCTGCTTTCCGCTGTACTTTCAGCCCATCGCCCAGACCACTCTGTTCTGACGTTGATGCCCGCATGGCATCCATCCAAACGGCTCTGGTACGTGCCTCCTCGAGCGTCCGGATGCCTTGTATCGTAGAGCCGCCAGGGCAAGCCACTTCATAACGCAGGTCCTGCGTTGATTTACCTTTTAGGATCAGATCGGCTGTTCCGCTCATTGTGGCAGCGGCCATCTGCGTTGCCTCTTTGCGGGAGAGCCCGAGGGCCACAGCTCCGTCTACCAAGCCGTCGATAACCATGGCAAAGAAGGCAGGGGTAGATCCGTTGAGCGTAGTACCGATCGCGAATGTATCGGGCGAGGTCTTGTGGACGGCTCCAACACATGAGAAAATCGCATGAGCCGTAGCTACGAAGTGCTCGGATAGAGGTCGTGGGTGTTGAGGGGGTCGGACCTCGAGCACGGTGCTGGAAGCTTGCACGGCGCAGGCGATGTTAGGCATGACGCGGACCACAGAGAACGCACCATTGCAGGCGTCCTTCGCCTGTTCATCACGAGCGGCGACAGATTCAAGATGGTCCTCGATATCCTCTGAGGTTACACCTGCAAGCACTGACATAATCAGCTTGCCCTTAAGCGCGGCGGCCATACCAGGCTCTTCGAGAACAGGCTTAAAGAGATGAGGTTGGCAGGCCAATAGCACTACATCAGCTTGTCGAATAGCCGAAACATTATCATTCGTGTGCAAAACCACGGTAGACTCTAGTGTTTGGGACGGTAACTGGGCACGAATGCTCTCCGCCGATTCAGGGCGTCTTACGCAAGCCCTAAACCGACTTGGCAGCAAGTTTGCTCCATCTGATTTTGAGCGGGAACTCTGGGCAGAGAGAACCCCGAGAAGTATCGCGGTTCCCATAATACCTACGTAAAGCTCACGTTAGCTTGGGGTCCAGAGTGCGCAGACGCCGCAACCCAAGGTCTTACCGCATCCGAGAATCGCCAGCGTTTCCCCAACGGGCTCTGGGCCGCCAATAGCTACTGGCAAGATACCAGCTTGCCCTTGCGGAGGTGCTGTAGGAGGGCTCATGGTGGACTGTTTCTTTGATGCGATATGTGTAAGGAGGCTAAGGTAGCGGTATCGAGAACACAGAACCTGGTCGTTGAAAGTAAGAGCTCAACGTTGATGTTCAAAAGATACCCCTTGTTTCTCGAGTATAAACACTATATGCAATGACGCTCTGCTCCATCGGGGGAAGAGAGCAGCCGTCTTACATACCAGCGGTACATAGCAGTGGTAGATTTGCGTTATTCCCAATCATTCCAGAATTGTCGTGACTGATGGTGTTGTTAGCCTTGATGACTTACTACACAACCACCATCCACCGCACAACTGCGGCCGGCACTTTTTCCCCGGCCCCCATATTCTTATGCACGTAATGTTGAAGATGCGATGTGCTGTCGATCACTGGTTCACCCAATAGCAAGACTAGCGTACGAACACCTCAAGATTAAGGGTTCAGAAACTATGAATGAGACTCTGAACCTCTGAGTATTGATCAAATTAATTGGAATTTTAGTAAACTAGCCCCTTAACCCTTCAGCCCCTCAACTAGCCTTACGCAAAACCGCACGTCTCGTAGCCGTTTCTGCTTACAGGATAGCTACTTCACGTCGGCCAGAGAAAGGACCACATGAAGGTGTTCTGCCTGATCGCCAGTGTCTAACAACTTAAAGTTGAAGTTTCCAGATTTTGACATCCGAGAAGAGACTACCTTCACACGGAATTACCTAAAAATAAATAGGTAGGCCTTTGAATTTGCGCGTTCTTGCCCGTGGCAAAAGTTATGATATGATATGATATGATACACAAAGTCTACCATAGCGCTGTACTGTATACTAGCGGTTGTGTAGTGGTACCATTCTTGGTTACATGGCTTATGAGTCGAAAGTCACTAGTGTGCCCAAGGACTTTCCACGATGGAGAGCAAGGGAGCCACATTCGGATTCCGAAATAAATGACCGTGCTTTGTAGTGTAGCCAACCAAGCCAAGCCTTCATCTCATCTTATGACTAACAAGTCAGCGCTTGGCCTAGCTTCCGCACGCGGAAAATGCGGCCAGGTTATACGGACTTCACGAATCGCTATCCGGACTTCACCCTAAACCCAACATAGTAAAAGCTAGGCCGGTACGTATTAATACCCCCACAACGGTCCTTAATACACCTAATTTAGCCTTTTTAGAAGTACAGCCTTTGTATCGACCAGTAGAACCCATAATAACCCACTACTAAAAAAAACATCCACTCAATACCGCTGCCAAACGGGGTTATGATAGCCTTACAATGGCCTGTTCAGAGTATTAAAGAGTGGCAAGCCTCGTACGCCCAGCTAAGCCCAAATAGGCGTTATCTTTAACTTCAAAAACCAACTAATTAAGTAGCAAAAGGGGTAATTTTTAATTAAGATATATAAATAAATTACTTTTTAAAGGCTATTTATAAAGTACCTAATTAAAAGTATAAGTATAAATATTATTGTAAGAAATTAGCAATAATATAGGAAAGTATCTTTGTTTTAGTAGGATTGCTACCTATTTTTAGATACACACCTGTGTAGACCCGCCCTAACCGTCAACATTACTAGCGTTTACTCCCTATCTTTAACTATCCTAATTTATATGGGAAAACAGGGGGGTCCTGGACATTGCCCCAATTCTTACTATGTTGGGTTTAGGGTGAAGTCCGGATAGCGATTCGTGAAGTCCGTATAACCTGGCCGCGGAAAATGAGATTCATACATATGTAATGGATAGGGATTCGATCCTGGTGATGCAACCAGGCCCCGCTTTCATGGTTCTCAGGACTCTCTATGGAGCTGAGCATCATCGAGACAGTCTTGCAAGAGGGTGATTGTTGGCGAGTCGCAGCACACTGTTCTTTGCAACATCGATGTCCGTAACTATTTGCGCTTCCAGACCCAAGCATCTCTGACCATTATTAGAGATATCTATGCAACAGGCACCGGGTATCTTGTAGTCCTTATGGTCGATACATCGAATCGCGACGCAGCACGAGCCTAGCCTTTTTCGGTCTTCAAGATTTCCTGTACATATGTGGCAGAAGAGATCGTCGGTTGCGCTACGGCAGCCATCACCCTATTGAAATATGATTGGCCACGGTAAGCGCGCCATCTCATTCAAGAATGGCGACTACCGGGACACTATCTAGGTTGCCGATGTCTTCGGCTGACCCCGTTGCGGCGTTGCGGGAATTTTGGTGACACAGACGGACGGCGCATAAGTGCCACGAGCTAGTGCAGGGATACGGGATACAGGAGGCCGTCAAATCTCAGCCGGAGGCTACACTAATCTACCTAGTAGATAGATCGTTGTGGATCTACCTAACCTGAGGTAGTTTACGCAAGCGAGAAACGTCGCCTTTGTAGCGAAGGGAGAATTCCAGATATTCAATTCTGCCTCGAGCAACTCAGTAGTAATTCCCACCCAATATGCAGCAACGCAGCAGGCCCGACTTGCGGCACCTATCATGCAGGGTGTCCCCGGATAAGTGCCTCCAGACACGGCACGGGGCATATTGTGGCCCGTTGAAAGGCAAATCAGTATTACTACTAAGTAGGTATTACCAATCGGATCATGCCACCAAAGCCAAGCTTGTGTTGTAATGCTTTTTCTTCCAACAATTGTACCGATATCATTACTGTATCCTTCCCAGACGATGGCTTTCGAACGGAACGTCATGGGAACACTGCAAAGCTCTTTGGTTTTGTGTGGCCACGATCTTCTAGGAACTTGTACCAATGAAACGGAACTAACTTGTCTTATTCTAACGTGGAGCTTTTTGCCTGGGAATCCTCTGTGTGCGGAATGATGCCGTAGCACAACTAGCTTATCCCACAACACTTCCGCACTTCCAACCAGGTTAACCCCTGCTTGCCGACGGCGGCACTCGGCTTCTACCGGCAAATGCAACAGCAACGCCTCAGTTCCAATCCTGTAGGTATCTGTATTCCAAGTCGGTGTATAACTGTTACGCATCCCGCATTGGAATTTAGAATCCTTTGCGCGCCGACAATGCTTAAACCATTTGCTATCAAGCGCCACTTCCCTTGAGGGCAATTATGGAAGAAAGACGGGCGAATTGACTGTCCGGCTCTCAATGAAACAAACATAAGGGTTGCTACTCAAAGCACAGCGAATTTTGCTACTGTACCGGTATGACCTGGCCGGATAGCAATTATACATGCTTATTTGTTGCGCAGTATCATGTCGGCGAGCGAGCCTTGGAGTCGTAATGCATAGAGTTACATATACAAGAAATTGTAACTATTCTATGAGCAGAGACTAAATAAATTTACCAGTCGAGCCAGTATACTGACAATGACATCAGCTACCCGAACAAGCACCGGTTATCTGGGGACGTGGAGGTTTTGCTTAGTTTTCATTGCGTAGACGATCTCGTTTCCTCAACCCAACCCCTGTCATACCCCTGTCAGACTAATATCAGACCAATATCTAGCGCCATCAATCTCAAATTGGAGATTCATACTAGCCCTGGGGTACTACTACCGGTATGCCCTACTGTGCTGCTACCCTTCCTCATGGCAAATTCATGGATTGCATCCTTGAAGAAATTCGGACTCCTAAGTATGCTCTCACCGCCAAGTCCTGGGGTATGACTTGAAGAGTCGAATTCCAGATATTGGAGTTTGCCGCTTTGCTTACTAGTGGCTACCTCAACACCTCGTACGATAGACCTCTTACCTGTTACATTCCTTCAACTAGGCGCTATTCGTATAAGCAAAACAACTTGAGACTATGCATATTCTTGTAACCCTTCTCTTAGCCCTTTAGCAGGCTCAAACACGTGCTCTCCACAATTGGAATATGACCCTCCTGCAGCACGTGTCCACGCACGCTACTATGGTAACCTAGTCAACCTCGCCCACTTCGTCATTTCTACGCTGAAACGCCATTTGCGGTGATAGATAACTCATTTATTCATTGTGTTACGGTTTGTCCAGCCGACCAATGTAGAATGTATCTCTGTCATTCTCGACACTGTGTTCGAGGTGCTGGAGCTGATGTGGCAGCAGTTGTAGTCAGCGATGCGCCTGTATCAGCGTCACTGTCGCCCCCGCAATAAGATATCCGCCGGTCTTCATTAATGCTGTTGTTTGCAGTTACCAGCTAGGAAACCACGTGGAGGGCTTGGTATAGCTGCAGGGTGCAGGTCACTTGTCTCTGAAATGTTGTGATTCGATTTGAAGCTTCATACCAGAAACCATTAACTCATAGTCTTGAATATAGACCTACTGACAACCAATAAGTAGGTATTTTTGCAAAACGTCCGGCCGAGGCTTCTTCTCTTTCTCGTGGGTCCTTTGACGGCCTCGCGTACCTCTCAATTGTCATCGACGTCTAGCCTCAAAGACAAGCCCCGTTGACTGTCAAATCACGCCTTTGCTTCCGGACGGAAGATACCGTTGTTATCGCCGCAAATCACTCGCGATGTGCGGTGTAACATATAATAGCTAGATTAGAAACGACCTCTAGCGTCGGCCCAGCACCATCAAATCAGCCTAGCATTTCCACGTCACAATGTCGTAGTACGCTCTTATCAATGAGCACAGCGGTGACTGCTCCGGCTTGAAACGAAACGACCATAACCATCCCGTCACAACAACAGGAGTCAGCCTCGCTTACCAGGGTTTTCAAACCTCAGCCGCACTTGGCCCACTTAGAAATACCTCTTGGCATACAGTAGCGCTGAAGTTTTGCACGTGTAAACAACTTCTCTTAACCACATGGGAACGAGCTAACGGTCTGCTAAGCTTCCCCGTCTTGAGCTTAGCTTCGGTCACCGTATGTCTCCGGAAAAGCCCTTGCTCGCAGCTTGTAGTTCGTTGCACTAATTGGGAGAATACACACCAGGTTGCTCCTACCCTTGTTGTCTTGCGTATGTCGAAGATGTGAGTATTTGTCAATGATATGATGAGTGCATGGGCTAGATATCTAGCCTTCACTTAAGTATGCGTTGTCTGAATATAAAGCCAGACGATCCCAAGCCTTCGTAATTGCCAAGAGAGACTTGTACCATCCACACAAACATCACCTCCTTCATCTATCTATTACCATATCAAGCACCAAACCTACTATCTCACAACTACACAGCCAGCAATCATGTACACCGCCAAGGCCCTCCTCGCTCTGACCGTCCTCGCAGATGTGTCGCTCGCTCAGACTTACCTGCACCCTGAGGAATGCACCAAGTCCATCGACATCCTAAACGAGATTGCTCCCACGTTGCCTGCAAAGCTTCAATCAGCATATGGCGCCTATCACTCGATGGAGCCCAATGCCGAGATTCTCCTCAAGGACCCCGCCAAGTACGTGAGAGATACGTGCGCCTTCGTTCTGAAATTGGACGAGTCAGTGTTGGGCGACTTCCAGGAATATGGTCACTCGCTCCTCCAGTTTGCCAGCACCGAAATCTCCTCATATGATGCCATTATCACCAAGTGTATCACCACTGGTGCCGCCGCCGCTTCCGTCACCAGCTACCTCCATTCTATCGTCAGCGCCCCTGACGCTCTTTGCAAGCCTACCAGCACCCCCGCTGCCAACGGCACAGCCTCTATCACCCCTTACCCTACACCTACCAACGGCACTAGTGGCGGCGTTCCCAGCACATCAGTTCCCGTTGCCGCTGCTGCCCGGCCGACTGGTGCCCTTCTTGGCGCTGCCGCCGCCATAGGTGGTCTTCTAGGTGCCGTCGCCATGCTATAAGTGGCAAACCACTAAGCAGACTACAGGATACCTAGGTATTGTCTATAATATTCAGCCCGGGCTCAGTCCCTTTGGCAAAACTGTATATAAGAAGGGGACAAGGATAAAACGATGTTGATGGCAATTATAGAGTAAACCAGATCATTCGGTTGGCACGGATGTAGAAATAGTATACCCAATTGACTGCATAACTTCTATATATCATTGGTTATTAGTATGCTCTACCTTTAGTATTCATGGTGTGAGCAAATGCAACGGTATTCGACATCCGGGTGACTAATACCGGACCTACAGTAGTGCTCTGTACGAGATCGGCCTCAAAGGGCGTATCTTGATCTCCCAGTGCTAACGCTGATGTCAGATATTAGCCCTTCTTGGCATGGCTGCCTGGCCGCGCGAAGGAATATTCCGGTGCTCCAGACCAGCGGGTGATCGAAATCCTCTGGCACACTAACCAATGACATGACTCCCTGTATGTACTGTATGTTTTCTCTTTATCAATCACATCGGTAGGCAAATCTCGGCCACCGAAGCTAGAACCATAGCAACCCGCGACTGGTCCTGCTGACATGTACCTTTAAGCGGCCAGTATGGCTGGCGCCTTCCAGGGACCGGTGTTTTAGTTACATCTGTACTCATGTACGCTAGAGGGAGTTAGGGTCATGCACGCTGCTTGAGGGTCAACTTTCCAAGCATAGGCGCCTTTCACTTTACATAGTAACCGCTGGATCTGTGCAAGTTGAACTCGAATTAGTCATCAAAGTTGGAAACTGAAGGCCCTGGGATTGGGGTTAGTGCTTGTACATGTACTTGTGTAATACTAGATGGTCTATTTTGAGAGAAAAGCTATATGGGTATGAGACTAAGTTGTAACATAGGGAATGCCATTTTTTTTTGGTTTCTCACTTTCTTCAAGTTCCTTTCGGATCTCCTTTGTTTTTGTTTCTTTTCTGTTAAAAAGAACAAGAAAAACTGAGGGGTTATAAGTGAGTGATACTAACGAGGTTGCCTTCAGTAATAGCAACGTGTGCAAAGGAGTGCTTGATCTCCAAGATACATCATAGAGCATTGAAATTTTCATTCAGCGAACAGTCTATATTGTTATATATCACCATGGGGCAGAGCTAACATTAGGAATAGAAATAATTGCGTAATAAATTGAAACATGTCTTACATGACAAGTTATAAGGTGTCAGAGGTAGGTGTCCTAGAGTGAATAGGAGGCCATTCACAGTCAAGTAGGTAGATAGAAAGGTAGTATAATGCCCAATAGTCATTAATTACTGAATCTCTCAACTCTCTAAGGGGTCCTGGTACCCTTTATATAGCCAGAAGGTCTAGTATAGCCACCCTAAGGGGTCTATATGCTGACTATTATCCCCAACATAAGGCCATCGACTAACCGCCCGTCCGGGGGGTAGTCCGTACTTATCAAGGAGAAGTCAGTAAGATATGAGATGAAAAAGTCAGCACAAGCCCTGAGTAACGAGATTTGTCGCAATAGTCTATGTAGAAGATTGTTCCTCGTCACAGAGGCAAGATCCAATCAGTACGCTTTGCTCGGAAGCTTAATTTGAAGAGAGCTAGATCAGCTACTCAATAGAAATCTCCCTTGTCTCTCGTGACCTAGTCGTCTTCACTAACATTGAATTTCGTTGAATACACTCTTTGGAAGAGAATTTTCGCATCAATATTACCTAATAACTATATCTATATTGAACACTGCGCTGATAAGCTAATCTCTTTATATGCTTTCGAAAGAATTTTCGTAAGCTCGGAACTGAAGAAGGCAATAGGGGTTTACTTTAAGTCAGCTGGTAACACGTGGACATATAAGCCTGACTTGATGCGTTGGAACAGCTTGGGGGAGGTTTGTGATTCATGGAACGAAGGAATACATTTTATATGCTGCCTAGAAATATTTCCAGCGATCTGTGATCACATCTATCGCCATTTCCCTAGATAACATGTGACGCAGATTACATCACTGGTATGGGTATCAAGTAAGGACTTGATTGTTGAGCCAAGTCTAAGATTAGGAGTGAACAGATCAAGACTTCTTCTGCCTGTATTCTTCCAGTTTATGTCTTCCTAAAAACAGGTAAGGGAGCCATTTTGTACAGAGATTATAAGCCATAAAGAGGTACATCTGAATTGGCGGATATTCTAAATCTCCATGGCATTGTCTGTCGGCCGGTCAATTTCGTAGATTACGTATAAATGGGTAAAAATATCACATGATCGAAACATGCTAATATTATCTATGTTATATCTCCAAAGTCGCAAACAATCCATTATAAATGATAGCCTAGTGACAATGGGGGGCTGAGAGTGCCCTCATCTACGAGATGCTTTATTTTATCTGCAAGAAGACGCTATAAGTGTTGATCAAGAAACGAAGGTTAGTCGTACGAAATAGCCTTACGTCGATTTAGGGTCCTTCAATTATGACCAGACCTCCACGTGCAAGCTTTTATTCCACGTGCGACCTATACCTGTTGAATAATATCGATGTCATTATGCTTTCATCCAACGCATCGCATAGCATTCCAATCTCGGGGGGCTCATGTAGTGAAAATACTCTATGCCACAATTATCTGAGTAAACTCTGCATATGTGCCACATAGGTCAATACCCCTATTACTTACTATAACCAAGTTTCCCATTTTCCAACCTGACCATTTAGCTTATGAGACATAGTGGTTCATAATTTTGGATACTGCCCGTCATCTTGGTAAATTTCTCTGCAGGCTTCTCGAGTGAAAATGTTATAACTATCAATGTTGTACAAATATTCCTATCTTTCCATATCTATATCGGGCTGTGAGTTGCAAGAAGTCGGGCATCGCCAACAATTGGTAGAAGCGTTATCAGCAAATTTTTGCGCTCAGGCATTGTATCTTCACTAGATGCATAACACAACGAGAATTACATTAAGTTTCTCGTTTTAAACTACTGACAGGATGGCCATTATCTGATATTTGGGGACCAGCCCCATTATATCAAACGACCTTGATGAACATGTAGACGACTCAAGAATTAATTGAGAGGAACTTCATCGTTAGAGGGTCTCTTCTTAATATAGAACGTCTCATCGAACCGTTCTTCTCTCGACCAATTATTCTGGAACTAAAGAAAATAATTTGGACATTTATTAGTTAATATTGTAAACTCCTTTCGTTGAGTTAGACTGCCTACCTCGTGGTCATTAAGAGGGTGACTAGATTACGCCATTAGAAGGAAATCGCTGTAAGTTTCAAAACATTTGAGTTCTGACCTCATCTTCACTGAGTTTAACTTATGATTATAAGTTGCGGTCCTATTATCTAGTATCATTGTCGCCAGGGCCTTAATAGAGTTAATTGTATTCAATACGTTAAAGCTACCTATCGTAAGAGTTGTTCTAAACAGGCAGACATTACTTGCAACTAGATCAAGTCGAGGTCATGCAGTCAACAAACAAGACGTACAATATTTAATCAATTTTTGTTCTCCCAACAAGATTATGTGATGGTGCATATACCTACGCGAATTTTGGTATTTATTAATGTCTAGAGACATCTCACTCGAAGCTTGAGCCATCTAGCGTCTTCTATTTCATGCGACATGAATTTCAAGACTTTGCAACATTGGGGGTTTGCTAGGATACTTCCAATAGGGCAAAGAGCTAGGAACATAGATACAGCAGTGGTTGGCATTATGGTGCCCCAAAACCAACTGTCAGAAGGGCTGTACAAGGTATACAGTAAGACTCTCATTGTGGCACAAGGTCTAAAAGGTCAGAAGTCTTAAGGCATTCAGACTTCTCTGACTATTGTACCTCTTTGTTCCTCCGCCCTGGGACCCCGGACACCAAGTTATTAAAATAGCGATGGATTCCCTCATGGAATAGTAACGCATGGAGTTCATTGCCTAACATAATCTTGTCATCTATACCGGCAGCAGGTTATAGGAAAGTAGCACCATGCAATTATACACACGTTCTTAACGCCCCAAAAATTCTCATTGGCGCAGATTAGAGAGTATGTCCCATCAGTATTTGGGTTCAAGGCTCCGAATGTTCCTGTTAGACCCCCAAGAACCCCTTTTTCAACCGCATAGAGATAAACGGATAGCAATTTCTGCACTGAAGTTTTGTGGTACTCGGGCTGCCGAAACATAAGGTAAAAGAGGTAAGTCGTCTCTTTGGATTGTTAATTCGAAGCAATTATAGGCATTTTACGCAGATGGGTCAAATGATGAGTCAAGCGCGATGTCCTTGAGTTAGGACGTTACTCATATTATAGTGACCAAATCTGACTATAGATGAGGATACGCCCATTTCCGCCTACTCACACACGTTTATCAGAGTCTTATGCTTCATAGCACAACCGAATTATAGACTTATCATTACTTTCCTAATAGGTCGTAAATCAGGCGTGTAGTAATACACGAATATGTTGAACAGTTATATCGCTGCAGCCATTCTACAAGTCGATAACTTATGCATACGCAACCGGGTGATGGGTTTTCATGTTCACTCCGCCAGCGACAACGATGACACGATTTCAGAGCCTTTCCGTCATGAGTACATCACAGAGGTCCCGTCGGAGCGTATTTCCTTCTATATTGGTACCTTCTAATCTGCCGCCACTGTCAACTTTAAATATGTTACTGCTTACAAGGAACTAAGAACGCCTAGGAAATCAGTATACTATCTCCGGGTCCTAAGTGATGGCTGAGTGTCCCTATCAGCTCTCCTGAGGCCGACGAGAAAAGATGATCAAACCCGACGAGGTCAACTAGAAGGAAGCGAGGGAGCTGGATTAGCAAAGCCAAAATTTAGCTGCTAATAGAGATCCTCAAGCAGTATGACCCTAGCTGATAATTATTGCCTTAACAGGGCATCCATAGTGAACGTGCGTAGATGGGTATGGGGCGGCGAACCAGTAGATTGTGACCGAACTATCGTCCTATTCGGAGGGGAATGCCTCATGTTTGAACAGGTAAGGGTCTCGATGAAGTATCTTGGGCAAATGCTTCTGTTGATATTGAATGCACTGTTCAGTAGTCAAACATGTGACAGCTAAGAGGCTCCGGAAGAAACATCGAAGTTGGTGTAGCTGATTTCCTCTTTCCCACCTCCACCGCTGTCTCTTGATCGTCGACTTAGAGCGACTATACCGCACTCACAGCAGCGAGAGAGTCTGGGAGGTACTGCGCGTCTTCATCAGATCAAGAGGCTCAGCAGTGACGGACTGTAAACACCATAGTTGGTGATACTTTCCTGCTAACTTGCTACCTACTAGGTAAGTATATTCTTTGGTTGCCCGAGACCCTGAGGTATCTCAAGCATCTTAGATTCTGTCAGCTACGTAGGCAAGAACATGGTATCGTACCAAATCTCTTATGTGTAGTCGAACCACACTAGTCAACTTCTCATGAAAACTCGCCATCATTAAGTATATAGACTAGCATCATTACGACTACAAACCTGCTATACACAAAATCGATTACTAGTAAAAGCAAAGGAATACAGGGTTTCACGTCTCCAATCTTTACAGTTATATATAGCAGTTATATCCAGCAGTCAAGAGCGTGGTTGTGATGTATATGTAGTCGTGGCGACTTATCTCCGCAGCTCCCAAGAGTGTGGACGCCTACCTACCTACTGTGGCAGGTGTTGCTATAGCCAGGTAGCTCTCTCCTTTTCGTGGTACAGGGCACATGCTGATGACGTTATTAGAATAACAGACGGAGCTGTGCAAAATCGCGAGAGAAAACAATAGAAATACATTAGTAGTGACGAAAGAAAACCACGGGCAGGCCGAGTCATTGCTACACATCAGCTAGGTAAGCATTGAACCAACAAATGCAAGTTGCCATGTGCGGAATGCGACATTGGATATGCGACCACCCGTCAAGCAGAACCGAGCGAGACAACTGCTGAAATCCCGGATGCGGTGGTGTTGGACTCGAGGAATGGGAATGTTGGGATGAACCAACCACGCGGGTAAGAACATTTGAACGCAGTTGGCAATCATCGCATGACCCAGCTGATTACTCGATTACCAACCTTCTTCTGTCTACCCTCCTTGCACAGTGTAGTGTCCAGGACAGAAGCCAGGATGATTTGAATTAACGAGCGCACCCCTTGTCGGAAGTAGTGTACATGCAGTGCAAGGATCAAGGCGAGGCCCTCTCTCCGCACCCCGCAGCCGACAAGGACCGGGTCAAGTTCTGCCGACGAACTAGTCGCTCGCTCAGACGTTGGGGGTCGGGGGTGCTGTGGCTCGTCGAGGAGCGGTAGGCTTCCTCGCAGTGCCGAACTGAAGCTCGTGGAAGGAGGATGGATTCGGTTGTGAAGCAACATTTGCCCAACTACCTATAGGTGCGCCAGTCCAGGTAGGCCTGTACCAACGCACTACCATACTTGCACAACACGGCGGAGTACTGATGCATTGGATGCAGATCTGTACGGAGTCGTACTTGTGTGGAAAATTCTTTCTCGATCACGGGTCCTCACTATATGAATAAGCCATCCCGATGACCCGTTCCGCCAACGTAAACCCCGAACAGCCCCGAATATTCGGGCGGCGAGATAAGATGCATTTGCGTGTCCAATGATTGGCAGAGGATGGAATATGCCAAAGAGACGCGCCGCGCCTTACCCCGCCTCCTCTGCCGGCCCCGTTGCCATTTGGCCTCTCCTTGGCCTGTCCTTGGTCTGGCTGTGGTCTGGCCTTGGCTCTGACCAAGAAATACCAAGTGCGGGGATGCGTCCGGCAAACGATTAGGGGATACCATTTTCCCCAGTCTGGTTAAAATAACATGAACGCTTTCACTTCGAGGCAGCAACACATAGTTCCCAATCAGAGGCACGAGGATACAACGTCTCAATACTGCTAGATACCCATGCGGTCGGCCTAACATGAGACGATGCCACAGTCAAAGGTGCACACTTGCCATGTACTACGTGTATGTATGGCCGGACGATGCGCCGAATTCGTCTACCGCCAATTGGCTTACCCGCCCGCCCACTTGCTGTAGCGTCTACACTTGTCTAGTGGTGACGGGAAGGCAGAGGAGGGTATGGAGATTCGCCACTTACGCCTTCTTATTGGGCAGTTGTTCCTGATTCTCGCCAGATGGTGCAACTTTGATGGCAAAGAGAGCTTACTCAGACCATGACCAACTTGCACTGCGTTGTACAGCCATTGATCAGATCATATCTCACTAGAATAAATAATAGAATAACATACTAGAACAGTTTCGCTTCTCGGGCTACAGCACGACACCAATTGGAGGTCATTTACCAACTCCATGGTAATACCAGTAGGACGATTATATGTACAACGACGAGTTGGTTCGCTAAGCGAGGCGCTCTAAGCCTGACACTTTGCGCCTCGACGCCCTGGAATGCTCTGGAATGTCTGGTCGGCTTGCTTATGGTACACAAATGTGGTGAGAGCGGTGCTACCCTCGATTCTGACCCGCAAAGCGAGATGATATCTAGATAGCCCAGGCTGTGCCGCACACCTGACTGTCATTATAAGCTGGGTTAGTATACTCCGGCTCCCTGGTCGGGGGGTTCTCCAAATTTTAGGTCGAACCCATTCGTCCGTAATTCGACGCAACCCTACCCAAGATGCCCAGCCAAATGATGCATGACGCCTTGACTGCTGGGACGGGGTCGAGAAGCTTATTATTGTTGCAGACAAGTTGGCAACTACGATGTGTGTTAGCTCGACGAAGACGACGCAGTCTCGGCAGTGTAATACAGGAAATGCAAGATGAGTGTCCATTCCACACGCAGAGCGTCGTAGCACAGCCCTGGTACAAACATTAGATGGAGAGATTTGACTGGACTACGACCCAGAGCTTTGTCTCCCGTATAGCGTCTACCTTGATATAAAACAATACCTACTACTTCGTAGGTAGACGAGGGAGACAATGCCCGGCCGAATGATAGTTATCGTAGCTATGATAGGGCACGTGCTTGGATATGAATTACTGAATCCATGTCACCTCAGCTTCCTCCAAGCTGTGCACAAGAGCAGACAAGAGCACACAAGGGCAGACAAGAGTTAGAGTAGAACGCAGCGGCAAGGGCCACTAGCGCATATAGTATCGGCATCGGTAGCTCCAATAAGCCCCCCTTGCACATCCATCCATCTATCACCCCATGCGGTCACTCACTTACTGGACTGGGTGAATGACCGCAGATCAACAATTGGAATATTTCCAGCTCCTGCGCCCGGCTCTCCTTTGAACTTCCTTCCTCTTACTCTCGTCCCTATCTAGTTTACATGCTTACCGACCCGGGATCGCTTGCCACAGAAGCGCGACGTCAACAGGCTCACATTCATCCCGAGTCTGCTCACTTCACTCTCATCGTATAAGTCGTCATTACGTACTGGGGCCCGCCTCAGATCGGCTGGAAACCATGAGCGACCTCGAGAAGCATGCGTCGTCGCACGACGAGCGAGAAGATCGCGCCATAGATCTTGACATTCCCGATCCTGATGCGCATCTTAGCCCAGAGGAAAGAGATCAGATTGTAAGCTCTACCCCAATCGCTAACCCCCCACACATGGCGCTGTTCTCTGTTACTTCGCGGGGGCTTCCCTGGCGATCCGAGGTCACACAACTGACTGTATGTAGGAGAGACGACTTGTCTGGAGACTCGACCTCATCCTTATCCCTTGGGTATGTACAAACACGACGACATCCATCTCTAGCTCATTGACTAACTCCGTATTTTGCGCATATAGCTCTGCCTGTTGTACCTCCTTGCCTTCCTGGACCGGACTAATATTGGCAATGCGAAGATTGCTGGCCTCGTCCCCGACTTGGGGCTGACGACTTCACAATACAACATAGCTCTCACCATCTTCTTCATCTCTTACTCGGTTTTCGAGCCACTTACCAATGTCCTTCTCAAAAAACTCAGGCCTTCGATCTTCATTCCGATTATCATGTGGGTTACCTCTGCCATGTCTTCGAACGCTGATTCACAAAGATATTAACCTTGCGCCGCATCAGGTTCCTTTGGGGTGCATCAATGACTGGACAAGGTTTCGTGTATAACAACTCTGGTCTTCTGGCTTCTCGCTGGTTTCTTGGCCTTACTGAAGCTGGGCTTTTTCCTGTATGAAATCCATACCTCCATATCTTAGGATGAGCACTAAACTAAGTAATTACAGGGTGTGAACTACTATCTCTCGTGCTGGTATAAACGATCCGAATTTGGTATTCGTGCTGTATGTTCATTCCCCTAATCTCGGAATGCAGGATGTTCTTAACACATTTATGACAGGCCATTTTCTTCTCAGCAGCCGCCCTATCTGGCTCTTTTGGTGGCTTGTTGGCTGCTGCGATTGAAAAACTGGACGGCAAAGGCGGCCTCGAAGGCTGGCGATGGATTTTCATCTTGGAAGGCCTCCTTACGGTGGTCGTGGCTGTGATATCTTTCTGGATGGTTCACGACTTCCCAGACGACGCACGCTTTTTGTCCGAAGAGGACCGCGCCCGAGTGATCCGACGACTGAGACTGGACCAACAGGCTTCCTCGAAACACGAAGATTGGAACACAAGATATCTATATGACGGTCTCAAAGACTGGAAGATGTGGCTGGGCATGGCTATCTATATGGGCTGTGACATGCCGCTATATGCTTTCTCTCTCTTCCTGCCATCTATCATCATGGAATCCGGTTGGAGTAATAACTCCATTCACACAAACCTTCTGAGCGTCCCTCCCTACGCCGCCGCCGCCGTACTCACTGTCATCGTCGGATTCATCGCGGATCGCACTCGCCAACGTGGCTTGTGCAACATCCTTTCAAGTCTGATCGGTATCGTTGGGTTTATCCTGCTCATCGCCTCTGACAGCCCTGCGGTGAAATATGCGGCTACATTCCTAGGTGCTCTGGGTATTTACCCCTGCATCTCCAACACAATCACGTGGATGGCGAACAATACAGAGGGTGTATACAAGAGAGGGGTTGTATTGGGATTTGTCATCGGCTGGGGCAACCTTAACGGCATCGTCAGCTCAAACATCTACTTCGACCCGCCTCGCTACCTCCAAGGACATGGCGTTGTTCTTGCCTACATGATAATATTCCTCTTCGGAGGCAGTATCTTGATGACCACTCTCCTCAGGGTAGAGAACAAGAAAAGACTTGAGGGTAAACGAGACTACCTTGCCGAAGGCAAGAGTGAGGCCGAGCTCGATCTGCTTGGCGATAGACGGCCGGACTTTTTGTACACGGTTTAATGGAGGTGAGGTAGAGAGGTGGATGAAGTATAAAGTAAAAGCGGCTTTTTACTTCTTATTATGACTTATATACCCGAACCGACAGATTACTTGGTCACTGCGAGGTTGGTGGCTTGAAGACGAAGTGATGATGATAGCGAGAACAAAAATAAAAGATTTCATGTAGCTTATATATATACAAGTCAAGACACCACCTAATGTGAGGTGTCGATGATGATGATTGGAGCATCCGCTCGCTCTTGATTATTCTTGTTGGTGCTATAGGGCCGATACCAGTGAAATACTCAAGAACCGATAAAATATCGACATCTTTGGGGGAACACGCTAGTTTCTTTGATATCTCGAAACGTGCATCTACTGCGACTCTTGAGTTCGAAGAGCTTCTGAACGCTCACGTCGTGGGAACGGTGTTATCAGTGGGGAGCGGGATGAGTCCGGCTCGTCGTGATCTCTTCCAAATAGAACGGTTAAGCGAACGGGCAGAGACCAGACAGACAAGCTTTGAGACAAGAAAAGCTGGGAGTGGCGAGTTTCTCCGGTAGATATAACGTCGATAAAAGAAGGGGTGCAAAACATTGCGTTGTATGGGTTAGCAAATGGATGAAACGCCGTGTTGTCTAGTTGTGTCGATTCGGTGTTCAGATAGCTTCTTTTCTCATGCCTTCTGCCGCGCTGGTCAGCTTTCGAAAGGCAGTATCATGATATAGATCCAAACTAGCTTAATATATCACTCACCAAGAAAAACTTGGGCATGAAATTGAAGTTTGTCACAACAAAGTGTGTTCATGCACTGACGGTTGAACCAGGAGATGCCGAGTCCGGCTTTTCTCACAAGGGAGCGGATTAGGCATTAAAATATATGCGGATGCGACGTTAAAGATATGAAACAGGTTCCTTTTGGTATGTGACGCATCGTATTAATCACTTGAAAGTTTGAGGCGACAAGTAATTCTCGTTCGTTGCTCATGACAGGTGCCCTACCCTCGAGGCATCATGAACCACACGTCCTTCTTTTGGCCGCATGTCGATCATAGAATGAGCTGCACACCGATCTCTCAGATTGGAGTGTGCCGGTTGGTTTGTATCGTAATTTCAATGTTATAAAACCTCAGCGCTAGGGGTATCTGCAAACAGCGAGGGTTGGAGACCACTAGGGCGAGGCTAGTACGGTAAGGTAGTTAGCAGGAGCAGCCAGATGATAAAGACGAAGTGGACTACAATAGGTCTCAGTATAGCTAGGACAGACGTATCTATATATCGATGTGCGACGATATGTTCTTGCCAAATGGGTGCGCGGACAGTAGGGTAAAACCTGAAGACTTTCTAAGTGTTGGTTGGGCTAAACACCAAGCACCAACCTATCAGTTGGGAGATATAATCAGACAGTGTATAGATATTCTTCTTCAACCTTATGGGGAGCTTGATTACGTGAAACTTAGGTATAATTAGATGAGCCGTGTTTCATGGCTACCCCAAGATCTGCCCGAGACATGTCGGCGCCTCAATCTTGATGGAGCGGGGGGTTACCATAGTGGCTTTGCAAACAGGCATTGTGCACAAGCAATTGGTATGCATTCTGTCCATGGTGTACTTGTACATGTAGTCCCGAGATACTATAACTGCCTTCTCATACCGTGCCTGCTTTACTGCCTTAGGTAACCTAGGTATATCAACGACAGAGACAAAGATGCCAGTTCTGGGGAGCACGGCAGTTGAGACTCTCCCATGACACCCATCTGGATGGAGTGTGACTGCATCGGAACTTGTAGGCGCTCAGAGGGTCGAACGCAATGTCTTGCCCATTGATCCAACGAGAAGGTAAACGGCGAACATATGACGATTTTCGTGCAATCTGATTTGTGTGACCACACGTTTAAATCTAGTACAATACAGATGTGTGTGTGTGTGTGTGTGTGTGGCCTTGCGTGGTGAAGAGGACTCTATTCGAGCCACTACGAATAAATGCTTGTAGGTATGTACCTAGTCACCGAGGTACCTAAGTAAGCATCTTACAGCCAATCATAGCACTGGAATAATAGGCCTGACTACCCCAAACGGCAATACACCCACCACTAAACATGGCGTGCGTGCCTACCTAGGTATCTACCTACATACTTCCAATACCTTTAGGTAGGTAGGGGCTCTGTAGTCTAGCACAAAGTCCACTGAACGCTGGGCGCATCACGCAAACCATTGCAGTAGCAGCTATTGTCTCTCACGAGACAAGCACCTGCCTCGTCGTAAAATATATTCGCAGGAGAGTGAATATGATCTTGGCCGATACTGAACCCGAGGTATCACGAGCCGGGGAAGGTCTATATGCAGTGTTCCGAAGTACAATCGCAAAGCTGCAATTGCCCAGGACAAACATGGGGTGGCCAACGCGGGCCTCTTTTGGGGCCGACGAGAGGGACGAATTCCGGGCTTCCTCGTTGGCCGGCGGCTCCGACTCGGCGGCACAGAGCCTTCGTGCATCGACTGCACTATCACTATTCTCATTATAAAATAACAATTACCGTTGTCATTCTTCTTTTGAACGAGGCGCGATGATTGGTCTGAATATTGTGGTGGAGGAGTATGCGGTGTAGCAGACATCACGCATATGTAGTCCCTTGTGCATGTGTGTCTGCGCGTATATGCGCTCGCAGCTGGAGGGTTACAAGCCTCGATGGCTGGTGATAGGTATTAAGGAGACAGATCATTAGATGGTATATTGGAAACCCAATAGGTAATCAACTGTATCTCCTACTTGGTGGAGTGCCAGTAAAGACTAACCTAGATGCTGAGGAATTTGCTTTTACCCCATCATCATTGACCAGTCTGGGCGCTGTAGGTAATGCGAAGTCAGGGACTTAGCCTACCTACCTAGGTACCTATCTATCAATTACTGGTAGTGCTGAGATGGCGACATAGGGCCATCTACGTCTTAACATTATTATTTTCATGTTTCTGTTCACGCCTATTCCCTCTTTGAGTGTGGCGAGAGAAACGTGGGAAAACATGGTGAAAAACGACTCCCAATTTTCAGACAGCTAGGTGGTGCGTAGTGGGTTAGTTGTACAGCTGCACTGACGAGCGCAGACGAGCGCAAACAAACGAATGTGCGGAATGTCCCACGTGCGCCACGAGGCGTTTGTCTCTTGATACTGCAGCCCAGTACGTGTCACCGAAGATACAGGCTGTGTTTCTTTCTATCTTTCTTTCTATCTATCTATATGTCTGTCTGTCTCAGTTTGCATCTTTCTCGAACATCTTATCCTGGACTCGACGCCACTGTGCTCTACCGTGGTATATATCCCATGTCTCAAGTCTTGCGACACTGGTATCCCCATTCTTCAAGATGTCGTTCGTCCTTCAGTAGGTAAGTACCCAAGTAAGTAGGAAAGTTATGTAGGTAGTATGTAAGCATGGCCAAGAGCCACGGCCAGCCAAGTTGGTACAGACTCAAGTCACATGCGACTGAACGCAAGCTCCCTTGCATGGATTATACATAGCACCGTACACGTCGCCCTGGTATGGCTTTTTCTTCTTCATCATCAACATATACCCATCTATTCCCACGTGGACATGATGTGCTGTCCATCGTCACAAGCAAGTGACAGTCTTGATTCAACAGAAAAATACCTAAAAACGACTACTTTCTTGAGAGATGTTCAGAAAAATACTTTATGTAGGTACCTACATACATGGAGCTGACGAGGTCTGGACGCGTTTAGATATCGAGATGTATCATATCATATCCCCTTGAAGGGAACTCTTTACATCCTAAACCTGTACGTACAATATAATATAATATGTACGTACTTAACCTACTACAGCAAGGCCCTTGCCTGTATACCTCCTACCTGCATTATTATTACCTATACTTACCCAGATACGTCACCTTGTTTGAGCACTGCATGTAGGAGGTAGGATTCAGGTAGGATGTAGGTTGATTGGTTGGTAGGTAGGTACTCTCTCTCCTGTTGAGCTTCCACTCTGCCGTTCGATCCAAGGCTGTCGTTGCTGATCTGGTCCTGTCCACGCCCGCCTTCCGTGGTCTTCCGTGGTGAATGTCTCGGCGAGTGTCCGACACTTACTTGACCTACTGGCCTCACGCCAAACTCATCTGCCCGGTCTCACTCCCTCATTTCTGTTCGTCTCTGCTCGTCTCTGCACTGGTGCCGGTGCTGGTGGCATACCTAATCCTTGTGACTGCTGCGATCAACCAACTGTGTTTTTGTGTAACAAGATACCTCCATACCTACCTACCTACCTAGTAGGTAGTATGTGTGCGTGTATGTGTATGTATGTGTGTGTATGGATGTGTGTGTATGGATGTGTGTGTATGGATGTGTGTGTATGTATGTGTGTGTATGGATGTGTGTGTATGGATGTGTGTGTATGTATGTGGGTGTATGTATGTGGGTGTGTGTGTGTGTGTGTATGTGTGCGAGTAGACGCGTACCTAGCTCGCCCAGTGCAAAACCACCACCATCACCACACCACGCTTGAGCTTTGATATCTATCCCGAATATATATTCATCATTAGGCCATACCTCACCTATAGATTGATGACTTCTACCTCGAGATCGGGTCTATGCGTTACTACGACTACCACTGTTTGTTTGTCCCTATTGACATTGTCGTCGTCGTCATATCCTTCTCTTTGACCTAATTGTTTTCCTTCTCCTTACCCGCCTAGTCTCTGGCTACAAATCAACAGCCTTCTGACAGCCACTCTAAGCTCTCTTTTTCTTTGCAGGGGAGCAAGACGGCTGCTTGCATTCTCGACCTGCCTCGTTCTCGTCGTTCGCCATTTGAGTAATTTGGCTGAAGCACCTTGTAGGGACTCTGCATGCATCGTTTCTGCCTTCACCATACAATAACTCTGTTATCTCACGCGGTCCTGCCAATCGACAATCCGACTCTCTGCATGAGCCATCTCCCCGCCGCCGTCTTCTTCGGCAGTCTTCTCAAGCAACCAGCCAGCGTCGGCATCACCACATCAATCATTATAACCCCTACCTATTTTACTTTTCTTTCTGATACACCCCGGCATGACCCGTTTAGCTGCGCATCGCCCTACGGCCTGTATTTAACATGATACTAATCTTTCCTACTTTTCATCACTCTCGACAACATTGAAACAAGGCGCCACTCTTTCAGGATCTTATTCAGAGTGAGACGATCTGCGATTTCACGGCGGAATACTTGTTCGTGTACCAATCTCCACTGCACGCCTGGTACCTTCAGCCTCTACATTTCTTTTACCGTGGCAAATACAAAGCATAGCCTGTTCTACAACATCGCAAATTTTCTCGTACGCGATTATATCGAATTCGAATTAAGCTTCAGGCTGAGACGTTGGGCCCAAAAGCACCTCCTGCTTCTGGAACCGCATAGACGCACATGTGAACTGCCCATGAAGGACTCCATACTTCGAATATCTTGCCATGTCACCCGTAGCATCGAACAGCAGTTTTCACGATGAAAGCATTCCTCAAGGGGCGCCGCATCACTCAAGTCACCTAGAAATCATTGTTCTCTTCGAACGCCTAGGTGCGGCTCTCTCTTTGGTCGGAGTTATCTCTATATTCGTGGCTTTCGCTGTGTTCAAGCGACTTCGAACCGTCCCCAACACCTTCATCATCTTCGCATCTGTTGCCAACTTAGGGGCCAGTATCGCCTGCTTGATAGGGTACTCGGGTCTCCTCGCCGGCCCTTCTAGCCGTCTATGTCAAGCACAGGCCTTCATGTTCGAACTGTGAGCCCCCTTATACTTGATATGGACGGCATCTTATTGGGTAGCCAATGTGGCCGCAACTGACTTGACCCAGATTTATGCAATCAGATCCATGGTGGTCCTTTGCAATGGCTGTCAATGTGTACATGGTGTTCTTCTTTTCAGCAAATCCCAACAATTTCTTACGGTATTGGTATGCCTACTTCATTGTTTGCTACGGCATACCATTTATCCCGGCCCTGTGGCTGCTCTTGGTCCGCGATGGGAATGGCGGAAATGTGTATGGTGATGCTACGGTATATCTATTGTTCAAGTGATGCTTCCACATATGCTGACTATCTTGTAGATATGGTGCTGGATAGATAAAGATTGGTCCGACCTACGTATCTACACATACTACCTGCCAATATGGGTATGCATTGTCTTGTCGACGTTTATATATATAGCAGTTGGATATTATGTCTTTCAGCAACGTAACCAACTTCGAAATCTTTCGTTGAGCAACCCGACGCGCGACTCACCCCAAGCTCGGGATTCTGGAGAGAAGGTCAGTTCTTTACGCACATGCCACTCGATCTCTCACAACTTCATGGGCTGACTATAGTGCCTGAACAGAATCTTTTCGCGGATGCAGCAGTCATGGGCACCATCAATCGCGAGGTTCTTCAGGTGACGACGATAAACACTGAGAGCGAACGAGTCGCACGACCTCTTTCAGGAACAGCCCCCCTCAACTGGTTTAAGGGCTCAGTCGAGGAACAGTCCAACTTGGACCGGCAGGCAAGTGTCTCAACTCCAGCACCGATAGCCATGACGACAACGTGTATCTCGGCCGAACCACGCGCAAAGAAATCTGTATGGGGACATATGCGAGCTGGATTTGACAAGTGGTGCAGCAAGTTCAGTCACATGGATCCCGTGAAGCTAGCGTATCTACGCACTTCTTTTGTGTTCGCCGTTAGCGTGCTCATCACTTGGACTCCAAGCAGCATCAATCGCGTGCACGACATCGTTAACCCAAACGACTTCAATTATCCGCTCAACCTCGCAAGCGCCATTGTGCTACCCCTTCAGGGCCTCTGGAACGCCGTCATATTCTTCTCGACCAGCTGGCCGTCATTGAGGCAGGAAGTACGCGCTATGCTAGCTCAATTTAGAGGCGTCCCAAAGGGACAAAACACGGCTGATGCCGTTCGTGTTGAGCGTGAACGGGTCATCGAGTTAGAAAGAAGGGTCACTCGTCAACGAGATGATTCGAATAGCGAGATCAGTGTCACCACGACTATTGGCCTTGGTGGCGATGATCAAAGAATAATAGCATGAGATGCGTAAGAGCCTTCACAACAAGTCTTTAGAAGCGGGATGAGCCAACTTGTTAGCTGGAACTTATTAGTCCGTCTGTCTGTCTGTTTTGTCCTTAGAGATTGAATATGGCCAAGGTGCTGCGCGGTAGTAATATCCTGTTGTTTCGCAGTCACTTCTAGCCTACAATTTATAATTCTCTCTGTTTGCAGTAGCAAAACTACATGATTCAACTTGCGTTCTATACCAATGCTCAACATCTCGTATTCTTAAGAAAGTGTTGACGGATTACTGTGTGTCGGGGACGAATATTACATCGCAAATCATCTATCTGTTCTATAACCTAAATCATTGGAGGTCTCATACCGTAGTCACTAATATTACAATTCAATTACAACTCAATTCAGTAGTTATTCTAAGGTTGTCTAATTTCAACACTCTCATCTAAGCGTTTCCCAAGTCAAGAACCCACGAGCTCACCATACCTGTGAACGCGATATATGCTATCATCGCGCTCATCACAAGCAGACTTCGAAACCGTTCCTTCGTCAAGGGCTCTCGGGAATACGGCTGTACGCTCCTGATCTTGATAAACCGGAACTTGATCAGCACGAGAAGGATCGTGTTTGCGCTGCATAGGAAGAATAGCCCGAGTTCGGCCAGCCAAGCTAATGCGTAGATCAGCTCTGTGGCTAGACTTGCCGTAATTACGGGTGCCATGGTAGTATGGCTGAGGGAATGATGATGGTGTATCTTACTTGAATTTAAATTGGTATTAGAGAGTTTTAGGGGGTGTCTATGTGAGCATTGAGTCGAGGGGTTGTGAATAGCCTATGGTTTTATAGCTGAAGTGTTGGATGGCATTGTTTGACTCTACCAAATAAAGAGGGTGTGGGTTGTTTGAATACCTAGTGATTGTTATTATACGTTCAAAGAGCGGGCTTGTCTTAGCCTGCTCTTAGATGGCGATTCGAACAAAAAAAATTAGAGCATGAGCAATTCTCATCGCACGAATTGTCTGGCTGAGGTTTGGCCTTTGAAGTCTTCAATTCAGCTAAGCTTTGCCCAAGCTTCCGATGTTGGGTATAATGGTTATCTACGTAGTATAGTGTACACACATAGCTCAATACACATAGCGGAATGTCACTGCCCTATCACCCTGCGCAGACAGTTCTTCCGGCGTGAACTCGTTATGTCCGCCTTCCCTTACAATCTTTGCCCTCTTCTTATTGATACGCATATAATTCACGATAAGTATACCCGCCGCGACAAGGCCAACGCTCGCAAAAGCTAACTCCAGGGCGTGTCCAAGGATGTATCTCGGGGAATCCCTCTGCCTGTAAAAGTTCGACGCGAATGCCCCGCCTAGGTTGCCTGCCCCGATCTGAATCGCCATACCTGCACTGCGTTTATAGCTTCCAGCGAGATTATTAGATAGCCAGGTGATGTTTCCTGCAAATGCCGGGTAGATGCCAGCTGCGGCTATGAAGACACCAGCGTATACGACGCCGGGAGTGCCAGTGGAGATGCAGCTGGAACTAAGTCAGTTGCATTATGGAGATGGGAATGAGAATCGTGGCTTACAGGATGTATCCAACAAGTATGACAATCAGACATCCAATGACGAACGGACTTCTCTTGCCCACCCTATCGGAAAAGTATGCCACAACCACGGCCAAAATCGACGCAGTGACGTAGATCGGGACTGTGAGGAGCTGTGCCGTGGATGAAACGTAGCCTAGGTTCTTGATAATGCTGGGTAGGAAGAGACTAATTCCGTAGAGGGGACAGACGATCTAGAAAAGTGAGTCAGAGGGCTAATCTAGTTAAAGATAGTTAATACGATAACTCACTCCCCAATAAACAAAGATATTAACCCAGATTTGCCAGTCTTTGAATGCCGCCCAAACATATTTCCACTCGAAGTCTTCGGTTTCAGAAACCCGTACGTTACCTTCTTCCTTGCCTTCTGTATGACCTTGATACTTAAGTCGGAAAATGACAAAAGCTCGCTCTTCTTCAGTGAGAAATGTCGCCGTCTCTGGAAAGTCGTAGAGAAGGAAGAATGCGGCAACAGCAACGACAACCTGCTTTGTTCAGTGAAGTGATTAAGTTAGGAACTCGAACAGAATCTTCTTACCGTAGCGAGACCTTCGAGAATGAAAATCCAGCGCCAGCCCTCGAGGCCACCGAGCCCATCTAATTTTGCAATGGCAAAAGCCAACAACCCACTAAATGCCCCCGCAACCGATGCTGCTGAAAAGAACATTGCTTGTCGAAGCTGCAGCTCCTTTCGACAATACCTGTAGTCGATCATTTAGTCTGGAGCCCCGGTTATCGGGCTTCTCAAACGCACCACATCGTGAGATAATACTTGATATTTTCATTAGCCTTTTGAGTATGTCACGTGTCTAGGCAGGACTTGCAGAACTTACAGCACACCCAGGATATAATCCTGCTTCAGTAACACCAAGAAACAGCCGCGTACTGAGAAGACCTTGAAAGTTCTGCACGATCCCCATCAGCGTCAAGACAGCTCCCCATGCTACCATAATCGAAGGTAGCCATCTACTCGGACGAAGCTTTTCTGTTTACACGCTGGGATTAGCAATCGCGAGCGAATGGGGTAAGAAATTGACGCATATTTGGGAGGATGGAGGACGATTAAACAAGCCCCAGGGGGTTGGGATGAATTTCGCCGGGAGACTAACTTAGAAGGAGATTACTCGGCACCTCAAAGGCAGCATAAGCGAAGAAGAAGACAGTAAGGCATAAGTTGTATTGGTCATCCGTCATATTCAAGTCCTCTTGCAAGCCTTCGATCTTTGCGTTTCCGATATTTCCACGGTCGAGGAAGGAGAGCAGATATAATAAAGCCAGCATCGGTATCAGACGAATATCCATCTAGTGTAGGATGTGAGCGACGTTGTCACTAAGAGACAAGCTTCGACAAACTCAATCCCTTATAATCCATGTAAACTCACCTTCCTCAGAATCTTCTTTTCATCCAGATGCGCGAATGATTCATAAGTAACCCCAGGCGCAGTGGCCATGGCATCGATTTGGCCGATTACATCTTTCTCTGTCCGACCGCCAGCCTGATCAATCTCGATCACATCCGGCTTCTCAAGCGTAGCACTCATCGTAATATACAAGCAAAACTTCGGAGACAAGATTCTTGACGTTGAGATAAGAAAGGCAGAAATAAGATTGTACGAAGACGAGCTTTGTTATCTCTTGGTCTCCGGCACTTTATGATGAAGAGACCAGCCACGCCGCTTATCTGGTATAGGATTACAGCGCGCGCCATCATTGATTAGTCGCTGACCGTAACTTGTGATCCTCGGGAATCCTCCGCGCTCACCCCTCCCCCGCATTTGCTATACACTAGGCAGGCCGGAGTCGCTTGGCAGATGCGGGGAGAGCGGTGTTAGAGAAGCAGCTAAGCTTTCTTTGACCCTCTCGTGGGAGGGACGAATTCCCCAGACACTGAACCAAATCAGTAGGCTTCTGGAATTTATGACCATTAGTCATGACGTGAAATGCCACTAAAGTCAGCGGCAATGAGCCTCGATATTCTGCTCAGCTAGTATGCTGTGAAGGGGAATAAAGGAACCAAATAGTGTCACCTGACAGAGAATCTATCTGGAGTAGACTAGACTTAAAGCTGTGCTCAAATTGGTCAATTCTCCAATCCTTCAACGTAGGCCCTTGCTAGATGGCCGCAGGGACTCAAGCCGAAGGATGGTGATTGGTAGACTCAGCATCCCGGACCGACAATTGATCATGAACAAGAAGCAGCCGATATATGAAATTGTCCGTTTGGCCGTATGGCACACTGCTGCCAAACGAGAGATCTGGCAGGTAAACAATGATAGGCGGCTGCACCACTCACTCCATCCTCTTAGCTTGAATACCAGTGATGCCCGGTGAAGCCTATATACTATGATCTGCCGCTTTGCCTGTATGAAGGTTGCCTTGAGCCTCATTTAGCTCTGCAAACACATCAATATCCAGAGTTTTGGACGTGTTTTGAACCGTCAGGCGCTGTCATTGTAACAGCTTGTCTCTGGATCTGACGATTTAGTAAAGTTGAAACCCAGTCCTCTAATCCGACGATTATCCCCTGCAAATAGGTGTCTTTGAAATGACGATTATCCCGAACTGGCGGCACTCGATTCAGCCATACTACTCGGGCTAGGGCAATCTAAATTGCCTTTCTGAATTTCTGAAACCCGAGACCCGAGCGTTGCTGTCAGAATGATGCCCTTCGCTTCGCAATGCACATAGCCTACATGAACAGGAAGAAGGATATTCATGATAGTCGAGAAGGGAAGGTGAGACGAAGATAATCACGAAGGGACGGCGATGCGCTTGTTGTCTCCTCCGAGCCGGTTGTGCTGTCGCTACGGGATCAGACTGGTTTTGTCTTTTTTGTTGGCATATTTCTTTTCCTCGGCCCCTCTCGTCTTGAGCTTTTACCAGCCAATCAGCGCCCAACACACGGGTGCAACACTGCTTGCCTGGTTCTCGTCACGTACGAAGTAAGGCAGCCAGACGGGATTACTCATGACTAAGGCTGAAAATATATGAACTGCACACCACGACTGTCACTGCATTATCAACGGCGCGTTTTGAGGCGCTTTCAAGCCATACCTCTTCAGCTGACTAAATCCACAGTCCCTAATAGCGGTCGGTCGGTCGGTCGATCGTCTCGTCGGCCTCGCTGTCCTGGTGGATATGAACAACGTGATCTAGGACAGCTAGTTGCTCACATCAGGTTTCGGATCTCCCCACAAGAAAATGCTTTTCTTAGACATGACTCTAAAAAGGTATCGGGCTTCCCCAATACTTAGTGTGTAAGATCAGTCTCGATTATGAGCACTGAAGCTCAGCTGACGGAGGGCGATTTCGCAGGCTGCACTGGCGGGGCCGCTGGTTCCATGCCGTGAAGAATGTGAGGCATTTCCGGGACGGAGGCCGTTGACGAATCAAGGCACGGTATATGAGCGACGTATTATATATCATAGGTATGGTCGTCCTCTTCTTGATGCTTAGACGCTAGATATGAAAGAATACTTTGGCTCATGAACAGGAGGATGTTGATCGAGGTAACTTGTAGATAGCCACTGATCCCACGGATCTCACCGTTGGCAAGGGGGCTTCCCTACCTAGGTATCTACATGGTAAGTGCATATAGGTAGCACTGTGGGGATTTGGTGGGGTACACAGGCGTTGTAGGTACCTAGTAGGTACCTAGGGTACTGACGTAGGATACCTACACCCACTGTAGCTAAGTAAGTAGGCATGCAGCCTCAGGGCTCTACTGCTCAATGAATGGATACAGTATTATTTGGTAGGTAGTACAGATGTATTATGAATCAACCTATACATAGCATGGCCCTCACATGACTATTCATGTAGGTGCTAGGTAAGTACCTAGATAAGTACGGTAAGTAGGCAGAGGCCACACGCTGCCTGCGGTGCGGTGCTTGAGTGAGAACGAAATCGCGAGCATCGATATCACGGTGCCTCGGAACATTGAAGGCCACACTTTTTCTCTACAACGAGGGAAGAGATGACATCATTACCTATTTCCGTGTCCGAGTGAGAATAATGTACGATGATGGGGCACCGACATGTAAGGAGGTAGTCCTCGTCGTTCTTCAGCAAACATCAGTGAGTTGCAGGCTAGGGTAAAACGCCCTATTGTGCAGCCTATGTCAAGAAGAAGATCGTAACAGTAGAAGCCTTCCGTCTCAAGTATCTAGTCTCTGAACAGTATGGGAGAAACTCGCGATGCTGCTCAGTAAAACGGTGATCAATATCATCCCTCCCTCCTCCATGTTATAGTTGCCAAAAATCTTAAGCATGGGATAAAACATCGTTATATCCGTTAGAAGGATGTCAGAGCCCGGGGATGTTGGATCAATCGATATGAACGCCTTTTACGTGATCCAAGCTCATACTCCTTGGCTTGTCCCGTTCCGGAACACATTTTCTCGTCATGGTATAAAAATAAAAGTGTTTGTGTGTGGTCTCGGTCCTCAGTTCGGACTCCACGCTTTAAAGCTCAGGTCCGACGTAAGGGAGTGATCGGACCGGATACTCAATCCCTTGGTCTTCCTTGATAAGATGATGGCGACCAGTGTCGTTCGATAATCACGCTGAACCACCACGCATAATACTGTGTTAACTGCATTGGTTCACGCTCTCCGCCATTCGCGTGTTTGGATCGGAAACGCGCTTGCATCTACCGGTTTGTTCATACACGAGCTGCTCCTACGAGGATCTCGGAACCAACCTATAAGTGTATATACTGTACGGAGTATATTCTGTCAGAAAATGACTGCTTAGCGTGAGACATGCCTACAGCAATACATTCCCCTTCCCGCTCTCAGCTTACACTGCCAGAGAGCTATAGGCAACTATTAGGTAGATGTTCGCCATCATCGGATTTTGTGGGATCGAGGGCGCCCGTCTGACGCCCAACCTAAAACGCCACAGGCATCACTCGCCCTCGGCATATCGCGTCACGCGAACATGGCTTGCACTCAGCACAGTTCATCTGAACAACTCAACTGGCCAGCATCTGTCAAGCTGCTCCTGCGGTGATGGTGCCACGCCAGAACATCACCAACGTGTCTTCTGGCACGCCAATGGAAATGAAGGAAATTCCCGACCGTAACACACGGCGAGTCGGCACCTACCGGTAAGCAGCATATCTGAGAGAAATACTCGTAAAGGCCTATGCATAGGACACGTGAATCCAGTCAGATCCACGCGGATATCCCCACCGAAGCTCGATCCCTGTACCTACTTCCTCAGTTGTGCGAGGCTAAAGATCGCGAGCTGTGATCTCTAGCGTCACGTTGCACTACAGCACGATGAGCCGCAAGTAGTGAAACCTACGCTGCATGCCCCTTGTCTTACATCGACTGTCTTAGAATCCCCTGGGTGTCTGGGGAGAGCTTATGGGTGACGATACCGCTAGAGATGGAATCAGATCTCCATTCCACTGCCACTCAGCTGTTGGGAATATGTGTTTTTCCACACAGCTAAGCAGGCGTCGATAGTCTGACCACCACCGGCACGCCGTTGGGGAACTTCACACACCTCGGGCAAGCCCAAACTAAAGAACTGATATAGAACTACGAATGGCTAGATGGCAGTGGCTATATGGGGCCAGAAAGGCCGGCTGCCTGGTGAAGTACTGTCCGGAACAAGGGAAGCATCACCATCAGTAAGGGTGTTGCTCGCTAGGTGCGTGCTGGGTGGGAGCTTGTCTTGAGACGTTGTATCGACTTGCAAGTGTCGGTAAGACCAATAGTCTGCATCTTGGCATTAAGCTAGACAGATTCCCCCATAACAGTCGCGGTGTTGTGGCTGTGGTGCGACCTGAGGATATCCCTCACGAGCCCCTGGAGAGCTCAGGGTGCATAGGATTTATATCAGAGCCTTCCACCCGATGTTCGGGCTCATGATGTTCTGCCTCTTAATTACCCACGCGCCGGTTCCTTGCATAGTACCCCCCTCTTTGTGACCGGCCACGCGCTCTGAATATGGAGAACATACCCCTCCTAATACTGTACCTAGCGGTACCAAGTCTTCTCATATCTGTATTCCGCCAATTGCTGTCATGGAGAAAGAACGGAGGGAGGTCTGGCAAGGTATTCCCTGGCCCTCAACAGTTCCCGGTCATCGGTCGAGTCCATGACCTCGATAGGTTTTCCATGTGGAAGAAGTTCAAAGAATGGGCAGACATACACGGGCCCATTTACCGCACCAGTATGTTAGGCCAGCAATTCATCATCATCTCCGATGAGAAGATTGCCGAAGAGCTCCTCGTAAAGCGAGGGAACAAATATTCTGGTCGGCCGCAGATCCGCGCTCTCTTCGACCATAAGACTGGCCCTGGCTATGTTGCATTGATGGACCGTCATGGTAAGCTGCGCATTATATGACATTTCCAGCCTGCATACTAACAAAAAATTTTGCAGACTATTGGAAAGAACAGAGAAAATGGGTCCATGCTGCCATGGCCGACTTTCATCGGCACCACTTCTATGGAGTGATCGAGTCTGAAGTACGGCGGTTCCTCGCAGTTCTCTTAATCGACCCGGCCAATTTCCACGCTTACACGAGAGAGCACTGCGGGCGTATCATGAGCCGCCTCGCCTGGGATGACGCTACCCAAGGTAAAGAAAACGGTGAGAGTGCTGACTGCACGCTGGGTTGCATGTCTGTCTCCGGTCCAATAGTAAACACGATGACCCCTCTTTGGCACATACCATGGGCCCTGAATCCGTGGAAGAAATTCGAGCGCAAAAGAGAAGACACGCAGAGAGCATGGTGGCTCAACTCTTTCCAGATCGCCAAACAGAGATACTTGCAAGGTAATCTGCCCGAGAATACGTGGTCCTACCGATACTTTGCCGGCCTTCAACAAGGCGGCAACGCCACCCTCCAACAAGACGCGAAAGATGAAGAGTTCGCGAGCTGCATGCTCGGATTCCAGAACCTAGTTGGAGTCGTCACTATTGCCGGTCCTATGGAGTTCTTCCTCATGGCGATGTCCCTGAATCCTGAGTGGCAGAAGAAAGCGCAAGAGGAGATCGACAGAGTGTGCGGGGATAGGCTGCCAACAACCGCGGACTTTCCTGATCTCCCAACGGTGCGGGCATGTCTGAAAGAAACGCTTCGGTGGCGATCTGGCGTTCCTCTCGGTGAGTGTATAGCCCCAAGTGTCTGTTGCCGCAACACTAACTAGTCCCCAGGCGTCCCCCATCAATGCGAAGTTGATGATGAGTTCCGTGGCGAATCAATAAAGAAGGGCACAATCATCCTAGCATGCGAATGGTAAATAGAAACTATTGTCAATGTCATTCGCCCATCTAGCAAGCTAACGAGGAGTGATACAGGGCAATAAACCGCGTGCCGGAGAAGTACCCAGACCCCGAGAATTTTCGCCCTGAGCGGTACCTCGAGAAAGGCTGGCCGACGTATCAGGAGCCACTATCGAGATATCCAAACATGCGCGAGGGAGTCGGCATGCACACTTTCGGCTGGGGTCGCCGGACGTGCCTAGGCCAGCACATCGTCGACGACGAGATGTTTGTCTCGGGTGCCGGCGTACTCTGGGGCTTCAATCTCGACAGGAAGAGGTGTCCTAAGACCGGAGAAGTCATCGAGTTCGACACAGAGGCTACTAATGCCCATGTCATTCTGGAGCCACTGCCCTTCCCCTGCGACATACGGCCACGTAGCCCCGAGCGCGCTGCTCAGATCCTCAAATACTATCAAGACGCCAGAGAAGACCTACGAGTGTAACCAACATTACAAATTGAGTTAGTGAGCGTTGAAGAATCAGTGATCTTTATATATATTAACAGAATTGCTCAATACCGATGAAGCAGGAAGATTGCATTTGTCATGCCGCTATGATGTACTCGCTCGTTCGGATAAGCAAGCGGCGCAAGAATGGAGCAGGATGCAAGTTTGATATGATAGAGATAGAATATGATTGCACCATAGCGGGGGCTGGTTATTATATTGGATGACCATACTGTACTGATAGGTCACCACACAATGTGACTCGACACAGTTTCACCCATCCATCTTTCTTTTCTTACAATATAGCTAAGGCATTCGGCGGCGATGCTATTCCTGAGACGACGTTGAGGTTCTGAATGGTCAAGAAGAAGTTCCATCGGTTGCGGCTGTGCATGGCCGGTACCAACTCTTCAAGGTATAGAAACTCGACAATACTCATGCCCCAGCCTCCAATGAACACCTGATGCAGATTACGCATGGCGCCGTCGATCTCGGCGATGAAAGAACTCTGCCAGTAACAAGTTAGTCTAAGGTAACAACGGCCTCATATACTTGTCCGTCTGCTCATCTGTCTGTTTACTTACTGACTCAACGGCGGGATTGTCGGCCCCTATCAATGATAGTTTCTTCTCCCATAGCCACCGCAAGGTTCGGTCACTAGCTTCCAAACCGATATAAGGCCACTGCAACCGCTGGAGTCAGTAATTGCTCTCGCAGGTAAAAGTTTCGGTAGTAATTAGAATAGGGAGAAAATGACTCCAGAGGTTACATACGTTTTGAACGCGGAGCAGTGCTCGCTCAGTGATGTTGAGCGTATTGTACTGTCTAACCCAACCAGTGCGGATGATGAGCATATCCCCAGGCTGCGACCAGTCCTCTGGCATATTCTGCCAGTCTGCAACCTCGTCCAATTGACCGGGGTTGATTTGGAAGTCAGTGAACGGGTCAAATGTTTGATTGGTCGCGTCCATCCAGCCCGCAAAGTCGAACAGTACCGCACGCACCGCGATTCCCTTCTCAGCAGACACCTGAAGCCCGAGGGCCTCGGTAGGCTTTGGTCCTATCACGTCTTCGTAGTCGGCGATGAGATCGTTATACCACTGATATGTGTAGACGCTGTTGTTCGTAGAATAGGGGTAATGGCGAAGGCCATCAAATTGAGTCGATATCTGGGTATTCATGACCAGAACATCGTCTGTGTAGCCATCTTGAGGCATATAAAGATGGCTCAGAGGTTTCCGAGCAGCATTGGACGGCGGATCGGGAACGTCAAGCCTTAAATTCAGCGGAAATGCTAGCCCGTCCTGAATGGTCTGGGAAGCAGCGAGGATGGTGTCATTGGTGATGTGGTTGAGAGCGCCGAGCTGATCATCAGCGCCCCATACGCCCCATGCTGCTTTGGTTGGGTACGAAGAATTCAAGGGCAGTTGGTCGTACGACGGCCAATCAGCGTATAAGTCAACGCTACGATCAAATATGCGCGAGACTCGTTCGTACGGCCCCATGCTGGGATACGCAGCTGCTGCCACGGCCAACGAAAGGACAGCCCCAGCGTTCTTCATCTTGGCCACGTCGAAATTCAGGATATTGTTGATGCTGTATGGATGAAAGATATATCACCTGAGATTCGTCGAAAGTGCCTACTTTATATAATACTATCATAGCTGAGCATGAGTAGCCAAATTAGATCCAAGCCAGACTCAAGCGAACTTGTTCACTCATCCGAACAGCCGCTGTAGTCGTTCGGTGACACATCTTGGTTAATTCCGAATCAGACTTTGGACGGGGATCGGATGTAGATACTCATTAGCTAGTTAATGACGCTCTATTGCCGAAGGAGGTCATCGGATCTAATGCGGGTCGCAAGAGGTTTTGTCTACTTAGCACGCATCTACCCGCGTTGGCGATAGGCGGTAATGAATAGCTCGTGGGCCAAGCTCCGGCCATAAGCCGCTGTGAGCAGAGCCGCAGACCTGTAGCGGAGAGCGATCCGAAGGGGATGCAAGTCGGCTGACAAAACAATTACACACTTATCCATACCAGAAGGGAAGTGTGCTAGCATCAGCAAGCATAACAGTAAGTTGGCCGTCAGCAGACCGAGTCACTCCCCCGGGTGTAAGTACAAGGTAGCTTGGTTATGCCTTCACAACTGGGCCGATGATTACCTACCCGCGTCTGTAACGTTTAGCATGCCAATCTTTCTGGAGAAATGCGTTGGCATCGTCCATAGACGACAATTTGCGAGTTGAATCAGTCAGTCTACCCCGGACTGCTCTGGGCACTTACTTAACAGAGCCTAGGCAAGTAAGTACGAAAGCTACATCGAGTGCCTAGTGCACTCTATACGGCGTATAGTACTAGTGAGCAAGAGCGTTGTCAGGGAGTAGGCATCTTCATGTAATTATACCGTACCTATGATCCCAGCATTAGTTAAAGCTACCTAGGCTAGGTACATACATGTGGGCTGACTTTGACGCATCTGTTGACTCATCCGTATGGTGGTGCTGGCTGTACTCCGGAGTAGCTCGTTATCATTAAAAGGAATATCCGGCATACGAGCCCAGGTACCGAACACACGAGCCACGGCCCAACGGAATAAGAGATGGTGGAGGAGAGGGAGTGGAGAGGTTTTACGCCTATACGAGCCGCTGCCGTTTCCTCGACCCGTTTGAGTTCTTCGAGATGAGGTGTTCTTGGTGGATATTACCCACGACAACATCTTCGTCGTCGACCATTTCTCGGTTCATGTGCGCGAGGAAGCTCTCCTGTTCCTCGAAGAACCGCTTTAGCTTCTTCGTAGCGACTCTTCTACCTGCCGCAGAAAGGTCACGAATCTCTCGAAGCTGCATACGGATTCTCTCTTCAAGAATCTGCAGCCGATATTCGGCAAATTGGTTGTACAGCTCATTAATGTTGGATATGGGTCGTACAGTGGTCAGCACGGTGCTATAAACCCCGACGTCAGTAATCGCCGAATGGGGTCTCGAAAACGTAGCTGTCTTCTCCGATACACTTGTAAAATGGGGCCGTATTTCGATATAGAAGCGGTAGTGAAAAACACGAAGCAGTCCCTAAAAAATCACTTACTCATCCTTTTTGAGGGGATCACGCGGCCTAAACGAGGTCACCATTGTGATTCGCTCCGTTGTTCCAAGAGTCCGAAGAGCTTCGTGCTCAATGTATCGGCCTTGCAGCACGACAGCGCAGCCCTGTAGAGGAAGTCTTAGCTTGATGGGAAATACAGCGTCAGAGCATGTGACTTGCCATTTGCGGTCCTCTCACTTTCATGATATCGCCGTTGCCGGTGCGCAACGCTGTTTCACCCCCAATCACTGCGACCGCTGGAGTCAGTAACTACTCGTTCGGGTAAATTTCCGGGAGTTCTGTGCACTTCCCGAGACACGCTTGTGTCCCGGATAGGTAACTATTGCCTCCGGGAGTAACTAGAACAGAAAGAAAATGACTCCAGTGGTTATACATACTATCCGTGCAGTCACTAAGCATCGTCACGCAGACGAACGGATAACTGTCTGTGTGCCAGCCGACAATGGGCTTGTCGTCCTCCCAAGGACAGCCAGCGATACCCTCGTCGGCTTCGTAATTTGCCCTTTCGGCTACAGCCTCCAGTTCTTCCCTCTTCTCCTCTTCCGTTTTCACCGAGATGTTGATGTGTGCTATCTCCAGGTCCATCTCTGGGATCAGATCGATCCCGGCGATCTTTGACACGATTGCCAGGGTTTCTGGGTTCTTCCACACATCATATACAAAGGGGGCGTATCTATACTCTCAGGTAATGAGAATAGGGTTTAACCTCAACGCAGATACACTTACTTATTCGCAAAACCTCTCAGATAACAATGAGCAAGGTTACTGGAATATTGGCAGTTCTCGAATACCTCAGGAGAAAGGACTTCTCGCCTCATCTGCATAACAGCTTCCTCTGTAAAAAGCCGGAACGGCTCTGAGACAGCAATAGGCGAGACGCCCGTAGTTTCCGAGAACCCCAGCTCCTTCATCGTGTGCACCTTTGGCATTTCCTTAAACGCCAAGTGCCTAGCGGGTGTAAAGACATCGTGGTTGATATCTAAGACATGAGCCTGAGAGATTATTGGAGTGAAGTTTGGTTTTGTTTGCGCCGCCACGGGCTGGGACAGGTCTACTCTTGTCGCCATTGGGGTGATGACGATACCTAATAACTAGGATCAGCAAGCGTCTATAGATGGTCGTGATAGCTGCTGAATTAGATCGTTGAGATAATAACACCTGATGTAGAGTGTACTTGCCGCTCGATAATAGCGGCCGTTGGTCACAACTCGTTGAGCGGCCACGGATATCTATCAAGTCTTAAATATGTATGAGTGGTGCGCTAGAGCTAGGCCTTATCTCCGCCGGCCCTTTCACATTGAAGTGTGGAATAGTGTTGTATCACCACAAGTGTCTCGGCAGAATTTCCCGGTTCCTTCTCAAGATCCCTATCGCGTGGTTTGGAAATGATCCCAGTGTAATGATTGTCGACCCATTGGGGAGCATATGGTAAAGCAGCAATGAGTCTAACAGCAAATCGGCTACACAGCGCACCCAACCTAGTCTCGTTACTTAATCTGCATCTTTATCTATACCTTCACCTCTTCCCGTCCCGAGTGCGTATCGGGGCGGGGCGGCGGAGAGGTGTGGAGGAACGGCATTACAGCGTTCTCAGCCTAGGTAAAGCAGCACTGCCTGATATCTAGTAGTGACATTCGAGATTTTCCGCCGCCAGCGACGCGAGCTCCGCATGGTCTTGCGTCTTCGAAAGCACAGGGCGAAAAACGAATGCTAATTATCCTGTAGGTTAAAGAGGCGGTAGGTATAATGTCGATGCATCATCCCTGCCTCTGAACCGAGGCGAAGGGGCGGATTGGGACTCAATCGCGTACCGGTGACTACCTGCCAACGGCACAATCAGACACAAGGTCTTGGAGAGGCTATACATACCTTGCTGGGTATGGGAAAGTATTGATTCCGGAGTTCCTGGATGTATCATGGCTCGAAGCATACCCTGTTGCGGGACCGTCCGTCATCAGTTTTGTCATACCCCAGAATCCCATTGCCCCAAATAGCTAGCTATCTTGACATACCAATGGTGCCGAGGTAGCAGGAAACGCCAGGTATGCCTATTGGTTCACGTTTTGCGCTCCGCTATCTAACGTGTCGTTGATGTAAGTACCTAGATTAACTAGGTATGTGGTCGTTTATCTCCGTTATCGGAAGCGAAACCCAGAAATCATGCTTCCTGGGGAGCTATGAGTTGGGCAATGTGATTATAGATATTGAGGTTGTTGTGTGGAAAAATTAGCCCACTAAAAGGAATGCACCGTGAGGGGTATATGGCCACTCTCTCGTGCCTCAGGACATCACCAAGAGTAACATTCGCGGAGCCAACCCGGCTGGAGCTTAAAAGCCCACGATTATTATACATCCACGTATGAATACCACTAACCGGTTGATTCCCATATGCTGGGATGCCAAGTGATGTTATAATTTTTTATTCTCTGTTAAGGTTGGTAGCGTGGCAGACGTGTGCCTACTTAAATAGGATATGGTGATGATAATCAGATTGAGAGGATCTATGCTGTAACAACATGGTCGGAAAGCCTTGATTGGGCGCTTCTAGTCCCCGTACAGCAGGCTAAGAATATAAAGGCGGACGCCCACAGCACACTCTTCCTATAGGAGGCAACCAGGCACTAGGCAGGGTAAGCAAGCCGGATTGTAAATGTCACATATATCCCTTCTTAGTGCAAGGACGCCAACTTCACGGAAGATAAGGACAAGATCCACTACCTACTTATGCGACTCTTTCTCTCCTAGATCAACCAGAAAAGTAAGGTCACTGGTAGCGCCGTGCTGCTTGATGCTTAGGCTGCACTGCTATACGGAACTTGACCCTTGTCTATATCTTATACGAGAACTCCCGGAAGGATTTTGCGTGAATACTGACCTTATTGTGACAGATTAAACCCAGTAACATGGGGGGCAAGGGAGTGTACTGCGTTACATACAGAATGGGATCTCCGCTACCGGCTGGAGTATCCCGTCTTAGTTTGGTTTGGCTGAGTGAAGATGGCATGACTGGGGATTTACTTTCTTTCTAGTATAACTAGCTTGATTTGAGAAATGGGAAATACCCGAAGATGGTTACAACACAACGTTAACTAGAGAAAGTTGGCCCAACTGTCCTTGTCAGTTGTTAGAAAACAGTGCAGAATTTACTAGTCACAGATACAAGGGAACCTCGCACAAGGGCATGAATACCTTCAGGTCAAACTGTATTTCATTGAAAGGGTCCTAGTATTACACGCAGAGCAATTCCCACTTGCAAAGATATCCCTCTGGCCAACCTGCCGAACAACTTCTCCTGTTTTTGTTGCAAAACATTGGATCATGATATAGCTATTATGACAGCACTAATAGGAGAATGAGAGGTCTCTTTGAGCTTCCGCAGCTCTTGTGTGATCATATCAAAGTATCTTTGGTGATTTCCACCTTTTGCTTTTTCTTCTCCTTATTTTGTTGCATGCAAAAGCACAGTCATTACACTTGACTGTACCTGCTGAATCGAGCTGCGAACGATAAGCCGCCAGCATCCATGATGGTCACGCCTGCTTCCATCCCATATCGTTTTCAATCTTATTGTTTTCTAGCTTTTCTCCTTACTTCTTTCGGCAAGTTAAGTTCTGCACATTAGCAGGGTTCGAAGAGGCTCCAGTGACAATAGTGACACCTGCACTGTCAACGGTTTCTTTGATCTTGCCATCGATGTGGTCGATCCACCATTTCTGCATGTCGGTTCCGTTGCCCTTAAGTCGATCATACTCCTTGGGGCTGATCCAAACTGTATACATCTTAAGGGTTAACATTTTCACTGATTGAGAATTCCGGGGAATATAAAGATTTTCGGAGTAGGAAGGTGAAGTATTTATGGGCCAAAAGAATGACTCACGTTCTTTGAGAACATCTTCAAGTTCACCGGCAATCCGAACATTAAAATTTGGGGCACCACACACCCAAAGGCGATATTTGTCCTTGCGGCACTCGTCCTTAATTAGCAGGAAGATTTTGTGGCGCATCATTGCTCTGATCTCGAACTCTGTTCTGCCAAATTCATGTTGATCAGCTTTCAGCTTTTTTCCTAGGTCCCGCAAGCTATGCAATTCCTTGACTACAGCTTCCATTAGGGTCATTCGGAAATCCTGTTGGTGTGCCTCCAAAACGCTCTGTTGGACTGTTGGAGATATTTTGCTGCCCGAGGGCTTCAGGGCCTTGGGCTCATCCATTCCAGCGGCTCGTAACTCTGTCCAGGCAGTCCACGGAGCCAGAGTTTCTCTCCAGCCGAACTGGGCGGCGCTGAGATCAAGGACATATTGTTCGTCTGACATCAGCGTGAGCTTGAGGACAGTGTGTCTATAGAGACAAACGTTGAGGGCTCTTCCCGCTGTCATCTGGCAGATTGGAGTAATAACGTTTCTCGGTTGGACGTGGACCAGTTCAACATTTTTACAGACCGCTGTTTTAAATGGAGGTATTAGCTGAGGGACTAACGTTCATTTCACAATTGAACAAGGACTTACGCTTAAAGATGGTTTTGATGAGGAAGAACAAGGAGAGCGTGACCTCTTCAGACTGTGCCCAATAAAGCACTTCAATATCCAGAGTTAGTACCGTTCATGCAGGTCAAGAGTTACAAGAATAGGATATATAAGGTCTCCCACCACTTCGGTTAGGGCAAAGAAAGGGGCAGATGATTTTGCAAACTCACGAGCAAGGCGCATCTCCTTATTATCAGCTACACCTTTAGGGAATGGGACGAAAAGACGTCGACCGGTAATGCCAACTCGGTCCCAATTGTTATCGAGAAGATATACCATGCCGTCCTTCTTGTACACTTTACCAAGCGCATAAATATACGTTGCCTCCTGCATCGCTCTAAACATATTGTCCATCAACGATGCAGCACGTAGGACCATTCTGCGGCAGTCACAGGTTTTCTTGTGAGCTTTGTAATCGTTTTCAAGACACATCTTGTTGCAGTAGGCCGTCTTCTCCAGGATGTGTCCATCGTCACTGAGGGAGCAATCGGAACATCTCATATTTGCGTCTGGTCTGCCACAGGCGGCACAGGCTCTGGGACTCACTCTTGCAGCGATTCGAGCATTTGAAGCAGGACCAGCGGGCTTTCTCTTCTCAAATGGGTATGTCTCGGTCTTCATGCCATAAGCAAACCATCTGTGGTATCTAAGTTGGCGTGCCTTGAAGCTCTTATCCTTACGTGGGATGGGCTTCTGGGCTGCCAAGTGGGCGAGCTGTTGGCGGAAGTAAGTGACGGTGGAAACGCCCTTGATAAAAGCCTTCTGAGCATGGTTAAGAAGATATTGATAGTCTGAGTCCTTCGACGGCGGACCGTTGATGAACTCTTCCAATGCTGCAGTGAGTTTGTTTCCAGCGTTCACACTATCAGTCACGGAACTGCCCTCTGGGTCTGCGAGCGAGGAGAACAGCTTCTCGACCGGATCCATTTCTAGCTTTTCTTCCATTGCGTAGTTATGTTTGCGTAGGTTTCTTTTACCTTCAGGTGCGTACGTGACGTATTCTCATGCTATAGTGAGCGTCCTGTATAGAAACACAATGTGATTAGGACAAAGGTGGTAGACATACCGAAAATTTGGGGTGATACTGGGACAAAACCGCCTGTAGTGAAGTCGATCAGCTTTCAGTCACTACCTAATATCGAATAGACAAATGTCTCACCACGGTGCTGTTATTTGATAGGGTTAGACCTTGGATTGTACACAGCAGGCGAAACGCAGTGTCTTTCAACACTTTGTAGAAAGACAGAGAGTGTGAAGACTGGGTTATCCGATGTTAGAAAATAGACAGGGAAGTGCGGGGGTTGGGTAGTTGGATAGTAGAAGAGAAGTGTTTGACTTAAACAGAGAAGGAGCGACGGCGGGTAGATTAACGACCAGCCCGGCACAACGCGTTCTTACGCGTTCTGTCCACCAGATTTTGGGGGCTTGCATTCAAGTACCGGTACATGGCAAATCCATTGGTTACATGGCATTGACGCAAAAGGGTCTGCAATTCAATGGTAGTTATTGTGGCAAGCCGTGTACTCGCAACCGGAGTCATGCTATGCCATTCATTACCTTCCCCATTGACACTGTTTGCTTCACAATACCTATGTATTTCGAATATGCGTGCGCTACACCTCAAGTCAATGGCCGTGAATAGGAGAGGAGGTAGGGACGGACATTGAGAATATTTTTGAAATGTTTCGAGCAGTCCCCATGCTTGGTCCTAGTTGGGAATGGCATCAAGATTCCCAAGATTATCCACCCCTTGAACAGTCAAATTTTGCTTCCAACTGGGTCAAAGTAGTCAGATTTACGTATGAATAACTGTTTGATTAAGGGATATATATTCTTCACCTGATGAATCTCCTAGAAGCGTGCTGTAGTTTCTTATCTGATATTTAGTTACCGGGCTCTACCTCAACATCCAGCAGGTAAGGATAACTAGCATATAATTAAGTTAAAACACGATACTTGAACTAGACAAAACAATAATGAGGAACAGGTGTGATAGCAAATATATCTACCGAGTCTCTACTTAAATTTCTCATTATTGCATGCACCCTAAATGAGGTTTAAGTTGAGGAGATGCACTAGCAGTGCTGTACATACCATTAGGCCCGGATCTCTTGCTCTTGCGAAGAGAGGCCTTTTTTCTTCCCTACTCACGAAGAAATTAGGATGAAACGAACAGCCGTGTACAATCTTCCATTTTAGCACTTACAGTCTTACATTCCTAGCCTACACCTCAACTGAGATGGCACCTGCTTGAGAACAAAGACATTGACCTGGCACGCATCAGAAACGGACGTAATAGGATACGAACGACTGGCAAATCTGCTGTTCCGCTGCTGTTGTGGCATCTGAAGTTAAAAGGCCTTGCCAGATTTAGATACCCTAGGCAGCCGCACGTATCGAAGTTCGCAATATTAAGACCTATAATTGGCCCGGATGATCGGATGGTCCCATACAAGATTACCTCATACCTCAATGTGCCCGTTCCGTTTCCTTACCAGATCAAGCTCGCTTCGGCTCATTATGAAATGACTCTACCTGCTGCACCCTCACCCTCCTTGACGCCGAGTGGCTTGTATGGCTTTCCCTTTTACCCATCTTTCCTGATGCAGACAAGGGTACACTAGTGATTGCCAAGTAGTTGAGCCTACTAAGATGTCGACTCCATACAAAGAGTCCCAACCCATCCCTAGCTATGTGGGTATCAACCCTGCAACGCAACGGCCTCGGCCGCCGCCAAATCGACGTCGCGATAAGCCACAGTTGAGTTGTAATCTGTGTCGTCGTCGGAAGTATGTCTGTCTCGGAGTAGATGATGATTAACTGGCGCGCCGATGACTGACTGGCCCTCTTGATAGATTGAAATGTGATCGCAATCACCCCTGTTCAACTTGTGAGGTATGCAGCAGACTTACGAAATCCTCTTATGGCATTAACAGAAATAGAAACGTGGAATTGGGTCATCTTGCACCTATGTTGCCAACAACGCCCCATCAACACCCCAGGCTGGTGTTCAAGATAGATTGAGACACCTGGAGCATCTTGTGGTCTCCTACATGAACCAGAATGAAGGGGCAGATCCTTTTGCAATGGCGGGGCCTTCTCCTAGCATTCAGGAGCCTGACAACTCCCCTGCTCCAACTGATGTTGGTAGCTTGAAAACAAATAGCGTGGAAACCAAATACCAGGATCAAACGCATTGGAACTCTATTTTGGACGCTATCACTGAACTCAAGGAGGACTTGGGCGAGTCGGATGACCCTAAACCCATCTCAGTTACACCCGACTTTATATCAACTAACTCTCTGGACTCTCCCTTGCTGTATGGCTGTAGGCGTTGCGGCAAAGATGAGATTCTGGCGGCCGTGCCACCAAAAGACCTGGCCGACTGCCTTGTTTCTGAGTGCTTTGAATTGCTTGAGCTTTCCTCGTGTCAGTCTAACCCTATAGCCATCCAGGATCACAGGTACTAATTTCTTCAAAAGGTGCCATAAACAAGAGGGAGTTTCTCAAACAGGTAATTCAATCAAGCTTCGTACATTCGTAAACAATGAAACTACGCTAATAGTACTATAGTATGCCTCATTCTGGGAACGTCCCCAGGACGCGCCGGTTATGTGGCTTGGTTTACTGTTCAGCATTCTTTCCATTGCTATTAACCTTCGAGAATTCGATTCTGAATTAATACGGTCTACCTCGCACATAGACTACGTCTCGCTCAGTACCAGCTATCGTGAGAAAACTGTACAGTGTTTGGTACTAGGACACTACACGAGGTGCGGTCCCTATGTAATAGAGACTCTACTCCATCATTTTGCAGCAGAGTTCATGCGAAGGCGCGATGTCAATAATGAAGCATGGCTTATCTTAAGCACAACGGTGCATCTCGCCAGTACGTCATATCGCCTCCCACTTTTTATAACATAAGGATACAAAATTGAACCCCGTTCCCTTCCACCTGCAACTACCAGACTAACTCGTAGTTTAGTGCGTATGGGATATCATAGAGACCCCATGCATTTCAAATCTCTCTCGCCATTTGGTACGATTCCTAATGCCCACACTCGGTCCAGCACTGACGTAGGTAGAGGGTGAATCTAGGCGTCGTCTTTGGGCAATGCTTTTTCATTTGGGGTCCGTATATCAACCTTATGCGCTCAGATACCCTGTAGCTCCTTGATGCGAGACAACATCACTGACAACAGTACAGTAAGATGCCATGTGTATGCAGCTAGTCGATTGGCGGCCGAAGCATTGACCTTGACCACTTCAATTTGAGCTAACGGGGGTTGTGGCTGGATAACAGATATTGCGACGGCTGGGCAACTAGGATTGCCACGCCTGATCAACGATGCATTTGTTGACACGGCCGAACCTCGGAACCTCTTCGACAGTGACTTTGACGTCAATACGACTGAACTACCGCCTTCACGTCCTGACAGCGACCCCACCCCTATGTTGATGATCTTGGCAAAGCTGAGAATGGGACGCATGTAGTATGATATCCTTGGTACCATCCTCCTAATCCATCGCTCGTGGAGATTATAGTTTCCTCCTGGGACAACAAGATTATACAGCTTCTTAATGCCGCCCCTAATTTGCATCATAGAGTACCTGCTGATGCCAGCGAAACAATAGTACTGCCGTTACCGAGGTCGTCACGAGCACGCACCCGCCCACTTACGCTCATGTTCTACAAGTTGACCGACAACTTGAAGAAATTTATACAAATATCCCAGAGTATTGTAGGATAAAAGTCGAACCAGATTCCATCCGAGACCCGCCTCAAGTACTCCTCCAGCGCGTATTCATGCAGATGACTCATTACAAGGCTCAATTGATTCTCCATTGGCGCTATTTAGCTCTAGCTCACAAGGATGACCGATATTCATACTCGACCAAAACAACCGTATCAGCAGCGCTCAAGATCCTGAAACTGCACCGGTCTATCTACGAAGGACTTAAAACTGGTGGGCGCCTCTACTCAGTCAGATGGCGCGTGACTTGTTTCTTCAACCATGATTATCTCCTAGCTATGAGCATCTTATGCTTTTACCTAAAGCAGAATGTCGACAAGATCAGCGTTTCTGAACTCAGCGAGGTTCAGCAAACCCTGCGGCAATCGAAAGCCATACTACTAGGCCCTCGAACACCAATGTCGGCCGAATTAGAACGAGCCGCTGCGGCCATCGAATCAGCCCTGTCTGGTATTCTTGGCCCCGAGTCGGATGAAAGCTCATGTGGAAGTCAGGTATTAACTCCTGCAGAAAGCACTGAGCCGAATGAGTCTTCTAACTCCCAGGGTGTGTTTTCCTATAATTTAGTCGAATCCATATTGCACTCCGCTCAGCAGATTGCTAATATAGCAGGTCACTTAGATCCTTTCGTTGGCTCAGTGCTGCCATTTTTCGACCCAATGTTTGAAGGGGCACCTATGCTACAAGGAGCGTTGTTTCCTTCACATATAAATGATATGGGAGCGTTTGTCAACTCGGTCCTGGCCGGTTCGATCGATCCTTGGGTTGAGGTAAATAAATGCCGGCAGACACCAAGAACGTATGATTCCTGTTGGCTGACTGTCCGTCGAAGGCTCCTAACTTTGAATCATTCTTCTAATGCCTTCCCAATCTTAAAGATAATGTACGGTGTTCTTATTCGCGTCATTGCAGGGTGAGTACGGATGGGGGTATATCTGTCGCACTTTGTCAAAACGACGCCATAAGAGCTAGACGTACAAATCTAACAGCAGTATATACATTATCCACCTGAGTGCGATAATATCCATCTTCTTATTGCTGGCATCACTTTGAGACACAGCAAATTACCTCTCTTACAACTTAGAAGCTCATCGCCCTGCACCAACTCGATTTATGCTACCTTACACTAGTAGAACTCTCTGGGCAGCGGCATGAAGGCTTCTGATGCGACAATGACAGCTTTGATTGTTTAATTAGCTGGGAAATACTAACCACGGTCTCATTGTATGGTACTAACGGTGTGCCATTCATTGACTGAGATGATCAGGAGATATGGTTAAAAGAGATATTCAAGGACAACTACAGACAGTATCAAGATATTACCACATAGAAATGTTACAAGTAAATAGGTAATGCATAGAAGGAACCTTTTGAAGGCGGAACAAGGAGCAGGCCAATAGGCGCCATATAAGCATCTATTTAACACCACTGTATGAAATGTGAAGTTTCATGAATTTCGAGCCACCACTCCCAATCTCATGACACATGGATTTGAAGTCCATCTTTCTCTTTGTCTCATTGTGCACTTTTGGGCCCTAACTTGATGTGTAACTGAGATGATTGGACATGATGGGGAACCCAGTTAGTCCTAGCAATAGCTCTATAATGTCCATGATTCAGAGTTTAAAGTTACGGGTCAGCCGGCACATTTTAAGTTTCATCTATCGGCACAGACATACTTACTGATGAGTTACCTAGTTCTAATTGTTATCCGCACTTCACCTTGCGATGTGACGACTTGGAAATGAACTGCTAATGATTAGTGATGACCTATAGTAGGCTGAGACGACCCTTAGCATCACCATAATCCGGTGCTGACCGCGACGCCATCGCGAGCATTGGCTTTTACCTGGCCAATTCCAAAGGCCACTTACATATGGCACGGCGATACGCGACTAAGACTATGTCCGAATGCTATTCATAGTATGCCGATCGATGTGCTTCTCACCAAGGGAGTAGACGCCAATTTCAATATGGGATTGGTGGTGTAAAGAGATCTGAGGCTGACGGGGCTTCTCGACTCTTTCCCCTCTTCATTCTCGGTGCTATCACGCTGTCCTTACCTACCTCAGTGATGGATTCCAACCCATTGTTATACCAAAATCTGCACTCGTACATAAATGGTAGATATTTATCGGGACATCATTCATGTGAAGCACAAGGTTTGGTGAGGGGAGTACCTATGTATATACCTAAGTAGTTACGCACTTAGAAATGCGGGGTTTCTGTGGCTAGGAAAATGGGGCTTACGCAGCTCTCTCGTCTCTGATCAAGGGTCTGATAGGGCTCATAGTGGGAGATTGAGGGGAGATTACCCTAAAAGGGGATAGCGTGGTTGGCATTGTTTACTTGCAACGACAAGCCAGCCAGCCAGTCAGTCATTTAAGTCAAGTCTGCAGCCATGCGCCCGACGCGACCAACTTCGACCTGCACCAGCATTATCGTAACATAAGTTAATTCGCCTCATCCAAACATGCCTCGTGTCGCCCAGGTGCCTCGCGCGAGTGCCGGCACTCGAATAGCTTCCGGCTCGTCTGGTTCTCCCTTCAAATCGCCTCTCAAGTAAGTCGCATCTTGTATTTACATGTGTTCCCTGGCCACCGACCCAGCAACCCCTGCCAAATATGCAGCCGAAGCAAATTCTGACTGCTACCGCAATTTAGGATCCCGCTCAACGACGACGCTCAAGAGAAGAAAGGCCGTTTTCACTCTCGAAAGGCCCGCCACGAAAAACAGATCAACGAGCTACAGCAGGCAGCCACCACGCCTGCGAAGAAAGCTGGTTTCAGACTGGCCGACCTGGATAGTGCGTCTCCCCGCTCGAACCCGCGGACACCGCGACGTGGCGGGGAGGACTACGATGACGACGACGATGACGATGTCGTCGTGGTCGGCAGCGGCGTGACGCCTATGAAGCGCGTGCCCATCTTGGCCAACTTCGAGGAGTGGATGAAAATGGCCACCGACAACAAGATTAACGCCACCAACTCGTGGAATTTTGCGCTTATCGATTATTTCCACGACATGTCCTTACTGAAGGATGGGGATGGGGTCAACTTTCAACGGGCCAGTTGCACGCTCGATGGCTGCGTCAAGATCTATACCAGTAGAGTCGACAGTGTCGCTACAGAGACGGGCAAGCTGTTGAGCGGCTTGGCAGACAGTAATTCGAAAAAGAAAAGCAAAGACGATGAAGGAGATGGAGAAGAAAGCGAGGAGGAGGTCGACGAAGATGGCAATATCGTACGAAAAAAAACCAAAAAAAGAGTACGTTCAATTTTTACCTGGACTCACAGGTAACCTTGTTAACAGCAAGATAGCAACGGTCATCAGAAGCGACCCTGGCGCCATCATTTGCTTCTTTACAGCTCAAGAAGTTCGACATGGAATTTGCAGTGGACCCCTTGTTCAAGAAAGCGTCTGCAGACTTCGATGAAGGTGGAGCCAAAGGTCTCCTATTGAATCACCTCATGATCGACGGCCAAGGGCGCATTGTCTTTGATAGCAGTGATGACTCAAATGACAAGTCAGCAGACGGCATCAAGCCTCGGCGGAGGGAAGATGTAACCGCTGAAGAGGAGGATGAATTGGAAGAAGAAGAAGGAGATACGATCACGGGTCAGCCAGCTACGATCGAAGAGGACGAAGATGTCGAGATTGACATTAGCGCCCTTGGGCTCAAATTTTTCCCTGACTTAAGCCAGTTAGATGAGCAAGATATCTGCCCGTCGTTGAAAACCTTCGATCTCGGGGATCCTTCCGGATCACTAGATATCCCGTTCCTGCGGGCTCCAGAAGGTGACGAGGGGAACGATGACGAAGATACCCTTGAAGGAGCCGGTAATAAATCTGGTATGTTCATTGACGAAGATAATCCAATGGGATTTGACGACATGACCGCTATTGGTGGATTCGATGTCGCTGAGGTTGCTTTCGGCGAAGGCGGCGAGGCTTGGGCACGAGAAGCTGCTTTAGAGCCCCAAACGCGCCCGTATGATATCGGACTTGATGATGGAATGGCCGGGGGCGAAGGCATGGAGGGGTTGGACGATGAGAATGCCGATTACATCGTATCCATGAAGCACAATAAGCACAGTGACAAAGCCCATGAGGATATTCTTGGCTATTTCGACCAGGCTCTTCAAAAGAATTGGGCTGGGCCAGAGCACTGGCGGATACGGAAGATCAAAGATGCCAACAAACCAGAAACGACCACTCGACAACGCAAAGAAAAGGAACCGTTTGAAATTGACTTTACGGCGATGCTTGATGGCAAATTAGCCGAGACAATATTCACACAAGCATCCAGTAACTCGGCCATTTCCCTACCCAAGAAAGACTGGAAGTCCAAGACTCGCAATCTGCTGCCTGATGACAAGCATTTCAACTCGAAGCAACTTCTTAGCCTCTTTCTTAAGCCTAAAGCTCGACTGAGCAGTAAACGCAACCGCTTCAATAGCAGAATAGGCACTTCTGGCCATGCAGCTCAATCGGGCAATGTGCACGCAGCCGACATGGATGAAGCCTTTTGGGCTCAGAAAGAGCCGCTTCAAAGTCGGGAGGAGGACACGGTTCTGCCGCAGGGCGACTACGACGCCAACTTCTTTGACGACGAAATGCCACTCCCTGGCGGTGGTTTGTTGGATGATGATAACGACGAGTTCGCCGATGCTAGAGACCACTTCTCCCCTAGTGCGGAGGCCCCCCCTACAGAAGCGCTCGGTATCACGACAATGCTTGGTGGTATGACAACGGGTGGCTTCGGTACGCAGCTAGTTACGTCTACGCGCAGGTTAAGACCAGAATACGTGCAATATGCTCGCGTGGCCAAGAAAGTGGATGTCAGGAGACTCAAAGAAGAGCTTTGGAAGGGCCTAGGATACTCTGAGACCCAAGATGTAAGTTGTATATCCGTCAGCTCTCACAGTGGAGTCGCTCTATCATTTTTGTCGTTTTACTAAAACCTTTTTAAATAGGATCCCAACCGGTCCAGGCTGCCAACCCCTCCAACAGAAGAGGATGTCCAGCCGAAACCAAAAGAGGACGCTCCACTCAAGTTCACCGAGGTTATGAACGATCTCAAGTCTGTTTATCCCAAGGCTGTTATGGATGACATCTCAACGAGCTTCTGCTTCATCTGCTTGTTGCATCTAGCCAACGAAAAAGGTCTCTCCATAGAAAAGACGCCGGATCTTCTCGAACTCGAGATTCGGAAAGACTGGAATGCAGAGATTACCGAGGCTGTATGATATACCAACCTCACAATACAGTATGTAGTTACGTGTTACATGAGTGTTTTTGAACTTGTCCAGAGAGCAGATTATCTGGCTACGAGCCGATGGCTTCAATGCAGCTGGCACAGCAATGTTGTTTTCTGGGTACGAGATATGGTTTGTTACGATGATCAGGGAGGTTTGGCAGGAGAGCGGTATTGTGCCACAAGTGAACACGGATGGGGGCAAGAGTTTCCACACGATACATAGAGAAATACCAAGCCCACGAAGCGATTTGTTTCAATGCCGAGGCCAACATTTGGCTGCACATGGGCCTCTGCACTGTGAGAAACCGTTAGTAAACGAGCCCACCACCGGACAAGCACCTCTATTGGATCCCAGACTCCCACTTGTTCAGGCCACTTACTCAGGACTGAGGCTTGGACAACAACAAATTCGGATCGTCGATGACCTGCCTAGGTTACGTCATATCTGGCGGTCCGGCTGTGTGAAAAGTTGGCTACATGGCACTTGTGGTTTACCGAATCCTTACTTATGTGACATGAATGGGACTAACATGGCTCGCATTGTAAGTGGCGGCCTAGACGATATCCAGTAGACACCCGACACCTCGACACCGTATCCCAATCAAAAGGAGTGTCAGTGTAATGATACAGGACGTTGAAATCTCGATGCAGAACGGATGTATCTGTACCTGAATCAATTCATATACCTACAATTAGGGGAGAAAAGCCTTAGCAGTCGTAGATTGAAGGATGGATAATTCGCCTCTCTGTCTACAGTTGATATCTAGATATCTACTTGAAAATGTACATGTATTCTATCTATCCATTCAGTTAGGTCCATGACGGTATGCTCGTCCTAGTCCCGATGACATGTATATACATACCTGATATGTAAGTAAGTCCACACCAGCCTTCTTTCCTGCGTGCGAAGGCGATTTCTCGCATCTCGATGCAATCAATCTAGGTACAGCCGAGTACCTAGTTTCGACACATGTCGATCGATGATGTGCACCTCGCCTATGGCACATACATTGACCGACCCAACACAACGCTCGCCCCGTTGCTATTATTACACCGGACACTACAGGTTCTGTACATACATACAGTACATACCTTCTCTACTTACTTATGTCACGCCATCAAATCCCATGGATGCACAAACCGCGCAACTATTAACTCGTGCTGCGCGCCCCCCCCTCTGCGTACTACCTATCGCTACCCTATCCCAGATATGCATAAGTCAGCCAGTACGTTGCGGGCCGCAATGATTACCTACCTAGGTACATGTACTGACAAACGTACATCCTCTTAAAGGTATGTATGTACATGGTATCCCACAAGCTCATGGTAAGTTGAACCGACACGTGTAGAAGTAGGTAGTCGGCCCTGACTAATAGTAGTCAAATATCTATGCGCCCCCAAGCCTGTCCCGCATATCCGCACCTACATACCATACATACATACATACATACATAGGTACTTACCTACATAGAACTAGGTTAGGTAGGTAGTATGCATACACGCCTTCCCTCCTTTCCATTCAATTTTTTCGGCGGGCCCCGAAATCAAATGCTGCCACTGCATTGGCATCCGCTGATTCTCTCTCTCTCCACCCTCCCCCCTTTCGCGATCTCGATAGGAACCAGTGTCACGTAAGTAGATGCTTGGAACGGTGGGTGCATCAGATGACGACCCGATGTTGCAGGCGAAGCAGTCATAGGAGGAATTGGGTGCCGTCTATGCTACCAGTTCTGAACTAAGCACATCGGTAAAAGTAAGCTCGATATAGGTAGGGCGTTTGATAGGTAGGGATTTGGGAACAAAAACGGGAGGTGAATTGAATCCAATGCTACCTCGTGGCACTTTACCCTACCCTACGTACTGCGACTATCAATTACATACCTCGCTGGGTGTTGACATGTCTTCTGGAATCTCCCTCGTATCACGCACGTTCAACAGACGGGCCGTGAGTGAATTTAGGATTTTCATTTATTATTTTTGCTAGATATGATTTGTATCAGCGGCTTCGACCGACAATGGCCACGCCGCGGCACTTAGTATACTATCTAGCCATGTCCATTTGCTCGTACAAATTGTCCGACGCAGCCTATACCTGAATCTATTGATGTTCTACCTAGGCTGGTACCGAGGGTATCTCCAATCAAAAACTCTTAAACCCAGTAGCCTTTCCCAGTAAATGAATAATAGATAAACAAATAAACATGATATGCAACTCATCCGTCATTACTCGTAAAAAGGTGAGCCATCGGACGCCCAAATAGGAGGGAGAAGCATCAGACTGAGCCTGAAGTTGTAACTATCATCGACACATTCAAAGTGTCGAGAGGCATGCAGGCGCCAATACCAAGAGTATGGTGGTAGCGCACGACTGACCGACTGTAATGGCTCGCGCAATCCCGAACAAGGAATCATGGGCGCCTGTCAACAATTTCTCGGGCCCTTAGGAGCGCGGAGATACCATCAAGCCCAGCATCACCGTTGCCTGACTGCCTTGTCATAGTTGCCAAGCCCGCATCTTGAGGTAGATTCACCGCAGCCTCGTGCAATATCTCACCTAGCGGGCCAGGGGGCCCAGAGGGTCGATTGGTACGATGCCCTGAAATAGGCCCTGGCATACCACTAGTGTAGTGTGGTGCATGATGGAAACCGCCTGCTATACGGCTAGGTTGCGTGTGTTGCTTTTGCGTCCGCTGCAAGGGTAGTGATGCCTGAGGTGTCATGTGCCCATTCAGGGGATGCGAGGGACCTGATTGGACATATGAGGGAGCCGGCGATTCTGGCTTCGTCGATAAAAGCGCGTGAATAGGCAAAGAGGCATCGCTAGGTGTTCTTGGCGGATAAGGGGAGGTCGATGAATTGCTCCCATGTGAGGATTGCTCGTGTTTTAATGAAGGAGGCTGTGAGTTGGTTGTGGACCCAGAAGACCTGGAACTTCTCGACGGCCTATTGGCATGGAAGGATTGTGTGGGATAAATACTGGGAACGCCAACTTCGGGTGACTGAGAAATCATTGGTGACGCGGTTCTCGAATCAAGCCACGGTGCACTGGTACTGGGAATATCTCCCGGCTGATACTGGCCTTCCCAGACCATGCGGTGGTTGACAGAATGTATCGAACCATTACGAGAGTGAGGACTCGATAGCCCCCGCCGCCGCCCACCATTAGCTTCCTCTTGACACAAAAGCAATGGAGAAGTCAATGAATCGTCCACATGGCTGGTACCGGTTGACAACGAGGCTATTGAGCCCAGCCTTTGCTGGCGTGAAGGAGGAGGTTCACTTCCGTGCTGGCTTTCCGAGCCACTACCGGTACCGCTGGTTGTTCCACCAGGACCAATTGACACACCACTGGTACTACTTCCACGAGTGCTCTCGGCATCTGTCTTCAGCCTCTTGGCAACGTCTTTCTCTGGTTCAAAATTAGCAGTCTACTCAACCTATGATGATAACAAGTACAGCTTAATACCTTGAGATTGAGCAGCTTGTCTCTTTCGAAACTCGAGGAGGTATTCATTGTACTTCTTGCATTCGGGTGTTTTCTTGTACTCAGCCAGGGCTTGGTTATATTTCTCTTTTGCCTCGTTCGCTTGTTTCTCAAACGGTTCTTTCTCAGCACGGCCTAGATTCTGCCAATTCTCACCCACCAACTTCGCAATTTCTGTAAATGTGAGGTTTTGTCCCTTCAGATCCTCTCGCATTTCTGAACACGGTCAGTGCTCGCTCCTAGCAATTGAGTATATGATGTTGAGGTAAATCAACTCACTATTGGAAAAAAGCACGTAGGCTGACGGCGGCCGTTCGGGTGCATGCTCGTCGGGCTATTGTTCCAGTTAATTTCGCTCTAGTTCCGTAGCGGGGGGATGCAAGGCGTGTCTCAGTGCAACAAAACGAACCTTTGGATGCCTCCTGTATTTCCTTTTTACGACGATCGGCCCGGTTTTAACATCTGGTCTATCGGTGTCGGTACGGTTCGAGTCATGTCTAACATCCTCAATACTAGTGCGAGTTGGTGAGGTTAGAGAGGCGTCCGGGGCAATGCCTCTATAATTGGCTATACGTCGCTGAAGCTTCTTCGCCGAGTTAGCGCAATTGACACTATGGAGGGGGGATATTAGATCACTCACTCTCCGATGGCCGAGCTTTACGCCCAGAGCGTCACTGGCGCCTGAGTTAGCATCAAAAAGACATTGGGCAAAACGGATAATAGAGGGCGTACAGATCGGATTCAGTAATGTCTAATATTGTCTCCCAGGAATCAAACCCCTGATCAATGAAGGGGCCGAGGTACTGAGTGATGCCCAACTCGCCGAAAACTGATTCGAGGAAATTCATATAGCTGACTGGTCCGCGGTTTCACGGCAAGATCGCTAGGAACATTTGGTACGAGCGCAGCAGAGCCAGGTGTGGTGGCTAAGAGTGGCGGCGGCGTGGGACGTGATAAAGGTGCTTCACGGGTGCTCTGACAGGATGGGTGACGAAGCTCGTCCGTGTAAGGTGTAATAGGTTAATTTAAGCAATTGCTATAATCCAGGCACAATTGCCAAGCCCCTTTTCGCCAGGCGATAGGTCTAATAACCTGTCAGCTAGAGGCGAAGGTATCGCTGTGCTGCTGAGCCGAGGGCGTTGTTGTAGGTGCGGCGTGGCAGCGGGTCTGCTGAGGTGAAAGGGGACGGAAGCCGAGTCTGAGAGCCCGTTGTTATAAGGCGCGCAGATCGGGTCGGTAATTAGGACAGCGCGCGTCGAGACTTGTCTCCGATGGCAAGTCTTAGGTGTGGGGACTGAATATGGCGAACTTGTCGAGAGTATTCATATGGTCAATCCAGGTCGGCAACAATGGTAGCCTGGCTGGGGAAGATGCTGAAATGGTGTCGCATTTGAGAATAGGAAGCCGGTATGTAGGGTTTTCCCGTGCAGACGTCTATGGCAATGTTAAAGGGGATTCCATCTAGGAATTTAGCATCGCATGGGGGCAGCGTTGCTGTTCGATCCGCCAGCGTAAATGAGATCCCCGAATGTGTGGGTGCAACGACTCGAGCAGTCAAGGATCGAGCTAGATCGGGACTTGGTTCGTCAAGTACCTGCCTACACATGAATTGTACAGATACTTGTGTACACTCGCAGCGCAACAGCGAAATGGTGGCGTACTTACACTTACTTAAGTATAGGAAGTATAGGAAGTAGTACCTACTTCTGGGCCGCCAGTACACGACACAACACTGCCACTTGTGGGCAGAGACAAATAGACAGAACAAGAACAGACAGCAGACAGTAGATAAACAGCAGGACGACAACAGAACGACAGCAGAACGACACAGACACGGCCGCCGCCGGACTGCTAGCCAGCGTTGGCGCGGGAGGAGCAGCCAGGAACAGCCAGGAATCACTCGCCAAGGAGACGAATAGACAGGGAGCGACAAGGAGAGACGCACCTCTAAAAACTAGCGCCATCTTAGTACTGTGAGAAAATTACCATTATTGCACGGCTAGCTGGCGAGCTGGCGAGCTGGCGAGTTGGCGAGACTGCATGCGGCAGACTAGCACGACCAGAGCACTACCTACTGTACTATACATTGCTAGTATATGTATGTGGTACCTCATGCGCTGTTAGAGGCCGCGACAGACTAGGTAACCGAATTATCTCCAATTGGGTGGGCGACCAGGAAAGGTCTAATTCTGCCCCATCGCCCCACCCCTACCTCACAGACACCTCGGGCGTGCTTCTATGATTCTAGCGCCGCACTAGCGACTACCATCCTGCTGGTTTTATAGGAGCAACCGGTCGACTCCTGGTAATACGATGGATGCGGTGACAGCAGTAGCACCAGGGAATTCCCATTACCGATATCTGGTAGTGAGAGTGATACTTCCGCCGAGGAGATACTTTTGGCACTATGTGCCCTCACCACGTACTACGAAGTATGTACTCGAGTAGGTAGTCCCTAAAGATACGTAGGCCGAGTCAGTCGTTGGGAGACAGATTCCTTCGTCGTCTCGGCCGTTTCCAGACTAACTCTAGAATAACGTAGTCTGGCTTCAGAACATAGTGGAAGAACTACACGAGTCATCCAGCTTGTCATTCGAAGACAAGTTCCACGTTCTAATTAGACATTCAGCGTGAGGAAACGGTTCAGAGTCTTATAAGACTCTGTATATCGTCGTGTTTCCCCACAAGCACCAACGCCTCCTACGTAGCTCTTCAAACCACAATGCTAGCAGGCATTCTCATGGTGGGCCGAGCCGGTCATGTTGAAATTAATATGGGATTCAGCTCTCTGCCCGCCTGCCATAAGATGGTGTTCGAGCCTCTCCAGACTACTGTCCAGAGTTCTGATCTTGCGCGACTGAGATGGCTTACGGGACATATATAGTCTTAGTAGCAATGCTAGTAACGATAAGAGGACACCCCGCTGACAACTATCTGCAATAGAAATGTCGAACTCGTCGGAAGAGAGGCTATTAGGGTCGGAAGTAGAACGCCAGTGGCAGATAACAATGACAAGTACCAGTACCTTGGAAGGATAGGACGGAAGAAGTGCTGTCAGTAGGCTGTTTTCGCCAGCCTCGAAGTAGCGCTTGAATAAAACCAATTGTGAGTCTCGAGCTAATGAAGCGCGTGCCGTCATGAGGCCTGCGGGGAGTGGTCTGATGTATGGAGTCGACGACAGGAATGGCAGCGAATGAGAGCGAGGTCTAGCGGGCAACCGGGGTATCGCCATCGACTTTTCAGCCTAGGATCGAAAGACTTGGCAGGGCGAGCCGTATTTGGCCGCCATCCCTCTCGGACCACAGTGCTGTACGAGTGGAATGGGAATGCAATGGCGCCAGTCATATACATAGTAATGGGCATTTGGAAAGTTGAATGCCAATTGCCCTGTCGTCATCACGGTCCATCATCGAGATCTGGGATGGTAATGGAATAGCTGGGGAGAAATCGATTGCGCCGCCGGCCGTACGACGACAACGGTGGCACAACTGAGGATACCTACAGTCGTACCTAACTAGGTAGCCTCTCGAGGTAGCCTCTCAAGGTGAGCCGGCCAAAGAGCACAGACAGCATCCTTAAGTACAGAAAACAGTTACCTAAAGGTAGAGAGAGTAAGTATGGCCAGGAGGCGACCAGAAGGCGACATACATGTAGGTGGGTAGTACTTAGGAAAGGCTAGGTGAGTAGTGAGCAGCCAAGTCTTATCGATAGATTTGTTTCTCTATGCACACCCCATTCCACATCTTCAATCCACCTCACACCATCCTTGCTTTAGGGGATACTTTCATGGATGTACTAGAGTAATGCCACTACAGAAGACATAAAGGAGATACTTGTAGCCAGCCAATATAGTTGAAATATATATCGCACTGACGTGTTGACTAGGTAAGTATTGGTATACATAGTAGGTAGGCAGAGAAGCTGGGTAGATACTGGGCTTCAAGTCAGTAGATAGGTACCTACCTACCTACATACTTAAGTACATACCTAAGTAATGAGTAAGCCACCTACTGTACTTACCCACTTGAAGTACATAGGTACGTACATACATACCTATCTCTAGTACTACCGGAAAGTGAGGTCGATCAAGGGGGCGAACCTGACCCACGAGGCAAGGCTTGATCACACAGCATCGGATTTACCAGCAACTGCATCAGAGAACTGCATCCCCTCAGCTTTAACCATCTCGATCCCGTTGATCCCGTACCGGGAGTACTTAGTCTCACCCTCATCTCATCCCGTGTTACATAGGTATTTGCCCACTGCCCAGCCAAGCCAATTCCCCGGCCTACCTACATACTGAGTACTAGTAGTAGGTAGCAGTAGGTACCTAGTGAGTATGTAGGTACTGACTGGCGAGGAGAGGTGCCGATAATTGCCCATCTTAGCCCCATCTCACCACTGATAGTCTTGCTCTTTCTGATGCATACTTAAGTAGGTATCTATCTAGGTATCTACTGAGGCTACCTACCACAACGCATTGCTGCCCATTACCAAAATATCCCGTACCGCTCCCGGTACCCCATACATCGAAGTCAACCACCAACTCTCCTTTCACGTCGTGCACGGTACAAGCTCGCCATGTCCAGCACCACCAACGGAGCCGGCTCCACTTCGACCCCAGACCCGAGCAAGCAAGATGCTCATCACTTGCCCAGCGCGGCGGCGACCCAGGCCGAGATGGCCCAGGTATGTTCAGACAATTGTCAATTGTAGTCAGCCATATGTTGGGAACCCAGAGATGAAACCGCATCCAATCCCCACGAACCTCGTGATCGTCGACGTGCTGCTACTGACCGTAGGCTAATGCGACTCTCCCTACTGTTCTAGGCCTTTAGAGACCTCGCAAGGTATGGCATTGTTCTTGGTCGTGCAGAGTCGTGTAAACTCCCGTCGGGCCTAGGCTTAGGTCTTTTTTCGGCTTTTTTGTTTTCTATCTGTCCCCCCTTCCCTTTGCCGGCTGGGCCTCGCCACCTCCGATCCTTCCTTCCCTGTCGCATTTTCTGCATCCCCCCTGAATGCATTTTGAGCCAAAACGTCCATCAACAGGTGATGCGAAATTCACAATATCGGCGTCCACGATAGCAAGGCGCCATAGACAGCTACGGAGCTACTATGTACTCTTGCGCACATGTTCGAGACCTCACGGCCCATCCCGAAGCCAGACCCATGCCAATCAAATCCTGCTCATGGCATTTTCCTCATTCCCATTCCGCATTCGCCTCTTGCTATCTCGCCAATTGAGAATGCCTTTAACCTGTCTCGCCTGTCTTTGAGGAACCTAGCCATGGGTAGCTGCAAGCTTACCTCGGCCGCAAGGCCCATGCCCTATGCGCGTTGACATCTAGCAAGCAACTAGATCAGCCCTGGGTGCATCTAGGCCTCGTGAGAAGTTCTTCATGCTATGATCCTACCCTTACCCCCAAACATGTGGATACATGCCTATTTTCGAGGGTCTGGATTCTTTTCTTAGCCTGTACACCGAGGACATGTCATCAGCCTCTTCTCGTCACACTATCTACCCATGTACAATGCTATACCATCATGCCAATTGTTATCTAATGGAGCATACGGTTTGATCGGTGAGTTGCTAACCGGCGTTTCACCTCCTAGGGGCGAGCAACAAGCCTCTATCCTTGAAGCCAACCTCGCCAGTATCGAGAGCAAGCTCGACGCTCTTTTAGCGTCTATCGAGACGGGAGCTGATACAGGCAAGATACAAGGAGTTGAAGACAAGAGCTCAGAAGAGGACCAATCCTCTCAGAAGAAGTAAACGCCAGCATTACCAGCGCAAGACCAGCTGCAACCATTACTCGTTAGGTGGAGACTCGTCTTCTATCAGATAGTAGTGGAAAGCCGATTTGCATTCTTTGTTAGCCTAGGCAAATAGTTAAACTGTATGCTATTGGTTCAGGAACGATGTGCTTTGGGTAGCGTCAAGTTCTTATTAGATTTGTAAGGGGCGCTTTATATCAGGAAACATAGATCGGCCAAAGACAGGGAGAATGGTGCATATTGGAAGTTTACCCACCCATCAGAGATTTTATCGTTTCCATAACAAATAGACGCCGTCCAGGACCCTCAAGCCGTAAGCCAAATCGTCAAGAGAAGGCGTGCTCAAACATCAATAAAGGACCGTCGTGACATGTAACATTTACTGATTCCCCAATCATTCACAAGGTGCACAAAGTGACCTCTAGAACTTGAATGCGGATTTGCTAGCACGCTTAGAACAATGAGGTGTTAGATCTTCACAGGTTTAGAAAACAGATGCAAAGTGACTTTACAAGGACATAATATTTTTTACTAGTATAAGAACACAACTACCCAAAATCCGAGGTCGGTAAAAGCTGTCGCAGTCCTTGCATCTTGAAACAAAAACTTCGAGATCGCAAAATACTATATAAACCCTCCAGTGCGAACTTCCATTCCAAGTATAAAATATCCCAATATGACGAGCAAGAACAGTTCCTAATATCAAGCCTATAATGCCACGCTCCCTAGGAGGAAAGGATTCTCATAAACAACACTAAGGTGTATGTAGGCTGTCGCAAAAAGAGGGGAAAAGCAAGGCTACGCATGTCAGTTCTGTCAACACAAGACCGAAACGCCAAATGAACTCCTGCTGTGCGATGGCTGCCCTAAAGTGGGTATATGCATTCCAAAATTGCTCAAAAGCTGTCACAGCAACGCATGAAAGCGTAATGATAAGTAGGACGTCGAGCTCAACAACAATTCTTTAAAACGATGGGAGCTAGCGAATCAGGGCTTGCAAAGGGCGTCTGTGAGAAGCTAGCTCCCTCGGGGTATCGAAGAACTAGTTAGGACACATCAAATAATCGACATGATACCGACGCTCATTAGGACCATCTTTGCAAAGGTGACGGGCAGCATGCTTTCCGACGATTCGGAATTAATTTATACTGTTAGCCCGTAGCACAAGCTATATAAAGGAGCCTAGTTAGTCGCTTCAACTAGGTGGTTCAGAGAGGGTTGAACGTGCCCTTTGCAACGGGTCACCCTGGCTTGAAGCCACCAGGGATGGGCTTGATCCAGGAGCAGTAGCTGTCATGGCACGAGCCTCTAGAGTGGGTCGCGCAATGTGAGGCGACTTCTGGTCACCATTGATTTTGCTATGAGAGGAAAGCTCTCTTTCCCGATTCTTCTCGAGCAACGCGCCCCCAAGGGTTGCACATTTGAGAATGGTCTGTATCAAGTGATTTTGCTGCAGAGGTTTTGACAGATACTCGTCCATCTGAGCTTGAATGCATCGCTCTCGATCTCCCATCATAGCGTGGGCAGTGAGGGCAATGATTGGGGTTCGCTGAGCCCCAGCGCTTCGCTCATAGTCGCGAATCTTGCCAGTCGCTTCGAAACCGCCCTATTGTAATGGTCAGCAAGGGAAAAAGAGAGTATCAGCGTTCAGGGGATATACCATAATGGGCATTTGAACATCCATCAATATAACATCAAACTTCTTTCTTTGTACAGCTTCAACGGCTTCCAAGCCGTTCCCAACAACAGTTACCACGTGGTGGTACTTCTCGAGAATTTTGACTGCCAAACGCTGATTAACGCGATTATCTTCGGCAAGTAGAATTTCGAATGACCGGGTATTGTCAGAGAATGATGGAGTCGCACGGTTCTCAAGAGCCGGAACCATGCCATTTCCAAGGTCAATTGGCTCGCATGGTGTCGTCATGTAGGACGTGATACCAAGGTCGAGACAAGATTTCAAGGTAATATGGACAATAGGTGCAAGGAGCACGATGGGAAGGTATCTGAAGTCCTCAATAGAGCGCAGCTTCCGGGCCGTTTCGATAGATTCCACTATGATCACGTCGTATGGCGGGTTATCAGAGCCTGTTGTGGCCGGGTTCTTTTCTTGATTAACAACCACAGGTACGAGGCCCAATCTTCGCAGCATAACGGAAATTTCTTTCCCATACCCCGACAATCCTTTGTCAATGAAAAGCACCTGGTGCCCCTTGTACGGCTTAAGCATCTTCTCAATGGATCCGAGTCCGCCGCCAGCCAGTTTCACAACACAGGTGAAGAAAAATTTGCTCCCCTTACCAAACTCGCTCCTCACCCAGAGGTCACCTCCCATGAGGGTCACCAGCCTCTTCGAGATAGATAACCCGAGTCCAGTACCACCGAACTTGCGCGTCATTGATCCATCAGCTTGTTGGAAGGTATCGAAGATCAGGTCAAGCTTGTCTTGCGGTATTCCTATACCAGTATCTGACACGATGAACTCGATGGCATATTCGTTTGGATTCTTCGGTTGCAGGCCCTTGGATTCTTGGATAGTCAAGCTTACTTCGCCGTGCTCAGTGAACTTGATAGCATTTCCTACCAGATTTAGGATGATCTGTCGTAGGCGAAATGAGTCTCCCACAACATAGTCGGGAACAGAGCTATCGACTCGGTACGTAAGGTCTAGGAACTTTTCGTTCGCTTTGACCGCCAGTGTTTTCAGAGCGCCAAAGACGGTTCCTCGTAGCGTGTACGGAATCTCCTCTATAACCATTCTGCGAGCCTCGATCTTAGATAAGTCCAGGATATCGTCAATAATAGTCAATAAACTGTTGGCGAGCTGATTGACAATGTTCAGCATCTCCCGTTGGTACTGTGTCAAATCGGTGTCGAGAGTTAGTTGTGTCATTCCAATAATACCGTTCATGGGTGTACGGATTTCATGTGACATGTTAGCTAAAAATTCAGACTTTGTCTTATTCGCTTGCTCGGCTGCCTCTCGTGCTTGGGTATTCCTCTGGATACTGTCTCGCAGGTTGTAAACCATTTGATTGATCTTGCGTTTTAGTTCATCCATTTCGCCAGAAGCCTCTACGTCGACAAGCTTCGTGAAATTACCGTCAGTAGCTGCATTGGTGATGTCCCCAAAAGCGCGAACCTGGGTAGTCTATACAAAAGGTAATTAGTTATAGTTACCAAAGTGGAAATTTAACGGATGATTACTGACCAAATTAGTCGCCATAGTGTTGACGTCTGCGGTAATTTCTTTCCATCGTCCCTTCAAGCCACCAACATCGGCTTGACCGCCCATCTTACCATCTACACCCACGTCCCTAGCTACTCGCTGTACTTCATTACAGAATACGGAGAGGCGGTCAACCATGTTGTTTATGGTCTCTTTTAGAACGAGAATTTCACCTTTGGCTTGGACGTCGATCTTCTGGCTCATGTTGCCATCGGCAATGGCTTGGGTGACTGTCGAGATACCTCGTACTTGTGAAGTCAAGTTCAAGGCCATTGTGTTAACATTCTCAGTGAGATCTCTCCATTTCCCCTCGACTCCATCAACCCGAGCTTGGCCACCCAGAGTTCCATCCGTGCCGACCTCTCGGGCAACCTTGCTCACTTCAAAGGCAAAGGTTCCGAGTCGGTCGACCATGGAGTTTATAGTGAGCTTAAGTTCTAAGATCTCGCCTCTGACTTCGACACCGATCTTCTTAGTCAGGTCTCCACGGGCGACGGCTGCAGTAACCCTAGATATCTCTCTGACTTGGGTCGTCAAATTCATAGCCATACCATTGACGTTATCCGTCAGATCTCGCCATGTGCCTTGGACATCATTGACAGAAGCTTGCCCACCCAAGCGTCCTTCTGTACCTACTTCTCGGGCAATCTTGCTAACCTCTCGCGCAAACTGTTGTAGTTGTTCAACCATAGAATTGATGGTTGATTTGAGCTCGAAGATTTCGCCTTTGCACTCAGCTTGTACCTTTTGCGTCAAATCACCTTTAGCAACTGCCGTAGTGACTTTTGCAATGTCGCGGACTTGGGTTGTGAGGTTGTTTGCCATAGCATTCACGTTAACCGTCAACTCGTTCCACATGCCTTGGACACCCATGACATCTGCTTGGCCACCCAACATACCCTCAGTGCCGACATCACGCGCGACTCGTGTTACTTCTGATGCGAACGTGCGCAATTGTCCTACCATAGTGTTGATTGTTTGTTGAAGTTGGAGGATTTCGCCCTTAGCAGGTCTCTCAATTTTCTTCGTTAAATCACCATGAGCGACAGCAGTCGTTACAGAGGCAATTTCGCGCACTATTAGATTTGTTAGTCGAAACTAACAACATAGACTACCATACGCAAGAGAGACATACCTTGATCGGTCAAGTTCTGCGCCATCACGTTGACTGAGAAAAAGGTTAGCATTACTTCCTCGTTACAACGATTTGGGCGCATACCATTGTCAGTAAGTTCTTTCCAAGTACCGTCTACGCCTTCAATCTTAGCTTGGCCGCCAAGAATCCCATCGGTGCCTACTTCACGAGCAACACGAGATACCTCACTAGCGAATACCTGCAGCTGGTCCATCATAGTGTTGATGGTCCTCTTGAAAGTAGTAATTTCCGGGTCCATTTCGACGGAATTCATTCTCACTTTCTTGCTAAGGTCACCTCGCGCGACAGCAGTGACGATTTCGCCAATTTCGCGGAGGGCCTTCTGGAAAGCTTCATTGGCCTTCTGGTGTTTCCACAGCTCTCTCTCTAGTGTTGCCACGCGTTCCTTTTCAATCATCTGGAGTGCCCGTTCTTGCAATTTTCTTTGTTCCACCAGTTGAGCATTCACATTGGTCAACTCTTGGCGTTGATTGTCGAGTAATTTGGATTGATCATTGATGTGTTCCTGTAATCCCTCTAGGGCTTCATCCGTAAGTGGAATGGCCTTGATGATACGATCGTCTGTGAACCCATTCCGGCTAGTTGGGAACTTTGTTCGGATCGCCGACCTCGAATCCTCATCGAACGGAGAACCAGCCGTCTCATTCGGAGTATCAGGATAGTTTGGAGCATTTGCAGCACTAGCCTTGGCTTCGAGTTGTTGAACCCGAACGATAAGGGCCGAAAGCTCTCGTTCCAGTTCTTCCTTAGCAGCGGTATCAGGGCCTGGGAGATTTATATCTGAGTTGGTGCCGATGGGAACAGGACAGGAATCGTTCGATGCGACGGCCAAGTTTTTGACGATGGCAGCGACCGCTGCCAAGGTCTGATCATCAGCCATGTTTGAAACGAATCCAAGATCCAGCAAGTTGTCGTGTGGTAAGACGCAAGATCAAATTTAAATGACTAGTAATGTACGTGGGAGCAGCGATCAACAGGACGCTGAATGAGCCCTATGAAAGCCACATAGAGCCGGCAAAAAGGCAAGAATCTCGATGAAAGAATATTCCAGTACTGTTGTAATTCGTATGCGCGAAAAGGGGCCCTATCTATCAAAATGCCGTTGCATATCTGCCCTACCGAGCAAGTAGATGGACAAAACGAAGACTAGTGAATATCGAGTGGTCCAAGCGGATGAGGACAGCAGGAGCACAGCAAACGGTCGAGTCGGATATAAAGCGAAGGAACAAAAGCGGTATTGGCGAAAGGGAGCGGCTCCGCTAGATATGGATAGATATGATCGTGTTTGGGCTCGGAGGGCTTGTATTCGGAGAGAATGAATATCAGCAAGGAACAATGCAGACCAACTCTACTGTCCCTTCACCCAAACCTAACGAGGCCTTGGCAGTGGCTAGGAAACCTAAGGCACATCGACTGTCAGAATCAGGTCTTTGTACAGAAGCAACAATGACAGTCGTCAGCAGCGAGCGGTAACAGTGGCGCTCGTGGTGTTGAAGAACGGTGCAGGCGGTTCACCAGCAAGCAAATGCAGCAACGGGCAGAACGGGCAGCAGACAAACAGACAAGCGAGCAGGCCAGGCGGAAATGGGAGAGGGACTCGTCCGGGTGGGAGGACTTCTGGGAGGAGAAAGGCGGGTTGCTGATCGCTGGTCCGTGTCGTCAATCTTCAGTGGCTAATGCGCACTGCTGCTCCCAGCCAGCCAGCCAGTCCAGGTGTTGTAGCGACCCTTCTAGCGCAAGGAACGTGCTGTGATTGGGCATCTGCAGCCAGGGAGGAGGCAGGCCAACCGGGGAGACGGGCTGGGGCGGATGATTAGATTCGGCCACTTAGGTCGAGCTCGCCGAGATCCCTCTCGACTCTCACTGTGTGCACTATTTTACTGAACTGGGGGTCAAGTGTGCATCTCTACGTGCCAGTAAGTAGAGCAGCGCGGGGTCCGTCCAACATGACCGTTTCCTCGCCCGTTCTTTTCATTGCATGTACTCCCAAGTACCTACGTAAGCACAGTGGGTACCTAGTAAACAAGCAGGTATACCTATATCCACACTCCCTGCCAAAAGACCCCAAGGTACCAATAGGTATGGATCCTCATGTTAAGACTTTACATAAGTAGTACACATGCGTGTGTGTGTATATATAGTATGTGGTATTGCAATTCTCATATTACACATGCCTCAGACTGATACCTTGTTCTTGCTATACTACACTTTCAACCTACGAATGGGTACCTACATACCTATGTAGGTAGGTACCAGAGGTAAGAAGTACATGCACATAGAAGGGACCTACTTAGGTAAATATCCACTCAACCTATCGAATTCCAGGTTACCTGTAGTACTAATATCGCAATCCACCCTTATATGCTGTATGTGCACATATTGGCATCACAATTGCCTATCTCACTACTAGCTTCGCACTAATAGAGACCCTACATACAGGATGCACATTCAATACGCCATAGTCCGTATAAGTACTTACATGTACAGCAGAGGGAGCACTGAAAGGTACTCAGGTATGCCTGATTGGGCAGCTGCTTCGCCAAGATGGTAGACTACATAGTACAGCGCAAGTCTAGTGCCACACTAGAGCAGTACTAGAGTACCTATCCTAACCTGACAAAGCGGTGGCTAATACCTAAGCACCCACGGTACCTAGGTACATAAATAAGCCAAGATGCTTACCACTCAGTGCTCGCCCACAGACTACAGTAGGTAGAACACAAACCTGGAATATCAAGCAGGCGTGAAGAGAAAGACAGTGCATGGAGATGCTGTTAATGTACTTAGTTATAGATGACAGTACCTAGGTAGTATATGAGTACTATTCACGTACATAGGGCCTACTGTGTCAGTTGTAGATGGACACTCCTTGAGATCTGCTCAGGTGGCCTGAAATCTGAATCTGATTAGCGATGGTTTTGGACGCCATCTATGGGGCCTGCCCCTCTTCTTCGTCGTTTAACACGTAAAGCCATACCGTCACCTCTTATCTAACAGTACTTCACGTTAGAAAGATATCATCTTGCAATAATACATCAGCCTGGCTGGAGCAAATGAAAATAGGAAACATTGTTAACATTCAACGAAAAGGTACAGAACAAGAAGCGGTATTACACCCTCATTGGGAGTCACAAGATCTCCTGTCGGCTCCCGGTCCTAGTAGGAGGCACCCCATTGGCCCCAGTCAAGATGTGTTGGTGTCCTACTTACAATAGTAACAAGAGTTTTGAGTACGTGTAACCGACACTGATTCATCTACTTAGTTTCGCATGAGCGCCGCTGTAACGTAAAAACGAGTCCTATGACCTTGTACTATTCGTCCGACTATCTCAGGGACAAAGTCCGTCCGAGATAAGGGGCAACGTTGTGTATGAGCATCGTATTTTGAAGTCGCGTACATGAAGTGAAGACTAGTGGAAGACCCGGTCCAAGTGACTGCCCCCTTTTTCTCCATCGAACTTTTTTTTTTTTTTTTTGAACGGAAGAAAATCGTCCAGCAAGTGGATTCACTACTTAGTATTCTGTGTCGCCCATGCCCCTCTTGATCAGTAGGTACGTACACATCGTTTGGCCCTGCCTCCATCTCATGTTTCCAGTGTTGAGGTCATGGGCCTCGAAAGTGCCCATTCCCGTGGTGTAGATAAAATGTGTACAGGAATGGCAGCTCTACCTATAACTCCACGTGCTCCCTTTTGCAGCGACATTTAAGTTGATGGCTGACAGCTTGCAATAGTTAACCTAGCGTACTTATGTACTTTCCCGCAATGCCCTATGATGTCATACCACATGGTTAAGCGTTAAAGCAATAATGCCACGCTGTTGGTATGTGCGGGTGCTGTAGTGGAATTAAATACATATTATGTATATACTATAAGTAGTGCCTACTGGAAATAGTATTGCTTCGAAGCCGGGCTTGACTCTGTTGAGAAGCGTGCCCGGTTGACTGGCTCGCGGCAAGCATTATTCCCTTGCAAGTCCACGGACCTACCTCGCCTACTTACGATGGTTCTAGATGGTGTACAAGCGCTAGGGATATCGCTTCTGATCGCTCGAAAGCCAATACCTATTTAGGCTAAGGTCATTGGCCTCCCTTTCCACCCATCCTGACCTTTTCTAGTCGTTGCTGCGAGTAGGGACCTACCTAGTGCGATAACGCTGTTCTGCGCTGTGCTGCCTACAGATGTGCAACCGAGTATCAGCCGAATCGTCCCGCCATTCGTAGGATTGCAAGGAATTCCCACATGTACCTAAAATCGCAGGACCCTTAAATGAGCAGGGATGTTCGGGTTCAGGAGGGGTATCGGATACCTACCTACTATGTATGTTTAACAGTAATTATCCCCCACTTAATACCAAGATAAGTTACCTAAACACACTACAGATACGAGCCTTGCCGCCTAAGTACACCACTAAGTGCTGAGGACAGCAAAGACAGCCAATTGCATTATCACTCTGGGTATTTAACCTAGCTTGAAATTTTCATAACACGACGATAGGGATTGTATGCTACTCAGAACTGATATCTACAGTAGGTAGGTACTTGCCAGGTCAATCTTCATCAAGCACAACAACACATACCTAGTACGTCGTACATAGTACTTAGGTTTTTGCAGGCCTGCGTTTCCGCTCATGCGGTCCAAAAGTAACTTCGTTGATAATGAGATCGAAGTCCTGAGCGATAGCAGAGTGTAAGTAGCCCTGGGTATGAACCGACAAGCGCGAGTCAGAAACAGCACACAACTAAGTAGGTAGGTATCAAGCTAGGTAAGGTGTTCCCGAAATCCGCTGTCCGAAGAAGACCCTTATTTTTCCAACGCGGCACAACAACAGAGCTTTAGAATCGGCCTTTTTTTTTTCCAAGTCGGCCGGCACAGCGAACATAACCAATCTTGATATACAGGAGCCAATGAGGTTCATAGACGCACAGTCTATATATACTGTGCTATTTGGGCAAGTACTACATGTAGTACTTCGTAGGTGCCTCATAGCCTCACAACACCAGCAGCTGAACCATTATACTTATGATGTGCCTAAGTCTTTACCTGCCAGGCGCATACCTACATACATGAAGTATTCTTATTCTCATTAGAAAATTTAGAGGTACACCCTAGAAATATACATAAGTAGACATAGAAACGGCCCCAAGGCTAGAATACGCCTCAGCTGTCGAGGTTGAGAGAAACAGGCCAGAACCAAGATATGACAAGATATAGAGTCAATGCAGGCCGACAGATCGAGAACTAGAATCGATATGCAAGTTCTTTAATTCGGCCGCACAGACTGCCACCGGTACAACGTACGTGTACAATCTTGTCTTAATTCATCCCTCGGCTCTAGAGTCCCCTAACAGACCCTAATAAGTAGCACCTTACTACAAAAATGCCCCAATTGTACACCCCATGTACCTAGAGATACCAGAACACAGCCTCATTTGCTTTTCTACTACCTAGGTAGTTATTGGCTTTCTTTTCTTAGTGATTTTATGCAGTCAAATACGTGATATCAACCGCTCTAGGAGAAGAAGAGGACTGAAGAGGGGCTACACAGTAAAGCAGCTGCTCTAGGGTGAGGTTTATGTATGTATTGAGGAACACTGTTAATAAGGGGAGCATTTACAAACAACATAATGATCAGCGAAATCATCCCAAGATCAAAACAGATCACCCCCACAATGCAACACAGTACAGTCACGACATACGAACCGGTCTACTACTAGTACATCGTACTTACTTTATACTACCTTAGGGCCGCCCTTCTCTCCAAAGGGGAGGAATCATGTACAGGTCGAGCCGGTACGCTACAGGTTGGTTTGCAGTGCAGAGAACGCCGGCCCGGGATCCTCACATCCTCCTCCGCCGCCGCGGTTGCCCGGAATCGACCCCCTCGGCCCTCTCCCTCCTTGCTTACATAGGCTTACATAGGTATGCCTTTGCCGATCCTGTTTCAGGATGAAAGAAACACTTTTTGGGAGCTTTGGTGGAACTCTTTCAGCTTAAAGTGATACCTACCGGTACTTTCTGGCTTAGGTGTTCACTCACATGGCATCTGCCGTTAACTGACCTGTCAGCTTTGTTGGGTTCGGGGCTGTAGAGGGCTGACTGGGCAAAAGTCTCGAAGAATCGGTTTTTTCGCCACCCGATCTACAATCTTTAGCCCAGACTAGTAGTCGTACTACCAACTAGATGTTGTACCGTAGCTTACTTGCCCACACTTCCGGCCGAAACAAACCTACCGGTAAAGCAGCTCTAAAGTGAGGTACTTTACGCATGTGACTTGATTATTCAGCACTTTCCGCAACATCTTTGATGTGTATCGAGATCTCACGGTGCCTAATGTAATACCTACAGATCAAGCCAGACCAGACATTGCCCACAGGTACAGTACTAGATTCAAGCAATCTTATCTACATACAGATGTAGATTGGATCTAGCCCAATCTTCGGAAGAGCTAATCTTCAGGTATTGCCCTGGGATCAGAAACTGTATCTGTAAAACCTTGAGACCCCTTTTTTCTCTATCGCTCCACCGAGCACCGCTCATTAATTGACTAGTGTAGGTAGGCTGAATATATAATGTACTTGCCACCAAAGTAATGCCTCCGATGAAGTGTAAGTCTAGATTCATATGTAAGCGACGACAGAAGTGAGAATACTTCAGTTAAAATGTGGATGTAGCTTAGGCATACGTTTGTAAGGGTCCAGTACCCGAGCGACCAAGCCAGCTACCGGTACTGGGGTAATTACGTAAAAAGAAGGAAAAGAAAAGAACAAAAAGAAAAGCGAAAAGAGAAAAGAGAAAAAAGAAGTAAAATTTTTAAGTGAGCTCTAATATTGTCGACGAGACTGAGCGACTGCACGATGGCGTTAGTCTCATACAGCACACCTCACGCACGAAAACATTGTATCATAAATCTTCCTATATGACTATCATACGAATCACCTCGCCCAAGAGATCTATCACATATACTCATCTCTTCGTGCGCAGCCAGGCATAGACCTGCACCAATATTATCTGCACATAGCCCAAAACATGTTCGGCTCTCCCAGAATACGTTAGTTATACAAAGCTGGCTGGCAAGAAATCATGGCGAGGAACAAGGCTGGAAAAAGAATCGGATCCTACTCATATAGGTGTGGCACAATACAAATAGCAAAAAGCAAACTTGTAGAAAGCAGTGGTATATTGGCATTAGTCTTATCGATGCACTTTTCGGTCATGGTGTAGTTTAGGAGACTTACAATACAGACGAGACAATCGCTCACCCGCCTACCGTCATCAATATCATCAAGTAAATAGTAAGTTGATCGCAGGCATCTTAGTGTCGTTGAGGTAAGATGGGCTGTAGTTCTATGGGTTTTCTTCATGCCCTTACAGTATGCCACCTGAGTTGCCTTATGCTAGCTTGGTAGCCTTGGTAGATCAGTGATATAATCCCAACTACAGACATAAGACCCCGAAAATAGTATCCAGGTCATGCCATGCATAGTATGAGATTTGAAAGTGGAGGGGATGTGCCACCCCTTTGTGAGACGGGTGGGAAAGGTCTAATCCAATTGCACGAAATTTATCATTGCAAATCAGTAGTAGAGTTAATGGGAGAGTGCCTTATCTATACTGCCTCCCATGCTAGAGTAGGTAGCTAGAACTATCACGTTCTCGGCTACGGGGCAGAGAACTTCCCAAGTGTTAAAAGAATAGTAGATAGATTCGATTACTACCAGTCAATTGTAAAACACCAAAAATCACGATAACACTAATTTGACAATAATGGAAAGAAAGAAAAGTGAGTAAGAGTTAAAAGCATGTTGGCACAGCGAGTAGCATATCTTCCCACATCCGAACCCCGTAGGATGATTAAGCAAGAGCTCAAGCCGTTGGTCTCATATACAAGGTACTATTAACCTTTGCAGGCTACGGTTTCTCCTCCAACAATAACAATGCAGTATGTCGTGTAAAAACAATCATCATGTTACTATCAAGGTTCCTAATGTAGATGAAACACCGCCCCTCGGATAAACCTCAAAAGCATGCTATATTCATATCGCCAACAAAAATACCACGCAATGGTTCAATGATCGGAAGTCTATAACACACCTAAAATTCGCGAAGAGATTTCCATAGACAAGATGTAATTTCGAGTGGGGGTATCGGATAGTTAATTGGAAGGGATAATGAAAGAAAAAGCTTTATAAGCCCACCGCGCCGATCAACGACGCTGATCTCGCCTTCAAGTAAAGCCTTGGGAACAGACACGCCAGGAGGGATAAAGAAATACAGATCTTTGAGCCGCAAAGTTATAGCTTAATCCTGCCCACCAATCTTGAGATTTCGGAAGATCGAGCTCAGATACTCGCTTACCGCTTTATGCAGCTTTGACTTAACGTCGTGGAATGCCACCTCGACCAAAGCTCGCCCCAGTGTTCCAGCCTTGACTGACGCTCTGCTTTACGATCATTGCCGCCGCAGCCGCCGCAGCCATTCGTTCTTTCTGTCGGTGCCTCTCTTTGAGATAGCCGGCTGCTTCTGGGCGCATACGTAGAATCCGGAGTATCATGTCATCAGATGGGTCAGCCTGAGCTTCCTTTCGCTTCTCTTCCTTGGCACGGCGCATTGTACCAAGGTTTCGACTCATCATGATGCTTTTGCCTCTACGAATGGTGCCCATGCTTGCAAAAGCCGGCCCTGCAGCCGCACCACCAAAAGTCGGGGGTGCTGACAGACGGTTCGAGTTCATCTGGCCTTGAAGTTGCTGTTGTTGCCGCTGAGCAGTTGCCGCTGCCATGCGCTCAGATGTCCTGATAAGGTTCTCGGTGGGGTCAAAGTAAAAAAAGTTAAGCGAATTGAGCTCATGATACTTATGCGATTTGAGAACCTCGGCGGGTACACCCAAGACCTCTCCATTCTCGTCTTGCGCGTTGAAGAAACTATAGAGCAATTTCAACCATTTGAAAACTACATCGAGCTCTCGCTGGCCCAATGGACGTTGGGAAGAAGGTTTATCAGACAAGGGCGGCACAACGAGGGCCTCAATTGCCATAAGAACCTCTTTCCATAGGCGTGTCATTACCGCTACCATTGTCGCATCGGTTAAAGTCTGTTTCATCGTGGCAAAGTTGTCATTAAAATATGCGAAAAGAGATTGGAGGGCATTTTCGACATCGGCATCAGTAATCACAGGAAGTGTCGAGCTCCGTTTGAAGAACGAGTTCACCTGGGAAGCCAAGTTGCGGCCTAGAAGACTACGCAGGGCTTCGTATGATAATGATGCGTTAATCTGTCTCGATAGCTATAATTTATTAGTTAGGTGACAGACACGCTGAAGATTCTCAGAGAGATGTCATACCTTATCAGTGATTTTGCGAACCATATCACGCTCAGTTCTCTTCAGATGTCGAAAAGCCTTGCCAAAATAGAACTGGATGTCGTCGCGTTCTCCTTCCATACTCACTCGAAGGAGAATTCTACCTTGAGTGTCAAGATCAAGCCAGAACTCTCTTGGTAAATAGTCACTGAAATGGATTGGGTCCAGCTTCAGAGAAGTTCTGCCCACAAAATCGTGGTCACCAAAGGTATCGTAATCCCAGATTGTTGCAACAATGTTGAGCGCGCCAGTCACTGTCACATCCACAGATTCGTCCCACCGAGGGCTCAGTGTCCTCATAATAATTCGTGTTTTGTGCAGGCGTTTCTGGTATTCATCCACAAGAACGACATAAGGATCGCTAGTCCCGTTTGGATCGCATGCCTTGATCTCTTCGGCTTCAACGATCTTGATAGTAAAAACGTATTTCGCTGGTCGTCTGACCTGTCTTTTAGGCCCATCCACTTTCTCTAATATCGCGGCACACGCATCGACATTCATGGTTCTCTCGAGCTTATCCAATTCCTGCATGGCCCATTCGATGTTGTTCAATTTGACCAGAGACTATAACGGGTTAGAATCGTACTTGTCAGCGAGAAAAAGTACTATACCTCTGGATAGAATTGAAAAGGCTCCATCTTCTCTTTATTGTTCCATGCGTCTTTCGCATATTGCATAAATCTGCTCTGCGTTGTCTGGGCTCCTCCAGCTGCTTCCTGTTCATTAGGTCTAGGTGTATCCATCTCCTTAACAAAACGTTGGTCCACGATTTCGCAGTAACGAGCGATACTGTTAGCAAAGATTTTTGACAAAGCTGTCATGAAACGAGCATGATGGACATCGTTATCCCATTCCAACTGGAATACTTGGTCGGCTGTCTGGTGGAACATCTGAAACATGTCAATCACTGAATGACTGTGGCGGTCAGCATCTCTGGAAATTTGATCAGATCCTTGGCCGCGAACTTGGAACTGGTCATGCTTCAATGCCTGTTCCACGAATTCTTCAGCCCGCTCCTCTGCATTTTGAATCCACCGCCATACAAAATCTACGAGAAGCTCTTCAACGTCAAACGTGAAGGGTTGGTTGGGAAGTGATGACCGGTGGATGCGCCGAATTTCAACAAGATCCTTGTAAAGATCAAAACCATCTTGTAGAGGAAGCTCGTCTCCCTTGTCTCGTGCAACTTGCACGATCCTCTTAACTAGCTCATGAGCATCGTTTTCAAAGCTTGGAAATATAGTTTCGGCAAGAACGGTCAAGGGGTTGACTCCCATGATTACCGGATTACTCCTGTAGCGCTTTTGGATCTTTTCGCAAAGTTTGACAACTGAATTTCCGAGGTTCTTCACGTGACTGAAATTCCAATCTTGTTGATCCGGAGGTATCTCAGCATCCAAAAACCCGCGATAAGCAGCAGCAGCTTGTTCTGCCATGCCGTCTTGAAGCATCTTAGTATATTCCATTGCCTCCTCTTCTTTCTGGGAGAAGCTGGGATCATCAAAGATGTGAGTCTGCAACACGTGAACTGATGGGCCCGCCGAAGGGGGCTTTGACTGGTAGCAATGCATAAGAATATCATAAAGTTCTCTTAGAAGCGCATCATGAAGATTATATAGTGTCTGCTTATACGTCGCAAAATCGGTAATAGTCCATCTACCTCGATCAATGCTTGCGAGGCTCTCACTAAATAGATATATGTGTGGGGGTCTTTTGAGTTCCTTTTCAGGTGGCGGACTCTTGACTAATTCAAATGCAGTATCCAGATCTATAGTTGTGAATAGCGTGTCTGTGAATCTGCGGGCGGCCACTTCCAGGAAGACCACGAGGCGGGTGAACTGAGGTATTCGCCAGCGAACACAGAGTTCTGTCAAAAGCTCCATAGATTGCTTCGAAAATGGGCCATTCTGTTCGTCTCCATCACTATGCATGGCATCGAACTCCAAGGCATAATTGGCGATGACTTTCAAGAACTCCCGGGGGTCAGAAGGGATGAAAGAATAATGCGTCTCATCAACAGCCCTAATACCAGTATCTTCAAGTGTCATGGAGCTCAGGCTGAGCCTATGATCCATGCCATACATTGAGTTCCTGTTTGGGTTGGATAATGCCCGACCCAGATCCGCGTACGACTGGTCCTCCCCGTATCCGGCGCTGGGACTCCCTGGCAAGGGCTTCTCAGAAGCCGCACTAGCGCCTGAAGACTTTTTGGCAAGTTCTGGTTTAGCCGTAAGAATTTCCATCATCATACTCGACAGGAAGGGAGCTTCGGCCTTTTTCCAATCTTGATATGCCTCCTCAACATCGAAGTCCTGACTCTGTAAAACGCCAGGCATGTTGGCATTTAATCGATGTTGGTATGCTTTTAGATCCTTAAGAGCAGCTTCCTCGGTCCAATTGGGCCGTTGGGTGTCTAAATGGCTTTGAACATCGGAATGTGCAAGCCCAAATATTTTGGCAACAGCCTGGACCATGGGCATATCCTTGACGTCGTAGGATAGGGGAACGATGACTTCAATATGCTTGCCTGCGTCCTGGCTCGTGTCAATAAAGAGATTCTGGTCGTTTGTAAGGAGCTTATTTTCCAGAGTGCTCAGTCTGCTCATGAGTTCGGGTTTGTCTTTGTCACTCCCCTGGGCTCGCAGAATGTGAGTGACAAGCCTCACGAAGAGAGCTACATGTCTATCGACAAGAAGCTTCCACGAATCATCCCCTGGGGTATGCCCGAGGCTGCAAGCTTTGGTGGCGGCAGAATAGAAAATCAAAACCAAGGGCTCAACCTTCCGCTCCTTATCGATGCTTTTCTTGAAACCGGTCTCTGTAAAGGCAGTGTAGGCCTGGGCAAAAGTCTTCTTAACAGCGGCGTCATTGTATCCAGGGAGAGTCTCGGAGCCCCTGATGACGCCCTCCATCCGCTTCAGCAGAGGGGTATGGAAGGAATGAGGAAGCTTGACGCTGGTCGAGTTCCCTGGTACGAACTCCTTTACCAGGTCGCCGATATTGGAGGTATGAGTTCGAGGAGGGGGTTTCGGCGCAGGAACCCATTGCTTTCGCTTCGTCTTGGGCTGGACGAGGTAGTGAAGGTAAGCGACACGGAGAGCGTACGAGTAGGCATCGTCGTGGCTCACGGGGGCAGGCCGCGCAGACGAGGCGGCGCGGCTCCTCCTCCCGCTGTTGCTCCGTACACTTTGGATGCTGTCGATACGTCGGTTGATGTAGGACTTCCTAGATGCCGATGACGACGACATAGTGTGGCGTGTGGACAAGATAGGTGGTCAGGTACCAATGCTGGGTGCGGCGTGTGTGGTATGCGCGGCAAGCATAGCAGCCCAGACGAATTTGGCGGAACTAAAGTGGGTAGGCAAACAAGACGGTCTGGTCTGTACCTGACCCTGAGCCGTGGAAAGCAACTACCTAGGTAGTCAGGATAAAAGGGCAACTGAGAAGAGAAGAGGCTACTAATTAGGTGATTATCTATCTGGGGAGAAGAGGCGACGCCCGTGGGCCATTCAATCTACCAGTGCGACAGTGTTTGAGCGGCCGTACCACGATTGTAGCTTCGACAAGACAGAAAGGGCGACAGCGGCAGTTGGTGGTAGCGTTGTCTGTCTCGAAACAGAGTTACGAATGGCGTTGGGCGCTTAAGAGATTCTGGCGCGGCTCTGGACGTCATCGGCTGTACCATACATAGTACGTGGGTGGGTATTAGGATCCAGGGGCAGTAGAGGCGGGGTGAGTTAGGTACAGGGGGTTATTGTGTTCTGTAGTGGGGACCTCCAGGGACGAACATGCCCTTAACCTACCTAGGTACCATACCTAGGTACATACTTACATACATACATACATACATACCTACGAAGTAATAGGTACCTACAGTTTGGCAGGTACCTGCGATCGGTATGTGGGTGAGGATAGGAGAGGAAGAAAGGAAGGCTTGAAACGTACTACGGCTGCCCTTGCATCACATGATGCTGTGTGATACTACCCAAGAGGAAGGGCAGATTCTACAGTAGGTATTGTAGGTAGGTATAAAGAAATATGTAGGTTAGCATTGTCAGCACCGGGTGTTGTTAGTGGATGTCCATGTGATTCATCAAGTACCAACACGAACAATCATCCGCACCGAATTCGTGATAAATTGCGCCACAACGACTGCCTACCTAAGTAAGTACTCTAGGTAGGTCGACAGCAACCTGGGGGCAAAAGGCAGAACTCAAACTTGTCCAACATGTCGAAGCCGAGATGTTATTACCCCGTATCCGTGATGGGCTTACTAAATGCCTACCTACATGTACTCTTTGCAACGTGGAATTTCTGCAGCAAACAGGAACCTACTTGATCTACTAGCAGACAATAGCAGAGTTTTGCAAGTAGCTATGTAGATACCTTGACAGAACCTTCTCCCTTCTTACCCTTCTTACCTAGTAGGAGGTTCCGGTAGGAGAGATGGCGCATTAGGTCTTTGTCTGCTTTAGCCTACCTATCAACTGAATAATAAGTATTTATAACTTGTACCTTCGAGAAGAAAGAGTAAAAATAGCCATGTTCCTTACTTGAGAAGCCATGGCTATGGACCTACTGTCCTCTTCGACTTCGCTCTACTGGGTAAGTAAGTACTTACTGAAACTTACCTATGGAACAACCCTACTAGGTAGGTATGTAAGTAAGTGCCTATGTAGGCGACTACTACTCAACCTTGTTAAAAGCCACGCTCACAATGCCACCATTTACGGTAGTACGATACTTCTACACCTACATGGTGCCTACCTATTAGGCAGAAACGATTGGACCCATTGGAAGAGGACGGGAAGGACAATTACCTAGGTAGTTACTTGAAGCAGGTCCAACCTTTACAGTGTATACATTCTCAGTACTTATTTAAGTATGTATGTGCCTAGGTATGCTCGGTATGATATAGGTATCTGTAGGTATGTATGTATGTACTAGGTAGGTAGTAGTCATAATCAAACAGGATCTAAGTACTCAAGAATTGAAGTAGTAGGTAGGTATATAGATACTTAGTATTCACTAACGTGGGTGCCTTCGAGTCGTTCGTTCAAGGGTTCCTTTGGCAAAAGGCTTGGCTTCATATTTAGCTTGGTCGCCCGCAGCCAATAATCGCCAGAAACACATCCCCCATCCCCTCAAACGATCGATCCCGCATGCATAACACATACATCGCTCAACTCCCACAGCGCCCGTCGTCATATCGTCCTCCAACTTCGTATATGCTACGGAATAGTGCCCTTACGTTATTTATCACCTCTACGCCCACTGCTGCCGCCCTTGAACCACGCCGAGACTGCTTGATTCTCTTTGATCCGTGACGGTCGCGACCCTCTGGTCCGTGACCACCTCGTCGTCCTCGTCGCCGCTATGGGTATCGTGAGCAGCCGCCTTGACGATGGCGCACCTATTTACCTGAGGGACCAAAATCGCCGTATGTTCATCTTTTCCCTGCCGTTCGCCAGCATGCCTGCATGCCAACCTACGCGGAATGCATGCGCATTCCTAGTCCTTGCACCTCTATGCTTACTGTTTGCTGAACGCTGTTCGGTGCTCGCTGCTTATTACTCGTTACTCGACCTTCTAATTGCTGCTAGTATCCATATCCTCCCTCAGCATCACATGTCCTCGTAGGCGCACTTCGACCATTGTCACCCCTAACTCCTTCCCCGCTACTCGCGCCGCCGTGACGCGTACGCCGAACGATGGGGTTCTTGTCGAGTTTGTGCAGGTTCGTCGCAAGCTTGGGAAATCCTTTTGAATGCAATGGAGACAGTAGGCAATCTAATCATACGTGCTTATAGGATCCCGAATCCTCACCTACGCCAAGCTTTCTCCTCAAGCTGAACAATGACGACGAACTAGTCTTCAACTTCACCTTCATAGTTCGTCAAGACGAAGGCAGCAACAACGATACACAGATCAATGGCCTGACATATGTTTATGCCTCTACAAGCCGAGAAGTCGAGAATCTAGTCACACGAGAGTTCCACGCAGACCCAAATCTCCACAAGAATGCCAATGTCGAGCTCGTTGGTGATTTTAACACTGGTGGGAGTTCTTCTGTATCATTTGAGTGGTCGTGGAAATGGAAACCTCCCAGGCCTGTAGAAGACAGAGGTGGTGGTTGGAGAAATGCCTGTAGTGTATGCTTTGCCCCTTGGTGGTTTAGCATAGCGCGCATCTGCATGTACTAACCCCTTGACAGTTTGTAGAGTACGACGCCAGAGCTCACCAACTACGCCCGCTCGCTACTTTCTCTTTCTGGGTTGCTAGTGAGCTACCATCAACTATCTGTTCTCCGCCGAGGTGCTGACTTGAACACCAGATACCCCAATCCTTGCAAGCCAGCCAGCCTCTCCATCTCCATTCCAACTAGCAGTTCCACCAAAGATTCGAGTGCCATCGGCGCAATCGGCCGATTCCCGTATCAGCGAACAGGAGGAACCAAGCTCCCCGCTCAGTGTTCCATATGACTCGCAGAGTCACCCATCTGCTGCCACCCAACCTCGAAGGGAATCGGTTAAGCTCGATATTGCTTGTCCTCGACCAGGCGAAGACATGACCGTAGGGGACGATGGCCCAGTATTCAGAGCGACTATTAAGGCATTGGAGCAAAAAACCGGCATTATGAGGACGCAAATGAAGAAAGTGCTGAAAAAGGCCGAACAGGCGTATGCGACCCAAATCGAAGCCAACGATGCCTATGTGGGTTTTCTAGACGCCCTTCGAGAGGCTTCTGCCAGCAATGCCAATGCAGTACTGCCTGCCATCGAGCATTACTTCGACAAGATTGCACGAGAAATCCTTGTTTATGAGAAACAGAACGTCAATAACCTACAAAAGATCATAATCGAACCGATTAGCAAGCTGTATACATATGATATTAAACAGGCCGAATCCAAGAAGCGCGAATTTGAGGAGGACAGCAAGGAGTACTACGCATATGTCGCCCGATATCTCGGTCAACGACAAGACTCGGTGAAAACTAAGAAGCTTGCCGAGAGCGATAGCAAATACCAGACAAAACGAAGAAACTTTGAAATCAAACGGTTCGATTATTCCTCGTTTGTACAGGATCTTCATGGTGGTCGAAAAGAACAAGAAGTCCTGTCTCATCTCACGAGATACGCTGACACACAGGCGAAGAGCTTCATGTCAACAGCGCAGAAAATTGACGGCATGTTGCCGCATTTGAAGGCTCTTACTTCCGAGGTTCAGGGGGCAGATAAAGAGTATCAGTATCAGCGACGTGAAAGAGAAGAGAAGCGGCGTCTATTAGAGAAGAGCAATCTCGGGCCTAACGAACCAGAGAGTGTGGTCGCAGCCTCAGCCACATTGACGTCCAATAACACCAACGGTATTCAGCATACCTCGGATTCCGAGCTTGGCCGTGCGGACAGTACCAGTTCTCAACTTAAACTTACGCCGACGGGCAATTCGGCATCAATAACAGCAGCATCAGGGGCGGCTGAGCTTTCAAGATCGCCAGGCAGTCTCGCTTACCATCCTATGAACAGTCCCGTACAAAGTTCCAAGTTCAAGGGTATCCGAGATCTGGAGGAAAGAGATCTCTCGCAGCTGACCATCGTTGAAAAGAACTCAACGCAACGTAAAGAGGGTCTACTATGGGCCTCAAATCGAACTCATGTTGACTTATCGTTGAATAAGCAAGGCTGGCACAAGTAAGTGTTGTCCTTGCATCATTTAAGACCTCTACTAACCAATCGACAGATTTTGGGTAGTTTTGGACCAAGGCAAGCTGTCCGAATATAGTAATTGGAAGCAGAAACTCGATCTACACATGGATCCAATAGACCTACGTATGGCATCCGTGCGAGAAGCTCGCAATGCTGAGCGACGGTTTTGCTTCGAGGTAATAACGCCTAAATATAAAAGGGTGTACCAAGCTACTTCAGGAGAGGACATGAATAGCTGGATTCTGTCCATTAATAACGCTTTACAAAGCGCCATGGAGGGGCATGTGCTGGAAGAAAAACCGACAACGTCGAGTGAAACAAGTAGTCTCAAGCGAGACATTGGCTCCATCTTGACCGGCAAAAGTTCCTCCTTAAATCACGGCTCGTATGGGCATCATAGCTCCGGCAGTTCTGCGCCTCCGTCTCGCCGCATCACAGTTGGAGCCCGACCCCTTGCATCAAGACCAGCAGGCAGTAATTATGATGAGAGCCCTGATAAGCTACTTCAAAGCATCCGCGAGAGTGACCAAGGCAACTGTTGGTGCGCGGACTGTGGCAGCGGTTCTAAGGTTGAGTGGGTATCCATTAACCTCGGTATTATCCTCTGCATTGAGTGTAGCGGCATTCATCGCTCACTCGGGACACATATCAGCAAAGTTCGCTCACTGACTCTCGATATCACATCGTTCACAATTGATATCATCGAACTGTTACTTCTTGTCGGGAACCGAGTGTCGAATATGGTTTGGGAAGCCAAGCTGGACTCAAATTTAAAGCCTGGGCCCCAGGCTACGCGTGAGCAACGTCTGAGGTTCATTACAGCTAAATATGTCGAACGGGCGTATGTTGAGCCCATTTCGGCAACCTTGTCCCGGTATGCGACAGCTGACGAAACACTCCTCGCCGCTATCAAGCGCAACGAAGTTCAACAAGTTATCCAGGCGCTCGCCCTAAGGGCTAATCCAAACGTCCTAGATAAAGTCCGGAATACTCATCCTGTCTTCTTGGCACTAGCAGCAGCTGACCCAGCTCCTCCATCGCCTGGTGTGACTCCTACCGTGCGTGCCGAACCCGAAACACGTACTATTCCTTTCGCTGTGGCTGAGATGTTGATTCAAAATGGCGCCGAAATCCCGGCACAGATGCCGGGATTCGCCCTCAGTCGCAACGCACAATTATATGTCAATGAAAAACGTGGTCGTACTGCTGCTATCGAAGCTTCTGGTCTGTCGATAACCAATAACTTTGGCCCCAGCTCCAGTGAGCGCCTTCAGCGCGATAAAGACACGCGATTGCAAAAGCGTATCAGTGCAGGTGGACGCTTGGCCAAATCACCAATTCCCGAACGATAGAAACGGCGGAAGCCCAATAGCTCCTTCTTATCGTCTTCACCATCTAGAAATTCGCTTCTTTCCCCGCGAAAACCGCAAGATTGCAGCTCCAACTCCTCTTCATCCACCTCCGAACGATAGAACCGGCGGTCGGATCGCATCTTTTTTCAGATACCCCCCTTCTTGACTATTTCAGCGCCACGGTGCCTTCCAATATTATGTCCCTTCGGACAGCACTTTACATCATCAGCGCCAGACACCACGACGGAATCAGTGGTAATCATTGCTTCATGAACTCTTTGATGACTACATATACATATATATATATATATATATAACACGACAGGGGAAATATTACTTTGTTTTGGAATTAGGCGCCTCTGGATTCCTATCTATCATGTGGCATCGAGCATATTTGGTGTTGGTGGTGCAAACGTGTGCATGTTGCCATACGCTTCCGCACTTGTAATTCGGGTTGGTTCTGAGGCCATCGGGAGGCTTTTTTTACAGGTTCTTTTTAAACACTATCAGGTTCTACATGTATCAACTTTGGAGGTACACTTCTAAATGAGAAGGATGACGGACGGCCGGGGTCTCTCAACACTACTTCACTCAATGGTCGAAGTATACAGTGTATTGATAGCCTCATGTAATTACCCATGTATAATAGTTCCCGTCGAAGGAATTCGAAGGTAGGCCAATTAGCCTACCATGTATGATTTGAAATGTCATCATTTTGAAGAAAAGTGTCTGCCTCGGTGGCCTTCTGAATGGCATGATGACAAGTGACCTCTATAGACATTGGTGGGCAGTTCTCGGGTATGTACGACTTCTCAATAATGAGACAAAGTAGGGGAAATTTGTTTTAAAAAAAAAAAAAAAGGAGGGGAAACGAAAGAAAGAGAAGGGGAGGGGAGGCTTTCTAGTATATTGACTCCGGTAAGTCTAAAGCTAAGGACGACAAAAATTGGGAATCAGCATTGTGACAGGTGGTCATCATCTCGCTCTAGGCGTCTTCTTACTCCTCAGCCTGTTGACCCCACGATTCGACATTCACATTGGAAGACAATAATTATATATACTGTCCAAGGATGTCTAGGTGCGTCTTCTATATATCCATGATCTACTATGCAAGCTAGTCTCTCTCTATCTAAGGACGGTGAAAGGCCACGACCATCAGATCTATACAAGCTGGAAACCAGGTACCTCCTCGCTCTTTATATGGCATATCCTCTAGGTAACCTTTTCCAGCACCACGGCCACAAGTTACGACCTTTTTTGCCCCGTGTTTGAGTGCCTGGTATATGCCTCGAGGCCTTGTATCTCATCTTTATCTACACCAATAGTCTGCCTCAATTCAGTTATCTACTGAGCGGCACCCTCCGCATCTTTGGCCAGTTTATCAATGAGTTTCTTGTGGATACCCCTCCAGTTGTTTTCAACCTGGCCCTTGATGATGCCCATGACGAGCTTCGAGCAATTAACTGGCGGAGTCAGCAGCTACTCTTTCAGGTAGAGCGGAAACGGTGTTCGAGGAGCTCTGCACGGTCTCGATATACACTCGCCCTGATCTATGGGCCCAAGAAAAAGGGAATGATTCCATGGGAGGGAAACGTACTGAAGACATCCTCGACGAGTTCAAGGGCGCCCTTGCTCTCGCGAATACTCCACTTCGTCTCCATGACCACGCCCATGGGGCTCTTAATACGAACCCACATGCCTTCGTCGTGGTCGACGAATTCCTCGCGGCTGACGACGTTGCTGCTCCACACGGGATTGGGCAGCTCGTCGACGACCTCGTAGATCTTGACCACGGGGCCGGGGCCGCTGTGCTTCGTTGTCGATGTCAGCGGCTCCAGGTCCGCCGGCAGCTCGAAGGCCTTGCGGGCAGCATCAATAGAGGCCGGGTCTGAGGCCGTCTCAGGAGGCTGTGGCAGACTCTTGTGCGAGGTGTAATGCGGGTCGCAAAGCAAGAAGAATTCGTCTTGAGAGTGGGTGTTAGGCGCTCTTTTTTCTCAAGGCGGTATTTGAGGGCGATGGGGGCGAAGTCGGGGAGGAGAAAACTCACGATCATGTAAGAGCGCCACGGCGTCTTCCTTGCGCACGTTCGACGGGATCGGGCTTGCATTCACCGAGTTGCTCGTGGCATTTAAGACTAGGTAAGTAGTAGGAAACGTCAGCTAGGTGGCTGTATGTATTGGACAACTGTGTCTCGTGTGTTCTTTTCCTTGCTTCTCATATAGTGGCAGGTCGTGTGAGAGTATGAACAAGCTCTTTGGGCTGGAATATCTCATCCAGTCGCGGGCTTCCAGGCTTTCTTTCTGAGGCGACCGACCATGCGACCATGTGTGAAGATCAAGGTTGAGTATATTTGTAAGGGGATATAACACGCTTCCAACTCAATCCGCTTCATCCGCAAAGTGATCCCCAGTGACTCGTGTCGTCGCAGTTGGATTGAGGGAGCGAGGGGCTCCTGAGGGGGTGGAATGGCCTTTCTAAGGCCAACTTACACGACGACATTATGATTGATGATCTAATAGGTCCCTCTAGTTGCAGACAACTTGTTGTTATTTGATCTGAAAAGGCGGCGGAAATCTCGTCTTATTAACTCTCAACCTATGCGTCTTTCCAGCAGAATCGTATTGTTTTCCCTCCTCTGTTATCTCCAAGCTACTAAGATTAGGCAGTAGCAGGTATTAACTATTGGGCTCAGCACGTTTCAGTCCGGTGCAGTTGTGGACCACGATCCTACAAATGCTGACATAAGATTTCATGCAACCTGCCTGTCCTGTTCGTCTGGGCTAGATATAGCTTACTGTGTGCATCAGCCAGGCGCGTCTAAATAAATTGAAACCTGAAAAGAAAAGAATCTAGATCTCATGAAAAGGGTCATCGAGCATATACTAAGCCCACCTGCCTGTTAACTAATTATTCCTCCTTGAAAGCTTGTGCCAACTCAATACTAGCGTCTCTCAGTCTTGGCGCATGTTTCAATGCCCTTTCGTATCTTCCTCCACCCAAAAAAGAAATAGGCAAAGGAGGCAGGGGGGAGGACATTGACATTTTGTGTTAGAATCGCCGTGGGATACCTATTCGTTATCCTCACTCGAAAAGCGTTGTCCAATAATCATAATCAACTCAGCCTTAAGTAGAGCGAATATATGTCACCAAAATGTTTATATCACGAGCATTGACAGTAATCACTTTCATTGCGTTTCGCGACAATATTTTGTTTCTTCACAGTTAGATCCATGCCTCGACTTCTCCCACCAATGTGCTGAAGCCGTGCCTCATCTACTATCTGTAAAGGGGGTATCTCTAGTTGACGTGAACTCAGCCATTCACGCTACATTGCATTCTTGATACAAGGCCAGCGATTAATTGGCGTGCCGTCTAATCGTCTAGCGAAATCACCACAGGTCCTCCTGATCCAATTGGCCCACCTGACGCTGTCTGTTGTGGTCGCGGTTTGTTTGCTCCGATATTTTTGTTCGGACCTACGTTCTTCGCCCCTACTGCTTTGGGTTGGGGCTGTTTCGACGCAGATGGCGACCTAACCACAACCAAAGGTCGGACCGCTTCATCCATAGCTTTGATAAGGATTTCTACCCCATGCGTGACATCCGCCGCCACGCTAGTTCCAAGGTAGCGCCATACTCTCTTGTCCGACAACCAAAGCTTCTGAAGGACTTTATGAAACTCGTCATCTGGCTGTTTGTTGGGGCCTGCCTCTTCTCGATATATGTGCCACTCAGGTCTAGTATTGTGATTCTGCAGCCTGATGTGCAGGGTCAAGCACCGGCTCATACCTTTGGACGGGCCCATCACATACTGCACAGTATAACAGTCGAGAGAAATAACAGATACGCTCACATGGCATTGGTTGGTGATGGTCGGAGCCTCCCATGCCTGTTCCACCGAATTAAGAGCCCTGTGTATCGGCAATGTGATTGACAGAAACCACGGTACAGCCTTGAATCCTTCTTTCGAGTTGATCAGCTTATTAAATTGATCTGTGGCTCGAATCTGAGGGTTGTTCTGATCGAGGACCAGTTTCATGTTGTCGGTTTGAAGATCGAGAGAAGCGGACCAACGATGCACGTTCTGCTGTGTTTCGTTGCTAGTAGGCCGTGCCTGGTCTGTGTAGCTGAATCTTACGTTGCTGAGTGTGATATCTTCGCATTGAACATCCCTACGACTTTGGCGGATAGTGTCAATGCTGCTGGCCAATCTGCCCAAAGCTTGAAGACGGTGAGCGAGCGTGTCTAAAATCGAGCTTCCAACTTCTGCGTCAATACTCAAAGCAAAGACACCGAGGCGTTCATTAAACGCCACATCATGCTCAACATTGCCCTTGAGTGGCCCGAACCGAGAAGGGTCCGCAACCTTGACGCGCGCATCCACCACGATGTTATAACGATGCTGTTCCTGAGCCAATGATGCAGGTCGCTCTTCTTTGCCGCTCGTTCCTCCAGTTGTGGGTGGCCCTGATGACTGTGGGAGCTTGTGTTCAATGTTCTTTACGTTGATTTCAACAAAGTCGAAAGCCCATGATGATAAGTGTTTGCTTATATGAGACTGGTGGCGGCCAAGTATCTCAGACAGCCTCACATGAATGGAGGGGACTTTCATATTAGGTGGTAGCATGGGATTAACTCGATCTTGTACGCAGTATTTAATCCTTTCTCTATGCATAGCTCCAAGGATACCGATCTGGGATATAATGGCGCTACTAAAGAAGGTCAATTCGGCAAAGAACCTGTCCGAATATCGAGGCATGCTAGGACTCAACGGCAAGCGGGGATGGGTGGTGATTTTGGTGCTGCCTGATGGTTTTATACTTTGGTTTCAACATTAGCAAGAGCCGCCCACGTAAACAGTAGCAGAAACAATACTCACACTTCGATCAACCACCATTGGTCTCCGCTCAAACTCTGGCTCACCATGATATACCAATTGTCTGGAATTCCGCGCCGCTTTAGCCATATAAGCTGATAAGCTCCTCTTGTGCCTAGGAACTGCCTCGTCTCCTCGAGTTTGACAGGATGAGGGTTGCAGACACTCCAACCCCTACTCTTTCCACGCCGGTTTAGTTCATCCTCGACAAAGTAGCACCTAAATTTCTCAAGTAGTGCAACGTGCTCTGTAACTGGCCGCCGAGAATCTTTATTGAGCTGACTCTGCAAATCAAAGCTGCCTCTAGACTGAGGAGAAATAGCCAATAAGGTTCCTGTAATCGGGGCGACCTTGAGAGTTAAATATTGTTCATGATTGAGCTGTATGGTTAACGCAGACTCCCCAGGGTTGTTGTTCACAATGTTGATCCCAAGGCTGGCTTCTCGTCTGACAAAGCGCCCTTGAATTTTCATCGCATCATGGAACCTCCTCAGTATATGTTCGATGTGTTGTCCGATGACTCTGTTCAATAATAACTCGGTAGATATTGTCGGTTCGTCTAATGGAAACTGAATATCCTTGATTTCGACTCCTTCTCTAAACCAACGCAAAGTCAAGCGGCTGCTAGTGTTTTGATTAGGCGACGAACTAAATTCCCTGCCACTCGAAACCCCCATGATGATGTAGCTCTGAGGGCCATCAAGAGGCTGGCGGCCAGACCAATAGTGTATTGCCATAGCACGCCTCAGCCTCTCGACTTCTAACATATCCGCCCATCGACCTTTGCTCAGATCCATAGCTTGACGTACATACTCCGTAATCTTATGCGTCAAAATGAATTCGTGAAGGAACTTGTAGCATCCATGCAATCCGTCCTTCTGTAAAGCTTCATTGACTTTCATTTCTAGGAAATCTCTCAATCGGTCTGAGAGCTCACTAGGTGCTGGCTGAAAAGCGAACCGAAAATCAATGAACCAGAACTGCTTCTCAGGATCCTCGTCGGCTATCGTAAGGTCGATCTCAAATTCACCGGGTACTCTGAATGTTACACGCCCAGAATCGATTTCGAAATCTTGGAATTGCTCCGGTATGTTTTCATGGTCCTCAAGATTCAGGCGGATGGAGAGCAGGGTATTAAGATTTTCAATCCATCGCATTTGCTCCTCTGGGGTGATTTGAGGAGATTGCACGTAGTTGAGTTCGGGCATCCAAGGGGCTTGGCCGGTAGAAAGAACATGAAGAGCGGTACGGAGGTCTGGATTTGGTATTCGGGCATATGTGAGATCTCTTTTGATATTAATCATATAATCGAGAGATCCTTGGTATATCGCTCGTGTTTTGTTAATATGATGCATTAAATCAATTAGCTTGCTGACTGGTTGAGCTTTTCGGCTCCAGTTCGCAATGATCAGGGCTTTCACCCATTCTCCGTGTTTTTCCTGTACAAAGTTTAGAAGCCTGACCTTCTTATTTAGATTTTCTAGTGAGTTATCGTCCGAAGAAACATCGATGCCGACAGTGTTGCCATTCATGGTAGATGACGGCAGAGACATCTTTGCCAGAGCCATGATCTCATCGCCAAGTTGATTATGGGTCTGCTGCGAAAGGCGGGAAAGAAGGGCACTCAGCGGCACGAAGCCTTGTGTTATATGTTGAATCTCATCAGGTAAGTCGTTCATACGGGAGGTGAAAGGCCCAGGAGACTGAGAGTTACCAACATTGATGATGGTGCCATTTGGCACAGCATCAGTGTTGACAGTGTTGTAATTTCCGGCATGGCCAGCGATGCCGTTGATGGTATCGGGCGCGCCGTTTGTGAGTGAGCCATTGCTGCGGTCGTGGTTTGTAGACTGAAAATGTGAAGCGCCGCTCTCCATCGTGACAACTCCGGGCATCCTAGACCTAGTTCCCCCTTCCGCCAAGGCGGCGCGTCAACTCACGGGTTGGCCACAGACACCGAACAGTATGCGATGCGAAAGACGCGGGCAAGGAAGAGGTGGGCGCTCTGAGGCATGTGGGTTTGTGCGTGGCTGCGCGCGAATGAAAGTGGCGTTATGGGAGAGTCCGGATGGTCGATGATTCAGTCGTCATACAATTGCTCGGACGCGACCACCGGTGGCTTAGAGTACAGGACGGAGATCGGAGGGTTCGCGGTCACGTTGTTCGTGCAATAGGGAAGGCCGCGAAAGAAAAGAGAGGGCTCGCGGACAGAAAGCTCGTAGACAGGACCAGGCATTAATTAATGCAGGTAGCCGAAATCTGACGATGTCGATCAAGGCTCTCTAGCAAATGGTGGTAATAATGCGACTCGGGTAATTGTGCATCCTGGTCAAGGAAGCAGGCCGACGCTGGAAGCACGGATGTCGCAAACAAAGACGGCGCGGCTCGGTTCAGCTGTTGAAGAGGGAGAGGCGAAGGCTGAGGAGGTGTTGCGTCTGGTAGATGAAAGAAGGGTTGATTAAACCTGACGCGGAGACCAGAAATGGCCAAAGGCGACAAGGCCAGCGCTAGCAAAAGCTTATAGCAGAAGTCTGTACTGTACTTGCCTAGGCATAGATAAGTAAGGACCTCCATCAGTACCTCTCATGTACCTACAGATGTGAAACCGCGGCCTGTACCGCGTCCGCGTCTAGGAAATGCCTTGGCCGGTACTTATGGGATACATTGCTTACGTACAACATTTCGTGCAAAGGAGGATTAGTGACATCGATGAAATCAACCAAGCAGCAATCTGTATGTACGCACGCATATATATGCCCAGGTATCCAGGTAGCTACTACTAACCTACTCATATCAACACCCATGTTCTATTCAACTGGGTAACGCTTGTTATCATATGCTGGTGTTGATTGTACTTACATGTATGATTGTGAAGTACATCAACGTTGGCTTTAGTTCACTGTAAGGTAATACTACGTTTTACTTACTTAATATGTAGGCAGGCGAGGCAGGCAAGTGCATACTTACAGCACATGTATGACATTACAGAAAGGGTTTAGTCTATTCCAAGTTGCCATGACACTGGCCTACACGTTTGTATGTAAGTACTATGTACATACGTAGGTACCTACATACCTAGGTACATATGTAGTGTAGGTAGGTCATGTGCAGCAAGATCCAAGATATAGTTTTTAATATATGCCTGGTAGTGCTTTGACATGATAGTAACAAAGAAACGCGCTGTATCGCATAGAAGAAAAGTCAACATCACTTAGAACTACTTGCTCTATACAAGTTAAAAAGTTGCGATTGCATATGGAATACTTAGAAGTTACGAGGGGCCCCATAAGTACCTTCAGTTTTGCCTACCACCGCGTATATAATTTCATGCTATCTATCTGCTGAATCTATCAATATCATTTGATATATATATAACTGTGTATTTCTCCTTTGGTAAACCAAGCCAGAACGCCCGATTCATCTGGAAACAGACCGATAGCAGGTATCATCAGCCTGCCCATTCGTTACTATTAGACTTAGACTTTCACCACCGAGAAACCGAGAGGGAAAACAACAGGAAACCGAAGAAAGGAGTGAAGAATAGGAATACGATGGCCACATTAGCTTATAGTTAGTTCTTGTGATTCAAATAGGCCAGGCTTATGTGAATTCTGCCTCGAAGATATAATATTCCGTGGCTACAGCAGTGAACTACTCCTGGTAGTCAGATACCCAACGGTCACGAGAAAACCAGAATAGGCACATGGACCTTAATAACTACAATAGGTTACTATAGCTTTTAAAATACTCTAAGCACTTTAGCATCCGTCATTATAGATTCAACCTGGCATCTACACTGAGGGCTTAGAATTGTAGTTATTCATATTGGGTATAATATGTCATTGCTCCTTGTTTCATCATCCCCCATTCAGATCTCTTACACCAAGATGACTCGGTATAGTCTGCTCATCTTATGATTGGACAGTTGTCCTTGATCTATTCAATCCTCTAATAGGCCAAATGCTAGCAACGAGTGAATAGTCTCATCTCAATAAGATCGAGACCTATCAGAAACAATTCCAGATCTCATTTTGTTGGTAGACTTGCATGTAGGTGAAACACATCGGCCCCCTTCCATTCCTATGTCTAGTTTATGGGCGAGCTTCCAAGTTTCCTCATCCCTGTGTATCTTTTTGATACAGAGCACCAGTTCAACTACTTAGACTATCAGCACTACACTTTCCCTCAACGAACTTGATCAACTCCCGACACGGAGAAACTTATTCACTTACATATGCAAATTTGATATCAATATGTAACAATATAACATCCTGCTACACAACACGTGTAGTGTTAGTATGAGCCTTATTTAGTATGAATGTTGATATTAGCATGGTTCCTACCCTAGCTTTCGAATTGCCTAACCTTTGACGTAAGTAACTTATTTCACCGTTTCCATTGCCGTTGCAACCGGACGTCAAAAGCACCCGATGCTAGTTATCCGAGCAGAAACAATAGGGGTAGTTGACCGAAAACGAGGTGAGGTGAGGTTGGCCAGACCATCAAACATAAGCCTTCCAGAGTAATGCAAGCGATGTATTAGAGAGGTGCTTACTAATTGGTCGTTGCCGTTGCTTTTTTTTATCCTTATATATTGAGTGAGGTGGCTCCTGGCATGGTCTAAAATTATAGAAAAGCACCATGCCCTTTAGCATCTCAACGCCAGTGCTATGCCGTTGATACGAAGGAGTGGACGAAAGGCCTTGCGGTGTAGATGTTTCAAGGATTTATGACTATTCCTTGCCGAACCATATCGGCATCCTTGTCTATGTAAGCCGTGAAGATTCTAGGTCTAAGATTTTAGGTATGCTGAACATGATTAGTTCAAGAGCAGAATAGAAAATATATAGTGTGTAAACAAAGTGCCGCGAGGCAGTCAACATTCGTGCCATACCAAGCATTACCACGATACTGATGTGAGGCGATAATTAACGTACACTAGGGTTCGTCAGAAGACTCAGACCCTGGCTACTTTTACCCTGTCGGTTCCCATCGTCTCCAAGGCAACATTTCATATCTCTTATACCGGGGGGGGGGGGGGGGGGGGGGGGGGGGGGGGGGGGGGGGGGGGGGGGGGGGGC